GGCGTGCTGCGCGCCTTCTATCGTGAGGGGACGGGTTCGCCGACGAGCGTTATCGGATAGGCGAGGTCCGATAAGGGGTCGGATTAACGATTCGAATTCTGGACCGGCTGTCGAGTTATATTCCGCCGACGTAGTGCTTGACGGTCGACTGGCTAGGATGCTCGTAATCCTAAACTGCACCAATCTCCCTATTATCGCTAGGTAGGCGAAGTCAACAAGGTGGGCAGCGCGCCGTAAGGGTTGACTAAACCCCCTTGTGTGTCAGCTGCGGGATTCGAACCCGCGACTCGTCACCAACCCAAGTGGGCGAGGCTCAAATCGGGACTTATCTACCAGCGAAGTGACCAACTACACCAGCCGACTTATTATTATTATTATTATTAAATACGCCGTAGGCTCGAAGCCCCCGGTACCTCTGCTAGTACTCCCGTATGTCAAACCGTGCCCTAATGGCTGGACTAAATACATACGCTGCGTCGTCGGTTCGCCCTATTGGCGACTGCGTTGCGTCCACTACCATACTACGTTGGTTCTCAACCTACCAACAAAGTCCCCCCTGAGAAGATCGATGCTATCTGGGCCTTGAAGCTATCCGACCCGTCCCTAGCAGCCACCTTACAATAGTCCCACTAACTACTGGTTCTCCTGTTGCCGTTGCGAGGTCTCTGCGAGAGTATAGTGGCCGTGGTGCGATAGCGGCCCGTAATCGTTCCCTCGGTCCTTCCAACAGCCCGCAAAAGACGATTACGTGCTCTGCCGTCTCAGGGGCGTCGCCACAGCGGCATAGCGGCGAGTACACGCCAAAAGCCCCTGTCTTGAATAAGAAGGCTGCTAGTCCTATTTTTTCCGTCCTGATCTGGCACAGCGTAGACGCCTCCAGTCGGTTCAGGCCGAAATACCTGCCCCCTTTCGGTATCTGCATCAAAGGGCCCTCCGGTTCCTCAGCGATAGCGCGTCGCTGGCGATCGTGATGCTCTGCTCCGGTGAGCCATCTCTTCCTCCAGTGGCCGAGGAGGGCAGCCGGGACCTTCTTTTCCTCACTCATCCACTCGGAGCCCCGGGCCTCCTTCTCCATAGTGTACCCTGCCGGTCGGAGTAGCTGCGACGCCTGCTTCCTCTTCGCCGGCCTATCCTGCCGGAGTATATGTGACGCTTTAGCGCTCGCGCTGCGAAGCAGATTTCTCTTCCCGCTAAGCCGTAGCCGTTCTTCAAACTTAGCAGCCCGGGCACTAAGATAGAGGTCTAGTGGCGGGATTGCTGCTTCTGCTTCCAGGTGGCGAACCGGCGTCGCTTTGTGGGCGCAACAGACTACCCGGATAGTAAAATTAGGAACACATGTGTCATGTGTTCTACAGTTTTGGGGTCGGGGAAATCTGGGGGGGTCCCATAGGCACACGGGTACCCGTGTGATTACCTAAATAGGTAAAGCCCCTCCGTTGTCGGATACTATCACGTGTCGCGTTGAAATTGGATAATTGAAGCAATTCATGTTCGTAGTCAAGTAGTCAAAGCACATATTATTAGCCAGAAATTACTACAGTAGACTGTCTGCTCTCTAATCGTTGCCAAGCGATGACTTCGTTATAAACAGTGAATCCGAGCTATGCAAAGCCGGTAATAACGCTTCAAGAGATAAAACAACGGTATGAAGGGCTCTGTCAGCTCTGTTCGTATTACATGATTGCAGTGTATGAAATAAAGTACTGAATAACTGTCTGAAGTGAATGTCTGTTGTGTAATGCAAGGGAATTGTTTTTGTGCTGTTATGATGATGGTTGATGTGAGGTGATCGTGGCCATGTTTCTGCTTGCTTGCCTGTTGCTTGAGTGTGTTCGTGCTTGTTAACGTGTGTGTTGACGTTGTTTTCCCGTGCGTGCCTGTTGCTTGTTCGAGTGCTTCCGTGTGTGTTCCTCCTACTATTCAGAATGTGCTGCTATTTATGCACCCAGAGAAGAAGAGAATAACCCCTGTCCTTGCCCTTGTCCCCACTTTCACTGGCGTAGTGCAGAAGATGGAAAGCAAGTAGAAACCGCATCCATACACGCAATACAGCGGTCTGTTAAGATAACAGAGGGAAGCCGAGTATTACAGATCTCGTAAAGCGACTTTAATCGGTCCAAGGCCCAGAAGTAGTCCTGCTTGGACTCGCCGCTTAGGAATTGTCAGAGAACAGAATGCCATAGGCACCCGTGGGTGTCAGGACACTGAACGCAGGACACCGGCGGGCCGCCGGAGGGGTGTTTCGGACAAAAGACTCCCGAATCATGATTACAATCTATGTGAAGCTTTGGGATGACGAGAGTCAAGATCCTTGGCATCGCCGACCCTGCTGTTATGCCGGGTCCAAGCGGCGGCCTAGCTATCTATATAAGGACCATCTCGAAGTAGGATAGGGAAGGAGTTGTCAGAGCCACAAGTGTCATCCGAGGCGGGCCGGCTTCCACCAGGTAGGAAGTCGTTTGTGGCGAATGAGGAACCGGGAAGCCGTTTGTGGCGGCTAGAGAGCCGCTTGGGGCGAATGAGAGCCGTTGAAGCCGTTTGCAGCGGATAGGGAATCGCTTGGTTGCAGATAAGGAGCCGCTGTCCAAGATATTGGCCGAAGTCGGAGGAACACAGACATACGGAAGCAAACATCCAGAATCCAAGAGAGAACCTCGGCTGGCTATAAGTAAGGAGTCGAGACGGAGGAAGATAGAGAGGGCAGAGATCAATGCATCACCGTGGGCACCCCTACCTGAGACCGCCAGTGACCACCCGGTGCTACGTAGGAGGGACGCCCGTTACTCCCCATCACTCTGTACTATTGCCTTCGGCCTAGCCGTACCCTGACAGGAATGCAAATGCAATACAGAAAGATCGCTGGCAGGCGTCGACTCCGATCATATCGAGAAGAGGCATTCCATACTTGTTCGTCTTATATGTACAGTCCAATATTAGAGTATCTGGGTAGGCGTGGAGGTACGCTAGGGAGTCTGGATGAGCGAACAGGACAGCGGTTACCCGGTTATCTGTACCTAATTGCATTCGGTTCCAAAACCCTTCCCGATCTAGCTGGTTCGCAAGTGCGTTGATCGTATTCTGTCCTTCGCATGTGTCTCGCCTAGTATCTGCAATACGATTGTAGATATCTTGCTGGGTCGCTATAGCCGTGGTATTCTGGCGCATGTACGTTCTGATGTCTTTAGGAGCTATGCCAGCATTCGAAAGGCCTCTTAGCTGAGATATATCTTCATCGGAAAGCTTCCGGTGTGTTGGATGGGCAGATAGGTGTTGGCTAGGCTCGTGGTTATGTATGGCGAACCGTTTATCGGGACGATGTCGCAAGGTCCAAGTGCTTTTATCAAGTGACTCTTTTGCTAGTACTGAGAACGGACAGCTAGTTACTCGTGTAGTTGTCTTCTGCTGGCGCTCTTTCGAACTAGTAGGAGGGCGGCAAAATCGATCACATGTATATGTAATCGTCTGTCTGCCGGTTTTTTCTTTGGTTGACCGCCCAGTTACAAACGCGTAGCCTCTTGTTGACGCCCACGCGTTAATCGCCTTAGATAGAGCATCTCGGGATTCGTATTCGCCTTCAGGAGGGAGACAATCAGCTGGAAATGTAGCTAGTCTTGGGATTGGACTTGATTTCATCTTAATTATAGTAAATACTGCTACTCTAGTAGGTATATTCATGCGTAACTGGGGAAAATAATCCTTTGAGGTTTAATTACAACGCGACGCGTGATAGTATCCGACAACGGAGGGGCTTTACCTATTTAGGTAATCACACGGGTACCCGTGTGCCTATGGGGCCCCAAATCTGGGGCCCCCAGTAATCCCCGCACATGAGTCATGTCTAATCAATTACTGCCGAGGATGGTTACCGATTATTTGTCTCCTACTACTCTCCGACAACACCACGAGCTGAACATATCAGGGCCGATTAGGCGGCAGGGTATATTGTTTAACAGGGGAAAGCCCATTAATTAGGAGCAATTAGGAGCATAGAACTCGAATAAACAACGTCATGAACTGAGGAGCAACGACTGACTACGCGACTGGACGGCAAAACATCGGATTCCCCACAGGCGGTGAAGATAAGAAAAGATGGGGACCCTAACGTGACGAACAAGAAGTGGGGGGTATTGCCGGTTGGGGGTGGAGCGTATGCTGCGAACTTTTCCCCAGTCTGAAGAACCCGATCTCGTGAGAACCCACCGTGGAAATTTGCGGGCGGGAAGCCGACTTCAGGAACGGGGCGCGCTCGGCATGAAAATTGTCACGCGGGTTGAAAATGTTGAGCCTAAGTCGGAAGAGATGGAGGCGGGCCCGGACGGTTCCTGGCACCACTGACTGAACACGCCACAACCTGGTCATGAAAGCCTGCACCGCATGGCAAAATAGATTGGGTTCATCTTATGCCATTAATAATTTTGGGAAGACGGAGAACACAAATGATATGGATGTTACCCGCAGCGATGATGCCCGACTCCCCGTATATCCTACCAGCCGGTCTGAGTTCGACATGTGCACCACCGACCCCGTTGTCGGCTACTTGGTCCCGGCCGACAGGGTATATCGATCATTCTATACCATACTTCGTTCCTCCTGCCTCCCCCGTCCCCCCCCAACAAGTCGGACCAGCTCATAAGATACCCCACCGGGGCCTGCTGGATCAACTACATATTGTCACCGTGATCGAGGGGAGTCGCGGGGATGTTTTCGGGCCTTTTGTATACTCTAGTCCACTATGCTGGCAAATTACCCATTCTTGTGAGGGGCCACAACATGTGGTGGACTGCCCAGGAACCCGGGTGAAAGCGGGAAATCAAGCAACCACCTGATGTTTGTCCGCCTACTGGTTGCGGAGCAAGACTTTGGGATATTGCCTACGGTATGGAGTATGACATACTGGATCGCTGTGCTCGTCGTATAAGAACCAGAAGGTTTCCCGTTGGGAACGATATTGGATTCGATCTTCAGCGCACCTCAAGCTGTCTTCAATCAACCAAGTCATCATGGCTTCAGCTCGGTCTATCCTCTTGTCGGCTTTGCTGCTGGCACCTTCTATCCATGCTCAAAACTTTGGTGGATCCGGGCGTGATGCCGACGCCTTCAGCTATGTCCAGCCATTGAACACAACGATTTTGGGACCTTATGGCCACGTTCCGGCAGTCTATCCGTCTCGTAAGTTCAAACATTCCCTAGACCGGGAAGAGACTGGAAAACATCATCCATCTCTTGATTGAAGTATTTGTCCTGACATTTTCGCAGCCAACGCCACGGGAGCCGGTGGCTGGGACGAGGCACTGGCCAAGGCTTTGGCCTTTGTCGCTGAACTGACGGTCGAAGAAAAAGCCTGGATGGTAACGGGTGTTGCCGGTCCCTGCATCGGCAATATCGCCCCCATCCCTCGCCTGGGCTTCACGGGACTTTGTCTTCAGGATGGCCCCCTGTCTGTCCGAGCCACAGACTACGCCAGTACCTTCTCCGCTGGCGTCTCGGCTGCGGCTACATGGGATCGTGATATCCTCTACGAACGAGGTTACGCACTGGGTGAAGAGTTCAGGGGTAAGGGCGCACATATTGCCCTGTTGTAAGTTGTCCAGAGTCTTCGGTGACGGATGTGAACAGTAACTGATCGATTACAGGCCGGTTTGTGGACCTCTCGGTCGATCAGCCTACTCGGGACGCAACTGGGAAGGCTTCGCGGCGGATCCCTACCTGACGGGTGTTGCCATGGAAGAGACCATCAAGGCCGTCCAAGATAATGGTGTACAAGCGACAGCCAAACACTACATTGGCAACGAGCAGGAGACTCAGCGCAACCCCAGCGGGTCGGCAGATGGCTTCACTGTGGACCAAGAGTCCTTGTCTGCTAACATAGACGATCGCACAATGCACGAACTTTACCTGTGGCCTTTTGCCAACGCCGTCCGCGCCCGAGTCGCCAGTGTCTTGTGCTCTTACAACCGGCTCAACGGCACTTACGCATGCGAGAACTCCAAAGCCCAGAACGGCATCCTCAAAGAAGAGCTCGGTTTCCAGGGCTACATCATGTCCGACTGGGGAGGTGTCCACTCTGGTATGTCCTCTATCGAAGGCGGTCTCGACATGAATATGCCCGGTGGCTTGGGCACCTACGGCCAGTATTGGGATGCCGGCTCGTATTTCGGAGACAACGTCACGCTGGCTATCAACAACGGTACCCTGGACGAGACTCGCCTCAATGACATGATCGTCCGTATTATGACCCCCTATTACCACCTGGGCCAAGACAGCGGTTTCCCCGCCGTCGACCCCTCAGGCGGTGATATCAACACCTTCTCGCCCAAATCCACCTGGAGAATCGACTTCAACCTGACCAGCGAAAGAAGCCGTGACGTTCGTGGAAACCACGGAGAGCTGATCCGCAAGCACGGCGCCGCCGCCACAGTCCTCCTCAAGAATGAGAACAATGCCCTGCCCCTGAAAGCCCCCAAGTCCATCGCCATATTCGGCAACGACGCCGGCGACGTGACCCAGGGTTTCCTGAACCAGGTCAATTACGAATACGGCACCCTCCATGTCGGTGGTGGCTCCGGCACTGGTCGACCTACTTACCTCGTCACCCCCCTTGAGGCCATCAAGACCCGCGCGGCGCAGGATGACGCCCTCGTCCAATACTGGCTGAACAACACCTTGATTACCAGCTCCGAGATGCCTGATCTCTGGATTCCCAAGCTGCCCGAAGTTTGCATTGTTTTCCTCAAGACGTGGGCTGAAGAGGGAAGTGACAGACAAAGCCTCAGCGTTGACTGGGACGGCGAGGAAGTCGTTGCCTCGGTGACCAAATACTGCAACAACACCGTCGTTGTTACACACTCCTCGGGCATCAACATCCTCCCCTTCGCAGATAACCCCAACGTTACCGCCATCCTCGCCGCCCACTACCCTGGCCAGGAGTCCGGAAACGCTCTTGTTGATGTGCTCTACGGTGACGTCAACCCCTCAGCTAAGCTTCCCTACACCATCGCTTTCAATAGCAGCGACTACAACGCCCCGCCCACCACGGCCGTCAACACCACGGGCGTTTACGACTGGCAGAGCTGGTTCGACGAGAAGCTCGAGATCGACTACCGCTACTTCGACGCCCAGAACATCAGCGTGCGCTACGAGTTCGGCTTCGGTCTGTCTTACACCACCTTTGACGTCGCCGACCTCGCAGTTGAGCCCTTGGCAGCTAACATCACCGCCGAGCCCGAGGCCCTGGATATCCTGCCCGGTGGGAACCCGGCGCTCTGGGAGACACTGTATAATGTTACTGTGTCGGTGAGCAACACGGGCGAGGTCGAGGGCGCTACCGTCGCACAGCTTTACGTCGGCTTCCCCGACAGCACACCCGCGGGAACCCCGCCAAAGCAATTGAGAGGTTTTGCGAAGGTTAACCTCGCAGTTGGTGAGAGTAAGCAGGTGGGCTTCGAGTTAATGAGGAGGGACCTGAGTTACTGGGATGTCGTTAGGCAGGACTGGATCATCCCCAGCGGTGATTTCGTGCTTAGTGTTGGTCTCAGTAGCCGAGACCTGAGGCAGGTGGGAAGCGTTACTCCTATTTCTGCATAAACGTTAATGGACGTGGGGGATCAGATATATGAGTTATGATGACTTGATGAGTAACCTATATATTAATCTTAGTAATTATAAATTGGAGAAGGCAAAGAGACCACACCGCAAGAATTTGTATCACTGTGAAATCTCAAAATATTTATTAGCCTTCTAGTAGGTATTTAAAGGACTACATTAGAAATTATAGCATAGGGAGATTGCTAATATTAATAGAAGTATTTAATAATCACCTAAGACCGAGTATAGCGGGCTTATAATAACTAAGGTGATGTGAGTCTATATAGGGTGTGTATTGTTATAGTAGTGAAGCTTGGTTAGCTACCTATCCGGTTGACGACGCGCAGTCCTTCTTTTGAGCTACGTCGTGCTGGAGTACTTCAATGTTCTAGCGCAGATACACGCGACATGGTACCGCGCTATCACTTATACAGAGCGTCGGCACGAACGGAAGCGTGAGGAAATAGCGATGATGAGAAACGTCTAGGAAGAAGCAGTTTATACTTAATTATAGCTATATCGGAACGTTACTCCTAGTATAAGGAGCTTAACCTGTCTCTCTTTTCGTTAACTATCACGAAGGCCTACACTACCAGGTTCCTCTAAGTTATAGCCTTTCGCTTTTCTCACTAATTAGCCAGGTATCGAATCCAGGGCCTAATACGATTATTTGCCGCTATTTGGACACTGAAATAAGTATCATCAACTGCTATACGAGAGGCCTTCGCCCATTGGTCGGTGGACACTCCTCTATCTCTCGTGTATTGCTAGACCGCACAAGTCAGGTTCATAGCAATGATCGCCCAAAGAGGCAGCGGTATCCTTTAATGTTGCATTGGCCCAGGCACACTGCTTGTGCTGGGTGCAGCGCTTGGGCCAACTGCATAGCCACAGCTGCAGCTTTCTGGGAGTTAGTCACATCATCATAGCCCAATCCAGCTACACAGCTATATTGCCCATGACCTATTACCGTGGAGATTAAAGAGCCGCACACCGAGAAGCTCAAGCAATATTCAGTGACTAGCGTAGTTTTCGTGTCGCAGCAGCTGTCTCCTGGGTCATTTGTTGCCCAAGGGCTATATTAGTGCTTTCTTGGCTATAACCACTAGTGACCGGACCGACCTTCCGGTGTCTTCAGCCAAGCCAATTAGCCCGTACTATCTGCTCCAATACAGTACGTACTCTGGGATCGTTGAATGTCTTCATGTACTTAAAGGCCCTTATGGCCCATTGCGCTCTTGGGGAGATTGGGGGCGAGTAGAGACGCATTCAATCAGTGCTTTATTTTGGTCCGAATCGCTCTGGAATGGACTCGAAACGGCTGCTACCTCCACTTAAATAGATGAGCCTCTTTATGAAGCACGGGTTCTAGTGATCCGGTTACCAGCACCCGTCCCGCAGAAGATGCTCCGTAATAGTCAGGTATATCTTTGCAGGAGGCTCTATTGCTGGGTTACCAAGCAGAAATCTGTGGTTGCTTAATCATCCATCATGCAAGGCTGAGTGTTATGCCTAAAAAGGAGCAGCTAAGCCAGCAGCATGACTGGGAAATCTGTTTAGAGGGCCGTTATTCGATATGGTGGCTATTACCATATACAGTGATTGTTCTGGCGCCAGTGCTTTGGCCAGAATACCTGGCGTAAGCCGAAAATCCAAGTATATACGTATTAGGCATCACTATAGCCGGCAAGAGGTTTAAGATACCTTGGGCTCATATATAAGCCTGGAGATGATCTAATGGCGGATGGTCTAACTAAGCCACTATCCAAGACGGGCTTTGAGCACTTCACCGAGATGCTGGGATTGAAGGAGCCCAGCGATCCAAACCACTCAAAAGATAATGGCAATGCGTTCCAAGGGTTTCTGCAAGGGCGCCTCGGCTTCGAAACCAGGTTGACTAGTCACGAAAGTATAGGAGCAGGAGGACACGGTGCTTGATTTCGCGTGTAATGGTTGTCTTGGGCCACCCCGTCAAAAGGCGAGTGAGCCCACTTTGGCAGAATTTGGTCATATTGGCAGTTATGCATGAGTTTCGACACGTTGGGGAGTCGCCTATGAAGTAGATGCCATAGCGAGGGCTACTCGGGATTAACAGCGCTAGAGTGAGATTATGCCGTGGAACAAGACGATGATAATCATGGGGTTGATGGACGAAATGAGAGGCAAATGGACTTCGTCATCCTCAAGATGATGAGCGGTAGAGAGATTGGGGACATCGTCACTACAGAATAAAATTATGCAGATTAGATCTGGTCCGTCACCAGACCTTCCTCCTCCACCAGAAACCAGTTTATTTGGAATATCTGCTCCTCACGACGGTTCTCCTCGAAGTAACGATTACTTGGAGATGCCTTGCCCAGGTGCAAAGCCGATACCAATTGCGCCTTTTGGGCCGTAGACAACATCAATGCACTCGCAGACATTGCAACCCGAACCACAGCCCGTAATTATGCGCCCTCGTCAGGCATTGCGTCACGAAAAGGTTGAAGCGGAGACACTCCCTCCCTTCGTTGCGGGTCCGTAAAGCGGCAGAGTTATGTCAGACAAGACGCAGGAAGGGCTTCCGCAGCAACTCGCATGTCTGGAGAAACCTTGCTCGTAAGTGATGCGTCAATTCATCTGCCTGGGGCTGCGGACTTTCGGAAATATACAGATACAAGTAGCGAGTCAAACTCGCCGAACATGTTGAGCATCCCGGCCAATTCCCGCTTGGTGCTTGGTGTCGAAAACTGGGACTGAACTTCTAGAATGTGGTTGATCAGATGGTGTAGCGCGATTTCCGCCGCGTAGCAGTACCAAGAGTGCTGTTGGGACTGGACTTCTACGTTGTCCGGCTCGGCGTGGGATAGCATGGATAGCGCGGGAAACAAGTAGGGGTAGGTTGTCGATGATAGCTAAGGCTCTAGTTCTCTATCGGGCCGAATCGTCAGCGCCTGCAGCTTCAAGGCTTGGGTGCGGAAGACATACAACTCAGACTTGTAGCAAGTATAATAGAGATTCTGCTCCAAAGTCAACATGCATGATTCGAGAACCACAAACTCCGTTGTGTAGTATTCCTTAAGTATGTATCTCTATTCAAACAGACACAAATAGACACACACATATACGAAAAAAAGAAAGAAACGAAGCAGACCAAATCACTTGGTGAAGGGAGGATGCACACCCCGACAAATTTGGTCGAATAATATGTATTTCCAGCCATGTGGAAATAGTTCCCGGCCTCAAGTGGCTGCAGTGATTAGTGAGTATCAAAGCTCACGGGAGAATGATTACCCACCCAGCAAGGCAAAGACAGTAGAGTGACTGACAACGCATTTGGCTCATTGCATAACTCCATTGCTTGGCAGCGACACCCTAGTAACTCCTCGCCAGACCATGGTTGGCCCCGAACGAAGACTTGTGACTGGATCTCCCGCGCTCTACACGAACCAGGCTATGGGGAGTCTCGGGGTGCAGAATGGGGGTTTTGGGATGAATTATCCTGGTGAAGCGAGCCGTCAATCTATCAAGCTCGGTAGCATCCATTGACGGCTACACAGGGGGTATTAGGTTAGCCCCGGGTACAGCCCACAGGTAGGTCTCGATGAAACGGGGAACGATTGGGGGAAGCATGACTAGAACAGTACACCTCCATCGAGTTACAACCGTTAGCGCAGTGACTTACGAGGACCCTGATCAATTGCGGATATAGCTATGTTTTGCTGAAGGTTACTTTTCTAGCACGTCCTTCTAGAATGCCGACTTCCGCGCAGAGACGGGCAATAATCAGCTCTCAGAGTAATCTGCATACATTAGTATCAAATCTCTTAAAATTAGACGTTGCAATGTCTTTGGGTCTATGTGAAACTATGGATATGATCTTAAATATTAATAGCATGGCACGTTGAAAGAAGACACTGCACTAACATCTGTAACCCCGGTGGAGGTGTATTAATGCCAGTACAGCCGTGGGATGGATTGCCGGCTTTGCTGCCGACATAACGCTAAGTAAGCCCCTACTCCCAGTTTTGGCTCCAACGGTGCAAACACGAGCATTGTCGCGTAACAGGTGGGTCAAGTTGTGGATGGGGTCGGGGAGTTGGGAACCGAAACCTCGGCATCTGAGGTATGAGGCTCAGCTCGTTGTCGTTCATGACGCGGTAAAGTGCGGCTGACCTACAGATTAGCCGATGCTACATCAGTACTATAATCGCAGTCTGCATTGCCTTTTGTGCAACATCCACATTTGGACTTCTGTTATCGCATTTCTGCTTTCTAGAGGACCGAAATCTCTGACACGCTACGGCCATGAGCGGTTGGTTGATCGCTGGGCTGGGTTTGCTGCAATCGGTCTGGTGCAACTTCAACCTGGCCTGCGGAGTCACCCTGGGGTTGTGGGAAACACAACCGCCTGGAGGAACCCATAGCGGTGTAATCTTGAGTGGGTAGGTACGGGCCCTGATGAAGTCACATGCATTCAGTCATCGTAGAGGCCCACGACTATTACTAGGCAAAACAAGGCCAGGCGAGTCAAGCATCTGGCGATCGAGTTCTGGGGTTTACCAATCCGACCGTCATTGGCTCTTGGCGCAAGTACCCCTGTCTCTTGGATGGATATCGGGGAATCTCTGCGACAAGTGGTATGGCTTTCCTGCTTGGCATGGTGAATAACTCATGACAAGTATCCACGCTTTGCCCCGCAGGCGTCCTAAAGCGCTCTCAATCCAGGTTTATACCCCAGAAAAGTCTTGCGCGTTTCGCAGGCATGGTGTTTACATTTCTCCAGGGATGGATAATATTAGCGGGCTACATGCACCAAAGTTGGTCCTGTTACGATGCTGTCCACGTAGTACCTGTTCTCTCTGTATCATCTCTATTGGAATGGTATCTAGGGTGTTAGCTTGAACATTTCGTATTGAGTATCATTCAGATGCGGAGGGCTGCGGAAAGCAGAGCGTGGTGAGGAAGAACTGGTGAATTAATAGTAAAAGAAAACGATGTAACCTACCACATATATTAATACGCGTAGGTACCGCTGATTAGTTGGTGGACTAGTGGTCCTGGTATTGAACTAACATGATTAATCCCTGAGGATGTGTAGACGAACGCCCCGTCGGCTCAAGTTCGGGCCTCCGATACCAGTGCGGGGAGGACTACTCCAGGCTGCATGACTCGTGTCACCCACCTTCCCCAGATCAATGTGCAGGTTGGGGTAATCCACCAGCTCAGGAGAAACTACTAGACCAGCGAGTATATAACCAACGACCAGGTAATTCGCTGATAGTTGACCGAGTATGTTGTCTGATTGAACCTCAGTAACTCGACTTTTCACAGGATTGTACAAATCCTGTCCCCACTTATTAATCTTTCAATATGGGCTTACTCAAACCAAAGAAGAAAGATGTTGAGTCCGAAGTACTTGGCGGATTATCGGCTGTGAGTTCTGACCCCAGCTTGAGATGTATGCAACGACTAAGAATATTGGAGGCACTGCCGACAACAGAAGAACCATGGTACCGGACGAAGCATTTGATCAGGCTCAATGCAATCATATTTATATTGCTGCTGTCTTCTGCTTCGGGGGGCTTTGATAGTGAGTGACCCTGACGACATGGTATGACATGCTGATCCTGACCACTGATTTCCAGGTGCGATGATGAACGGCCTCCAGACACTTGAGCAATGGCGAGAATATTTCGACAACCCCACGGGATCGATCCTCGGCGTTATGAGTGCCATGTACTCTGTGGGAAATGCCTTGGGCCTTCTCCCGGCGGCCTGGATTTCGGACAGATATGGCAGAAAGCTTTCACTGTACATAGGACTGGGTATATTGATTCTTGGAGCTGCAATCCAGGGTGCAGCTCAGAATATGGCCATGTTCACTATCGCGAGGTTGATACTTGGGACCGGCGTGGGCCTGGTCGGCACGCCGTCTCCTATGCTGATTACCGAGCTCGCTTACCCTACGCACCGTGCTAAAGTTACATCGATGTACAATACCTTCTATGTAAGCGTCTATCAAAGGATAGCTCTTTCCGGTAATGTCATAATGAATAACTAATGAAAGGCAGTATCTCGGAGCTATCTTGGCTGCATGGTCCACATACGGCACCTTTGTCATCCCCAACACTTGGAGCTGGAGGATCCCATCAATTGTCCAAGGAGCTTTGCCCTTGATTCAAATTGCATTAATCTTCCTGGTCCCGGAGTCACCTAGGTATGCATTAATTTGTTCACAAGTTGTTATGGCCAACCTGCTTACCTGCCTTTGCTAGATGGCTAGTCGCCCACGGCAAAGTCGAAGAAGCACGCCAAATATTCGTCAGACACCATGCCGGTGGCGATGAAGCATCAGCCCTGGTTGAGTACGAAATGTTCGAAATCGAAGCGAACATTCGACTCGAGGCGTCCGTCATGTCGCAGACGTCTTACATGGACCTCATCAAGACGGCGCCGAACCGAAGGCGAACGCTCATCGCCGTACTCGTCGGCTTCGGCGCCCAGTGGAACGGAGTGCAGGTCGTGTCGTACTACCTCAGCCTGGTGCTCAACACCATCGGCATCACCGACACGCCCTCGCAAGCCCTCATCAACGGCCTGCTGCAAGTCTTCAACTGGGCCGCAGCCATCTTCGCCGGCGCGCTGATGGTCGACCGCCTCGGACGGAGATCGCTGTTCCTGATCTCGACGGCCGGCATGACTGTGTCGTACGTGGTCTGGACCGCCCTCACCAGTGTATTCACCTCGAGCCTGAACCATCAGATCGGGAACGCCGTCGTGGCTTTTATTTTTATTTATTACCTCTTCTACGACATGTGCTACACGCCGCTCCTGGTCGCCTACCCGGCCGAGATCTTCCCGTATACGCTTCGCGGCAGGGGTTTGTCGGCGACATATGCAGCAACGTACAGTGGGTTGATCATCGGACAGTTCGTCAACCCGATTGCCATGGATGCGATAGGGTGGAAATACTACATTGTGTTCTGCGTGCTGAATGCCATGTGGTTCGTCTCGGCGTGGTTTTTGTTCCCTGAGACGAAGGGACGGACACTGGAGCAGATCGCTGAGGTGTTTGATGGTCAGCCGCACGCGATTGACAATATCATCGAGGAGAAGAAGCGGGAGAAAGACGAGACACATGTTGAGCATGTGCAGGACCTTTAGATGAAATAGAAACTTCAGGCCATCCACCCCTTGGACGAAGAAACTGTTAATTATATCCTAATATTTGCTCAAATGTGAACTCGACATGGGACTACTATGCGTCGTATCGTCTTTCCAAGCCATCACATTTGGTGTTGTAGAAGATGGCAGTGAGAGGTGTGAGTCTAACTTCAGGTCGATACTTACACAGGACGGGGGCCATATTCGACCATTTGGGACACGGATCTTCAAGTGGGAAACTACCTCCAGCGCGGTTCACAAAATACTGGTAAATGTACAAGCCAGACCTTCTTGATGCAATTTGTGAAGTCGTGTTCGCTGTTATCCGCCCTGGAAATCACCTTTAGTATACTCTTGAGAAGTAACCCGCATTTTCGACAGAAGATGGTCCATTTGGCCAAATATATCGCGCAATAAAAGCCACCATGCTTTACGGGAGTAAGCGGATGGAAATTTGGCAGTGATACAGAGGATCGCGAGGGTTGTCCAGAGGATTGTAGTATTTTCTCATTGTAGAAGTTATCCTGGGCACGATTTCCAACTTGTTCTGCATGATTGTGCTGACCAGAAGCACTTATAAGCAGAGCGAACTTTCTTAAAGGCAGGTAGGAATTCGACAAACCACATGCTTGGCTTGTTCCCGATTTGGCTTCTCTTTGAATTTTGCTAGCAAATCGTAAATGAGCTCTGAAGATTTCTACAGCCTTCGAGTTCGATATAAACCAAACTTTGATGTGTTTTGCCTGATACGCAGTGGGACGTCATGCCTGATTAATGAAGTCGAAGACACTGCACTCTTTACATTGAGCAAGGTATAAGCTGCGTTGATGGAGATTGATACGAAGGCCAAAAAAGGGTGTTTTTCTTTCTTTCTGATGGCTACTTCTGGCTTGATGCGGGGTTTTGTAGGCGTTCGGCCCTGCACTCAGCCGTACCTTCCCATCTGATGGCTCCCGTTCCTCTTCTATATTGGTGCATATGCAATAGAGCTGTATTGAGTGTATTTCCTTAGTGGAATTGTTTTGCTTATCGATGTCGGTCTCGCCTCGGAACAACTTCTTTGGAGTCAGTGGTTTACTGACTGCGAATTCGCAAAGATTCCTGATACGTGACCCCATGGGGTTACCCTATAGCTATAGATAAGATAGATAAGAGCTATAAAAGAGCTCTGCCAGGCCAGAATAGCTGACCTGGCATCCTTTCCCAATACAACAATTCACACCCCATATGCACTCGCATCAATTCCCCTTACAGTTGACGTGAGCTCTTCTCTTTACTGTCTACTTGATTGATGCAGACGGAATCTATCCAAATCTAGGACTTGTTGCACAGAAGCACGTTGCAGTTTGCCCGGTAGACTTGTCTTTAAACACTCAAGGCCAGGCGGAAGTCGCGGATGGCCTGTTTTAAGGAGCCAGCCACGGAGAGCACAGATTTTTTGGTGAATGATTGGACTACTACGCCTACCTTGGTCAAGAGAGATAGCAGTGCTCGTCCGATATAGGCTAACATCCAATTAGTCGTAGTACAAATCATGTGGCCACAGCATGCAAGGGCGATTTTCCACTTGTAGATGGACTGCAGTATAACAAGGTAGAATGATGCTCACGACCATGTACCAGTTGTTACACAGAGGATGTAAAGAGCAACTGTATTTATTAAACGGTTCCAACAACATCAGTCTCGAATGTGTTTGAGTTGAAGGAAACAACACGCTCAGCCCCTAGAGACGTAATGGTGTAGTAATGGGGTCTTCTTCTATCGACTATGGTATTGCAAATTTACTGTTTCGATCGAGAGAATGTGCGGGTAATGTGCTCAAGATTCATCAGTACGACTTACGCAAGTGCTTCTGTGGGAATTCGAACTCCACATCTGCCCCGATATACCGAATGTCACCTTGTGGGGCCAAAGCTGGGGTAACCCTCTCGTCCGGGCCGAGTCGCGGGGTGAAGCCCGGTTTCGCGGGGTAGATGCCCCATATTGCCCCGTGGAGTCCCGAGAGATGGAGAAATTTCCTGCTACAGAATATAGTTGTGTTGCATCATATGTGATACGACAAGCGAAAAGCAGTCACGTAGTTGTGCGATTCTGTAAAGCGGGCCAGTCTATCCGAGCTTTCCTATATTGACATAACTCGGTACCATATTTTAGCTAAATGCACCATTGGCTCTGCTGCCTTCAGCCTAGAGTCACCTTGTAGAGCGAAATAAGGGCAACCAAGGGTCTCTGGTTTGGGACGGGGCTATATAAAGAATAGCCCGCTTCCCTTTCTCTTCACTTATTTTAGCCACTCGGTCCCAACCTGCTTTTTTTTCAGCCTTTATCACGATTGCATTCTCGTTCCCAATGCAGTCATGATGTCGATACTGTCTAAAATATCCAGGGTCACCGGCTTAGCCGTGTTGGTACTGGCGCAAACATGCAGCGCTGCTTATAACAACACGACGGCAAATCGTGTCTATGTTCCTACCAAACCTCCTCAAGTGACCAACTCCACAGCTTTTGAATTGAAAGTTCGACCCGCCGGGTCTGAAAGTGTTTGGGAAACGGTTCCGTTGTACGGGGTTCAAACAGCCGAAATCAATGCCACGTCGGGGAGCAACATGAGACATGCATCCAATATTGCCTACTTCGACTTCGATGGGTCTGTGGAAATCACCATAACACCAAGTACTTCTGCGTTTTCAACCATCGATGCCGTCAGAATACGCCCTCTGTCCTACGGCATTGAGGCAACCGTCTCAGAAGGGATCATTACCTTCCGGCTTTCACAGCCGCAAAACAACGTCGTGGTCGAAGTCAACGGAGACATATTCAATGTTATCCATATCTGGACAAACACTCTTGAGAAGGATCCCATCACGGAGGCCCAGACCACCAACGACAGCAGCATAATATACTTCGGACCTGGGTACCACTCCCTCAATGAAGGCAAGGGAAACATCACCCTCCAGTCAGGTCAAACGCTCTACTTCGCCGCCGGCGCCGTGATAAACGCAGGGATCAACATTCAAAACGTCAGCGACGTCACCATCCGCGGCCGGGGATTCCTTTACAAGCCCCCCAACCAATCAATATTGATTGAGTATTCTCAAAACGTCGTTGTAGATGGTATTTCCGTGCTCAATCCCACATTCAACACCATCCTCACTGCCGTGTCGACCAATGTCCACATTTCCAACATCCGCACCATTAGCGCGGGAACCTGGGGCGATGGCCTTGATGTCTTCTGCTCCCAAAACGTGCTCATCGAGCGCGTCTTCCTGCGCACCTCAGACGACAGCATCGCCCTGTACCAGCACCGTTGGGGATACTACGGTAACTCATCCAATATCACCGTGCGGGATGCCTCGCTGTGGGCTGATGTGGCGCACCCGATCAACATCGGCACACATGGCAACGCAGACGAAGGAGAGACAGCTGAGGGTTTCGTGTTTGACAATATCGATATCCTCGACCACCGCGAGCCGCAGGTGGATTATCAGGGGTGCATTGCGTTCACGGTGGGAGATGAGAACCTGTACCACGATATGCTGTTTAGAAATATCCGGGTGGAAGATTTCCGGTGGGGCATGCTGCTGAGTTTGCGGGTGGTGTATAACACGAAGTACAACCTTGCGCCGGGTAGGGGTCTGAGGAACGTGACGTTTAGGAACCTCTCGTATAACGGAGGGGACATTGAGGGACACACGAAAAGCACGCCTATTATTGCAGGATACTCGCCGGAGAGGTTGGTGGAGTTCGTGGATTTCCAGAACTTGACTATCAATGGGTTGCATATCTGGGATGATATGAGGAAACCGACTTGGTATCAAACTTCAGACTTTGTGCCCATGGTTGTCACGTCACTGGCTCAGAATATCACATTTTCGTCTTGAAGAAACTATGGTTGGGTCGGGAATAATTCAGGGGTAGGTATTGAAGCAGACTCTTATGCTGCTGCTTCGTCATGTAATAGAAGTTCACTGCAGCTATGTCGTTTCCATATCTAAAGCCCCCAGAACGAAGAGAAATCTGGCTCCACGTATGTCTTGCTCGCTATGGGAGCCTATTTGGGACTCGTTTCCGCTCAGCTGGATCTATTATGGTGGACCATTCATCCTCGGAGGACATCCAATATGGTCTCCACAAGAAATCCATCAAGTGAGTCAGAGTATGAAGAACCTAGCAGAAGTTGCGACTGGAAGGGATGTGTTGTTGCGCGTGAAGTCTTGAATATCGTCACGGTACTAATAACGAGCACCTTCTACAAGTCCAATATGGGAGAAAGTTAGGGAGCAAAGGACCATTTTATACTTCTATCTAGTCCTGAATACGAAGGTAACCCGAAGCTGACTCTAGCTCGGCACCTCAGCTTCTGCTGACTCATACTAAATCATTTGACATGAACGTAGCAAATAACGCAATACCCAGCACCATCCAAAGCCAAATTCTCCCCGGTCCCACAAGCGACAGTTACTTCCTCGTGATGTAGGGCATGATCACCTGCACGGCCTTCTCCCGCATCGCCGAGATGTTCCAACTAGCGTGCGTGCAAGAACCTGGTTTGGGCATCTGGACCCCGGTATGCACGCTATCCCCCACCATGGCACCCACGCCGAAGCAGCAGATGGTGCCGCACAGGGCGTAAGTCGATATGGTGCCGGGGTCTTTGATTCGAAATCGGATACTTAGCACCCGAAGAGCCTCATCTTCGATTTAAACGACCTCACTGCCGTCATACCCGGCGCGTCGGCCTTCCTCTCCCAAGAGTCCCGCCTCGACTTGCTCTGGAATAATGCGCGGATCGGTCGCTCCCCCTTCTCCCTGGCAGTGTTAGTGTGCAAGGCTAGCATATGTCTTGATCTTTTCTCCTAACCAATCTACTTATTCCCGTACTTATCGAAACCCCCAAAGCTTCGTCAAAGGACGGTACCTACACCGTCGACTTGTTTCCGTAGCCGGCAGGCTGTCCCTTGCCGAGCCACAGCCGAGAAACTACAGCGCCCTCAAGGCCAACAACTGGATCCTAGCGTCTGGTTTCGCTAAACGGACCCGGAAAGATGATGTCATCTACGTGGCGCAGAACCTGGCATTTTGAGAACGAAAGGTTGGGAGAAGGTCAACTGGGTGACGAGGCAGGTTTTATCGCTTGTGCTACACGACCTTTCCAAGGGGACGTACACAGAACTCTGCGTAGGGCTCAGTCAGGATGCCAAGAAGGATGACGTCAGGGGAACTGCGGTGCCTTGGGAGAGGTATCCCAGTCCGAGAGCGGATGTGCTTGGAACCTTGATGAAGAGGGAGGGAGGAAGGTGAGATAGTACTGTGGGCGAGTTTGGGGACTGCTGTGAGGAGCGGACAAAGGGGCTCGGTTGGTTGACTGCGTTGATAGCTGATGGCCCCTACACGCATTCAATCACACTTCTGTCGGTTAAGGCAAACAAAGCCTTTGTAAATCATGATAAAACGAGTCAAAGTAGAGAGTATATTAATGAGTCAGATAGGACGGTCTGATTGCTACAGGTATGACAGCCCTGAGCGCCCTAGGCCTAAGACCCCTGTTACAAGTCTTCTCTTGTCTACTTGTCGTCTTACCACAAAGTCCATCGTGTTCCTCGTCATCCTCCTCCTCTTCATTATCTCACCGTCAGATGGATAATGCATGGCTATGTTCCATGGCTCCTCCGGAGACAAAGAGTTGATATATTCACTCCAACGTTTCTCCTCTTCGGTTACTAACCGCTTGTCCTATAGCGTATTCCGCTATTAGACATTAAAGAATTCTGGAATAACATCCTCGGCAAGGAGATCCACCCAGCTGGGCAGTGGCAGGTCTGTCTTGAAGAAGTTTTGGTATTCAAGCCGCAGGCCCAACCATTGGTCCCTAGTCAGTGTGAGATGCCTGTGAAAGTCAATTCCGGCGTCCCAAATCTGTGCGCCTAGAAGAGGGTACACTGAATGATAGCGGATATATTGTGCGTAGTGTCACTGATGGCTTGCAGGGATCCCTCGAAGACGTATGATCCATTTCCTGGGGGTTTTCTCGTAGAAAAGCAACCCCGCTTGGCCGCTACACATACCATCTCGCAGGCTGTCTGCCAGCAGTACCACGCTGAAATACGTTTGAAATATCTCGGAGGCTAGCCCTGGTGCCGGCCCTGCGTCCAGGGGGCGAGAAGGCTTGATCCGGCGTGCCAGCCACTTCGGGAGCTAGAGCCTCGTAGATCCAATCGGCGAGCCAGAGATGACAGGCCTTGGCTATTGTACTCATCCCGGTGTTTCAGCCAGGCCATTTCGGGTTCGTAACAAATGTCGGATCTATGGAATACCAAGCTCGGAATACCTTTCTCCACAAGTCAAGGCAGTGTACGATACGGAGGTGTAGGGTCTGTGCTCCCAGTGCCCGGGCATTGCTGGTTGGTGGATGTGCCGGTATAGATGCTCATCGATTCCTTGCGCCATCCACCATCTAGAACTCCTGGAGGTGGCGCAGGCTTTAGCGAAGGAAGGGAGCCCACGACTTGATCCACAACAGCTGTGTCAAAGCTGGGTTGTGGGCGGCGCTTCTCAGGCAGATACTCTAGCATTTGGTCAATGTGCAACTCTGCCCAGTAACGCAGGTGGTTGCAACATGCTGCCCTGACGCGTAATGGTATTGCATTGGAGAATAAGTCCCTCCATTTCCCCAGCAATTTGCTTGCATGCGCGTATCAGCGATAAGTCGATCCCTTGACGCCCATCAGCAGTAGCCAGCGTTCCTGACTCCCTGTTGAAGACATAGCCGCCATACAATTGGTCATAGAAATGGTAGATGGCGTCGCGAAGCTCGCGGGGAGCTTTGAAAACGGGAACATGCTGTAATCCTATTCCAAGGCGTCGACGTGGGGTCCTGGGGTTATTTCGCCAAGAAAAAAGAAAATACAAAGACCTCACAGAGGATTAGTCATAGCCGGCGAGGCCAATGAGGAAAGGTTCACAAGTAAGGCTCACAAGTAAGGCTCTGTCTGCTAAGGAACATCAAAAGCATCTCGACAGCGAGGTTCCAACTCACAACTAAACGCATGCATGCACAACGAGAGATTCCGAGACGGCGGAAATAAGTCGACCAGTAATGCAAGTCCACTATGCATTCATTGAGGGGGACAGTTTTCCGGCGGCTGGTGCGGGATAGAAAGTGAACTAGCAGTAATGCAGGCCGTCTTTGACAGCGCGTTTGAAGGCTAACTTAGTTAGTTGCCAGCAATAGTGGCTGGATTCGCTTGCATGGATTGAATTGAATCTGCAGAATGGAATGGACAGGGTCGATCGGTGATCAGCTTGCTAATTCCATCTGACAATGGCCAGATTGTCTAAGCTGCTCTCTCTCTCACGCCATCGCCCCGCCAAAGTGGTTCCTTGACCCCTCATTAGATTTACAGTTCACCTTATCATGTCTCTAGACGCCTGAAAAACCCGCCAGAGGCATGGCTGAAGTCTATTCGCCATTAGCCTACTACACTAGGCATGCCGACCGCCTAGTCTTGCAGATGGCTGGCTAGTAGATCTATCATACCACTCCCAGTCAAGAGAAAACACTCGCTCGATCGCACAGTCTTCGAAAGCCAGATTTGTGTGAGCAGCTGTAATCTTTGCGCTACTAGGCCGCCGCAAAGGCAACAGGGATCCCCAATTCGTCAGCCTCAAGCTGATCTGCTAATGTTGCACAAGCGCCATCTCCTACCAACTCCAAATACTGGTGGGGTCAACTGTGAATTGTTTGTGGGCCGGACCATCGAAGTAAACAACCTCAACTTATTCAATATCGGCGAGCGCAGTTTCTGCCATTCGCATCTAACGCAGCATCACTTGCGCACACTTGCTGACGCTGGTAACCATGTTCTCGAAGAACAGTTCAGAGTCATCGTCGGACAGCTCGAGGACTGTCCGGCGACCGCATAGGAAAGACCAAATAAACTCGACAACCCACCCCAGTATATTGGCGACTAAAGTCTGAGGCAACTTCTGCCCGTCGGTACGGGGAGATGCCCAACCTATGTACAAACTTGGTTATGGCTTTCCAAACGGCACCTCGGGAAGCAGAGGTTGGCCAAACCCGGATGCGGCAGCGACAACTTCCTTAAGCCGATGAACGACGAGTATCTTGTGAAGAGTAAAGCGATAGCGCGATATGACTTTGCGTTGTTCTAGGGCTTGCCTGACTTGTGGAAGACGTTAGTTCGCGAGTACGTACATCAAGTGGCGCGGGTGGTACGACATGACCAACCAGGCGACAACCCCCGTTTTTAGACGAGGGCGATGTTTGCAACCATCTTCAGGAGCTCGTTGCTGACGTTATCAAAACCACATAACTCCGGGCCGTCGAATTGCAGTTCGGGCGTGTAGATTATGTCGCGAGGCCTCGCGTGGTTTGGATTGCCGGGCCTATAGCAAGCGGCCGCCAGGGTTCTTTTGAGTGAGGTCGTTCCAGGTCATCCTGTCTAGCAAGTTCACGATGCGCACACGAGCTCAAGTCAGAGTACTTTACAGAATACCACGCTCCAACACGATTATTGTTTTGCCCACTCAGCCATTGGCCCTAATTTTAACCGTCTGCACTCACAATCGCATCATCATACGGAGTCGTGACTAAGCCCTCTATCAAAGTTGCAAAGCCCCATTAGGTCACATGCAACGATAGTGATCTGCTGCCTCGTTAGACCATCACTTCCCCAGCGTACGTCCCAGCTCCTCGCCTCGGTTGGTAGCAGCCTTAACAGCTCCATCCACGATGCCCTTAAAATTAGCAGCATCGAAACTCTTCAGCGCAGCATCCGTCGTGCCGTTGGGGCTGGTGACGTTCTTGCGTAACTGAGCAGGCTCGTCGGACGACTCGACCAGCATCTTGCCGGCACCAAAGCACGTCTGCTTGGCCAGGCGCGTGGCTTGCTCTTGCGGCATTCCCAAGCTCGTGGCACTCGAGATCAGATGCTCGACTATGGCGAAGAAGTAGGCGGGGCCAGATCCTAGATGCATCCGTCAGTATATTTGAGAATGAAAGGTCCTGACAGCATAATGCTGTGCTCACCCGACAGCCCGGTAACGACGTCTATCAGCTCCTCCTTATCGACCCACTCGGTCGCCTTGCTGACACTCGCCAACAGGGCCGTAACTAGTTCCTTCTCGGCGTCGCTGACATCACCGCCGGCGAATAAACCCGAGGCACCCTCGCCCACCAAGGCGGGCGTGTTGGGCATGACGCGCACAATATGGGGCGTGCGACCGTCAGCCAGCTTGGACCAATCGCGCAGGCTATCCAGCGTGATGCCCGCAGCGATGGAAACCACGAGGGGTAGAGAATCGCGCTGAGCCCAGGCGCCGGCCAGCTCCTGGCAAACCGTCTTCGCGACCTGCGGCTTGACGGCGAGGAGGACCAGGTCGGCATTTTGCGAGGCCTCGACGTTGGATGTCGTGGTGCGCACGCCCGTGGCGGCAATCTTGTCGCGGTTGACGTCCCACGGCTCGGAGACGGTGACGTGGTGTTTGTCAATGCCTTTGCTCACCAGGCCGCCGATGATGGCCGCCGCCATGTTGCCGCCCCCTGCGTCATGTTAGTGTGTGAGATGGGTGGATAAGTTGTCGCGTACCGATGAAGCATAGCAAGCTTGATTGCAGTGGAGATGCCATTTTTGCTATAATTTTAGAATTGTTTGCCAAAGCATCGTGTGAAGTCCAACTTTGGCATCGCAGTTTTGTCTTTGCCGACTTCGGCTCTCGGGCGGCTCAGCACGCTTAGCTTCAAATTTCTTGCAGCGTGCCAAGCAACAATTGGAAAATAAGCACGTAACTACAAAACTATGATTGGAATTGGTTTTTCAAACAATGCGGGGCCGGCGTTGCACTATACGACTTGTAAGCAGTGGCCAGCGTCACGCAAGCAGCAGCACGCCATGACTGGAGTGGGCTTCTGAGATGCGCTAGAATCTTGGAACTAATCTGCTTGCCTGCGGTAGCGCTTGGTTTTGAAGATAATGGGTACGGCGACGAAAGGGTGTTGCTATGTTGTATATGGCAGTTATTAAGCGACCCGTTTCCCATCCTCGCATTTTGTCCTCAACATCGAAACTCTGGGATGGCCAGCGTGAACTCAGCCAGTGCATGTGATCATCGAAGGCCCGCAGCCTTTGGCACATCAACGCGGATACCTTCTCCTCCAGAATCGGGTTTCATCGGGCATCTCTAGTTGCACTGGTGCTATGAGCTTGTCCAAAATCGGCCCAAGTGAGGGGGTCGGATATCAATCTGTTAAATGGGTGCAGCCCGGAGTGATGTTGATACCGGACTCCCCCGAAACCCGACCCGAGCTCGTATCCGACCTTCGCCAGCCGGCTTCGAACTGTGGCCCTCTCTTTAATGCCGGCAGAGAAACGTGACAATTCTTCTGCAGTGGCAACCATGGCATCTCCTCGTCTGTACATGATCAGTCTCCCAAGACGATCACTTCGTCTCTTTTTTTTTCCAATTCGGACTTCAAGACTTCACAGCCCGCTGTACTTTCCCCTCGATGGCCACTCGAGCTTCCAAGGCCCGAGTGGCCGCGCTATATCAAAGCCTCGAACCAGGAATCCTAAACGGAATTCGGAAGCCCAAGCAGGCCGCCGGCTACCAAGACTCGGACGCAGACATCGTGTGGGCCTTGCTTGAATTCAGGCAAGCTCTCCGAATAGTATGAAGCACGTCGCAGAATAAGGAGTTATGTTAGGTTTGGAAAGTTGTATGTATCGACTATATATCCCTTGGCACTATGCACACTTGGATGGTGGCGCCTTTTTATCCAATAGAATTTATCGTGGCCCAAAACGAGTGTGTAAGTCCAGAGCAGAAATACGCGTGAGTTAGGAGGCTTCCTCCAGCCTTGGCGAAACTCCTTATTCTTCCTTTTTATACTCGGGCAGCCCCTCCAGCAGCTCCAGAGTTTTATGGTCCATAATAGCCGCACAGTGACGTGCTGTCATAGTAAATATGATATCCTTGGGCTGCATCTGTGGCGCTGTGAGGGCCCACGCAAATCCATGAAAGCAATTCTTCCGATACTCATCCCAAACATCAGCCCTCTCCAGTTTCGGTCCACCCAACTCAGCCAGCGTCTTCAAGTAATGGTCCACAATGCTCCCTTCATGCTCCCGCCTATCCTCGGCAGACAGCGTTCCCGTAACAAAATACGCCACGTCGTGGAACGCCGAGTTGACATGACACCCCTGCCAGTCGATAAACCCGGTTTTTCCCTCCGCCGTCAAGAACGTATTCCCAATATGCGCATCCCCATGCGCCACAACCATAAAACTCGTATCCGCACTCCGCCAGAGCGTCTTGAACGCCGCCATGATGCGCAGGCGATCCGCCATCTCCTTGGGAACGGGCGGCGCCTCTCCCTCGGCGAACCGGACGGACCACGCTACGGGGCTGAGCAGAGCAAGGACCATGCCCAGCAGGGGGTTCTCCTCCAATGACTTTCCGTTCGCCACCCAGGGGAAGGCCTTGGGGGACGCACCCCAGGTCTTGGCGTGCAGCGCGGCAAGCTGCTCGACGCCCGCGTAGACTTGAGCCGGGGGCAAGGTTTCGAGGGCGTTGGGAAAGGTGCAGCCACTGCCTTCGAGATCCTCCATGGCGACGATGCCTTGGCCCGTTACAGTGTCGGACCCGCAGTACCATGCCTTGGGAAGGCGCATTTTCACCGTGGGAGCGATGTGGTAGTAGAACTCAGCTTCACGGCGGTAGGTGGCGTTGATGGCCGGGTGGATGGCCACCAGCTGAGGGTTGAAGCCTCCTTTGAAGCACAGCCGTTTGGGCAGGGGATTGTTGGGCGAGTCGTCAACCAGCTCTACGATGATCTTGCTTGCCGTTCCGTGCATTTCCCTGACGATGGAGACATTTTTTATATTGCGGTTAAATATCTTTGAACACCAGCTTGCCGTGATCTGATCAGCCGTGACCGGGAGTGCCTCCGGCGAGTTCAGACCATCTATAACCCCAGTCGCCATGGCTGAGGGAGTGGTGTCGGAATTATTCGAGTAGAGTAGACGGCTTTAGTGTTGTTGACTGGCAACGGTTGTTTGGCCAGGTTCCTTTGGAAAACACTTGAAAAGAGGAGAGGGGAAGAACGAGCTCTGGCGGAAATTCGACGAGTGGGACTATATTTACTCCATGGTCTACGTAGAATATGGCCTAGTACGCCGGCTTCGGGTCCCGGGCGGTCAATCAGCCTCGCCATCATCGTGATCCCCTGGCAATCTATACTCTTTGCTGCCCGATGCAGCACCAATACTTATCTAAGTGCGCGTACTTTGGGACCACCTGGAGATGATTCCTCCTCCATCATGCATCACGTGGGTCCTCAAGTCGGCGCATGTTGTCCACCATTCCTCCACATGCCGACTGTCTATCTATTCAATATTTCCCTGGCCAGAAGCTCGCTGTCAGTGCGAGTCGTGCAGTTCTGATAAGGTATCGTGCGATCATTATGATTCGATAGGCCCATGCTACATCCGGCAAATAGGGCCCGTTTCCGTGATGGGGCTCATTTGCCCAACCCTGCCGTAATAATCCCCGGATTTATCCAAGCCCTAAGTTGCCAATATTAGACGCTAACCATGAAGTAGAGAACACTTGTCTTAAGAGCCTCAACTAGACATAAAAATCTCTCTGAGGACTCTTTCTGAGCTGCGTTTGTAATTTTTTTAATCCAGCCCACCCCACCCTGTCAGGCGGCGCTGTGGCCCACTGGCAAGTCGTCGTCAAGTCGTCTGTGATGATTGCGGCAGAGTTCGAACCTAACGAAGTACCCTGTTAGCATGCCAAGGCCCTTGCAAGGTTGTAAACATGCAGGGGTGAAAACACGTAAGCCAGGAGGGAGTAGACATGCTCCACTGTACTCGACCTGTCACCTGAGAGGCGCCCGAGTATTATTTGACACTAAGCTGTCTCAAGTTCAAGTCAAAATTCTCGTTTATTCTCATTGATATTTGTTACATGAAATAGACGAAGCTCGAATAACATCGCTATAGCCTAACCTATCCTTAGCATCCCGGCCGACTTCGTTCTCACACATTTGGCACTGCTAACAGTCAACAAGCTCAATAAGCCGCGCAATGACAACAAAACAACGTTGGCTCAATTTTAACAGCGGGGTCGGTCTAAGCTGATCCATCCAAAATCGCAAACGGCCCGCTTTGGAGACAAGGCAGTAGTAGTACGATGCTGGCCCCTATTGTCTGCATGGTATACGTTACAGGCACGGCAACGAGCCCGATGTCACATTGACACAAGCCTCAGCCGCCGTAAGGTTTTCTTTGGGCTCAGCCTTGGCATCGCTTGCAACCGCCTGGCGCGGTTAAGCCTATTTATCAAGGCGCATTTCTTACAACTCGCCACGTAGCGCGAAGCGTTTGGCGCCGCAATGCCATACAAGCTATCAAAAGAAGGTAACATAGGGCGTGGACTACGTATGTGGACAGGCAATGAGACGAACAGCAGCTACCAGCTGCATAGCTTGAAGCAGAAATTAACATTACAATGATCAAAATAAACCCATTGCGAGCGAGTAGCCACCGTCAATCGCGCAGGCCTAGGCGGCCAGAAGCTGGCAGCACTGAAAGTATCCTAGTTTTCAACGAAGCATTTGGGTGTCTTACACAAGCTGTAACAAGCATTGAGCTCGACTTCCAAGTGTTTGCACATGCGTTATAGGAAATCTGCGGGAAATGTTGCGTATGTGTCTGTGTCTCTCCAGTGTTCTGCCTTACTTGCGGTATTCTAAAGTTGTTTACCCCTGAATCGATGATGATTTGTTAAGTCCTGACAGTTGCCCCTTTCGTCGTACCTGCCACCAATGTGGTTCCGTAGTTTGCAGTGATTGGCGATCCACCAGAAATAAGCGAGGCATACACCGCGTCGAGAAACCCGCTATTAGCCCAAAGCTGGGACATATCCCATATCATGATACCACCAAAGCTCGAGAACTGCTTGCAGTATGCGATGATTAGTGCAAGTGCGCTGGCAGTTTGGTAGCCCGCTCCGGCTCCGGTATTGGCGGGGATGCCAAGCAGCACCTTGACATTCTCATTCTTGCTCGTCTGTTTGGCCCAAGTGTCCCAAGTTTGAAAGTTGAAGTTGTTCTGTGTGCCGGCCCCGGGGACGAAGGCTTGTACGCCACAGTAATTGTTGTAGAACTGTACCATGATGAAGTCGAACGAGATGGCGCCGTTGAGCATGTCGTTGTTGGCGAGATCCGGGTATGGACACTGGGGCGCCGCGGAAAGGTAATACGTCTTGCTGGTGCTGGCGTTCATGAGATCGCGCAGTTTTTGCGCAAAGGGGACCATGTTCTGAGTAATGGACTCGAAGTCAAAGTCAAAGCCGTCGATGACGGCGGTCCTAAAGGGACGGTTGGCGTATGCTGTGTTTGGACCGAATAGGTTCCAGATATTGGTGGCTGCTGCTTGGGCTGACGCGGCGTCGGTGAAGCCTCCTTCGGTGTAAGTGGCACCACCAATACTAACAAGAATTGTTTTCCCGTACGTGGCTTGGCAGGTTTTTATATCCTCTCTGACTTGGCCAGTAAGCCTGTGCGGCAGAATGCCTTTGAAGCTTACTCTATCTGAGGACAATTGAGAAGTTGAGTCCCAGTAAAGACAGTGCAATTGTCTCCAGCGTTGGCAAAGTTTGTGATCGGATTGTTCACTCCGTTGAGAAATGCCAATGGGATAATCTGAACAGTAGGGTGAGTTAGTACACTTCTCAAGTCGTGCGAAAGGAAGTAAGAGGACTTACATCGACCTGGCCATCTGTATCGGAGCTTAGTAAACTATTCCATGGTTATAGTTTTCATCGTACTTACTTGAACAGTATGTACTCAGCCTCTGCTGCGAACTAGCTTGGCCATATGAGTTTTGACCTGAGCAGTGTTAATGACTTTGCGCTGGGCGCAGTGGTAATGTTCAAAATCAACTGACCCCAATACACGGCAATGTTGCTCTGCGAAGCAACATTGAAACCAGCCAGCGCAGCCGGTAATGCAGAGATTATGGTAGCTGACGCGTATAAAATCTTGGAGAAGGCCATATTTGGTAAGTAAAATTTTCTATGGTAACAGTCAAAATGGTATGGGGTCTAGAAAGTTGGAAAACTTCCAAATCCGTTGCTGTCTATATAATAATTTTCGTATGCCACAACTTCAGTAGAGACTCGATCTGAGCTCAACGTTACTTTAAGGCCTACTTTTAATGTTTGACATGCCATCATATGACTAGAATCGCTTCAAGAGACTACCATACAGGAGTGCAACCGTGGTGGTCCCATTGTGTCAACCTGCCTCAAGCATGGTTCGAAGGAGCTAAGGAGTGCTGAAGAGCATGCTGAGCGCCGATATACTCAGGCATTTTGGATGGGTGGGTTGTTTTTCGGGTGACTAGAATGTTTCGTTTCATCCACTCCTGTCCATGGCATGTGGCTGTGACTTGATAAGTTGAATGCACGGATGACAAGGGTACTGCAAGAGAGTGTCAATCTCAGATGGCAACGTGAAAAACGGACCTTCGTATGCTGGACGGTGAAATAACAGAGGACTAGTGGCACAGTCCACTGGCGGAGCCCTAGTTACTCCGTAACAATGTACACTAGTTAGATAGGTAACATTCTACCGTTACACCTGACGGAGGTTAACTTAGCTCAATCAACATCACAATCCTCCATGATGAAATGAAATCGTAGTTTTTGTGAAATCCTTATAAGCGCCAACTTGTGAATTTTGTAGCATTATGGCTCAGTATGGCTCAGTATGGCTCACTATCATCCAACGATCTCCCGCGTTAGATCATTGATTTCGGAGTAAGTTGACCAGGAAGGGAATTCAGTACCCACCCCTCTATGCTGTTCTGCGATAGTCCCTTGCATAATCCAGCTTCCTGTTTTGGATCTAACGCCAATCACAACCAATCAGCTATTCTTTATGCCTGTGCAGAATGCAACCACTTTGAAATGGGCAACGCGACGCGACGCATGATCAGAACCTGCTCAGGTCAGTCTTGCAAGATGAAGTCTAGTTTCGGTGCTTCACTGCGACCGACCTGATGTTGTCGATCACACCAGGAAACTTTAGCCTCCAGATTGCGACCCTATCCTTCACAGCTTGGGCTTACTCACACATTGGCATGGACCAGTTAATTTGAACATTCGAATTATGGGTGTAACGTTACCATTCCAAAACTATATTTCGGCATTTATACGACAGTTTCTCGCCGTGCACTTGCCATCAGAGTGACGGTCTTGAGATAATGGCCAGATTAACGGATGGATCATGCACAAGCCAGATGACATGATATCTGCGGCCACGTTGCACTACAAAAGAATAAGGCATAGATAATGTTGGGTCACCGAGCACCCGCAATCTAGGTCCTCAAGGTCAAGACCATGATTCTGGTGATTGATAAGCCAGTTATATAAACAATCGAGGCTTTAGACAACTCCAACTAAGAATCTTTGCTTCTCGAACGCTCAATTATTTGACTTCAATATCTTCGTGATGTAAAGGTTTCGAGTCAAGCTTCAGGGGTTTAAAAGTATAAATGAAGAGAGATAATAAGCCATGTCGTGTTATAAAGGTGGAATTCTTCTTATTAAAATCATGGTCAAAAAGACTGGCGCACGCTCGCACTTCGGAGACCCCAATATTCAACACCATAGTTGCCAACTCAATCATGCACAAATTCCTTGGCCAAATTCAATAATAATAGGTGCATCTTGATGCTATATTTCTCCTTACTAACAAATTATGTACTAAAAACGTATACGACGTATCTCAACGTCGTGCGACTACGCTCTACTATCACCCGTACGTACCTTGGTCAGATACGCCTCCCTGCCATTCTGAAAACGGCGATATCTAGTTCGTTGACCTGCGACTTTAGTACTTAGCTCAATTGGTCGTAGGGACTTCAAGCACCTAAGATTCTACGTTTTCAAGGCGGTCTTAATAGTATCACTGTATAGCATATAACCGATCTGCGGACTTCTTTCAGGAGCGCTACCCACCTATTTCTAGTGTTTTTCTCACTATTCTGCCGTATAGCAGGGGCTTTATTGTGACCTCTCCGTTATCTTAAGCCGAAGGATTGAGCATATTGTGCGCGCTTGGTATTGTGTGTAACCATCAACAGCGAGCATTCGAATCGGCTGTCAACCCGACGTATACCTAAGCCGCCTGCAAGCCAGACCACTATATTATCACGTACTGGTATAGATTATTACTCCTGGTATCTCTGATGGCTGATGATTGGTATTCACGCAAGATATGTTCTAGTAGTGTTGTAGGTGGGTGAGAAATTGAGTCGGACGCCAGCGCGTTGTGAAATGGGGCGAGCGTGCGCCAGACCATTTGACTGTGATTTTATTCAAGTTTTCTAGGCTGCTCTCCCTTGATATTTGTACTAACGTTTATTTGACCCTTGAAGCAATTTTTCCCGAGATTATATTACAGAAGAATATTTGAAATGATCGAAAGGGGCCACTACTATCTTCAGGTTCAAAACTTCCACTACCGCAATAATCGCCCTAAGGAGCACACAGAAAATCCAAGCGAATGACGTAGATGCGCGACTAAACCGTGCTGTTTATCGTGTAGCTGCTCAGATCCTCATCTAGAATGAGGGCTGGAGACAGACAGGATGCCTGGCGCTGATTGAACTCAGAATGTGTCTCGTAACATGCCACTGCTTTTTCCCGTTGGGTGGAGAGCTAATAGTTAAGGGCACCTACCGGTCTCTATTCCAATCGCTTCCATGGACTTTATAGTGGTCGCGATAGTCCAGTTAGGGGTGAAATATCCAGAGGGATCACCGTCCCAAGCGGCGACGACAGCTGCTACGGATACCAGCCCTGTCAGAAAATGAAGAACTCAGGCTCTGATGGGCATAATAGCGGGTAGAGCGTATGCGACGATGGTGAAAAGTGACATTTCGAAATAGTGAAGACTCTGGCCTTCTACAGTCTCTACGGATGGCGAGACTTTGCAAACCTGCTCCTTGAGGACTTCAGCGTTGGATTCATAATCAAAGAACAGTCGCTTGTTGGGTTGAGGCCCCAGCTTATAGACTTCGAGAACAAAGGAGACAGAGGAGTATTTGTTGGTCATCATCTGGTGTGATAACTCGAGGATATCGCGTATATAGATACGCTATGTAGGACTGTAGAGATGATTAAACGATTCCATCTCGGAGCATCCTTTTCATTCATATGTTAAGCATATATGGCATACAGCTTATATACAAGGGGCTCACTACCAATGTTGAGTTCTAAATCTGGATTTGTGCATTGCTTGAAGGCGTGAAACATCCCGATTCCAAACATCAGATCTGAGCTAAGATGGTGAGTAAAGAAGTCAAATCAAAATCTGAAAACCTCAAAATTGGCTTGCACATTGGGAACAAAATAGTTACAGAAATGAAAATGCTCGAGCTTCACGCACGATGGACCAACGAAGATCATCCCCACAATCCTAAGGATAGCAGATAAATCACAGCCGATATGTTGAATATGGTGAATATCTTTATCCTAATATGAGAGATTCCAGCGTCTAGGAAGCATAATACGAGTGGACCGCATTACCCATCCGATGTTAACGCCAAGAAATGGCAGTCCAATCCTGCAGGACCCTTGGATTACGACTGGTTCACCTTCGAGACCAAGGCCCAAGTGTACATGGGCTTAGATCAGCTGGAAACTTAGCTGATGCGTGCACCTAGGGGGGAGGATGCTATAATGCAGCAGTGCGCAACGTTATAGTATCTAATTGAATGGGATTCACCTAACCAGTAGGTCCCCCTACCTTTTCGTATCAAACGCAATCGGTGGAAATTTGCATATCCATCTAAACTGCGGACTCGGTGATAATAGACCCTTGACGCACGTCCACATTGGAAATCCATCAAGTTTCGCACTCTAATCATCGGTATTTCTGTTTTTTGTTTTCTATAGAATTATGATCTGCTTTCTGCATTTTGATTTCTGTTTTCTGTTTCGGAAAGATCAAGTACGGAGTTGCCTTCTAGGTTCCCAACTTCCTTGATTTCTTTTTATAGGGTCATTTTACCTAAGGGTGTTGATCCCAGTTCTGAGTGATTCATGGATTTGGGTAGGCTATCGGGTAGAACTTTCAGTTAATCAATATTCTAATTTGTGTAGATTTCCAACAATTTAATCGAGTTCACCTAGTATAGCAGTGGTTAAATATGAAAGCAAAGCAGCTAGGTCTTTGATGCGAGTGCATATGGGGTGTGAATTCTTGTATTGGAAGGATGGCCAGGTCAGCTATTCTGACCTGGCAGAGCTCTTTTATAGCTCTTATCTTATCTTATCTATCTTATCTATCGCTGTAGGGTAACCCCCCATGGGGTCACGTAAGTCTTCGACATAGAGCTAAACCAAGAGAAGCCTTGTGTTTTCTAATATTAGTAACAAGGATTACTCCCAAACTCCTAGCTAAATAATGAAAGCACTCCAGTGTTCATTCCATGGCTGAGGTTTCACCCATTGAGGTTACTACTGGGCCGTTACAACCCAATAATGTGGTTCAGGTGTAACAGATTTCTTGGTATCTTTTGGGGACATCAAGAAATTAGACTATAATTATCGACAAACAATGAAGTGATAGAGCCGAGTGTTTGGTGACAAGCCAATTTTTGATGTTTAGTTGTCATTGGCTGGAAATCAAGTCCCATACCCAATATGGAAAATGTTTAGTGGAGCATGCCAATATGTTGTATTATCGGATGAGAGGTCTATCGATACTCAACGTGTGCTATAGAGGCAGAACCATTGAATGTTCAAGCCGTGTATCACTGGATCGGGTCTTGCAGCTTGGGCTGAAACGATCCGTGTGCTCATGGCGTCTATGATAGCTGACCTCATCACGTAACTTCCAACAATATCACAGTCCCATGAGGCCTAAGAAGAATGGTGGCGATTATTTCCTTTGACCCTATGGCCCTATCCCTGGTTTCTTCCCTTAACTCAGCCGCACTCACCGCACCCACGTTAAAAAACGATGTCCTTGATAAACAAGACACAATTCGTCTGAGAGACGATTGTGTGTCGTCTTTCACAGAGAACGGCCGAGATCTGCAGTAACGCCGGGCATATTAGTGTCTAGAACTTTACGATGCCCAAGACGACACTTACCAGTCCCCGAACTGTCGGCAAGTTCAACCACAAGTTCTGCTCTTCCGGCTCAAGTAACGGCCGTTCTCTGAACGATCGACAGGATTAAAGTACTGAAGACGTGACGGTCGATGATTTTGCTGCATTATGTGGCAATTACAAATTTTAGGTGTTGAGTTTGGCGAAAAGGGCTTCTGTGACAACACATCTACGGGAACGCAAAAGCCGGCAGGTGACTGCATTTACATCAGCAAGGGCAATGCTACCCTATCGTGCGGTTGAAATCATTTTCTACGAATTCCCTTAGTTTAATTTTCAGATTTGAAGGCAGCGAGGATAGTGTTTGGGACACCTCAACTGCTTTGGTGTGCATAGTGGTTATTGCACGGGGCTTGGATAGGACGCTAATATGAACTGCGAAACATTGCTATAAAGTATACCAAGGCAAAATTTCTGGACAATATGACCATGAGCTTCGTAACAGACCCAACCTGCCTTGCAGTTTTTTTTATATTCGTCGTACCTGGCGTTCCCTTATCGTCTCGCCAGCTCCACCTCCATATTCTGCCACTGCTTCTGGCCCAGCACCGCTAACACCCAGTAATTTCCCTCAGCATCCTTTCCCATGATATTAATCACATTCTTCATGCCCAACGGCTGATCATTCAGCATATTCCAATAGAAGTACGCAGGCTTCCCCAACCCATTGACCCTTGTTTCGTCCGGCTGACCCTGTTTCAGAACAGCCGGACCGAAATCTAATGCTTCAAAGAATTTGGCCTTGGTCCAGTTGGAGCACATGACAAGCACACTATTCGCGGAGCCTACCAGTATAATGGTATTGAACTTCTCCTTGGCTACTCTCGTGAGACGTGCCTCAGCCTCGAGTTGGTCCTCCTTAACTTGCTCGACGATGAGCTTGCGGATGTGCAGGGCCAGGGATCCTACGGTGCCTTGAACAACTTTCTTGAGTTTTTCGACGGTATAAATCATGAATATGGCGTTCTGGACATATGATTTCTCTGGTGAGAACACGTTCGGGAGACGGGTGCGTAAGTCCAGTGCATTCCCGATGATAACATCTCTGTGCGCACCCAACGGCTCGTCCAGACAGACAGTCCGCGTTATCCAGGCAAGAAGTATATCTCCTTCACTGAGGAACATCTTGTTGCCCTTTTCATCCACGTCCGGTACTTGGTTCAATCCTTCGGTTCGCAGCTTCTGAACCATTCTTGCGGGAATGAAGATGGCTTTGGTCTCAGGTTTCGCTTTTCCGAGGTTCGAGATGATCCAGCGGAGTCCGAAGAAGATCATGCTAAACATTCCCATGACGATGGATTCAAAAAGCCATGGCTTGGGCGGCTGGACGAGACCAAAGTCGGCCATAGCGTCCTTGTAGCCTGCGAGAGGTTTAACTTGGCTTTCTTTTCCACCTAGGACCAGAGACCAGGCTTCGTAAAGCGCTTGCATTCCGCAAGCATCCATAAGGCTGTGGGACCAGGTGTAAGTCACCAGAGTAGCGTCGCCGAAAGACACAGTATGAAGATGCAGTTGAGGTCTGTCCGAATACAAGAAATCGTCGATACTCCTCGGGGAACCATCGTATTGGTTGAGCCCTTTAAGTTCCTCGGGCCCACACTGAATTGAGGGCTTGTCGGCCAGGGTGGGGTGATTGGGCATTTTAGAGGCAACTGGGTGATCCTCGATAGATGTATCGAAGGACACTTTTGAGAAACCAACAGCCGGTCTCTTGGATGTGAACTCTCTTGGTACGTGGATTTCGTAATGCCCGGCGCTCTGCCTGAGTGTCAGCTTCTGCACCTTATCCTAGGTAGGAGGTAGCAGGCCATGGCTTACGTTCTTGCGGAGGCGACCTCCAAGCTTTCTCCACTCTCCCATCGTGCAGAGGTGGGATAGGGTAGAGTGTAGCTTGTCGACATCTAGCACGTCGTTGAACCTTATCGTCTTGCTCATGATGATCCATCGCCAATACTCGTCAAAGTAGAACATAGGAATGACCTCATCGGTGTCTATCCGTGGAGGTTGCACCCTCTTGGGGGCTGTCAGGTTTTTGAGCATATTGCTAGAAATATGTTCCAACATGGTTGCAAATCATGAAATCTCGTAGAGGATGATAGACGTCAATAGAGCAAGAAAGGCCTCAGTCCTGACCCAGTCTGGAGTGTGATGTGCTTTTTAACACAATTTGGAGATATCAACTGTCGGATTATAATGACGGACACAGATTTGAAATACACGAAACAGTCATGGAATTTATAGCGGTAATCGAGAAAGCAAAAGAAACCTTCAGATTAGACGTGATATATGGGTCGCAGCTGGAACCCCTGCTCCAAGCATTGCCAAATTGCCATTTGGCTGACTCAAACCGTACGAAACACGATGATTCATGTCAGTAGCCTACAGGCGCGGTGGGGAGGATCTCGTTTTCGTGTCTTTGCTTGCTCGCAGTGATTGGTATCGGCTTCGGGATTAAGCCTCAGGAAACCGATTACGAAGAGAACCCGCCAGTATTCCAGCGACATCTCCAACCTTTGAATACACTATTCTGGTGGAGACTCTCGCATCTAAAGAAGGTTGGCCCAATGACCTTGGGCTTTGAGTAACGGGTGGTGCTTCAGCCGCTGCAACTTGTAACCTAAACTCTGACTCGTTGCAAACATGCAGCATCGTGCAAATATCAGACGAAGAAACCAGCGAGTACGTGAAAATACCTCAGTTGGGATGCGTCAAGGACGTAAATCGATTATAGTTGTTCCTACTATGCCTATCATGCGATGGCTACTTCGGGTTTCTATATTTCTAAGTTTACCAGAAAGCCTAATCCCAACCCTGCCATCTTCGCAGGAGCCAAGGGAGTGCATAATGCGAAAGAAAATAAAAAGATATGGTGAATACCATCATTTCTAAAAACATCAGCTCAAGGTTGATGCCTAGAAACCAGCCCTTCCCGATATTCACCATGTGTAATGACTTGACGGCCAGATATGAACGAAAACCTCGATTGTGATATGGTGAGAGATGAATATCTCGCCTATGTCGATAATACCACCGCTGTATAGCATTTTTATGCCATAGAACGTGCCTTTTTTAACATGCTCGGGTCTATGAGCTTGGACATGTCTTGACGTAGTACAGGTCATCCACTTGGTCCGAAAGTCCTCGCCACCAGCAACCTCAAAGACTTTCAGGTTATACCTCTGGTTTGGCGATTTCAGATGAAGTTAGGTACATATCTGTAGGTTGATACATAAGCGTTGAATCCTGTAATGGTGGCCATAGTTCTCTCATTTCTAGACTAATACTTGTATCAAAATGGTGCTCGAGGCAGTATGCCGCACCGAATGCCAGATTGAGGTTGTGCAGCTTTGCGTCCTCACGTAACAACTGAGATTCAGGCAATGACGCATGACCGGCTTGTAATATGCGTGCGCAGGCTTCTACGTTGGAGATCAAGTCAAAAGCGCTCGCATTGTTACTGCGCACCGACACGATTGCCTGGAAACTGTCAGCCTGCTCCATTCGATATGCCGACGGTGGCATGCAACAACTTGCTAGAGTTATGAGAGCCTACAAGTGTATGGTCCATCTGATTAGAGAAAGTATCTGTCGGGGGCATTTCCGTCTGCAGAATACGTACCTGCAGTTTCAGCAACGAGTTATGGCCAAGTAGGAAAAGTGTGATCCGTGTACATGCCTCAGCGAATACTTGCCGCGACGAGCTTAGATCCATGTGAGTAGCAGCAGTCGCAGTCTCTAAAATATGGTGTCCTGTAGCGATGACGCCGAGTACTAGAGCGACAGATAATGACTCTGTAGGCGGACCCACTAAGACCTCATCAGCAAGGCTATTAACATTCGACTCGTGAAGAAAATCGCCTAGGCTAGTGTATATATCGAAAGCAGATACGGGTAATAGTATTAGTGTCAGCGCCGCTGGTCAATGATATCCACAAGAAATCAAACATGACCTTCGGTCCAGCGGTTCTTACCTCGAATGCCTGCATTCCTCCACTCTTTGTTCAGAACCAGCTTCCAGACCTCCTGTTGTCGGATTGCACAGCACGAAGCTGAATTTAGCATAACGGGTTCGGCACGCGCAGAAGAATACAACTGCGTAATGGCTGCTTCCATGGTGCGCTGTTCCTCTTCCGATAAATATCGTTGTCGCATGAGGCTGTATAGTTGAGAAAGATGAGCCCAAGGATCGCCTTCATAGCTCTCGCCATCGTGTAGCGGAACCCTCAACCGGACCATGGAAGTTCAAGAGGGATACACTTCAAAACCAGGGGCGAAACTGTCTGACTCAAACTGTGCCTTTGCTGCGTCCCTTGGCATGTCTGCACATCCGGAGTCCATGGCTACAGCTGCGTGCCAATCGAGATGGATAGGACTCAACTTCTAGAGCATTTTTTAGGATACTCTGGTAGCTGCTGAGCCCGTTCGGCCGATGGCAATGTGCACTTACATTCGGTGACCAATTTTCTTGGCCCTCAGGTTGCGTCGAGAGGTCTCCCAGGATATGAACCCCCAACTCGTCCGTCTGAGTAGGACTGGAAAACAAGTATCGGTGGAAATCATAGTTTGAGTTTGGCGAGCCAGTAGTAAGTGATGGTACTTCGTTGTTCTCTTCCGTTCCTGTCACTCCAGGGTTGGTGGTGATGGATGCGGATAGAGAATTTTTACCGCGCCGGCGAGCAGGATTGGTATATCGACACGTACGGTTGTATCTCTATCGTACAAGACAGTCAACCCATCGGCACGAGTTTGTCAATGTTCTAAGTATGATACGAGCCTCGCAATATTCGCATGGTGTTTTGCCATCACCTTTTCATGCGTCAGTATAGAAGCATATGTAAATATGTTGAGTATTTCTGTCATTGCTTGATGGGAACAGTTATACTCGCATCGTACTTTGGATTGTTTGCAGTCCTCACAGGCGCCCCGCCCGACTTCTGTGGCAATTCACCGGCCGAGGCCATGGCGGCCCGTTGCTTGTTTGAGGCCAATAATTTCGCCTGGCATCATCCGTTCTGCTTCAATGCGGACCAAGAGGGAGATTGGCGCCATGGCCCCTGGTCGAGCGATTTGGAGTTCTGGAGGGAGCATGACAGTGACTGGGACGGGGTCGGCCGCATCTCCAACGAAGAGGCCTTCGCCGGCCAGATCCAAATGGTTTGGATCAATACGCTGCAACATCGCCGCCACTGCCTGCATATCTGAAATAAGTACGTGGTGGCTGCCAACGAGTGAATGCCCATGGACTCCTGCACTGTGGAGAGGCACCACGTCAAGCATTGCATGGAGATAAATCGAGACTTCAACAACTCGTGGCCAGATGAGAGGGTTTCCAGTAAACTGACGCTCAAGTATACTGCCTGTGAGTACGGGCCTGTCGCTATCAACCTTTCTCCCAATGGCTAGACCTCGGAACAGATTCGATTGCACTCGCCATAATTTGCTGGGTGGACAAGAGAGGCCTCTCCTGCCACTACTCTTGGTTGTTGTTGTGACGGAGGAGATGTACAATTAAATATCCCGGGACAAATAGAGACATGTTCAGGCATGTCTAGAGTTGAGAACCCGTGGTGATGGGAAAGTATTTTGTTTCAAACCTGAAGACCCTCGTTTTAGCTTGTATCCCGGGATTCTCAGTCAGGGAAGCCTAGGTACTCTATTACTGTTCTCGAGTAGCAAAGTCACTAGAAAACACTAGGTTAGCCTATAAAATTTGCATCAGAGCCTTCTCTCAAATTACAACCTCTTGATTTATTGAATTCAAAGGAGGATCCTCTGGGATATTATTTTGCAGCCACCTCCTCGCGTTCGTTTTTGATGTAAGCAAGAGTAGTTGGTCACTTCGCTGGTAGATAAGTCCCGATTTGAGCCTCGCCCACTTGGGTCGGTGACGAGTCGCGGGTTCGAATCCCGCAGCTGACACACAAGGGGGTTTAGTCAACCCTTACGGCGCTGGCCCACCTTGTTGACTTCGCCTACCTAGCGATAATAGGGAGATTGGTGCAGTTTAGGATTACGAGCACCCTAGCCAGTCGACCGTCAAGCACTACGTCGGCGGAATATAACTCGACAGCCGGTCCAGAATTCGAATCGTTAATCCGACCCCTTATCGGACCCCCTCTCGCCGCGATTCTTGCGAGCGTCTAGACCACGTTACGGTCTATCCACTTGAGCGTATGGTTGAGATGTATACGCTCGACGAGAACCCCAATTAGCAGATACTACGACTTGTCGCGACAAAAAATAGTCGAGCATCTTCTGCACATCAGCAGCACCCCACCCCTGAGGACGAATTTAAGTGCCACATTACCACACTTATCGGTAGTTCAGGCAGGGGTTGTAGCACAGACTTAGGGAGGGACAGGAGGTTTAGTAGTCGTTTGGCTACAAGTTTACCTGTATAACCGCCCGACGCGGCTTAAGGGCCCGCTATATCATCTATAGCCCCTTAAGGGAGTACTTGTAGAGGTACCGAGGGTTAACACCTACGGCGTATTTAATATTATTTTTTTTATTTTGCAGCTAACCTTCGAAGCGAAATCATGTAGTAAATACTTCTTTGGCTCGGTTGCTGTCAGCCAAGTTCCTTCTATCGGCAATACGCAATAAATTTTATTTATTTAACAACCTCCAGCAGAGACAACAACCTGTTCACTTACCTCTTCAGGTGATGATGTGTTGCCCACTAACATCTACTGGATGTGAAGGTCAACCCTCGCAGACTCACTACAACCAGGTGATTTACAGCTGGAACACCTGCCATGGCAGTGTCAGATGGGAAGCCAATCATAACCCTTGTAGGAGCCCCGCCAAGCGTGGATGACTTAGTCGCGCTCCCTCAAACCTAAGTTGTCATCTTCTTTCCTTCGCTCCTTAGAGTAGAATCTTCGTCGATAGCACCTAATCGAGGTCTGTACCAATGCGATGCAACCCAGGTCGTGACACTGGAAAGCTTCCGTGACGTTTATTTCATGTAGATGAGAGAACTAATCTGTCCGTGGGGATATCATCTTTATAATGGGACGTTGGGACACGCTGGATCTGCTAACAGGACGAGCTGGGGACACGTACCCAACAAGTTCTCTGTGTGGAGTATAGGGCAAGGTCTCTTGTTTATGCCTAGTTGACAAGATTTTCCTTGTAGACTAAGCCCCCTATTTATACGGAGATGATGAACAGGCTAGTGTGAGCCGGGGGTGGTGGAACGATGGTCAACTGAAAGCTCTCAAAAGATGCATCCCGCCCAAGATAGCTAGTAACTTGAAGAAGCAGTGAGATCATTCCCCAATGGCGAGCCTTGCGGTTCGACTGTAAATTCCTTTTCTTGTTAACGAATGGTCTCTACTGCCTCATCCTCAGCAGCTTGCATGTGAAGAAGGTCTTGCTTTCACATTTCTCGACGCCTTCACAATACCAACGTGAAAAGTAATTACTATCTACCGGCAGGGTACACTATGGAGAAGGAGGCCCGGGGCTCCGAGTGGATGAGTGAGGAAAAGGAGGTCCCGGCTGCCCTCCTCGGCCACTGGAGGAAGAGATGGCTCACCGGAGCAGAGCATCACGATCGCCAGCGACGCGCTATCGCTGAGGAACCGGAGGGCCCTTCGATGCAGATACCGAAAGGGGGCAAGTATTTCGGCCTGAACCGACTCGAAGCGTCTACGTTGTGCCAGATCAGGACGGAAAAAATAGGACTAGCAGCCTTCTTATTCAAGACAGGGGCTTTTGGCGTGTACTCGCCGCTATGCCACTGTTGCGACGCCCCTGAGACGGCAGAGCACGTAATCCTCTTTTGCGGGCTGTTGGAAGGACCGAGGGAACGATTACGGGCCGCTATCGCACCACGGCCACTATACTCTCGCAGAGACCTCGCAACGGCAACAGGAGAACCAGTAGTTAGTGGGACTATTGTAAGGTGGCTGCTAGGGACGGGTCGGACAGCTTCAAGGCCCAGATAGCATCGATCTTCTCAGGGGGGACTTTGTTGGTAGGTTGAGAACCAACGTAGTATGGTAGTGAACGCAACGCAGTCGCCAATAGGGCGAACCGACGACGCAGCGTATGTATTTCGTCCAGCCATTAGGGCACGGTTTGACATACGGGAGTACTAGTAGAGGTACAGGGGGCTTCGAGCCTACAGCGTATTTAATAATAATAATAATAATTATCTCGTTTCGCGCAAGTAACGCTGATTTCCATGCAGACCAACCCGTATCGGTCGATATGAGCTGTGACAGGCACATATTTGATTAGGTTAAGTAAGCAGCAGCTCAGTGAGAAAAGAGGCTTGGAGGCGTCTGTGGTGCTACTACCATACCCATGTCCTTTTCCGATGGGGTTTAATGGCCGGTATCGTTGCTAAAACTAGTGGCCCTCCTCCTCCGCCCGCACGTCACTCGCATTCCCTGGCCGCTTACTGCATCACACGGACAGGTGCTCGACTGATACGGAATGAAGTCCCACTTTGCGACTATAACCGCAACTCTCATCGCATTTGATGTCCAAGTGGCTACACAAATCCAGTTTGACCTCACACAAGATGAGAATGTAGCGAAAACGTTGAACTTCCGTAGAATGGCACACCGTGCTTTGGGTAAAGATGCAAATTAATCACCATCAGTCGCTTGTATGGTTGAGTCTTCAAGTCCGCTCGGATATGGCGATATCATAAATTCCTCGAAAAGTTCTACGGGACATAAGGACGATGATTTTGCAACGACCGTGCATCATGTGTGTACGTCCATGTTCACATCTATCGCCATCTAGGAAAAATAGTGCTAAATCGCGCCTTGTTTACATCTTGTCAACTTTCCAACTCTTCGACGAGCAATGGGGTACAGCAGCTACATCCCAGATAGAACCGAAAAATTTCCCGAGAAGGTTTGATATTTTGGTGACACTGAATATGGGCTAGTCGCAGCGGACAAACTCAAGATGGGCGTCCCGTATGAGGTGAGCGACTAGACCGGAGTTCTATCGCTTGGCGAGTAAATTGCAACTTGTCAATCTCACCGCGCAGATGTTATCGCAGGGATAGACCCCAATTGAGGCATACAGTATATGACTTGACAAGGCCAGTGCGTCGAGCGAATCACTATTGTTCGGCGCCATCGACACAAGTAAACTGCAAGGCAGTCTCGAGACCATTGATACGCTCAATGTGTCCATTATGGCATGTGGTTGTTCCTCTCAGATAGGGGCTAAATGTCCCTCGGGCTCTAATATCTTACCTGTACTAGAAGACTCATTATAACCTCAGCGAGCTGGCCACCGCAGAATTTTGCATTGGCCATATGGGCAGAGGCAGCCACAGAATATATTCTGGAGGTGATAGGAGCCGTGGTTCCCTGCAACCGTAACGAAAGCCTTGAATCCTTCAACTGGCACTTTAATGGAACTTGGTGCGCCGGACGCGCCCCTGATTAACGTGCCCCTGAGACAGTTCATCATGGTCCCCGAAGTTGGCGAACTGAACAAGTCCAACGCGGTGGGGGAGGAGCTCTGCCGCTTCACCATCTTCAACATCACGTCTCCGACCAACTCCAACATTGGCGAGGATTTCATTCGTGCCGCCTACATTGTGGTGGACATCTACGACCAGGAAATATCCATGGTGCAGGCTCTGTACGACGTAGATGATTCGAACATTGCCCCCTTTAGCGCACGTGGCGCCGGAGCCCCGAGCGCAATTACATTAACTTCGCAGCCGGCTAACACGCGGACTGATATGGCAACTGAAACCATATTCCCCGCCTTCACGCCAAAGACTTATGTGGCCGCTGCCGGGTACACTAGTCTCGCCAACACGGCCTCTATATCAACAGCCGCAATAGCTACTCTCACCGTAACTCCCACGGAGCCTTCGACCGTCGCCTGGGCCGGCATTGGCGTCGGTGCCCCTGTCAGCAGTTTAGCAGTCCTCGGCGCAATCCTGTTCCTTGTCTGGCGGCGCGAGCGGCAACAACACCCCATCTACACACCCGAAGCCCCATCACCCGCACAGCCAGTGCCAGAGGCTCCAGACGATACGAAATATCATTAGCCAGGAAGGAAATAGCACCAACTGAGTGAGTTGTACAGCTGCGGGTTGGAGGTCAACCAGGGTGATCCAGCCCGGGTTATCGCCCTCGTCCGCTAGCCCTACTTATACCAATGCTATGCGGTTTAGTAGTGTGAGCCAAGGGCCTGGGCAGGGGCATGGCCATATTAGTCCAATATAGGAGTATCTGCATCCGCGTCATACCGGAGGATTATGGAAGTGGCGTGAATACAGAGGTACAACACGTATAATGGACAACTGGAACCTGGGGGTGCGCAAAATGGTCGATGGTCAATTGGAACCGGGTATAAACATTCGCCGCAGCACTTGCCCGGCGGCTGGACAAAGACGGTGTGAAGAGATACCCTTGATTTCTGATAATGTTTGGCATTTTTTTGATGAATATTGGCATCGGGCATGGTGTACAAGGCATGAGATATTACTAGAGGATCACCGCACCAGAAAGGCTGGGAAATGACATATAATTTGCCCCGATCAGCAGTCTCCATGATATCCGTGAGAGTCTATCCTGGTCGTGCCCCTTACTTGCCCAGCTCATTGGGCTTCAGCAAGCCGATGCCGACTAGTTCATGCAACGAATACCACCCAACAACACCGGTACAATGGCGTGATTGGTATCTTCGTGTGCTGTTTCAAGCTCACCCAGTCAATATACCAAGTATATTGTCTCGGGCTGCTGTGGGTCTGGAGTAATACGAGTATCGAGTTGACCAGACTTCACGCGATCTGGGATTCCCGTCCTCCAACATCGTACTTGCGGCGTTTCTACATCAGTCAAATTATCAAGCTCATGATAATAACACCAATGGAGTTCCATTTGGAACTATGCAATAGTCAATATGTTGCTACTGTTCAATATAACATCCCTCACGTCTCCAACGTACTGTAATACTCATTTACACATGTCACATCGCACAGCACACATCTCGTAGCACGATGTGGCAGCCAAAACTCGATATCATCGTCATTCACGAGAACTTCGCACATGCCTACTGACACCTCCAAATCCCACCTCCCAGCACTTTCCCCGGGCAAACTATCTGCTTCCTAGAGAAGAGGCCTCTTCGTGCACAATAGAAACATCTGCTGCATTTTCGTAGTTAGCGAACGCAGGCAGGCTCTATGATCTCAGGGCACGGATGACGGTAAGAGAGTCGAGGCCTGAACCGCTGTCAGTTCATGTGTCACCGGGAAAACCCTTTCACGACCCTTCATTTCATGATGTCAGAGAGCACAACAAGACCGGGGAAATGGCACTGCTTCCAAGCGATTGTGAGTACGCTTGATGGCGTCGATTGGATTTCACCAGTAGTGCGGTTCATGCCAGGCCACCTTCTAAACCACTTTCAACCAGAACGTATCAGCGTTTCACTATTCTCCAAGATGATTAACTCACACCTCGCCCACAAGTCACGGGGTGCAATATTTAGGGTGAGTCCTATAAGATTATACTAGGGCGGCCTTATATTACTGTGAGTAGCCCCCGGCTTTGTTTTTCATTCACCTGTGGATGTGAGGAAGTACAAGGTGGAGTGATCCGACATGGAGAAGGTAATGAGGATATCCAGTACATAAGGTTGTCAAAAGTCGATAGACAGAGTGGCATCCCTCAAAGTGTCTCTGACCGATTGCATTCCGACATCTACGGCATTCTCTACCTTGATGTCTACCTCATCGATCACGTCTCCCAACTGCTTCGTCAGTTCCTCATGATCGTGGTCCAACTCGTCCAGCTTGTCGCGTATGCTTTTCAAGTCCTCTCGTACTTTCTTCCATTTGACCTCGAACTTGGTCGTAATCTCTGCTTCCACCTCCGCCCTGACCTCTGATTTGATCTCTGCCCTCATCTGGTCCATCTCTGTCCGCAGCTCTGCCCTCCACTCGGACTTCCACTCCCTCATCTGCTTGATCTCCTGCATCATTTCCACGCTTCCGGTATCCGAAATGCCCCGCTGCCGCTTATGTGAACCAGCACATATCGAAGGGGGCATAGGGGGTCCGGGTCCAGCCTCGTGGTATGATGGTGGGTTGTCATCAGCAGGAGCAGATGTGCACATGACATCGCCACCTGTGCCCCCATACAGACTGCTGAGATTGGCCTGCCCGGCATCCGACTTTAGCCGACCCTCAGTCGCATCGGCGCAAAGCATCTGCAGTCGCGACGAAGCCAAGGTCCTGCTTGACAGCGTCGTATAGACAGCCAGACTGGTTGCTTGGGCCAGCGACTGTAGAGCGTCCAATACGTCGGACCCCTCTTTCCCGCAGGCATCGAGCACTTGTTCTTTTTCCGGTTGCTGCTTAGGTCCGACAATCTTTGCAGGATTGATCAAATCAAACCGCAGGCAAACCGTATCGACCCCAAACTGCTTCTCATGGTCTCCGAGAGTCAGCCTTTGGATGCGCTCGGGTGGGACCAGAATGAAAAGGGTCGTGCTTTGGTTTCCCTTGGTACCCTTGTTGGGTTTTCCTCTGGGCTTAGGCTTTGTCTTCGACTTCAGCATCGCCACCTTGAGTCGCAGCTTGAAAAATGCATCATGGGATAGCGTGTCGTAGATGAAGTCGAATCGCAGGTCGGACAGAGAGCGGGACTGGCCGGCATGGATCCACGTCGCCGTGGCAGGCAGGTCGCGGGCGGTTGTCGAACAAGACGAGGGGGTCAGGGCTGGGCCCGGTGGACTCGGTAGACTGGCATCTAAACCATCTGTGTTCGAACTCGACTCCGAGGCTGTCGTGGCTTGTGAGGAAGAGACCATAACGACGCATGTGGTGAAGACGGCCAGGGGCCCTACAGAATGTTAGCGGTGAGGACAAGATGGAGGCATGGGGCCATGGGGTATTTTATGAGAGATGGCGTGGAATAGTTTGGAAAGCTTCGCCCGCTGTCGCCTGGGACTGTCATCCAAAGGTCAACGGAAATGAATAACAATCAACCATCAGTCAATACACCCAATAGCATAAATGGAGAGACAAGTCCCCGCACGCTCCGGCACGTCGCCATCAACGAGAAGTTCCGGTACGGCTGACCCCAAGGCCCCGGGTCTTCCATCGGCCGTAGACGATGGGTAGAAGCCGGTAGCTTTGGCCTTGGGCGCCCATGACAAGAGCCAATCGAGACAGGACAACGAGCAGGCGTGCGCGGCCACCCACAAATGCGAAGCGAGCATTGAGTGAGTACCTTTGGACTGACCATACACTGAATAGTAGCAGAGTGGACGTGGAGTCGCGTCGCGATGTCGAAGTGGTAGAAACAAGCCCAGAGGCGAGTTATGCGGAAGGGATGCAGGAGGTTGGAAGCATGACAATGAATTGCGATCACGAAAACACCAAAGCTGGCAGCTCCACTTCAATTAGGTAGCCGCGCTGTTTCGTGGTTGCGGGTTGGTCCAGATAACTGGGGCTGGAATGATCTCGGCATTTGCCGTTATGCGCTTAAACCTCGATACATGCAAACACTCAACTTTGGCCCAAGACGTGTTTGCATTGCAGCATTCCTGAGGTCCTGAGGTTAGTTGGTAATTGTGTGCAACACTACTTGTAAGCTTCTCTGCTCCCTTGCTGTCTAATTCAATCCAATGTCTATTTGTGTTGATACAGGCAGATACTTCTGCAGCGTATCGCGAGCTACCATCAACCAGTCTTGGTGCTCTGGGGTGAATTCTAATCGTGAATTCTAATCGCATGCTTGGTGGCAAGGAGGACAATTCCAACTCCAACATCTTGAGAAGCAATCACCGGTCCTCCAGTATCCGACACCATGAGAACAGCTATCGCATCACACCATTTGCGTCACCAATCTCTCAGGAGACCACACTCTCACCCCAGGGAATATCCAAACGCTCCTCACAGCCGTGATCCAATCCGTCTTCCAAACCCAAACCTTCGAGGCACGCGCACAAGCTTGACGCATCTGAGACCCCGCAAGCCGACTCTGTGATTGCTACCTGCCCCCCAACCCCGTCTTCTTGGCCTGCGCCTCCAAATGCCGCACCTGCGCACTCTTAATCTCAATGGGGAGCTCCGTCTTCTTCAGAAACGCCTGCGTCTTATCCCGCATTTCCCTCATCTCCTTGGAAAAACTCCCCGAGGAAGTGTTCTGGTAGAGGCAATCGCACATGTTGAACAGTTTCTTTCCCAGGGCGGAAGCACTGTCCGTCACTATGGCCGCGTCTGGCAAGGGCCAGAAGTCGTGCCGCTTGAAGGACCGGATGGTCGCTCCGAGCATGGAGTCCTTTTTGTTGTCGGGGTGCCTGTCGTCGGGTGAGTCGGTCATCAGATACTCCACCCATTGATGGAAGGGTTGCAGCAACGATGTGATGAGTTCAAGGCGTCCGGCAGTTATCACTTCTGTAGTGACAGTGAGTTTGTGGAAATAAGGGGATGATTCTTGGCTGCTCACCACACGCCCCTGATGGTTCCATGATTCTCTCAAACACGAGCCGCGGTGGCTGACTTTGCGTATCCACCAAGTAGGAATCGGCATCAAGGGAAGTGAACCACATGAGCTCCCTCGTCAATCTCTCGAACTCAACGCGATGGCCGAGTTCCCACATGATCCACAGCCGCTCGTCCATCGGGCTACCAAGTCGATTTCTCTGCAGATCTGGTGAGTCCTCCCTGGCCTTGAAGTCTGTAACCAGCGGTGCGATCCAGTCCCGAGCCCAGGGACGGAGGCATGATGCCAGCCCGTACTTGTCAGTCAGGACGGTGAGGTCCGCGATATCCTGGAGCCGTGTTGACCCATCTTCCCGATCCGGCACCTGGTCAAACCGGCTATGGAGAATGTCGAGGAGCAATTGCATCGCGTTGGGCTTGTCCTCTGGAAGCCGCACAACCCATTCCATGGTATCCGACCGCCTTGATTCAGCGAAACCTCCATAGAGCAGTCTCTTGAAAACCGGCGACGCGCGGGAGAGCGCTTTGGAACAGACCTTGAATGTGGTGGGCTTGTGGGTGTCACGGTCATCATCTTCTATAACCGAATCTTCGCCGACCACCAGCAAGAGATCTCCATCAGAATCAATGGTGACTCGGCGCGCCGGAACATGGCGTGGCGACACGTCGCGCAGACCAAACGTCACCGCTTCACAAGACTCAGTCTCGATGACGTCGGGACTCAGAACAGACCGCCGACGCTTGCTTCCCGTCATAGGTGATGATTCTAGTAAACCTTTAGAAATGAGTGCGAGCCCAATGCTGACCAGCGACTGTGTTTGTGGTGACGAGTTAGAGGTGATAGGCTAGTTCTGACATAAGAAGGTGAAAGCGTTAGGGCAATGCAAAATCAAAAACTGGCCCGTTCTACATCTATTGGGAATAGCCGCTCCGTACGCATGGAACCATATTGAGTCATGTATCATCGAAATCCAGTCATGCGTCTTAGTTCTTGACTCAGCTCAGCATTGTTCAGACGACGAGGTCCAGCAAAGTCTAATCGACGACGGCAGATATGGCGGTGTGCTCGCGTGACCTTGTTCCGTTCAAGGCAAGGAAAAAACAAGGATATACCATGGAAAGCTGTGTTTCGAATGATAGTTGTGACAGCCGCGTGACTGAGGAAGGAAAGTAGTCATTTCAACTCGAACTTGGCAGTATATCAGATACAAGTCGCCGCTCTGGAGAAATTTGTGGTATATGGAGGATTATACTAACACAACGGCCTACAACGCCGCGAAATACATTAATAACAGGTCAACCAGATCTTGGTGAACCCTCCAAATCTGAGCTCAAGCTCATTCTTTACAATGGAATACGAGTGGTGACTTCCACCCCAGTCCAGTCTTGGAATTCCGAAGATGAAGCCCCACCATATCAGCTCGATCATCAGCAGTCGGATCCTATACTCCCCAGTCGAGCCACCCTCACCCCGCTCTGACATCGAGCATGTGACATGGCATGGTGCTTTACCGATGCGATCGCTCCCGAAGCCTCTGCGAAACAGAAAAGGCAACGAGGTCTTGATGTCGGAATTACCGATCCCGCAATCCCCCTTCGTCCATTAGGATCCACACTAGCTTATCTTCAAACGTTTTGTACTGTAGGTGACAGGGAAGCAGTTACATGAAGAGAACCAGAAGGACAGTACAGCAAGGGAAAGCGAACTCACTGGAATAGTACCATCTAGGCCATCCATCCGTTTGGCCAAGCGACAAATCCGGTAGACGATGAGTTTTTCCGTAGTCGTTGGGGTTCCAGTCGTGCATATAACAATAGCCGCCGGTGGCGGAGGCCCAATTCAGTACGGTGTGGCAGTTGTTTTGAAAGGAGAGTTTAGTCGACAACGCTCCGTGCAACTCGTCAGGACCGGAGAGCGTGAACTGAAAAGTAACCGTCGTGGACTTTGGCATTATCCTGCATTAAAGGATCGCTAGATTTATTGAATACAAGACGGCCTTCCATAAGGACATCGCAATATAATCGAGCAGTTACATCCTCACAAAATACTATTTTTAATACCCTCCCTTTATCGTTATGTAGCTTACCCTAGATCATAATAGACATACGTGGCCTCCTAAAACTCTGCTCATTTACGAGTCCAAGCCGGCACTGCTCGCTCAAGTGCCGGATCACCTAGTCGGTAGGGTTTGAGGGTAAATGTTCGACCGTATACTCGTCCGAGATGTGTGTACGTATAAGCCGCTCTATCTAGCCCTACGAAACGTATTCATTATATAATTCGAACCTCTTCATAGTTTCATCGTCGGTTAGAAGGATCCTCTCTGGCGCGCGCTATATCTTAAGGTAGTGACGCTGTATAATCGTCTTGATAATATTAGTATAGATAGCTTTCTTGAATTTCATCTCTGCGTACGTTATCCCGGGTAGCGGCGGCAAAGGATGAATAGGAACCTCTTTGCTTTAGCGGATAGCCTTTTAGTGTACTGTTCCGCTTAGCTATACGTGTGGTGCCGGCTGCATTAGCAGTATTAACGATGTCGGTGATAGTTGATAGCCGAGTGATCCCGAACGCGTCCGCCACCTCCCTCCAACTCTTGCCGCATGCGCCGGCGGTCACGATGTCAACTCTGGCTCCCGCTATGATGCCATATTTAGGGCCGCGATCGGCACTTATTTCGGTGACCAAGGACCAGAATTCTATAGCGAGTTGCGGTAGTTGTAGTGGAGTAAAGTAAAACTGGCCTTGTTGCGCTGTTTTGATTTCTCACTTGTAGTGTGGGGCAATGCGGAGACTTATTAACAATCACTGTATCAAGAAACCGACCTAATTCTCGATTTTCTAACTACAATAGCTACAGCAAGTCTCCTTCAAAATATCTCCAAACCATCAGCTTGAAGAGGTCAAGGGCAGCGGGGGGTATGTACTTTCAAGGAGTGTATACAGGTCAGCCATTCGTGCGGGAGATGCGGGTAGTGATTAGCGAGAAGAAGCGAAGATATGAGAGACCATGTTCATCCGTGCGTCCTGCATCATGCATCATGCCAACCGAGTCCATTCAAGAACTGTAAATCTTAGTATAGCCATGAGGTCTAGTAGCCTCCCTTGGTGGTGGTGCAGTAACCCTTCTCGGTGTAGGTCGTGGTGTATGTCTTGGCCCCTCCGGTGACAGTCGCAGTGATGGTCTTGGTTTCCGTCTTCGTCCCCCCGGGAATAGTCTCGGTGGTGGTCGCCGTTACGGTTTTGGTCTCTGTCTTGCCGGCGCCCGTTGCGGTGACGGTAGTGCCCGGGAGGGTGGAGGTAACAGTCTTCGTTTCCGTCTTTCCGACCCCTGTGAGGGTGACAGTAGTGCCGGGGAGAGTGGAGGTGATGGTCTTCGTTTCTGTCTTGCCGACCCCTGTGATAGTGACAGTAGTGCCAGGGAGAGTGGAGGTGATGGTCTTCGTTTCTGTCTTTCCGACTCCTGTGAGGGTGACAGTAGTACCGGGGAGAGTGGAGGTGATGGTCTTCGTTTCTGTTTTTCCGGCCCCCGTGAGGGTGACAGTGCTACCAGGGCCTATATTTTGATATCGTTAGCTATTGTTTGTTCATGTATATGAAGTACTGGATATTATTCTCCAAGTTTCATATCTCAGGGGCTATCTACCACCCAAAAAGCTTTACTCTGGACAAGGATCCATGTACTGAAAACAACGACATGAACACTTACCAGTAACCGTAACGGTTCCCGTTTTACCTCCACCAGTCACAGTTGATGTCACAGTTGCATAGCTGGTAGCATAGACAGTGGTGGCACCATAGCTGCCCTGTCATGGATGTAAGCGGGGGACTCTCCAGTTAAAATCAGTCCTTCACTTGGCGAATATACCTTGTCGGTGACGGTGACGGTGGCGCAAGCACTGGTCTTGGTACCATACCCATCATCCCCTGGGATCGGGTTGGCAGCCACGAGGGCACTGAAAAGAGGCAAGGAATCAGTAAAATTGGCCGCACAAAGATCAGAGCATTTTCCGATTGTGAACCGGCTTTTGGGAGACCCACGCCAAGGAAAGGACAGCACGGATGTTCTTGAACAGCATCTTGATGGAAGTGAGAGACTGGAGTATCGTCTAGGTTGGGATTAAACAAGTGGGCCAAGCGCTGATAGTCGGAGAGGAACGAAGGTGACTTTGTTTGTGTTTGATAGACTGTGACTGGATGATGATCATGAAAAGACGTTTACTATGTCGAGGATCCTATGGGCCTTTATAGAGAAACCTGAGGCCATATTGACCTCCAAGTTAACCATCTAATCCCGCTTCGAACTACGCTCAAGTTTCACACTATGACGAAAATAGTCGGATTCCCAGCGACGAAAACTCGCTGCAGCCTGCATCTGCAAACGTCTCCGAATATCGAATGAGCGCAGCACCGCTACCGACTCTTTCCTTGGAAACCTGGATTGCCACGATGCGAAAGGGCTGATGGTGTGATTTGAGTTTCCAAGTTAAGCAACATGGGAAGGCTGATGCCGGATCAATCGGACGGGCGGTCTGGTTGCCAGGCGAAGTTCGGTGTTGGGCAAGGCTTATTTCCCGTGACACGTTAGACATGGCCCCGTCCTTCGCGCCGTGGGACTCGAAAGCCCGATTTTTTCGTACATCAAAGCCTGCTGATCCAATACCCAACGCGTCTTCGTAAAGCAGCCTAGAGTCCCCAATTCTAGCCCGTCGGGAGCTGGAAATGCAGTAGTTAGGCCTGCACCTTGCGTTTAAGCTCCGTGTCCACAACGTGCAAGGCACTAAAGTCATGCAGGATCAAGTGGATATAGGCTGGACCCGATGCTATTCCATCCAGCTTGCTACAGCTACAGTTCGAATCCAGACCTGGAGGCGGTGCCTGCATTTGTGTGTTGTAAACGGAACCGCGAACGGTTAGAGGCGACAAGAGGATCGACAAAGGCTTTGTTGTAGGCAAACACGAGCGGAATGCGGGCGATGCTATAGGTAACTCAGCAGATTCGGTGACGTCAAAGGTAGGGGCCTGCGGGATGAGTTATCGTCGGTGTCCTCGCCATGATCGTCTAAGGTAGGCTTCAATTCGGAATCATGGCGTTCTTGAATATGATCTTCTCACCTATTCCTCAGTAATGCATCGTTCGTGTGATCGGAGGGAAGCTTGTGACCTGGTCTAGTATGCGGTTGTGGTGTCAAAATGGAGATCCAGGATGCCAATAAGCCACTTTAGGGGGGCACTGTATTCCAAACATGTCAACTTTCCAAAGGGAAGGCGGGCATGATCTACGTTGGATCGTGACACCAATATCCGTGTATGCATGTAAGCAGCCATCGGGTTCAAATTTGGCTTTTCATCTAAACTTGCATGACCGGACGCTGTTGGTACTACCCATAGAGGATCCGACAACAGTTTGGAAGGACACATGGAAGAACACATGGAAAAACCAGGAAACAAAATGTCTTGGCGAGGACGGCGGCGTTACATTACAGCACAGCCCCCTGAATTGGGCACAAACCACATCATGGAAAGCTGCCCCTGGTCGGAAACAGCTTCCAGCCTCAACTGTCAACATGCCAAGCCCTGCCCCACGGGGAAATTGATGAAGCGTAAGAACAAGCGAGATCATCTCAACAATGTTGACGTCGGAACCCGATCCGTACTTTTGAGCATTCTCAAGTAGGTATGTGCTTCCGAGATGCACATGACTTTACCTTGGTCAAATGAGAAAACGTTCCACGTTCTATTACGTTTGCTTGGGGTTCTACTGTGATCATATGGCTGCTTATGAGCGCCAGAACGCCTGGCCGCCACTGTCGTAAAGCTGCACGTCAGCTGCATGTCGGGAGCACATGGTAGCGCCGCCAGTTCTTCCACTGAATAACGGCTGCGGAGCGTAGTTGACGTCTGTTAAATCATCGCAAAGTCTTGCCAGACTTCTCTGGCACAAGGTGATGGTCACTGCAAGGAGTCCACAGCCGCCCCATCCAAGTGGCCCTGGAATAGTCTTGGGCAGCTACGTTTATTTTCTGGAATGTACTGGGTGTTGTCTTAGAGATCTCGCAATATCAACACTGAAGTCGGTGCTGTAATACTCACTAAGAAAATTCTCACTATAGCATTGGCGATGTGATGAGTTCCGTGATACTCGAGTTCGAAATGGCTCTACCGCATTTTCCTCCGACTACTAAGTGCTGGGAGCCATTATGAAAACTGGCAATGCGGTCGGAGCCTTTGCGCCACGCGCTTCCTGTCTAGGAGTCTTCAAAGAATTGTTCTCGGTGGAGATGATTCTGAGGCGTAACATCAAGATCAAATTCTCTGAAGGATGCCACGGCCGGGTTACTATACCATGATCGGCATTTGTAGGTGTGATTCACTCGCAGCTTCGAGGCCGAGTTTCAATGTCACTGGTATCTTCACAGCAGATATGCACTAGGAACGTCATGATTGTCCGAATTTGATTTTCTTTCTGTTCATGCTTGGAAAGTGTGAGGCAATCGCCCTGAAGCCATCATCCAGTTTAAAGCCGGCGAAGAAGCAGTGCAATAGTATAAACAGTGCTTCCGCCGTCAAACGTTCAACATCTAATCATAACCCACGCAATCTATAGCCCAACGAGCACCGAATACCTGACCATCACAATAAGGGAAATTAAGTCTCTGACGTAGGAAAATAGATCTCGCGAATCCATCATAAGATACCTGAATCCTCCCGGTGCCAACTTGGGACCGCATAGCAACCTTTATGATACCAAAAATATAGTTTATGAGTGATATTGGACTGTAGGCAACTGGTCTTTTCATTGAATGTCATAATCTCTGGAAAGTCCCCTCAGGAATGTACTGTGACGAGAAAGGCCTTGAATAGGTAAAAATGAGCGATGACTGCCCCACAGGCAGAGATTGAATGGTTCGAAGGGTGGATGCCACATTGGCGAATATCGTAGGATGATTGTGGCTATATATCGCCACAGGCTGGCACTTTTTGGTGTAATAACCTTGAAGGTCCAACAAATGGCATGGAGGCAGAAACAGAGCATGTTACCGCCGCAGTTGACTCCAACTCCACAGATTTATTCCAGCTTCTATTAGAATTGTAACGTCCAGTGGCAGTGTGCCATCAGAAACTCGATGGGAATTACAAAAGGTACATCGAATGATACGCCATGCCCTCCCAACCCATAAAATTACGTAGTGGGCTGTAGCCTGCAGATCTTCAATTTGCCAGTGCTTCAACCTCGCTTCAAGGACCACCACTTCTTGGTCATCTCAGAATCGTCCGCTGACGCCTCTCCGACTTTCACTTCCAAACCCTCTAGCTTCGGGTTCCCCAGAGCCTCGCCTTGAACAACATCGGTTGGCACAACTCCCAATCTTGCCGCTTCATCGATCGTAAAAGTGGCATACTTGTCCACTTCGTCAATCTCCCCCCGATGCAGCACGGGGAAGATCAGGTTCACAGCGTAGAAGAGCACAAACGAAACGGAGAATCCGACAAAGAAGGCCATGTAATAAAGCTCAGTCAAAGCTCTCGGCGCGGTGGTGATTCCTCCTGCACTAACGATCAGACCGCCAATCGTGGGAGCCCAGCCCGCCACCCAGCAAGGAATTACGCGCCAGTTGACACCATGCCAGAACCAATAATCAGAACCCTGCGGGCTGAAAAGGTGGCTCAGCTTGATCCTCTGGTGGCGCAGGATAAAGTAATCGCACACCATGACACCCATGATGGGCGCTAGAAAGACGGAGAAGGAGTTGAGGACGGATATGAAGGTCGCGGCCTCGTTGATAAGCTGCCAGGGCTGGATAATCCAGGCCGCAAAAAAGGTTATAAGGGCGCCGCGGCGAATGTCGATATAGCGCGGGAACAGGCCAGCCAAGTCGATGCCGCCCGCTACTGCGTTGGAGCAAACGTTTTCGAACATGGAGGTAAAGGCGAACGAAATTGCGAGGAAGAAGACGGCGGCTCGAGAGCCCGAGGAACCTTGGCCGTCTTGTATATGTCACGTTCATTAGTATGAGAGGTTGAATGATGACGAGGCTTAACTTACAATCCATCATGACCATCATGAGGTCTGGTGGGTTCCACCATATGTCGCCATAGATCTTTTGGCAGGCCGCCGTCGTAACCAAGCCCCCGAAACAAACGAGCACGCCGACAATCCAGTAGACAGTGATAGTGCCGATCAGGTAATCACTCTTCTTCTTGGCGTAGCGTGAGAAATCACTGCTGTTGGTCATACCTGCTGCCTTTCCGCCGATGGCTTGGTTGATCCCCGCCATCATGAGCCAAGAGGCACTCCATTGCGACGTGGCGGGGACCTTCTCACCCTGATAGAAGACTGGGCCGACCCCCTTTGCCGTTGCGACAGACCAGATCATCAGTGCGAACATAGCGACACCGCACATGACGGACGAGACGAGGAAGGGTTTCTTGAAGCGTTCCGGACGGATGAAGAGGAACGGGATGGAGACGGCCCAGAACACAATGAATCCGACTAGCTCGTAGGTAGTGGTGGGGGTACTCGCGCTCAACGTGTTGGGAATCGTGGCAAAGGACGGCCAGATGGCAGTGATGCAGACCCTGATCTCCTGTTAGATGCGCTTCAAGCGAATCCCAGGTATATGGGTAAAGGGATTAGTGCCACCATTGGGGATTCGGCGTGGCTAACTTACGTAACAAGTTTACCGCCGTTCCAGCCTACGAACGGGCGTCAGCTTTTACTCGCACTATGTGATGGGCACACGTACATTGTATGGCAGTCCAGATGAAGTTCAGCAAGATGCGTTGGAGTAGAGGGATGTAACTGGCACGAAAGCCCCATGCTTCACACGAGAGGATTAGCCAAATGGGCCCCACGCCAAAAGGGTTGAGCCAACGAGTGACGACTTACTGTACCTATTCTGCACTGTGAACCCAATATGCCATGTCAAACCGCACCAGGCCACCATGACGGCAAAAAGACAGCAGAGCGCCCTCGAAACAACAATAATGGCCATGGCCTGGCCCACCGAAAGCCCCTGCGTTAAAAATGTGTTTGGGGTTTGCCATGTCGCGACATTGAGCGAAGAACTTTGAACGGATGCGTCCAGTCAGCAATCAATTACCACTATATTGTGACGGAAGACTTACAGAGACCATGAACCGAAGAAGTTGAACCAACCCCAGGTCCGCCTGGCTGGTGGCAACGGGATCAAATCTCGATTTGACCATGCGCTGACCTCCTCGTAGTGCGACTCGTCGGAATCGAGGGCCACCACCTCTCTGACTTTACGAATGGTCTTAGACGCCATGGTACCGTAATGGGTATGCGACCTCTCGACTAGTTTGGTGCCGGAGAGAACAAAAGCTGCAGGAGTGCTAGCTTGTTCGTGTCATATCAAGCGCATTAAGAGTCCTTACGGATACCGAGTAATATCAACTAGGGCGGTGCCGAAGTGGAGATTGGCGGCCGGATCCGATGACTTGAACAGCGGAGGAGATAAGCGGCTATCATCACAAGGTGGAGTTCCGCTCATTGCAAATCGCTGCCGTTGTCTTGCCAATTTGTGATAACGACGGCACTTCTTGGCGTCGGGGCTCTGCCAACTTCCGCAGAGATGATTAAGCATGGTGGGGAATCTCACTGGTTGAACATCTCTATATACCATGGTTCTCATCCGGTACTGCCTCCCTGAACTAGGTCGACAGTAGTGGAACCTTATTTCTTAGAAGATTGACTACTTCCAACGTCTGTCCATTCAAGGTACCCAGCATCAGAACATTGTTAAATATACCTCCCTTCTCATCAATATAGCTTTCGCCCCACCATTGAAGCCCCTCCTGGAAGATGGTTGTCCCCAAACTAAGGATCGGGGTTGACGTCGGCGGGTAAGATATCAGCTTGTCCGCTACTGCCCGGCTTACGAAGATAGACGACTGATTATAGTGAGCCACCAGGACCAACACCGATGGCGTCATCATGGACCCGACCAAATCCTCTGAGGCCGGTCGCGGCATCGTAGCCTGGAAGAAGACAAGCACGACGAGGGACCCCAGCGATGGTATTAACAATGTGATTACGGACATGTTCTCCCAGTCACATATCGACCCCGGAGAAGTGGCCAGCGTCACCATTGGAACCACTCACTTCGTCAACGCCGTGGTCGAGATGGACCGATCACGGCTTGCGAGAGTAGCAGTGATACGACTGTGTGGGCCCTTCTCAGCCGATATACCCGTAGGAGTCGACTGGCCACCCAAACTCCGGCGCATCATCTGTGCGCATCGTAGCTTGGTGGACGGCGGTTTGGAAATTGACGGTAGTCTGATTGCCGAGCTGGATGAAGATGCAATACGACGTGAATGTGAGATTATCAAATCCAAGGGGATCAAGAGCATCGTCGTTGTGGGGATATTTAGCCCCATCGATGTGCATTTCAAACAGGAAGAGAGAACAAAAGAAGTCATTCGCGAGGTGTACCCCGAGGCCGACGTGGTTCTCTCTAAGGAAGTGGCCAATATTGGTTTTCTTGAGCGAGAGAATGCCGCGATTCTCAATGCGTCGATCCTGGCGTTTGCACGACGCACGATCCACTCATTTCAAGACGCAGTGTCACGACTGAACTTGCGGTGTCCGGTATTCGTTACTCAGAACGATGGTACCATTTTGCCAGCCAGTTCTGCGGCCAGACTTCCGATCAGGACCTTTTCGAGTGGGCCTACGAACAGCATGAGGGGTGCGGCTTTCTTGACGCAGCACCTGGACCGGGAGAAAATCATGGTAGTTGACATTGGTGGAACGACGACGGATGTTGGTTTACTACTCGAAAATGGATTCCCTCGTCAAGCTGCTGCGTATAGTGAGATATGTGGCGTGCGAACCAACTTCTCGTATCCGGACGTGAGAAGTATTGGCCTAGGGGGAGGGTCGATCGTGGCTAAAGGCAAAGATGGAAAGCTTACAATCGGCCCTGAATCTGTCGGCTACCAGATCCAGGAAAAGGCGTTGGTTTTTGGTGGCACCGTCCCTACCGCTACGGACTACACCGTGCTGGGAAACAAGGAGTTGGACATTGGAGACCGCTCTAAACTTGAAAGCACACAGCTGCGGGCTGATCTGGCAGACTTCCAGGCCAATGTCAAGTCTATGCTGGAGCGAATAGTGGATACGATGAAAACGTCTCCAGAGGATATCCCGGTGGTGCTCGTAGGTGGCGGTGCCGTGATTGCGCCAAAAACGCTGGTCGGAGCCAGCAGGGTCATCATGCCGGACTGGTCTGGCGTTGCGAACGCAATCGGTGCGGCTACCGCGCGGGTAAGCGGCGTGGTAGACTCGATAGAGAGCACGGAATCGCAGACGGTGTCTCAAGTTATCGCGACCCTGTCGGAAAGAGCTATTGAAAGGGCCGTTGAAAATGGCGCGACTAGGGAATCGATCAGCATCGCAGAAGTTGAGAGTTTCCCATTGCAAGTAAGTTGTATTCGGTGTCAGGTCCGCGAGTAGTACTAAAGATTTGTTGCAGTATGTGGCCAACCAATCTCGGATCATAATCAAGGCGGTAGGAGACTTTGACTTCTCAAGGACGGATTTCGAATGCTTAACGACCATCGACGGTGATACGCACGATTTCGACGCCAGTCGGGCCGGCCACGAAGAGCAAATCAACAGTGATGCCCACGACAAGGAAGATCCAACGGAAGGCTCACTCAGCCTCACCCAAAATGAGATCGATGAGTACAAGCCACATGTCATCGACCGGCAATGGTACCTGTCGGAAACAGATCTGGACTGGATCACGACAGGATGCTACATCCTTGGCACAGGCGGAGGAGGCAGTCCTTATCAGCACATGTTGAGACTGCGAGAAATGCTCCGAGCTGGAGCAACGGTCCGGATCATCTCCCCGTGGGATCTCAAGGACGAGGACCTCGTGGCCTGTGGCGGCGGCAAGGGGTCGCCCCAGGTGTCGATAGAGAAGCCGTACGGAGACGAGTGCGTTCCCCATTCCTGCTTGTTATATACGTCATTACTCACAAGCATTGTTTAGAATGATGGAGTCACAACGCGAGTTGTACCAGTACCTCAAGATCAAGCCGCATGCCGTCATCCCCTTGGAAATAGGGGGTGGCAATGGCTTGCAGGGATTGATCATTGGAGCATCGACCAACATGGATATTCCATGTGTGGACGGGGATTGGATGGGAAGAGCCTACCCCATATCTCATCAGACGACTCCAGTGGTGTTCGAGAAGAAAGCGACAATGATTCCGTCTTGCATTTCCGATGGCAACGGGAGGGTTATGGTAGGCCCAACTCTGACAACCGTCCTAATTGAACAATACGCAAGATGAACCGCGCTGACTCGTGTCCCAGCTCATGACCAAAGCTAGAACAGAATTAGACGCTGAGCGCGCATTTCGCGCTGCACTCTCACAGATGGGATCCCACGTCGGATGTGCAAAGGGGCCAATCAGCGGCGCCAACACCAAATCCTGGGTCGTGGAAAACACAATCTCGCTCTCTTGGAGGATTGGGCGAGCCGTCGCGTTGTCCCGTTGCTCAAACACCATCGACACAGTTGCCGAGTCAATCATCAACGAGGTAGGGGGTTCGGATTCGGCAAAGATCCTTTTCAAAGGTAAGATTGTCGGGGTAGAAAGGATCACGAAGATGGGGCATGCGTATGGAGAGGTCGTCATAGAGGCGTCCACGTCAGGAGACAAGGGTACGGATGCAGTCGAGCGGTTGAGAATCCCATTCAAGAACGAGAACATACTGGCAAAGAAGACTCGTGCGGGGGGAAACGAGGAGGTAAGTCTCAATATCGACTGTAGACTCAACGTTTCGAGCTTTCTTTGTAAATTGCTGACTGCTGCCCCGACCAGATCCTCGCAATAGTGCCCGATCTCGTGTGCGTGATCGACGCTCAAAACGGAGAGGCCATTGGTACACAGGAGTATCGATACGGCTTACTCGTAATCGTCTTAGGCATAACCGCATCTGAGAAGTGGACGTGCACCCCGCGCGGCATCGAAGTCGGCGGCCCCAAAGGTTTCGGCATGAACGATCTCGAGTATCGGCCTCTGGGAAAATTCCAGAAGCCGAGAAGTGTCATCGACGAGTTCAATAGAGTGGCAGATTCTGGGCGCATAGATGGCACTCTTCATGCCGGCGGACCATAGATTTTCTTTCCCCGCCTTGCGCCGTGCCGCCATACTTTGAACCGTCACCCGAAAGGTGCTGTTGCTGTGGCACAGGGATCCGAGTTTTGGCAGAGTTGCCTGGCCGGGTGGCCAGGATAGCATCCCCAAACGTAATTAAATCGAATGCTTCTCCCTCTTAGTGATGTGCCTTCCCTTTCTGTTTAGTCTTTGCGTAGAGTAAGCCACAGACATTGCAAAGCGTCCCTGGTCCCTCCGGACCCTTGCGCCATTCGGGGGTGTCAGTCCGGCCACATTTGTGACAAGACGACTCCTCTTTCGAAAGCTATTCAAACTTAGCGGGTACTCAACTGGCACAAGCATGAGACGAAACCTACGTGTATGCGTTTGGAACTGCTAGAATGTGCAGAAGTCCATTGTTGGATCATTTCGCGATTCTCCAATCGTTTGCTCTTCCGCTTATTGGACCTCACCCCGTAAGCTCTGGCGGCAGAGATGCCTCCGACGCTCCGAGCTATTTCGTTCGTGAGCTGCGACATGAACGCCACGTCGCTGTCGCTCATCATGGCTATCGGCCTGCGAGGGGCAGCTTTATCATCACATCCCAGCATATTTCCCGTAAAGTCGAGAAGATGCTTGGCGCTGCCATGGATCTAAACAACGACATTGCTCATGAGACATCTGGAAACAGCAGAACGATCGATAAGACGGACGGCACTTACCGTATATAAGCTTTCCGCAATTTTGATCTCTTTCAACCAAAACTGGTGATTGCCATGAGACCCGAGATCCCCATCAGGCCCAATCCTTGCTACAGCATCTTCAGTAACGGGCTGGACGGTCGATGAAGATTCTGCCTTCGTCTCTTGCGGGGGCGCGAGACGAATTGGTAGCGAATTCATCTAATTGCAGTGATGACGCGACAGAGGTAGGAGACGATGGTATGTGTGAATGAACAGACTGAAACCCAAGATCGCAGTCGCTGTACTAAGACGCAGAGATCGGGAACCAAAAAAGCGTGTGTTCGCATCAAAGTATCAAGATGTGAATCGCATGGGAAAGGTGTAGAAGGATGGGATTTGGGAGAAGTCTAGAATCGCATCTCTTCGGTTCAGGTGGTGAAACGGAGCCGCACGCTTTGCTCTGGTTGGCTCTATGTTGTTGATGCAGGTTACAGTTGGCCAGGGTTAGAAATTTTGTGGCGCAGGAAAGTTGATCAGGGTCAGAAATGTTCTAACCCTGGCCAAGTCTTACCAAGCTAACGCTAACGCTAGTCTAACCAAATAAATCATCATCACAGTATCAGAGAAAAGCTTGTACACGGAGAAAATGCGGCGCATATACAGCGAAATAGGAGCATATACATAGGGCCAAACTGTCTGGTATACATATGCGAGGCATATTCTAACAAGGCTCAGATAATAGAAAAAAAGCACGAATAGTTTATTAGGTACTGTAATAACCTAACCTAGAATATAACATATCATATAGGATTTAAGCATATATAATGCATATAAGGTGGAAACTTAATACGAAACAAACACCAAGCAATATATTTGCATTATAGAACCGAATTATCAGACCAAGCAAAACAACAGTTCATAAGCATATGTCGTACATATTCACAGTAGGTACCGTTTGATTACTGCTTATCGATGATTCAAGCTATTTCATATTAGCTTATGCACTGCCTAAGTTCAACATATATCATACCAGAGTTACGAGTGGTCGGCCAGCTTCCTCTACCACCTCTGCCACCTCTACCACCACGCTTGCAAGAAACTACCATATATTAGTATAATATGTAAGGAGTGTATATAGTGCTTAGACTTACCTCTCTTCCGGCTAGGAGTCTCCTGCTTATCGTCATCTAGAGCGGGAGGTTCTGTGAAGGTCAACCCTCGCAGACTCACTACAACCAGGTGACTTACAGCTGGAACACCTGCCATGGCAGTGTCAGATGGGAAGCCAATCATAACCCTTGTAGGAGCCCCGCCAAGCGTGGATGACTTAGTCGCGCTCCCTCAAACCTAAGTTGTCATCTTCTTTCCTTCGCTCCTTAAAGTAGAATCTTCGTCGATAGCACCTAATCGAGGTCTCTACCAATGCGATGCAACCCAGGTAGTGACAGGTTCTATAAACGTACGCTACATCGAATTAGTATATACTATTAATATGTTTACTAAGTCCACGAACCTTGCGCTTGCTAGAGGACTTAGGTGTACTAACGGCGGGCTATTCGAATACAGTTAGTATATACTTAATATGTGTGATAAGTTCAAGGAAAATGGTATATAACCTGGGCGAAGCTTATATGATGCCTTCACATGAGACCGACGTGTGCGTCGCATAGGCATTGTTGATACAGGAGCGGAGCTTGACTCCCGCTCCTGTACTAAATCTTCTATAGCCCTGGAGTCTGCAGTTTCATGCTCTATGAATTGGGCTATTTCGTCTATAGCCCTTGAATGAGCGTTAGCGTCCTCATCAGAGGGTATATTACCCCTAGCTGTCGATAAATCGGGGTCAGGTATCACACCTGACGGCTATGAAGTAGGTTCCGACGAAATAGACGCAGATTGAATAGGCTTTGAAGATGCTAAGTATAAGCTAAGCATATCCCGAAGGTTCTGAGGGATGTCACGCCGTGCTAGGGGTTGCAATCCTTGCCACTACTCCACCGTACCAGATGTCTTCACCAAAAGAGACCAATACCAAAGTCCCTGACTTTGATATCTGCAACCACTTATCAATCTGTTCAGACAGTGTAGGTCAATCACGTGACAACCGTCACAAGGGATAGGTTAGGCGAGTAGTTGTTCAAGTAGAGTAAAGTCGGTCGCCAGGGCTATTGATACGGATAAGAGGACCACCGCTGCTAAGAGGATTGATACGAGCAGTCAGACAGTCCTACTATTCGGTCTAGAAGTAGACTACACTTCTCGGAGGAGCTTGTCAAGGAAGAAGATTCGGAAGCTACTAAAGAGGACGAGGAAGATACCGGACAGCCAGGCAGAATCGAGAGAGGCGGACTTTGAGGACCTTGTTACTCCGCCCTGCGACTTTGACTGGCAGGAAGATAAGTGGAAAAAGAAGTGCGTCCTGGGGAGGAAAGAAGAGGAGAGAGAGTCCTGGGTAGGAAAGAAGAGAGGAAAGAGAGAGTCCTGGGGAGGAAAGAGGAGAAGTACGTTCTGGGGAGGAGAGAATATTTCAGTCAGATGACAAGGCTACGAGAGGAAGACTGTGGTGCGTAGGACACAGGATTCGGACACAAGTCGTCTAATCAGACTATCAACCCCCCCCCCCCCCTTCTACATTTTTTTTCTCGAAAGACACCGCTGCTATGATTAGAGGAGGATCTTTGCCTTACCCTTTATTTTATATAGGTTCGACTGTCTCTAGGGACAGAGACGAACCTATAGGGGAGGAATGTAACGGGGTAAGGCCGGACATCAGGGAAATAGGTTACGGGGCTAGGAGAAAGTTCATTTTCTCTTCTTTAAGAGGCACAGAGGCAGAGTACGACACGAGTCCCCCATCTTCACGCATCATCATCCTCATCTTCATATCATCATCTCCTTCTTATCTATATCTTCACCTTCGCTTGTCAGTCAGTTATTTAGTTATTTTAGTTATTCAGCTTATCTTTACGTTCGAGATCCTATTATCACGATACGAGTATCAGAGGCACATCCGACCAACTCGCGCACCAGACGTGTAAGAGCGAAGCTCTTACAACCAGTACCACGATCTTCGTCTGATCAGACCAACAGACGGGATCTGTTGGTACTGGAGCCGTCTGTTCAGTGTGTTAGGTGGTAGGTATATCCTACTGACCGCCTGACCCCGTTTCAATGGTGATCAGAGGGAGGCTACACAATTCGGAGGCTTCACGGCACTGAATCTCTCGCTCAGCGGACTGTACTCTTCAGGATCTCTCGTCGGATCGCGATTTCGCTAAGGACACGGAAGACACGGAAGATACGGAAGCCTCGGACATAGAGTTAAGACCGACAAACTCAGAAGGGCGGGGCTCCAAAGTTTCTGGCTACGAATCGACGATAAGGACAGCGAATGTGGGAATTCGAAGAGGAATTACAGGCTTCCGAGACTGCCGAAGCCACGACGGCCTTATAAACAGGATATGGATAGGGACTTGGCACACAGCTCGGCACACAGCTCTTGAACTCTTATTCAGAAGATAAGATACAGAGAGATAAGAGAGCACAGAGCACAGAGCAGTACAGAGCATAGGGCACAGAGCACAGCATCAAGGAGAGACGGAAATACGACAATCGACATCGGCAAGAAGGACAAGAGTATCAAGGGCATCGACAAGAGGACCAAGGAGATCAAGAGCATCAAGAGTACCGACAAGAGAAACAACGGCACAGTACCGAGGAATATAAGAAGAAGGAAATAGAAGCAAGAGTAGTACGGGATTGGACCCGGACACCAAGGCTTCAACACTACTTTTCTGAAGAAGACAGAGAGACTCGGATACAGAGATGCGATAGACGATATGAGACTCAGACACAGAGATACGACTAGCACGACAGGACCTATAGGAGAATAGTTCCTACGAAAGAACAGTTTTCCAGAGCCGAGAGAGAGGCCGCACAGCGAAAGCACGGAATCTGTTATTCGCCTAGGACTAATCAGACCGCTCCCGTCAATACCACCGAGAATCCGATCAAAATGGCTCAAGTTTTTACTATACTATATAAAATAATATTATTAAATACGCCGTAGGTGTTAACCCTCGGTACCTCTACAAGTACTCCCTTAAGGGGCTATAGATGATATAGCGGGCCCTTAAGCCGCGTCGGGCGGTTATACAGGTAAACTTGTAGCCAAACGACTACTAAACCTCCTGTCCCTCCCTAAGTCTGTGCTACAACCCCTGCCTGAACTACCGATAAGCGTGGTAATGTGGCACTTAAATTCGTCCTCAGGGGTGGGATGCTGCTGATGTGCAGAAGATGCTCGACTATTTTTTGTCGCGACAAGTCGTAGTATCTGCTAATTGGGGTTCTCGTCGAGCGTATACATCTCAACCATACGCTCAAGTGGATAGACCGTAACGTGGTCTAGACGCTCGCAAGAATCGCGGCGAGGGGGCGTGCTGCGCGCCTTCTATCGTGAGGGTCCGATAAGGGGTCGGATTAACGATTCGAATTCTGGACCGGCTGTCGAGTTATATTCCGCCGACGTAGTGCTTGACGGTTGACTGGCTAGGATGCTCGTAATCCTAAACTGCACCAATCTCCCTATTATCGCTAGGTAGGCGAAGTCAACAAGGTGGGCAGCGCGCCGTAAGGGTTGACTAAACCCCCTTGTGTGTCAGCTGCGGGATTCGAACCCGCGACTCGTCACCGACCCAAGTGGGCGAGGCTCAAATCGGGACTTATCTACCAGCGAAGTGACCAACTACACCAGCCGACTATACTATATATGATCCCCGATGTAGCGCAATACCCACACCTCCGCTTTGACGGCGATAACGTATCCGACTGGATTGAGCAGGTCGATCGGATCTTTGAGAGAGCTCGACTCAGTGATGCTCAAAAGATTGCCAAAATCCAGTACTAGACTAAGGACAGGACGCATCAGAAAAGGGTGGAGGACGCTATCGATCAACTTGACAGTTGGAGTGCTGCGGTAACGGCTCTGAAAAGTACCTTCGTAATCGGAGACCCCAGACAACTACGAAGTGCATACCAGCGCCTCAAAGACCTCGAGATCCAGCCTCCGCTATCAAATCCGTCAAAGATCTATACGTACTGTCTTGATCATAAGATCCTGGTTAGTGAGACAAAGGGTACTACTCAAGTCCCAAGCGACCTTGACTGTACTCGAGGCTTGTTTGAGGGAACCCACAGTCACAGCCTTGAAGGCATCATAAGTAAGCTGATATGACGTACGAAGAGATCTTCAAGATGGAGTACTCTCAAGCCCAGAAGTTAGTCCGAGGATGGGCGAAGACTAAGGTCGATCTGGAAAACCACAACAAGCGAGCCAAGAGATATTTTCCGTCTGATCAGGACAAGAGAAAAGCCAGCCAGATGTGACTGCTCTCACGGAGAAGCTCAGATCCTTGGAGATACGGTTATACCAAGTAGGTCCGTCTGATCGGAGACACCAGATAGAAGACATAAGGACTGCATACCGGCCACAGCAGCCATGGGGCTGTCAGCCACTCGTACACCAGGCCGTACACCAGACTCAAGGAAATACGATTAGGACTTAAGACAGCCCTCGTCAAGACAGCCCTCTGACGCATATTCTTCATTCAATTGACTCGATTGCAAAGGCTACGCATGCAATGATGCAAGAGAATGTTATCTTGCGTCGCGAGAACGAAGAGCTTCGTGAGACTAACCATGTGCTAAGCAAACGTCGCAGAACCAAAAAAAGCAAATCCAGTATGTTGGGCCACTTAATATAGAAGATGCACAAGTTCTACGGGCTATTAGGGGTGATACGGGTTTGGAAAGTGAGGAAGAGGGTGAAAGTAGTCGTCCTACAAGGAGGAGGGCAACGGGTGCTAGGCGCTGTGGCATTTGCGGAGGAACTGAACATAATGCGCGAACTTGTCAGGCAGATGTAGAAACAGATAATGAAAAGAATTCTGATTAATTTCTTGGATGAATACGGGTTGTTGTTGATCTATCTAAGATTAAAGGTTGGGAGGTCGTGAAAAGTTGGGCAAAGACCCGTGTGGGGCATTGACCTGTGGGTGACGTTATCTCTTTTAGGATTAGCATATGTGGGGCATATACAACACCACAAAGATCTGATACTGTGCATTATACCTAGTTTGGTTAAGCTTCCCTTGGCAAACTTGGCCAGGGTTAGAACATTTCTGACCCTGATCAACTTTGCTGCGCCACAAAATTTCTACCCCCTGGTCAACTGTTTCTGACCCTGGTCAGCTGTACGCTCGTTGTTGATGTCCAGACGGCCGGCCACCCCCGTTTGCCACCACGCTAGCGTAGTACTCGAGTAGGTTGACAGTTGGGTTAGCATACGCTAGTGAAATATCTATCAAACCCCCATCTCCACCTCCCCTGCTTTGGCCTGCCGTACTGTGAGACACGTTTGCTTACGTCTCCTAGGAAATAATAAAACCCGATACGCTATACTGCGCTGTTATACTCAAGTTATGTACCTATGCGATGGTATAGAACAAGTGTGTAACATGCACAGATGGAGCAATTGACTACCATGACGTCATGGTGCCTTCTTGGGCTGACTCATACAATATGATCGACTCCCGTTCCACTGGAGATACTGCATGTGATTTCCGTAACGGTTGAAGCTCTCAGTATAACCCACACATATTAACGGCGCTGCAGTCATGCTAAGACAGTGCTGACTAGCAATACGCAACTCGACCGCGTCCGTACGACGACTGAAGGAGGTGATAAGTACACCTTAAATGCCTCACGTTACGGCACACGAAATTATGTCTGCCATTGTACCCGTCCCGAACGCAGAAACTCTGTGGAACATCGAGATGTTGCGGACAACTTCACAACCAAGCTAGTTCCAAGTTCCTGGCTTCCTCCCCAAGCCCCTCTTCTCAGGAGTCAGTAATTTCAATTACTGATATGGGCATACTCAATTTTGGCTACGTTTGAGCCTGCCTTCGATGTTGAAACTGGCTACGGCATTACTTAGCAGCCCCTAAATGCCGCAAGCCCGGAGACAGCCTGCTTTAGGTTCTCCCCGGCCCCGATACAGAGTCAGTATCACGTCGACTATAGAGCACCAACCCATCACCATAGTCGGCCCCCTACTGTGCCCTGTCGTGCGTCTCGGCAGGCCCGACCGTTACGGCGGAGATTGTGGTCCACGGAATTTGTCTTTCCGTCGCCGCAAAACTGGACCCGCCCTTCGACAACTATGGCAAACAGACATGCCTGGTGCAAATCGATTCAATTTGGACGTTTCTTACACAAAGTCACCACGTTATTGGGCCGGCGTGATCTGTATTACCTTGAACAACTTATGAAGTTATCTTGATGCGACAGGTCTATTTACGGGTGGCCTGCATACTGTGATGGCTTGGTGTTCCCGATGACAACAAAACCTATATTGCCTTGCAGGTAAATAGAAAGTAATAGGATGGACAAATCCAATATGTACGAGAAGGGTAGAAAGGTAGTAGGCCTTGTCTGGATCCTTCAAAACCATCACCTTTTAGAAGAGGAAGATTTCCAGCCAGCCTTCTTCAACGTAGCTTGTTGTACCATTTAGGATTTAACAAGTTCAGCATACTTCCGCGGACTTTGCATCTTGCAAGAATTAGTCTTGGCAAACCCTTCCATTTTCTTTCACGGCTTGGAATATTACTCTTTCAGCGAAGTGTCAACGTGTCATTCCCGACGCACGCGGATGTCTTATCACTAGCCGTCAAGACCTGCTCGCATTGGTGATTTCGTCTGGCCCAAGCTGCATGATCCCGGGTTTCTACAATTTGTCATTATAGACAGCAACAAATTTCTCAGGGAGCAGGAAAAATTCAACTTCCATGCCTGGATTTCACTGATAAAAGACTGCATTGCACAAGACCTTGGTGATACAGTGTACGGACTGCTTGGTATCTCCCCCCTGGAAAGTACATCTTTCTCCGCGATTGGCGCTACAAGACTAGTATAGCCCTATTGCAAGCCCAACCACACCTAGTGTTCTTTTACGCACCGAAGGAGAAGCTGTCTGGCCAGGGCGACTCCTTATTATCAGATCAAACGACATATCGTGGACTTGCGCAATGAATAGGTTGCTCTAAACGATCCAGATGACCTGGAAGATATCGGGGAAGGCGCTGCAATGTTTGCTGAACGTCAACCCTCAATTACCCGATATACTCGATGCCTAGATTGAGTTGGTACGATTCAACCTTCTGGACTCAATGGTCTAAACTTACAATAATGAGCTTTTCCGTGCCAAGTGAGGGCCTCCTAGGAACGGGACCGCCGACTACAGCTGTCAGCAAAAACGTATGCTTGCTCCACGGCTATACCATGCCTGTTGTGCTTAGAAGGGCAGGCGGCAACTGGCTGCATGTGAGCATGTGTGATGTTGTCGGGATTCCAGATAGCGAAGGTGCTGCAATGTTGGAAAGTGGCGAGCCGGAGACTCAGGGTTTCTCTATTGTTTGAATGGAACGGAGGTAGTTCTGGCCGTTGCTATGTTGACGTGCTACGTGCACAGATCTGAGAGATCCTCAAAGCGATGGTCAAGTTCAAATAAGAGGCATTAGGCTGGCCAATCTCTGCTCGAATCAGAATCCTACGGAAAGGGCTTAAACCGGCTTTACAAGCCTCTAGTAGCCAGTGATATACAATCTACAGACTGGATTTAGGCATGGGATTTGTGTGAAAAGCGTTCTGGATTTTGCTATGCGCGAGAACTAATACCAATCTTGTGGTGTAGCATAGGCATTCCTCCTGGGGGTAAATCAAAATGGGCTTGCTAATATCAATATCCCCGCACCGGGCACCTCCCCGTCGTGCAATTGTCCCCAAAGTTGGACTCGTTTCATAACATATCAAAAGAATCGCTTTCTCTTATTTTCCAACCGCAAGAAAAAAGTAACAAAGAAAACGAATCCTTGCAGACAGCCCAAGGCATCCTCTGTCATCGGTCCAGAGGAGCCCCTCGTCCTGATTCATGTGCTGCTCCAAGGTTCAATTCGTTCCGACGTAATTTTAGGGACGTTCACCATGCCGATGCGAATACCCTCCCTTAAGCTTCTAATAGGCTGGGTATTGTTATACACGGTGCTCATCGTCTACGGTTACGCGCGCTTCTATCGCGACCCAGGGAGCATTTTCTACGACCCCGACAGGGCTTTCGTGCGGCAATACACCGACTTCCGGCTGAGGCAGGTAGCAGCGTTCATCAGCGCGTATGACAAAGACGCGCTGCGACCTGTGACGAAGGCTGGTGCAAGCCCGAAGATATGTGTCCATGTTACTACCGTTAAGCGAGATGGCCAGCAGTACATTGATGTAAGACACCTGCAAGTTCTGACCCCGCATCGCTTATCTCACCATCTGACCTCGATGACTAGGAGACCATTGCAAGTGTGCTCGAGGGGCTCACGAGCGAGGAACGCGAAGACATCTATGTTTCTGTCTTTTTCGCCAACACAGACCCAACCATACACCCCTCGTACCACAACCCATGGCTACGGCACGTAGTTGATGAGGTGTATTCCGTGCCCCCAGACAACGGCGACCTTATTCACCGTTTGGAAGGCTACGAAGACAAGGGTGATTACTCGGCCAAAGGTGTGGTCGATTATGCATATGGTCTGCAACACTGCTACGACAAGGGTATGCCCTTCCTGCTCATGCTCGAGGGCGACGTGATTGCAGCCGACGGGTGGCTAGTCAAGACTTTGGAAGGCCTGGATCGCGTGCAGAAGATCTTGAGAAAATCCCCGAGCGATTGGATCTACCTCCGACTCTTCAACCAAGAGCGCTCCACTGGATGGGCCTCCCACAAGGTCGGTGCCAACAACGAACTCTGGATCAGCTTGGCCATCGCAGCCGCCCTCCTCTGTTTCGCCGCAGTGTTACGTCGATATGCGCGTTCATCCACAATCCTGACAGACAACGCGTCACTGGCTCTCATCTGCGCTCTCATTATCCCATCCCTCGTCGTCGGCTTCTTTCAAGCCGGGAAGGCGAACGTCCTCCCGCCCAGGCCAGGCGTCTTTGAGCAAAATTTCGGATGCTGCTCCCAGGCATTACTCTACCCCCGGCGACAGGTTCCACGCTTGACGCAATACCTTCAAAATACCGGAAAGGGGCAAGTAGACCTGATGGTGAACAGACATGCCGCAAGCGACCATCTATCCCGCTTTTCCTTGTATCCCGTGCAGTTCCAACATGTCGGCATCCAATCTTCAAGGAAGACGCTTGTAGATGAAGCTCGTTCTATATGGAGTATGGCTTTCGAAGATAAGAACCCAGTCGCGCTGGAACGGGATCATCAACGGCTTGTTGAGGCTATCTACCACAGCAAGCGTTGAGAAGGCTGCGAGGAAATGGTCCGTTATACCGTCACTTCGCTCCACCAGGCTGTTGTTGGACATAATAAATAAACTTAAGAAACTTCGGGCATTAACAGTACGTAGGCTGGAGAGTATCAGCATGTGAGGCGTGTGAGAGTGGAAAGTTGACTTGTAACTCTAGGACTGCGTAGGGTAGATGGAATTGCATTGATTCATGTCGGTTTATACGGTGTAGCGTCGAGGAAAAATGCACCGGTGCTTCGCTTCAGGGTGTCGCTATTGAGGATTGCGCATGAAACTAATCGCACGCACTGTTATGAGCCCCCTTTCCGAGCAATCAACTAATTGGTAATAAAGGCCCATGAGAGTGACAGTTCGGATGATGGGCCCGGATCTGATACTGTAACTCGATCACACGTGATTGTTCTCACAATTGCACTGCCTGTATTCATGATAGTACTTTTGTACGATTCAACTACTTGGCCTACCACCGTTTTGGCGCAGAAACGCCGCCGGACATGAATGTCCTGGTGGTGACATTTGCCCTTTCCCTCTCCTTTGCCAGTTTTGACAATCCTACTCTGTCCGTTACGGGCCTCGCATTTATGATGTCATCAAATTCGTCATCCTCTTCGTTGTCCGAATCAGGCTGGATGTCTTCGTCAATGCGATATCGAGGTTCTGGACGAGATACTATCTCGAGTTTCTTCTTATGGCCGTCATCCTCGGGATTGGCGAACGGTTTCGACGCAAGCACCCTGCGACGAATCTCCTCCATTTGCGCATCGTCGTCGCTATCGTCTGATATTGCAAAGGGGTCTCTGTTCTGGGTCTCTTCCTCTTTTTGCGTGCTTTCGCCGATCTTTGGCCATTGGGATGGCGGCTTCTTCCCCAGGTATATGCCGTTGGTGCTTTCATTGTCGTCATCCTTGTTCCCGTCCTCGCTGCCATCCTCTTCCTCGTCCTCGTCATCAGATGGCATGGTGACGCGGTGATTTGAATTTCCGCCCTTCCATAGATCGTCGCCGTCTCCCTCCTCTCTGCTCTCGTTGTACTCCTTCTCCAGCCTTTCCATCCATGCGGCCTCGGCCTTCTTGATCTCGGCTTCGTCGGCGCAGGCGGCGTACTTTTTCAACAGACTCGAGTTAATGTCAAGAAACGACTGTCCGTAGTTGAAAGGTGCCAATATTTCCTCTGCCCAGTCCAAGTGTCCACAAATGGCGAATGCAGCACCCAACGCTTCCACGCAGTTCAACCGCCAAGGTTTGCCGTAATTGACCGTGTTTGCGGCCACTAGGTACGGCAGCAACCTCTCGCATTTGCCGCCAACCTTGCTCCATTGGACCTCCTGCGTCCGCGCCCACGAGCACTCCACCACTGCGGCGCCGTATTGATCCATGAGGTCCTTGTCAGCTGGTGACAGTGTGTGTTTCCCGTTCGGGGTGATGATGACACCATTGTGTTTCTGTCCAACGTGCAGGTCGCGCATCATGCCCAGCTTGATCAGCTTCTTGCCGGAACATCGTTTCGGATCGCAGTGGTTCAGATCCCAGCAGGCGGCTTTGAAGGATGGGCGCCCATCGGTGGCATTTTCGGAGTCGTCTTGGCCGGGTCGAGGTCGAGGCGGGCCGTGGCTTTTACCACCTCTGAATTTGTCCTTCTTGTGGCGAACCATGGCAGAGTCAACCAAGGGGGAAGTGGTGGCAGGAAGATGTGGTTGATTATGGTGGGGTTAGATTAATTGGGCGAAACGACAACAGTTCCCCTCGCAGACAGATCCCTAGAAACAGATTGTGGGGAGGGAATAAACCAGGGACTGAAAGAGAACGGTATTCACTTCAAAGCCGCCACTCGACGTCTATCTTCACTTTTTCATCATGACTGGCGCGCTTTGAAAGCTGCAGTTGCAAGTGGGATGCACCGCGGGGCAAGATGCGCCGGAACCGGGACTATAATAGTCCGATTACACACAGATGATACAAGCATTGGCCGTGCTTGCCTTCGCACAGACCTGCTCAATCTCGCGAGAAGCCACTTGCACCACTCCACTCCGCCGTTGTGCAAGGAAGTGGGATGCCTGTGGATTAGCCAGATAATCCAAACCGCCTTGCACTTGACAATTCCAAGTTGGCCTCCCAGCCGATGATGGACTAAAGCCAAGACTTGTACATGGAAACAATTCCCTAACATCGCCGCTCTCGCATAGACGGTACGTAACACATTTGTTAGCCACCATGGAGGCAGCATCTGCCCGATATGCGGCCAGGGACCGCTGGAGTGAGATGGGCGGTTTCCAGACACCGTCACAACTGCAGCGCTTCATCCAGACGGCCTGCAGCCCCGAGAACTACGAGCCCAACCTCGCCCTCAACCTCGAGATTTCCGATCTGATCAACAGCAAGAAGGGCAGCGCGCCTCGAGAAGCCGCCGTCGCGATTGTCGGATATATTAACCACCGCAACACGAATGTCGCCCTACTCGCCCTTAACCTCCTCGACATCTGCGTCAAGAACTGCGGATACCCCTTCCACTTACAGATCAGCACCAAGGAGTTCCTCAACGAATTGGTCCGAAGATTCCCAGAACGACCGCCCATCCGCGCGACGAGAGTACAGACCAAAATCCTCGAGGCTATTGAAGAATGGAGAAGCACAATATGCGAGACAAGCAGGTACAAGGAGGACCTGGGCTTCATTCGCGACATGCACCGTCTGCTAAGCTACAAGGGTTACACATTTCCCGAGGTGCGACGCGACGATGCCGCCGTTCTCAACCCCAGCGACAACCTGAAATCGGCTGAAGAGATGGAGGAGGAAGAGCGGGAAGCACAATCAGCGAAACTACAAGAACTCATCCGTCGCGGTGCCCCTGAGGATTTGCAAGAGGCCAACCGTCTTATGAAGATCATGGCAGGTTATGACACGCGAAGTAAGACGGACTATCGCGCAAAGGCTGCCGAGGAGGTGGGCAAGATCCAGGCCAAGGCCCGTCTACTAGAAGAGAGGTTAGAGGGGTTTAAGCCAGGCGACAAAATGACCGAAGGAGATGTCTTCGAAGAGCTCGCCTCGGCTCTCTCCAGCGCCCAACCAAAAATCCAGAAGATGTGTGAGGAGGAATCGGACGATCACGAAGCTGTTGCAAAACTACTTGAGATCAACGACAGTATACATCGCACAGTAGAGCGGTGGAAGCTCCTCAAGAAGGGCGACATCGAGGGCGCGGCCAAGATCGCCAAGGGTGGTCACATACCACAGTCTTCAGCTCCCGGAAAGGCTAGTTCGGCTGCGGACGAGCTCTCTCTGATCGACTTTGATGCCGATGTAGGCGCAAACGGTAATGGTACAAGCAATGACGCCGGAAGCTCACAAGTTGGCGGAGTTGAGAATGACCTACTGGGACTTTCCCTAGGGGACAGTGACGGCAGTTTTGGTCAAGGAGGCGGTATTTCACTGGGATTCGGAGCAAATACTAGTATGATGACATGATCAACTGACGGCTATAATGGAGACTAACCACTTTGCAGATATACCCGGACCCGCTCTCCTATCCTCTATTACCCAAACATCCACCGCAACAGGCGCGGCTTCCTCTTCCACGCCGCCGCCACCATTCTCGTCGTTCTCTGGATTTAACTCTGCGCCTTCAACATCCCAAAACAGCACACCTCGACCTACATCACTTTCAGCCTTTCCTCAACCAGCCTCTAAACCTGCGACACCAGCCAACGACCCCTTTGCCGCTTTGGCGTCCCCGATGTTTGGTTCCAAGCCAACACCAAACCCGCCAGTTCCTGCTCCAGCTGCAGCCAACGATGATGACGAGTGGTCATTTTCGTCTGCACTACCCCCAGAACCCTCGCTTCCTAAGCAACATAACGCCAGGATCCAGGACGGTCAACTGCAGGTTGATCTTGCCGCTACGAGGTCTCCTCAAGCACCCGCTGCATTGGCCTTGTCCTTTGCGTTTTCAAACAATAGCCCCCAGCCCATTAGCGAGTTGCACTTTCAACTAGCGGTGACCAAGGCAAGCCACCCTATTCGTTTTCTCACTACATCGTCAGCACAGTCGTTGCGGTACCATCGCCATTACCCCTGCATCCAAGCCCCTTATATTTTCACGGGGTTATGTAACCCAATCCCCCAATCTCACTAACGCTTTGCAGGGTTATGAACTTCAACTTCAACCCCAAACTGGCCGCGATTTGCTGCCAAACGAGAAATATGGTGTGACGCAAGCGATTCAGGTGTGGCACTCCGGCGACAAGTCGAGGAAGGTGGAAAATGTTAAGTTGCGTTGGCGTATGAGCTATAAAATTGGAGGAATAGCTCAAACTGAGATGGGTGATGTAGCTGAATTTGGAGTTGCTTGATAGGAGTAGAAATAAGGGGTTGTCTAGAACTAGCACTGGAGTCCTTTGACAGTTTGGCCAAAGGCTCAGAGAGGCGCTGCTGCTTGAATCAATGAGGTGTTCAAGTGTTGAAATCGGCCTTATTCTTTTGAGTCGATGGGGATATTAGTGACGTGGTGCTTGGTCGCAAAAGACGAAAACTCAAGGTCTTTGAGTTAAATTATCTTATAGCAGATAGGAGTTCTCATAACATGAACCTCGGACTATCGTTTAGTTGCGGACTTGATTTGCGACGTCCACTTCACGGTTCCCACGACAGATGGCCAATGGTTGCCCGACTTTCCCACTACAAGCATCTCGCTCTAAACAGTGTCATGGCTTATAAAGTTGAAGTCCCTGTCCTTTTCGTCGGTGAGACTTCTCGCCCTGTTCGATAGAAGTCTTGCAAAAACTGGCGGCTGACTAGCAGACGTCTTGGCTACGTGATGAACGACCATGGATCCGGTAGCCTGTGCCAATATTTCCAGCATTCCACAGCTCTTAATCCGGCCCATCGAGGCATCCTATTTACATTGAGTTCTGTCATCGAAATCCCACTGACTCGCTCATGGTATTGCAGGTAGGTTGTTCTGTGAGCTTGTGGTGCTGTCATCGAGGAGTTATAATCTCGGCGATTGCGGGTTTCCCTCCATCTCGCCATAATCGCTAGTTCTATCCGCCGGCATGCACTGCAGTACCCAGCATCTAAAACAATGCATTTATTGCGGAGTTTGCACGGGTTCGGCGCTTCAGGAGAGGGCCTTGAAAACTATAGAGGAGAGGACTGCACAAGCATAATTTCTAATTTATGGTTGCGAGATATACGCTTCAGCCCGAGGCTGCACAATTGAGAACTTGGAGCTCACCTCCATCACAGCATATCTCAAGCGTTTGACCGAAGAGCTCCCGCAGCAGCAGTGACGACTTTATACCCGTGCAGGAACCAAGTTGAAATGGGAGAACTTCAAGAGGGTACTGAAGCCAGTGAGGAAGGACGCATAAATACAAAACCTACAGACTCGGGTCGATAGATTTCGCCAATAGATCAACTCACCACGCATTACCATTCTGAAGTAAGGCTCCGATATACTGCCGATTACATGTTGGGGCTTCATAACTGCCATTAGTACGTGAAGCGTAATCAGGACATCTTTTACGCAACTTGCCATTTAAGTATTTGTTGACTCGCCATAGGACTGTGAAAAAGGCACACAAGAATATATGCAGCTGGATTTTCAACAACTCTAGTTGCAACTTCTTCCAATAGCTTCAATCCAGGCAAGACATCTACTGGATTAAGGCAAAGCTGGCAGTGGGAAGTCCACTCTCATGAAGGATCTTCATTGCCAGCTGTTATATCTGGCTTACCGGGAAGCCGTTGCAAGTGTCAAAACAAGGGCTCTTACGTACTTTTCTGTTTCAAATCTTCGAGAAATCATCTGAGCTGGTTGAGATATCCGTCTAGAGGAATATCTCTTCAATGCGAACACTTCAATTGTTTAGGACAGCAATAACGTTTCAGAATCATCAAGTAGACTTTCGGACATCACTCTTGAAGAATTGTTGTTGTGTACCTTTATTGCCGGATTAGACGAATACCAGGGGGACTACACCGACTGGGTGTGGTTGCTAAGGGTATGACCGTCCTTGGAATGGGTTTCAGGTTCCCTACGACGAAAGTGACCAAAGGCTAAAGCTCGAGGATCTTACACGAGAAGATATACGAAACTAGGTGAGAGGGAATTGGGCAAGCAAAGGACATCTCGGACGGGATTCCAGGGCATCGCCGATGAAATGGTTGAAAGAGCGTAGGCGGGTTTTCTGTGGGTCTACTTGGTCGTCCAGCGCCTCACCAAGGGTATGATTAATGGGGACGATATCTTGAACATGGAGGAAACTCTACATTCCCTTTCGAGTTACCTCGAGGAGTCTATTGCTTGCTTTGACTATTCAGGCCCTATGTCAAATCCAAACTACAGCCAAAGAAGAAGGCGTTGAATAGAAACGTCGGTCAAACCCAACTGGACTATTCCTTACGGCGCTCTATAGTAATTAGAGATGTCGATCCTGGTAACATGGAACTAGAACAATGGATTTGCTGCCAAATACCAACAAAGATAAGCTTCACGTGAGGTGCTGACGGGAGCAGACAGATACACCGAGGGTTATTTGTTTTTCGACGGAGATGGGCTTTCGCTGCAGGCGACGGGCCGAGGCTTTTTTAGCAACGGCACTGCGCATGCAAAGGCGATTGCTAATTTTGAAGCTTGGAGGGAGTTGGCGCGGTTTAGCTGGAGCACGGATGGTATTGACGAGGTCGATTTACCCGCTGCAGACTGTGATACAAGTGCAACCCTGGTGACACCTCCAAGAGGTGTATATGTGTCGAGGCCGATTATTTGTCACACAAAAACCCGTCCGTTATGTCTGACAGGGCTGGGTTTGTGTGACCATGAATCTCCGTTGCAGCAGACCCAAAAGGTGCGAATAGACGATGCATACCAAGCACGCGAATGGTGGTCTAGAAGAAAAAGTGAAAGCATACCAAAATAAGTTGTGCCTTTGGGTGTTATAAAAGTGCACCAAGATCCAAAGTCTCTCACATGTAGAATGCTACAGAAGGATGGCTTCTCAAGCTTGGCATGGCTAGATACAAATAGCACCAGCTGCTTGTGGTTTTTATCGAGCAGTTTGAACTATGTCTGATAGGAACTAAACTCCTATAGGAAGCATTTACACAACATGCTTAAGGAGGTAAGGTTCTCTATGGTTGGATCAACTAGAACAACATCTTTCTGCTGATCCCATACAGGCATCATTTTATGAACTGCGGCCTCGGAGGTTTCGCCCTGGAGACTTCAAATCTACACCATGACATTCCTAGGACGACAAAGTTAACCATCAGATATCTCCCTTTGGTACCAGATCAATCATCCTTCAATACCCCAAGCCTTTCCTCGACATACAGTCTTTTCTGAAACAAACATCCCGGCTCAGAAGTTTTGTCACCTGCATATGCATCGATCTTTGATGCCAAACTTTCTGGCGAATGATTGCTTTCGAAGTTTCCAGGTTTGATGTTCGTCAGGCGAACATCGTATTTTCGCTTCCTTGCCGTCACACGGCTGCGTATACCCATGACCGGAAGGATGGATTTGAGACAAACAAAAACGGTCCATATTGGAGCCCGCGAGATCTTGCAACCCATTTGAACTCTCGAATATCTCGGACTATCTTTCCCAACAGCTGTGTCCTGTTCATGATTTACTGTCACCTGATTGTGTTGATTCATTCTTCAGCTGCGTCCCTGGCTTATCACGTCCACATTCACCTCTTATCGTTAGTCTTACAGAGTAGGATGACGATCCAGATCCATACTGACAGTCAGCGGGGGATGATTGCTGCCGCAGTCGGCCTTCGACTTTGGGCCAGGCGAGTGTCTCGGCCTTCGTTAGGTTGGACTGACTTCCTCCTTATTGGAGCAAATGTGAGTGCCCGTCTCCCGTCTAGTGGCCGATGCGCCATGGTTGAAACCAAGACTAGGTTGCTTTGGTAGGATTTTGGGGAATTAAAATAATAATATTAAATACGCCGTAGGTGTTAACCCTCGGTACCTCTACAAGTACTCCCTTAAGGGGCTATAGATGATATAGCGGGCCCTTAAGCCGCGTCGGGCGGTTATACAGGCAAACTTGTAGCCAAACGACTACTAAACCTCCTGTCCCTCCCTAAGTCTGTGCTACAACCCCTGCCTGAACTACCGATAAGTGTGGTAATGTGGCACTTAAATTCGTCCTCAGGGGTGGGATGCTGCTGATGTGCAGAAGATGCTCGACTATTTTTTGTCGCGACAAGTCGTAGTATCTGCTAAGTGGGGTTCTCGTCGAGCGTATACATCTCAACCATACGCTCAAGTGGATAAACCGTAACGTGGTCTAGACGCTCGCAAGAATCGCGGCGAGAGGGGGTCCGATAAGGGGTCGGATTAACGATTCGAATTCTGGACCGGCTGTCGAGTTATATTCCGCCGACGTAGTGCTTGACGGTCGACTGGCTAGGATGCTCGTAATCCTAAACTGCACCAATCTCCCTATTATCGCTAGGTAGGCGAAGTCAACAAGGTGGGCAGCGCGCCGTAAGGGTTGACTAAACCCCCTTATGTGTCACTGCGGGATTCGAACCCGCGACTCGTCACCGACCCAAGTGGGCGAGGCTCAAATCGGGACTTGTCTACCAGCGAAGTGACCAACTACACCAGCCGACAGGGGAATTATAATCGCCAGTAAGTTGCTCAAACTCTCCGTTTTTACCCGGGATTTGGTAGACCTTGGTTATGTACATGCTAAGATTTCGAAGTGGTCTCATGCGGTGTCCTTGGTCTGAACTTCAACAAGGATGAGATAGTAGATATATATGGACCAGAGATGTTGGCCTATGTGGGCAAAGTAAGAACCCCATGCCTTACACCTCATGTTCCACAACGGGATCATGTTTTACTCACATGAACTTCATTACAGCTATCATTTGCCTCAATTATGTTGTGGTACGGCTCGTGCTATTTGTGCAAGATATCTGTTCTCCTCTTGTACCGCGATATTTTCCCAACGCGCAACATGTTGGTTCTCACAAAGATCGTCTGTGTCTTGACTTTCGCCTGCGCAGTTGCGGTCCTTGTTGGGACCCCTCTTGTATTGAACCCAGTCAGTAAGCGATGGACACATGGAAAGCTTCCACCCGCGGAGATAACCAACGCAACGCGCATGGCAATATTTGGTGACGTAGCAACGCTGAGCACGGATATACTCATCTTCTCGCTCCCATTGAAGTCACTATTCAACCTCCGCGTCAAATGGCCAAAGAAGGTCGGCATAATATCGACCTTTACGCTCGGCTTCCTGTGAGTATCCCCTTAGCGGAGTCTATCATCTAAGCTAACTCGACACCTTGACAAGTGCCTGTATCATCGCTCTCGTACGCACCGGATTAGATTACACGCCCGACTCAAGTAAGGAATTCGAATGCGTTATGAACGGACTGGAGCCAAGTATCGCCATCATCGCGGTCTGCGTCCCTACCCTGCGCCCTCTGCTGTATCGCAAGAGATATACATACAAGGTGACGACAATCAAGGAGATATTCAGCACCAAACCGAGTACCTGTCGTACTCTCGTCAATCCCGAGAGCACTGTGGACAAGACCGAGGATGCCTCCACAACCAAGGTGGACGATGCTGTTCGGTGATGGCAGGGACAGGAATCGGGCGAAACAGTCCTCGATGGGATTGAAGGGTATAGTGGTGCATTCTTGGCTAACTTCTACCTCTACTGGTGGATGCGGAGAAAAGTTTAAGGGTTTCCTTTGTTCGCTGGGTACCTATTTGGATGGATAGTTCACTTCAACATGGATGGTGGGTGGTAAACTTTGGCTACATGTAATTATTGATCGTCAGTAGTTTGGAGATTTTGGGACTTCTTGGATTGAAATGAGTGTTTAGAGAAAACTTTGATTTTTGGGGGGTTGAAATCCGAGGGTATTGAAGCATAATGGGAAAACGAGCTCGGTTTCTACTGATGGAATAGGTGGTCTCAGAAAAGCAGGGTGAGTAAGGTTGTCGCCACTTCGACTGCCTTTCCAATGCAAGATTTTGATGCATTGTTCATTTGTTATGTATGCTTTGTGTTATTTCACCTCTACTCGGAAACATCAATGAACATTCGTTATTATATCGGGGTTTCACCGTAAGGAAGTTGGGTCGCAGACTTGACGACGAGATCACTACCTGCCTTCCAATTGTGATAGGGACCCGTCTATCCAAGAATGGTGATATGTTGGATTAGCATGCCTATGCTTAACAAGGGACTGCAGCAACACAGCCCTTGGGGCCATGTCAAGACGAGTTATTCCCTTGTTCCGAACGCTTAATAGTAGCTTTATGCCTTGCATGAGCGATATCAACTTCTCGGACTTCAGTCGACCCTTGTGGCTGCCCAGCTGCCAGACTGGAACCGTGCTCCCTGTACGTGTGGCTCTGTGGCTCGACCCATTGCCAAAGTGACAATATGGAAGATTCGGCTAGAAGGCACGTACAAACACAGGTATAGGAGCCAAGATGAGTAGCAGTGGCTTATTAAATTACCCAATCCGATTCAAGGTTTCTCTACAAGCACAGGCATATCAGCATTGTCTCTTAGTGTTCTGCAGATGACACCCCTGTTTAATACCAGTTTCTCTACGGAGGGTCAGATGACCAAATACAGAACTAAGCTGCTGCTGATAAAATAACCAAGTAAGCCCTACTTTAGCTGACTATCCAAGCTGTAGGATCAACCCCATGAAGTCAATCTTCATATGAACAGTTTTTGGCGTGCCCTTTTCCACAGTATGGAAATAATTTGGGCCCTTCAGTATGTCGCCGACGGAAAGGTCCGCTGGGCCAATCTCAGCGTGGGCGTGTAGAACGCAATCGGGCTCAAACTCAGCCGCGAGATCTAAGGCGTGCACACACCATGTTAATACTCGGGGGAGAGGGGATGAAAGACCTGAAATTCAGATCATCGATGTGGTCAATTGTATCCCCCGGAACACGTTATAGGACGCTTAGAAGAACATGGACGACACAGCACGCAACACTGCATCTTTGGAGACAACTCCGAACTTCATGACAAGCATTGTCTAATTGGCTACTTGCCTCTTCATATTTAGCCCACTCGCTGGCTATATCACAACAAATAAATGAAAAATGTCGACCCATTGTATACGCTCTCTCAGCTGATCGTCTTTAGGTCCTATCCTTGCAATATACCGATCCCAGATTTGAAGGATGGACGCTCAGATACAGGCAAATATGATCTCCGCTTTCTCAAGGGAGGGAAACGTCTCGATTCTCCAGTTTACTGCCGAAGGAAGCTCAATGCTGGGCTGGCCTTGGATGAGTTGTTGACCGATGCGGATTTGAATACAGCAGCCCGCGGGTAATATTCATTGCTGGACTATTCTCCCACCAACAGGAGGAGAGGTTGAATTGCCACACTGAAAGGCCAAGGCCGGTCATCCAAGAACCCTCTGACATTCTCGACATAAAAGGCGTCTTCCGGTACCAGGGGCCGATTGGTCATTGGTCAGGTCCAGTTGGGACACCATGATGGCCACTTTGGGCAGGATGCCGCGCACGGGTCTCTTGCTGGCCACCTGCTCCGCGAGGTCAAGATAGACTTGTTTTGTATTCAACGAGTAATCGGTTATAGTTTTGACGAAACGCAGTCCTGATGAAGCATCTGAGGTGTCCACCATATCAACATCCTTTGTCAATGGAGCGAGAGCACAAATGCAGGCCAGTGTCAGTTGATGTACAAGACAGTTACCGTCGACAATCAAAAGCTCTGTACAGACGAGTTCGCCTCACGTACAAGACGCCGACTCGTAAAGAGTGTCTGACCCATAAAGATCAGTGGTCTCGATGCTGCATGGCAATGGCGAGGATCGATCAATTGAAGACAGAATATTAAGGACTTGAAGGTGGTGCTCGGAGGGCAACGGTAGACATAATCAGAGCCTCGCACGGGTACTATCACCACCTGGTTAGGACCACCCTGGTGTGAGTGATCGATAGTCAGCAGGATGAAGGTGGCTGTTCATGCCGCTTTGACATTACCCAGATCTATTCTCAAGAAGGCGTCTCCGGCGCCGTGTTTTTGCTGAAGTCATTAACGGAACCGAACGAATTATGCTAGGGGACAGACCCTGCCATACTCCCGGTGGCGATGCACACTGCAAAAGGACGTCTGCCTATGCCGAGGCATAGATGAAACTCCTTACAACAGCACCGGAGGCTCGATCGTCCAAGCACTTCAAACCGCGGAGTCGGCCTTGATTTTCAGTGCAAAAGAGGCAAATAATACCGGATGACTACCACGTCGTTGCGGGGACAAGCCGGGGCTCGTATCGGTGCGGCTCGGATAACGGCTTCAATTGGCGCAGGAATCAGTGCCCAACAGGAAGACAACACGACAAGCACTTGGCAGCATGGGCAATAAGAGAGCAACATATAGGGAAAAAGGGAAACCCATACTCGGGAATATTTGGGGACAGCACTGGGTAGTGGGTGGTGGTTGCCTTGCCAAAGTCGCGGGTTGCACCAGAACGTGAAACCCCACGTCATTGCAGCTGAGGCCCTGCGTAGCGCAGGACAGCAAACGGGGCTGGGAGGCGCTAGATCCGGTTCTACAGGGGTTGATGAGCGCTAGCGCAGGGACCACACAAGCCCCTGCTGCGGGCTGCCAATCATGCTGTAGAAGGGCACGCACTGTGGATCTCCAGCTGTCTCCTAGCAACCACGGCCCCGATAGTCAACAGAAAAATGATGGCTGGGAGACCATCTCGTCACCAATCGCTTGGTAATTCGGGAGGCTAGACCAATCGCATACTCTTTTCTGTGGCCCTCAGGAACTTCTGCACCGCTCTGCAACGCAACTTGGAATCATTGTCCTGCAATACCAACCACCCGATAATTCAGTCCAGATCTTCACCAAACGAAACCCGCGCGAAGCATAGAACCTGCCACCCGAGTCCTCAGCGACATTCTATCTTCGAGTCGATTTGTTGGAGGAAGAGGTTCTAATCTGTCTAAGTCCTCCTCGAACAGTACCACCCACACACAATACTGTCACCACCTTCACCATCCACCACGCTCTCTCTGCATTTTCACTCTGCATTTTACCCAAACCTACTTACACACACACCCACCCACACTCCGCTCGCTCCCAATTACACCCGTTGTGACTCGCAGTTACTCTAACAGTTAGGCACGACGTAATCGACGAGGTTCGCCAGCGCACCTGCTCCTCCATCTCTCCAGTCTTGAAGGGCGTGTCGCGACCTGCAGTTTTCCACTACTGAAGCGCGGCATTCCGAGATCTTGCCGCTGTCGCTGCCGTGTTCTACCGTCATCGACAGAGACTCCCCTCGGCCTCATCCCAGCGCTGCTGCCCGCGTCTTTCGAGCCCGACCGTCCCTCCGAAGCACGGAGGACGGGAGCGGCATTTCGACACTTCTCAGAAACTGAGACTGTGGTAGGAAGAATAAAGCTCTCACAATGGCCGAACGATTCCAAGTCGGCTGGTACCGTGAGTAGAACACCATGCTCTGAGACCTGCGCTCGTCGACCACCTGCTGACCGTTCTCCGCAGGGTTCATACCGTTCCTGGGATACCACCATGTGTTGATGATACTCATCGCAGTTGCCATCATCCTGTTATGTATGTATCGGTTGCCATTCCATCCCAACATTGCCGATGGATCGTTGACTAACGTCGCGCCTTCTCCAGCCCTTCTATTAGCAGGCTGCTCGTCATCATCGCCGCTGATACCTGACATTTTCCTCCTGTCACTCTATTACCAAGACTACACGGCCGTCCCGGACACGGCCCAAGTCGATTACAATGTGAACCAGGCCATCAAGAACATTGCCGGCGATGCACGTCTCCAAGCGCGCGTCGGCTACTTTGGTATCTGCGTCAACCCGGATGGAGGCTCCTGGCTGTGCAGCAACAATGCCACGGCCCTTGCGAACGAGGTGTCTGTCGACCAAGACCCGCTGAACCTCATCTGGTTAGCGAGTCAATTCAAGGATATGATTGTTTTCCCCTACTTGATGTAAGTCGTCCCAACGCTTCACCTTCACAGCGCAGTTGACGCCGGAGATGAACAACTGCTAACAATGCGCAACAGCATCATCGCCATCATATTTGCCTTCATCTGCTTCCTGCTGCTCGCCACCTTCCCCGGTTGGCACGAGGAGGAGGACTCGGAAGGCTCCGAGCGCGAGATCAAGCCGTTCCCATCTCGACCCGTGTCACAGGTCGCACTGGCAATTATCTTCATTGCCTCCATCTTCGTGCTCGTCTCGGTATTGTGGCAACATACAGCATCCGTCGCAGCGAGTATCATAGCGCAGGATTTCGGCAATGGTAGTGTCTTGTCGGGGGTGGGCACGAGCGCCATGGTAATGGGCTGGTTCAGCTTCGCATTGCTGATCATAGTCACAATCGGTCTGCTCGTCATGATTCTCAGTATACGAGTCTTGACGCAACTGGCGGATTAACCCTGATCGAGAGAGAGGAATCACGCCCGCCATCACGTGGATGAGGGATGTCGTCACGACGAACGGAACAAGATCGCAACGCGGCGTAATGAATAAGGAGGAAAAATGCGAATGATCATGGGTTTGGGAGGACGAGACGAAATATAGACGACGAACAAAGTGTATATGAAGAAGGAAAGGAACGGCATGAACATTGGCATGGTAATCTCGCATGATCTGATCTCAAGATCGACTGTCGACCGTCCACGGGATGAGATGATTATTGCCGTTGACACCTGCATTTGGGACCGGAGTTAGCGAGACGGATTTTCACACTACAAATGTTTTTACATATTTTTTTTTGCCCCCCCTCAACACAGTTTTTGCGTCGATTGGATATATCGTGTGCTTTTTGTCGGGTGAAGAGGGGGAGGAGAGGAGTGTGGCATGAAGAGAAACCCAAGAATCGACGCGGTATGGGAAAAATGGATTGGAGCCTGGATCGCCGAGTGGTGGTTGCGCCCGCTCAAGATGAAGGATATACCAAAGAATACGAATAGCGAATAACGAGGGAACTGGTCGTCGAGAACTCGTTAGCAAGCCAGTGTCTGCGCACGGATGATGGGTCTGGGATGGCCAGACTAAGGGGATGTGACAAGCAAGGAAGCAAGCGGAATTGCCTAGGGTAGATATAATTCAATGTCAGAATAAAAGGTGTATTGGAGACAATGCCAGAGTTCCGAGGAAAGTGCTGAAATGATGTGACGACCAGTACAACGTCGCATCCCATACGTGCTTCTCGATCTTGTCTCGGGCGATGTCAACCTGTACTATGTTACCTGATATCCCACCGCACTATGATTTTCGTGCGGCTGGACAGAAGCCCTCCCGCTGCGTCGCTTGTCAAAGCGACTTCACCACCAGGCTCTATGCGCCCACAGCTGCCACCAGCGTAGACACTTACTCAAGTTTCATGTCACCCGGGTTACTTAATTCAAACGCGTGCAACTTCTGGCCTTCAAGGTTGCTGTTAAATCGACTTCTGGTGCGATGGCATAATTAGATTTGATACTTGACAGCGCTACTCCGCATCTCATCCCATCGAGAGATTGGACTCAAAATTGCCCGACTGGGTTGCTGGCATTCCCCAATAGTCCAGAAACAATGCTTTTAGGAGACCAATACAGAACAGACATCACTGTCCCTGCGTATTCATTTATCTGAAACCTAATTCGCCTCATCGGAGCGAATTATGGTGCAAGCATAAGCATGTATACTGGCTCAACCAGTCGGACTTCCAAGAACCCTTCGACTACTGTCCTACGGTACTTCGCCCGAGGTTGAATCAATGCAATCATTTGTTTATTTTCGCCTCGCTCACTCTTGATATTACTTGCCATTTATACAGCTCAATATACCAGCTATTCGTCGCTATACGCCCTCCTCCCCAATGTTGATGACGAGCAGGCATGGCAGGCAGCCTTGCTTCTTGATGCCCGTTATGCTGAGTCCATACATCCCTCTCCTCCTAGTTCGAACAACCGATATCCCTTCTACAGTAAAGAGCCACTCTGGCAAGAACAGGCCCCAATGTAGGCAGCTAAAAGTGACCAGGCCTCTGATTTTATAGCACCGTCCTCCTCAAACTCGTATCTCAAACCCTCTCTCCTGCAGCTCGATCTGGCCCTGACAGTCTGGAGTCTCAGTTATTTCACCTCATGATTGCCGATTCAGTTCAACAAGCTCTAGGACTCTTCCCTTGGTATTGTGTGAAGAAATGGCTTCGTTTAATTATGAACATCAAGACCGGAAACCGGACTGTCTGGCGTTTTCCAGGCTCACAAGGACAACCAGGGTGCTGCTGTCAGCTATGCCGTCCTCCCTATTGAAAACGGTACGAGACATGTGAGGGATGCTAGGCGACCAGGTGGACAGCTTGGGGAGGACGATTGCCGTAATTGTTTTGCATCGTCATAAATAGCAACTATGGTGGTACCATTGTGGCGGCGGCGAGTGTGATGGAAGTCTTCTTCTGGGGAGTCCAAGTGCCCAGCACCGGAATGCGGAGGACGGCAAATTGACTCGGTCCACTCTCGCAACATAAACATGCAATTCACATAACGCAGGCGAGTTGACAAACCAGGTTCTGAGACTTTATAGGGATGCTTGCTTCGCCGTAACGTAGGGCTGTCCGGTCCCGATACTGTCTCAAGGCAGGGCTCTACAGAATATTAATCAGTAAACTTCTAGCAAGGAAGGGTTCACTTCATGAAAACGTGAGCTCGCTTCCCTTCCGTAAGTAGAAAACCCCTACGGGTCGGACAAGCGATCGCTGCATTTGTACAATCAGCTCGAGGTGTTGTTGTAAGCCGACCTCTCCGGGGAATCCCGCCTTCAATGCTGTTTTGGCGGGATCCGTCCGGCCAAGTTTCGCAACCAATTCGATCGACCATCAGATTGCCGTCAAAATAAAGATGTGTCGTAATCCATAGATATACACATGCCTGCCGCCTAAGTTCGACCCCAGACTCGACGAACGAAGACCCCGGTCCGGCATGATGATGACGACGACTCCCCCCTGTCCACTCTCTCACATGCAAGGATTGGACTCTAAGCGACCGTCGGGCTCGACGACCACCCACATCGCCAGGAATAAAAAAGCGCCAACAGCGAACCGTTAGATTATAAATGTATTACTTTACTAGATTCAACTTCACTCCCATCGTGCTCATCCATCTTCTAGCGCCAGAAACGCCATTCCCATTCGATATAAGTCATGTCCCAATGCTGCTTGAAAACACGATGCGATCACGTCGGCCGCTTGAAAGGATGTGCCTCAGTATTCAACACCCACTCGTCTAGACTGATCACATCCGGCGCGCTGTATAAGAGGTAAAAGTACTTCAACGTCTCTGCGAGCCAGAAGCTCTCCATCTCGTTGACTTGGTCCGAGTTTGGAGTCAGCACATCGTTGATGGCGCTGTGGCCGGCTTCCGTCTGTGTCGCCGAGATGATGGCCTCGAACATCCTCCAACCCTTTTCTTGCCACTTGGTGTCACCGGTGATGCGGTACATGTACCACACGGATTCGATCGCTTCGGGTCTGCGAAAATGCACGTTAGCTCGAGTTGAATAATATTAAAAAAAAGAAGAAAAGAAAAAAAAAGTAATCGCGCAAGGTGGAAGGGCTCACCTGAGGATATAACGCCTATGGTTGATGCTTACGAAGCCAGGTGGTAGCTTCTCGGTCTTAAGGCGATTCTCGACATACTCCTCGTGCGAAAGCGGCCTCGCGGGCTCCGGCACCACAGCCGTATCATCAGCATCCGTCAAAGGGATCTGGGCAGCACCGAGTTTGAGCTCGCCTTGGAGATGCTGGCCGATCTTGTCAGACCCTGCCCTCGTCGAAACATCTTCATCCTCCTGGTACGAGATCTTCTTATTCGGCGGCAGATTGTCGTTCGAGCTCGTCTCGACTCCATCGTCGTCCGTGATTGGATTCATCTTGCGCTTCCTGAGATTTGGTGTCCCCGCACTTTCGCCTTTCTGCTTCTTGGCCTGATACCCAGCAGCGCTGTCGACGGACTCATCGGCAACGACGGTGGCTTTCCAAGACCTCCTGGCTTCCTCCTCCTCATCCTCCTCAACAAAAGTCTTCGCCTTCACCTCTCTACGCAACTCGTCTTGCTTCATCTCGGCCTTCAGCTTCTTCAGTTCTGCTTGTCGCAGCTCGAAATCCTGAATCTGCAAATCCCTGGTATCCCACAAGGGGTCCAGATACTGCTGCCACACAGTTTCGTTCCAATGGCAGTCATGCACATTTGAACAAGGTACGACTGATGCGCCCTCGGGCATGATGCCGGTCGGCATGCTCTCGTACGCCCAGACACAGCCATCCGTCAATTTCTTCCCAATCTCGACATCAACAGTATCCTCGAATATCTTGCCCGCCATGCCAAACATGCCGCCAATGAAGCAAGTAAGGTGTGTAACCTCAAACTGGGTCGTAACGTCTTTTTCAGGATGTCCGCGCGTACTAAGCTTCGCACTGAAGAGGATGTCTCGGTCGCCGGGAACCATGGGCCGATAGAGAAGCCATTTCTTGACAGCATCGGCCACCTTCAAGTGCATCGACTTGTACTTCGGCTCGAGTCCGCCCAGCAGTAGGAACTGCTTAGGGAAGTACTCGTAAGTCGAATCCTGACTGCCGCCCATGCTGTAGCTTTCCGATCCCCATGCCGCTGGAGCCAAACCTTGCGGGAAGCAGTAATCGGTGCCGAACTCCTCGATGTTGAATGGCTCGCTCGTTTGTTGATTTCTCATCATTTTTTGATAGATCTCAGGGGGTGCGGGACCTTTAGGCTTCTTCGATTGAAGCTTTTTCTCTGCGAACGAAGAATCATTCGGTTTTTCGGCGGACGGCGCATCTTGTGCCATTTCGACCGGTCCCGATCGACGATCCAAAGCATGGAACTCGCCTTTGCTAGGCCGGCCTTCCTTTTCGCCCGGTACGACTACAAACTCGGAATCCGACGCGTGGGCGGGTGAGGTCTTAGACTTGCTTGGTCTCGAGCTGTACTCCCGACCCGTGTAGCCCTCGGGTGTATCCAAGGCACCCTGGGGTTGGTCGATGACCGCTTTAGCAAGCTCCGCAGCTGCGTCTGCAGCCGCAGTCCGGTTGCAGCCAGTGGCATCAACCCGCTCAGGGAATATGCCGGGGATCGAGGTTCCCCGATTCTGCCAATCCTCAAAAGCATCGGTGATGCGCGCAACAGCATCATAGTACTTATCCTCCTGGGTCACCTGGGCCAGGCGTGTGAACTCCATGGCGAGAGAACCAAGCTCTGCTATACTGATTCCGGTCTCCGCGCGCTTTGGCTGTGACGCATGAGCCGGCTTCCAATGGTAATACAGCACAGGCATGCGGTTTGGCGTATCAAAGACGCCCATGAGGATTTCAGCGAGCTCGACCGCCTTGTCGAGCAGGATATTGTATCCGCCTGCTTTGCCCCCACTGACATCGTATGCGCCCAGCAACCCACCGAGGTATCGAATCGTCGTCTCGAAAACAGGAATCTCGGCGCGTTGAGGCGAGTACGTGAAGTCGATGTTGGCGACAGCCTTGACGGCTTCCTCAAACTCGTCCTTCATGCCCATGATCCACAACGTATCTAGCGAATCGACGAGAGTAGCAGCCCATCCACAAAATGGGTCGCGCGACTTCTTGGTTACGGGCGACAGCTCATCATGCATCCAAGCATACGTCTTGTATCCGGTCCAGGCTCGCTCCATCTCCGCCTTGACTTTGTTGAGGCGATGGATGCGCTTCTGGCGCGCCTCTGCCGTCTCTTCGTGGAAGGCGTGTTGTATCTTGGGTACCGACTTCGGCTTCCCGGTTGGCAGGGGGATGATGGAGTCGGAGAAGACGGGGAAGTGCTCGGGCTGCTTGCTCCAGTGGATGGTGGTGGTGGTCGACGTCGACATCCTGCCCTCGCGACCAGCTGGAGGGTTGTGATTGTGTTTCCCATTGTTGTTCCACTCGTCGTGCGGCGTCTTCCTATCGGGGATGTCGATCACAGGTGCCTCTGTGGTCTTGGAGGCTTCGGTGTTTTGGGTAACCTCTTGAGTTGCCTTGATGGGGGGTTTCGTCGTGGTGGGTAAGTCATATTTGCCCGGTTTAATGTCCGGGGCTGATTTCAGGTTGGGGATCTTGATGGGGGCTTGTTCCTCTCCGCGCGCATCTTGGTAGAGCGGCGCCGACCGGCTGCCCGCAACGTCGTCTTGCGACACAGCTGTGTCGGCCCTGCTCGGGGCACCGGCATGTCCGACTTCTGGCGGCGACTTGTTGATGGGTGTGAACGGAAGAGGGGTGCTGAGGCCTTCCCACTGCTCGCTGTCCTTGGTGACGCGATAGAGAAGGAACAGTACGAGGGCGGCAAAAACCACAAAGTACCGGTATCTGCGAATTCGAAGCATCGTGGCTCAGTGGTCGCGATACTTAAGGAGTGAATATTCTAGCATGTCGTTTTCCACCCGGAGAAATGGGGTTGACGGGCAAAGCTGAGGCGCAGAAAGCAGCCAGACTTTATTGTCGATGTGCAAGATAGCACGGGTCGGGCACCCGAGCAGAGGCGAAACAGCTTCAAAGTTGTCAATCGGACGAGTCCAAGAAACAATTGAAACGCAGCAAACTTGGGATGACGGACGGGAATATCCAAAGCGCGGGAAGAAACAATCAACCAGAGCAGAAGAGAGACGGCGAGATTTGCCGTCGATCAGTTGGTGGCCAAGCCAAGCTTGAACGTGCGTCTTGGCCATTTCGCGAAAGCCAGCCACAAGGTGTTGTCCTGGAGGGTCGGCCTTGGCACGAAGCACAGAAAACCAATCTGGCAATCACGGAGCGGTGTTGGAGCGCACCTACCCAGGCCTCGGCAATGTCTCACGGTCGGCAGAGGGTCTAGCCGTGGGAGCTGTCGGCCATTGATGACATTTCGAAGCTCAGACTCCAACACAGCCGCACTCAAATCATCCTGTTGAGCCAGCAACTGGGCAGCCGTCTGCTGGCACTGTTGCAATGTGCCACCACTAGCCATCACAATTGGACTTCTCTGTCCAGGGGCTTGCCCAAAGGGGCAACTCATCGTTACCTGTGTACATAGTACTGATGAGGGGCTAGGTTCGAGGGGTTGTTGGCTGAGGGCCCCTGCCGGATCCACTGACCACAGCCGCTATCCATTTAAGCATGAACCGGCCCACCAGGGTCCTTGAACGCGGTGTGCTGTCATTTTCCCCGTACATCGAACTTCCCTGTGCGCCAGGTGGTCTTTCAGGGTCTCCCCAGACCCCGAGAAACGATAAGCACATATTGGTTTGCTCAATGAAGCGGTAACACTCACAATGCCGCACCATGAAACCGATATTGCCAACCTGCATTCTACCTATTTACCCCAACGCAACGTGGCCAGATCTACTGTACAATACTGCTCGAACCTCGGCAAGTCGTCGCGTGCAACCAGATCCAAGCATTTGGCCTGATCTAGCGCCTGAAGTCTGCCACTGCCAGTTTGGGAAGGTTGCACCCGGAGTGAAGTTCAATGGTCGAACATCGCAATACCGCTCGAAAGCGCTTCGTATCCTAACCCCTGCAAAAGAAGAGAGAAAATAGATTGCCCGTTGTGGTTTATGAACAAGAAATGATTTCCGCATCGAGTACGCCTACGCACTACGCAGAACCAAAGAAAGAGCCGGTTGGCCACGCAAAGTATTCCAATCCTTTCTCTAAAGTGTTTTTGTTCTGCTAAGCGTCGACGAGAGAGTGGTTCGGAGTTGGTAATCGTCTGTCGCAGATTTATGTGGGCCTGCCGAGGACGCTGACACGCATCGGTTACCGGATCTATCACGATTCCACTATACCACGCGACCTATCACATCAATGTTCTTAGGCTCATCAACTATCGTTCCAGTTGCTAAGACAAGACGTGGCTTGAACAAGACGTGGCTTGAACGGCCAAAGATCCCCCCAGCTCAAGTAAACCGGGGCCCCTTTTTCATGCTATCAGCTAAGTAGTATTCGTCCATTTCTCTATCGATTGCATCCCTGCAGCAAGTGTTCCATTTCATCATCTTGACCCAAAAACATGCACACATATTGCGTTGGAGCTCTTCCGTTACTTACAGCAAGTTTTCAAAGCTTTCATATGGCATTTACAATCTCACTGGCCTTCCCTCGCGCGAGGCTGCTCAGTCCTTTACTCAATATTAGCATCAACTACCAGGAGCCCTTAACAATAGCAACAACTGCTACATCATTCCACAAGAAGACGGGATCGAGCCATATATAGCAACGCAGTCTTTGCTTGGTCGACGACTAGTCTCCAACGGAGCACGGGCTCTTGGGCTCTCAACTTGGGTTAGGTCCAAGTTGTGCAATGCGACCAGGATAAGAAGACGAAGTTCACAGTGACGACATAAATAATGGTCCCAGGGTTACCAAGACAGAACTAGTGCGCCGCAACACTTCCAGGCTGATTGGTGATGACTCTATCCATCCTTTCATTTTGCTTTCAACCAACTGGCGCAAGGCAATTAGCTATGCGCAATGTGATATGTAAGATGTATACAACAGTGTTTAGAGTCGCGTTATATTAGGTGCTGCCCAATTAAGGAAGATCGAGATGAGGGTTACGGATCTAGCCTTTGCTGGGTTGGTCAACCCCATAGTCATAGTCTACGTCTGTCAGACCGCACTAGCACTTTTCTGGGTCTTTTGGTGCCCAACGGCTCCGTTAGAGTTTTCTTGGCTATAAATACGAATTGACCGGACTTTCCGGTATCTTCAGCCAAGCCAATTACCCCATACTATCCGCTCCGATACAGTACGTACTCTGGGATCGTTGAATGTCGTCATATACTTCAAGGCCCTGGTCGCGTATTTGCGCTCTTGGGAGCATATGTAACAGTAGCCCCACTTGATAACAAGATTACTGTATTAAGTAATGGTAATTCAAATGGATTAACTGGTTCTATTCCTATAGGAGGTCATTGACCATCCTGGGGGAGCAGAGACACATTGAATTTTAATAGTGCTGCAGCGAGAACTTGGGACGCTCTACCCAAGACTTTGCTACCAGGCTTTTTGAGTTGGCTGTTGCGTCATCGATCAACTTCCGCGTTGTGTTGGATTGTGGGCAAAAGGTCTTGTATTGAAAGTGTCATAATCTCTGGGGAGTCATGGACGAAGTGAACGGCGGCCATAAGGGCCTTATATAGACAGGAATAACTGATGCCTGTCCCACAGGCAGGACTTGTGTGGTTCGATGGATGGTGGTCATATTGGCCCATAACGTACGGTGCGTGGCCATATGTCCTTCCAGGACTGGCAGTCTTGATGTAGCAGCCTTGAAGGTCCAACACGCTGTAACAGTCCACTTCAAGGGCCTTACGGGACTTGTTGAGGTGTATTGGCGGATATGGATGAGTTACCAGAATAGGCAGGCATTGCCTTGGTTGCTGTACTGCTAATCGCAAATTACGCTGTAGTACATATACGTGCTACAAGGATAAGGGATATCGAATTGCTGAAGTGCTTTACTTCAGCCTGTGAATCGCATCGACATCGACCCCCCAACCGTAGTGAGTCTGTAATGTGCCGCCATGGCAGAATGAAGAGTTGAGTTTGCTTGTTTTGATTGTCTCCCCCTACCCTAGCCTGCTTGCCTTGAAGTAATACCTCCCTCTAGCTCTGACATCTCTGGCCAGGTTGGCGGTGTCTCGCCTTGCCGAGCTATTTCTGACATGAGAACATTCGGCAAATCCTGTGTCGATCCAGAGAGCGGAGTGGTCGTGGTGGTATTAGAAGAGTCATGATAGAATGAGTCGCCTCGGTCGCCGTAGTCTGATGGAGTTGTTGATAAATGTGTACCTGTATGCTGCGACTCACCATCGAACTGCTCCGCATTGAAAGTAGCGGATTGAAGACCCCAATTTCGTAATGGACTCATGTCCTCCATGAGATCTGCTGCGTCCTTGGGGTCTCCATTGCTGGAATGTATGGACATCAGACGCGCTCGTTTGATCGACGATACAATTTCGTGGTCTGTCGCACCCGCGTTGCCTTCTGCATATTGTAACAGATCGTCCACTTCCGCTGCAAGCTCTGTTATGTTCCAGATCTCAGTACATATCATCCCAATGTCCCATCGTTCTGCTGGGTCCACTACCAGCATTTTGGTCTGGATGAGGTTCAACATCTGCCGGATAGACTCCGGACAGCCGTGCGATCTACGGAGGTCGTTCATCCACTTGTAAAATGTTAGCTACGAATATCTGAAACCTGAAAAGACAATGATGATAATAGAGCGTTGGAGTCTTCAAAGTGATTGAGTGGATCGTAGTGAGCTTGGTCCAGCAGTGTCACGCGAGCGGAGTCCGGACGGGTAAAGAGTGCGCCACAATAAATAAATACAGTGTTAAGCTTTTTTGGGGGGGGAAGGTGGGAAGGGGCGGGGGACCATACCTTACCCACCGACTCTTTGACTTGCGCTACCTTTTCCCCATCTGAAACGGTGACAATGTTGAAAAACCTTGCCTCGTACAAACCTAGAACATCGGATTCCTTTTCATCAACATGCTGTGCTCCAAATTGCCCCACACCACAATTACCTCGCAGATACCATATACAGAACTCGAGGTAGACGCAACCAAGCGACCATATATCGTACTTCTGGGATATCCATGAACGAAGCTCTAATTCAGGTGCTCGATACTCGGATGTGTAACCCGGAACTTTTGATAGAGGGACATTCGGTCTTGTCTTACGGGTGTGATAACGAGTCAGGCCAAGGTCTGATACCACAAGGTGATTGATATAATCGTCGTACTGAGAGAACCAGAGAATATTCTCCGGTTTAATGTCCCCGTGACGACCCCAGTCTCGCTCCTTATCTTGCTCGAAGTTGGGGAGAAGAGACCTCCGGTTTTTCTGCCACGTTGTGCGCCCCTGAATACGTCTGACTGCCTTCACAATGCCATGGAACTGCGTAAATAACCAATTGGTGTTCTTGGTGGTTATGTCGAAGGTATTATTCTTCCAAAACTTTTTGAGGTTACCATCTGCCCAGTCGAACATAAGATAGAACTTATTTCCGCAACTAAACATCAGGAGTAACTTAATCAAGTGTTTCTCCTTTTGCTTCTGTCCGCTGGATCTTATAAGAGCTTCAAGTTCTTCCTCAAAGGTCCTTTGACCTGGCGCCTCGATCGTTTTCAGAGCAAAACAGGGCGATGAGTCGGTCGGCTTCATGGACATTAGTTTGAGACCTTGAGGAGTTGTGTTGTGAGAACTTACACGAGGGCTCTTGTAATGATGATGGCTCGGATGTATCTGCACTTTGTGTACATAGGCAAGCCCACTTGCTATTCGCTGATATATCGACCAGGGCAGTCTGACGTGCTTATCAAATTTGTGCAAACATAGCTGGTCCTCTTGGATGTCGAAGTAAGGGACAAAGAAACATCTCTGAATTTAGTCTAACAAAATCGAATTATTCGAGCCCCAATCCCGTAAGAGTGTAGTGTTCTTCTTATCATTCCGTGTGATACAGGTTTCGAAATCCTCGGATTCGTTTATGATCGGGAAATCGTCATCCGACACTCCTTCTTCGATGAAGCGATGAAGAAGATCTAATTGCTGCATCTGGATGAGGATACCTAGAATACGGTATCGAGATCCAGAATCTTTGTTGCCCATAATTTGGACTGCGTCAATGTACCGATACTTTTTCGTCGCGTTGATCTCGTCTATCAATGGTTTGATAATGGCTGGTCGAAATATGTCCATAATAACGTCGATAGGCACGTATGGTTTCTTATCCCAACAACTGCGTGTTAGAGATCTCTTGATTTTTTCCCGGAGTAAATGTGCGATGACCACATCATCCCTATCTGCAAGGCTCAAGTAATTTCGTATCTCTGGAGGACTCATTGGGGGTTCGTCTAACCTTCTATCGGAGGTACTGCCAGAGACAGTGGAACCCTTAATCGGCAACAAAGACGAGGAGTTGAAACCTAGGTCTGTTACTTGTATGACTGAAAACTGTTGGTGCCGGAACCGTCTTTTCAGTGTGTTAGGTGGTGGCTATATCCTACTGACCGCCTGACCCCGTTTCAATGTAATATTTTAAATAGCTTTATACCTATTATTATATTTTGGGCGGAATTAATCGTAAACTCTACATCTCTTAGTAGTTTAGGCTACGCTATGAGCATATTGCTTACGAATACCGTAGATATGTCTCTATAAGTTAATATATTCTCTCGGTTTAACTATTAGTCTAGATATAGAATACTATCGAAAGTCTTCTTTTAATTTTCGAGTAAACGAGATGTGTTGGACCTTTAAGGCTACTACACCAAGACTGCCAGTCTTGGAAGGACATATGGTCGCGTACCGTACGTTATAGGCCAATATGACCAACGCCCATCGAACCACAAAAGTCCTGCCTGTGGAACAGGCATCGTTCATTCCTGTCTACATAAGGCCCTTATATTCGCCGTTCAATTCTCTCAGGACTCTCCACAGATCATGAAATCTTCAATACAAGACCATTTGCCCACAATCCAACAGTGAGATTGCTCTCGGTCTGGCGAAGATTGTAACCTAGTGAGACATAAGAAAACAGAGAATGGTCTGGGTACGCGGTTTCAAGTAATTGAAACCGGTCGTTTACTGGGGTTTCAGAGACAGAGCCAAATCAAGGTTTGAACAAAGCGGGCAAAGTGGCATCGTCAGAATTCGAGATTCAATGGCGTACGAAGGGGGTCAACGGACGAAGAGGATAGAGAAACAGTATATACCTCAACCTTTCAATAAAAGATCGGAACAACTATGCCTACGTGTCTTCCATTTCAACAAAATATGTGCAAAATAGATGATACGACTTTGAAGAGCGGAGTTCGCGGCTGTGCCCACTAAGCCTCGCCAACATGTTACTGCAGGTGAGACGTGGACGTACCAGAACCAATGCCGTGTCACAAGCATGCTTCGTCTCCCACCAGCCTTAACCTTTCTGCCTTGTGCACATTAATTGGGGGCCAAATCTATTCATAATATGCAACATGATGACCATGACTCACTTCGTCCAGGAACTTGCTGACCTCGAGCGTCCACGGAAACGCAAGGGACCAGACACGTGAATAGCACCAGAAGATCATCAAGCTAAGCCAGAAGACTTTCGGGCCACCCCATTAAACGGCAGGTGGGCCCACTCTGGCAGTATGTGGTCGCATTGGCAGTTACGTATGAGAAGCTCGAACTTCTTGCTTCGAACATCCTCCGGGCGTGCTATTCGGGACACTGCACCGCAAGCAAAGGAATATATCATGGAAGAACTGTGCAAGGTTAATGCCAAGACTTAAGATCAGGATGGTTTGACAAATGGCTATACGTTATACCTGTTATTAGCCTCTTCACTACAAAAATCCATCTTGGATTCGATGATTAATTTGTCTCGTGGGCTTCATGCTGGCCGTTTTAAAAAGACTGTCCGGGAGTACGCCACTGCTTTCATCTCCAATTGTGATGAGGTGCTTAAGAGAAGCAGGGGCCCAGTCCTCGTGTATTCGGGAGTTCATCGTCGGAACTACTCAGTTAAACTTAGCTTATCCAACTTCACTTTATCCAAATCATCTGTGCCTTCGGTATCCCTATCAATCGCACGTAGTATGCCTTTAACTTTTACCTTCATATCGTGAGGCCTGCGGTCTTTATCCAACCCTTCCTTAATCGCTCTCCGCCACACATCGGCATAAGATTCTTTCCAATCCTCAATAAAAGCTTCTGCTTGAGCACGTGTTTTGAACCGCTTATGACAAGCACCGGAAATCTCTTTAACCTCTGGTTCTGAGCCTATTGTCCCACTGCAACTCGTAAGTAATCTCCAACGACCACCCAAGGTTGGAAACTCATACTACCAGTACGATAATATACCAGTTCGTTTACCGTGCGCAACAGCGTAGAAGGCCTCGCTATGTAGCAGTGGACTAGTATCTCCTGCTCCAGGCTTCAAAATCTCTTTCGGGGCCGTAACTCCCCTCTCGCTCATATATTTCCGTGCATCTTCAATCGTAAAAAAGCTCTTATGTATGGAGATGCATCCAGTCACCCGTGGATGAGCATCCCCCCTAGCAGAAAGAAAGCAGTCAGTCAATTTCTCACCTTCACATCTGGAGGTAATTACCAGGACGAAAAAATTGTGGGTTCGTTGACACGCCCTCTGAAGACAGCGTAATACTCCTTATTCATTCGAGTTCGTGATGCCATTCTGCAAAGTCACCAAAAATACTAACAAGTCGGAAAAACGCAATGGTCCGCACCGTACGTGAAATAAACCGGTTGAGCGTAAGAAGTTCAAAGAAAGAAAGGTCAAGTTCATCAAGGCAGACTCCAGAAAACAACGTCCGGGTCTGGATGTGTTCAACTTTATAAAGGTCAACGATGCGGGGTAGAAGACGACATTGGTTAACAGCGATATGGTTGGGCTCAACCTGCTTATCAGGTTGCAGGCTACGCTGCGGAAACAACCAATAACAGTTGCAGAGATACAGGGCTATCGAATGAGGGATCCAATGTTTTTAGTCCTTTTGCGGGAAGCTTGCGTCCTAGAAGAGAAAGATGACGGAAGAGCGCAGAGCAGGCAGTATGGAGCTTGCTGGTTCATTGACTGCAGAAAACACGTCGACCTGTTAGAGAAGTCTTATGCAAATGGCTAGCTTACTTACGTGTACGGCCCGCTATGGAATGAGAAACGCCCTTAAAAAAGTCGGCGTCCCGATCCACAGCAAGCTCGAGGCACAGACGCGCATCAAGGCGCCCCAAAAGTTCGCCGACCACGTCAACACGTACGTCCGATGGCAGGCCGCAGTCACACACAAAGACTGTTTCCACCACCTTTACTTTCTCTTCCACACAAGAGTCTTCACCTCTTGAATACTAGATGGAAAAACAATCACTGCCTCATTGGCCTTTTTGGCTGGTTTCTTCGACCAAGATGTTGCTGTTTTCTCGCCTAGAACCAATCTGACTTCGCAGACGGGTCGAAGAATAGGTAACAAGACAACGGATGAGTGATATTGTGTTGGTCAGCAGTCAAATAGCGTGCGTATATACCAGGGTGCCAGGAGAAGTGTGGTCACCCAGAAATACCCTAATTGCAACGAACGCCGCATTCAAGGGTCTCAGTGTGACATGATGCAAATCTACGTGTAGGTTAATGGAGAGCAGCTAATGCTTCAAGAATACCCAAGATAACCTCTTAAGAACCCTGGCACCGCTGGAAAGAGACTTGAGACTTACTGTGACAGGCCTAGGGACATCTCTGGTAAAGACCCTGGCCGTCCTACGCAAATACATTAGGACACTACCTGCCAGCTGATCGTTCAACATCCGGACGCTATTTACTTCCTTTGCAGTATTTCGGCCCAAAAAAGTAGAAATAGTAGGTAGGTTCTCTGTCTTTACTGTATTATGTACGAATAGTTCTATGTGATAGCATCTATCCTTGTAAAGCGCACAGACATGTGGCTATACCTAATATCACAAGAGTACCCTGGGACACTAAATAAAGCGTCATGGTTTTTTACATTCGGACATATGACGCTTGTACTTGCTATGTTGCATATCTCATAGATAGGCGTACTTAGTTTAATTGCATACGGGCTCAGCGTCGTTAGCATCACTACCACCGTGGCAACACTTGTATTGAAAGTGTCGTGATCTCTGGTCTCATATAGACAGCAATGACTGATGCCTGTCCCACAGGCAGGACTTGTGTGGTTCGATGAGTGGTGGTCATATTGGCCCATAACGTACGGTGCGTGGCCATATGTCCTTCCAAGACTGGCAGTCTTGATGTAGTAGCCTTGAAGGTCCAACAACCTCTCTAAGAGTCTGTTTAGAACTACTAAGTCGATCGCCTGACCTAAATTAACCTTGAGCTGACCCCTTGATTTCTTCGGGGAACTCATTACGCAAAGATTTATCATAAAGTGACGAATAAACGAACGTAAGTAAAAGGTGATCGCCTTTAACCGGAAAGTCATGTTTTAAGCACAATTAATGACCAATAACTGGCAAGACTAGCATCTTCGTTAAGGAAAACAGCATACTTTCACTTATGGATCCTCAGCTTCAGCTGCAACAAATTCAACTTTTATTCAAATGCTAGCAAGGCACATAATACGCAAGGAGTCGAAGCCTCGGTATTTGCCCTTGGATCCCTGGGATTTCTTGTGGATCTTCGGATACACTTGCTGCTGTTCGCAGGCTGCTCCGAAATCGCAGTGATGGCGGGCGAGCAGGATGAGCTAGCCTGAGCCAGCCTGAGATGAGCCTGAGTAAAAATGGCAAGCAATCATGTAATGCTAAGTGTCAAATTGGATATTTAATAACAGCCTAATAGCAATACACGAAACGAATCGCAAATAGCCTACCCCAAAAATGAAACAACTCTCTTTCTCTTCGCCTCATCATTATCAGTAGTGCTTATTATGACTGCCTCGAGTAAAGCCAATTAAAATCTTCCTCAATTCAAACCCCAGCATACGAGGTAGGAGGCCGCACAAAACACCCGTCAGGTAGTTGCACCGGCCAGCTATACACGACTTTTGACCTGCCAGCTGCCAGTCCCGTAGGAACTGAAGACATACAGGGGGTGTTTTATTTACCTGGTATACGTTGTAATAGAACCTGTTAAACCAAAACAGTCCACAGCCCCAAAACATAATATACTTAATAGAATCGCAACACGCACACCCACCGTGGTATACCAATCAGCACTCGAGTGCAACAACCGATCCACTTTATATACCATCACAGCGCTAGCCCGCCGATCATTAGCACTTAGCCCCGGGGAGTTTGGCTGGGCGGTCTCGGCGTTCTCGGCGCCGGTATTAAAAGCCTTGGCCGTCTCGGCGTACGATTCGAGTGCCACCACTTGCGCACTCGGCTTGGCTACACAGCATATCCGAGACCCGCTGCTCAGAAATGCATAGAAGATACAAACAACCAATCGCGATGGCCCGGTTAATGGAAGTTTCTGAAGATCTGGGCACATCATGTTCCCTTGGCCGCTTGGCTACCACTTGGCTGTCGTAGGTAACCACGCAACACAAACAATGCACGGAGATGTCGATAAGGGCGTCACTGCACTGCGCTGCACTGCCTGAACAGGAATACTATAAATAATTAGAGTGCGACTCGCCGTCAGTCTAGAGTTTGGGGCTATAAACATGTACCGTTCGTCACACTTATTCAAGTTTGAGTTTTGCTATGCAGCATCCACCAGCCAGCCAGTTCTCCGTCGTATTATTCATCTTTACTATTAGACGTCGGAGTCGACTACACACCACCACATACTGACAACAATATACCATCCCAAGATAATCTCCTGAAACCCCCCCAACAAACACATCCACTAAACCAACCAACATCATCATCATCATCAAAATGCTCTTCCACCAAACCGCCACCTACCTCATACTCGCCGCAGCCCAAACTGCCCTGGCAACACCCAGCCCCATTGTAGCCTCAAAAAACAACCCCCTCGCAGTCAGAGAAGGCGGCTTCACGGGCTCCTGCACCGATGACGCCTGCGGTGCAGACTCAGTCGTCTGCGGGCTGGGAGCATTCTGCGTGCCATACCCTAGCTTCAAGGTTCGAGATGGTTGCACATGTAGCATTGAGTGAACGGACGAGATTTTCGGGTAAGATTTCGAGTCTCGGTTCAGATAGATGCTGTTCCGAGTAGAATCAACGAAAGAGGGGGTGGGTGGAGATGGTTGGAAACAAGAAACAGGCCTTGATGCAGCGGATTGGCAGGAGGAAAACCGAAATAGATTACGGCTTGGACGCATGAACCATCAAACATTCTCATCACCCTCATCTAGAATAAATCAACTAGATTCGAGTTTCGGTTGCTATATCCATTGCTCATCACATCCAATCATGAAATGAGTTTGAGCCGTAAACCATTTTTACCACGTTAACCAAGCCCTTCACACGGGATCATCGACCAACGCATGAAACCCCCAATCGCCTGACTCGCCCCCAACACCTTCCTCCCCCGCAGCAGTGGCGAATCGACTCTATGATTCTTCCCTTTGCCCCTGAGTAAGAACAACGCGACCACAGCCACCGGTGCAAAAGAGCAATCAGCATGAACGGCAATCCGTACCAGAACCCCTTAAGCCTTATCCCCGTAGAGAAAGCTCCCGCCAAAACGGGTCCTGCCGGTATTCCACCCACGTTCTTGATGATGATTATAAGCGTGTACAGCCTCGACATCTTCCCCTCGACGAAGGCGGTGACCTGCAACAGGCATAGTGGCTCCAGACCGCTGGCCAGCGTCAGGATGACCATGCCCACCGTCACACAGCCGAGGTCCGGGCCAACGGTGAAGAAGTGCTGATGAAGATGCACGTAGCGGATCCGCGGGCGAGGATTGAATCCTTTCGATACGCTGTTATCCTGACCGTTGGAGATGAGACAACCTTGGACAGACAGGACAGCATGACGCCCATGACGAGAACAACGAGGGCGCCTCGGAGGGCGAGCCAGTAGCCTGCTTCGGCGCGGGTGCGATGGAAGGGCTTGCTGAAGTGTTGAAGGAAAGTCTGGCCGAGTCCTTGGCCCACGATGTTGAGAAGGGCGAAGACAACGAGAGTGACAGCCACGGAGCGGTTCCGAGGCATGGCCAATGATCCTCGAGCATTTCGCACTTGCCTGCAAAGTCGCCACTTCATCGCAGCAACCCAGTCCTGCTCCGGCTCCAGAATCTGAGCCCTTACTACCGCCCTGCTCGCTTTCTGCGACGCATCAAGCGTCTCAGGCTCAATCAAAGCTGTGATACGCAACAGCACCAAAGATGACCATACTTCCACCATCATGGAAGTCTCCGGCATGCCCACCAACCCGGCCGTCTGCGCCGCCAGCAAAAAGAGGAAAACCCACATCGCCCTATTTGCCGCGCGCGCCCACCCGACATTATAGCCTACAACACTGCTGTCGCGACTGAAAATACTCCTCCCACAAGCTGAAATACGGGGGCCAGCAATAGCATCTCAATCGGCACGCGTCTCCAGAATCTCAAAATGAAAAGGACCCACCCGACATTAAGACTCTGCTCCGCCGTCCCCAGTGCATACACCGGCCTCCTCCCCCAGCGATCAGCAAGGACACCGATGGGAAATGCGGGGACGAAGCCGAAAGGCCCATCTAGCAGGATGACATAGTCGAAGGGATTGGCCCTCAGCGATAGAGGTCTTCTGCGATGCGGGTCGCGGGGGACGATGGTTAGGGTGCCAGAGAGGACCCAGAGGGAGACGCCGACGCATGGTAGGAGGGCGATGTGATGGGGTCTCTCCAGCTGATTCTAGGACTTGGCGGGCCTGTACAGGGTGTGGGTGGTAGCGGTGGGAAGGAGAGAGATGTCGTGGGAAAGGGAAAGGGGGTCGTCCATCGTTGACTGCGAGGATACGAGCCCTGGTTCGAGTGCACATCAGGTGAAATTGAATTCATTTGGAAGTGACAAGGACGGGCCCACCATGAGAGATGACGCTGGGGATGGCTAAGAATCCGTCGGTCGGGGTTTCATTACTGCGTTGCATAAAGAGCTGAAGATTGTGTTGGCCGCCCAGAAACTTCATCATTGGTGATGGCGGTGGGTGAGATGAGTTGAGTTGAGTGGTACGGTGTGGTCGATGTGCGGCGACACTGTATTTGCCGTTCCTGGTGAGCTACGCCTTCTTGGCAAGCGTCGCACTGAGTCGCAATTTCAGTCTGTGGAGTGTTCACGGAGTCACGCACAGCACCCGTGCTAGAAGGCCTCAACGGCTGTCTTGAATGTATTATTGATTATGTTGTGGTATCTCTCTATCTATGTGTTGTAGTCTATCTATGTAATGTGGCCCTTGCCTTTTGTCTATGTCTATACCCCAAACCCGAAAGGAAATCCCAGTCTATGCATTGTCGTCGAAAATCCGTAAATCAGTCCTCCAAACCCTGGAACCACCTGTGTTCCAACGCCTCGCGAGCGGTGATGCGCTTTCGCGGATCGAAATTGGTCATTTTGCCAATGAGGTCCTTGAAATCCTCATCGAGCACGTCGCTCCTCCACAAAGAAAATGGCCGTCGGGGGTTGTTCTCGTTGAACGTCTTAGCTATTTGGCTGAAGTTTTGTCGCCACGGGTGGCCGCGACCCAGGTAGTCGAGAAAGCCGTCAAAATCGTCCCAATCGGCGAAATGGGAGATCTGGCGTTCGAGGATGGCGAAGCTGGGGTCGCTGTTTTGGGGGAGATCCATCCAGAAAATGACCCTCCGCAGCAGCAGGAAGATGGACACAATGGCGAACGAGAAGATGTCGGTCGGCTTGTTGATGGCCGCCTTGACGTGCGCTTCTGGGCTGCGCCACCAGTGGTTGCCCACTTGCAGTCCGCGCAGCTCAGACTTGGGCGGGATGTGTGTGGAGTCTTCCAGATCCGAGAGCTGGACACGGTCAACGACGATGCCGTCCCTTGTCTGCCGATAGTCCACCATGATGTTGTTGGCCTTGATGTCTAGGGCAGGGTTAGCTCCTTCGAATCCATAATAATAATAATAATAATAATAATAAAGGGAGTAAAAGCATACCCAGGTGAACAATGTCATGGTCATGCATGGCGGCGAGACCCCGAAGTGCGTCCCTGAGGATACGCTTCTTGACGGGAAGAGTGAGGTCCTTCCAGGCAAAATTAAGAAGATGATCGCTGAGATACTCGTTCACGAACATCTTCTCGCCCGGGATGGTGTCGTGCACAGCACGCAAGTAGGGGCTGGCAGAAAGCTTGGGCTGGAGTGAGAGAGCATAATTGTACTCTGACTCAAAGAGGTTCTTCAAGACAAATTTCTTCTTGTCGGCCCTATTTCGACGAGGTTAGACCCGCGGGTGTCTGGGTGATGCGATAGCGATGAAATAGACGTACTCGGCGAGATAGACGAAGCGATTCTCTCTGTCCTGCAGCACCTGCTGAATGACATACTTGCGACCCGAGCGGCCTTGTAAAGTCGCGCCGATCTGGCTGAATGGATCTGGTGTCGTGGGAATGGGTGTGTGAACTGATGCGAGGGTGCGACCGGCGGCAGCTGCTCGCGCCGCAACACGGGGTGCGCAAAATCGCGGCCGCCCGGCTCGGCTGGCTGCCAACAGCGATGATGGAGATTGACCCTTGAGCAGTGATGCCGTACCCGTCGGAAATTTCATGTTACTGGCGCTCGACGAAGGGACCCTTTCTCCTGTGCGATGGACTGACTGTCGATTTTCTCAATGAATGAACAAAGAGAGTCAGCTCGCTCCTCAGGGGGTGTCGTTGGGTTTTTGGCACGTCGAGCGCACACGGACACCGTCCAGAATCCGGTCCGGGTTCTTTCACCGCAACCGCAGTCAGATGCGTTTCAAAGAGTTTTCAGGGCTTACAAATGGGGACCCGCGTGGACTCGCAAGTGGGATTGGACAGGTGGGGACCGTGGGGGGACAACTTCCTTGACTTCCGGGTCAAAAAGTGGCCAAAGGCAAATCTTCAGGGTAGCGTGGACCCTGCATACACGCTGTGGGAAGGGCATGTGGGTACCATCAGAAGGCTGGTCTGGCCAGTCGGATTGCCATTTTGCACACGCGCTTGGCTTAATTTCCACTCCAATTTCCAATTCTAGAACTTCTGAGCTTGTGGAAGCTCCGGCGATCAATCGTCTGAGGAAGGTCGATCACAGCGGTCTCGGTGAGTCTTTTGGCCTTGTGCGCATTACAATGCATGCAACCCCAAACACCAATGTCGGCACGCCAAATGCGCACTTGGGTAAAATGGGAAAGTCGTGGTCCGCGTTTGCAGAAGTTTGAATCATCCATTTCGCAACCTCGCATCGCATCCCCCGGCCATCGCACTATCGACGCAGGGCGCAAACGTCGACTGCTGGATCACCAGGTTCTATGTCCGCATGGTCAGACAGACACCTGAGCTTGGATCAGCTGGAGCATTACGACATGAACCATCCCGCCATGGCTGAGCGAACACGAAGTCACGTTGGGAATAGTCTTTTTATCTATTGCGAACACACAGACGGTGCGTCTTAACCTTTCTGGTCTCGATCTGCGCCCGGGGAGAGTGCCTGTAACTGCAATGTGCCGCTCACTCCGACTGCCACCCAAATGAGCGCTTCTCAGTCGACGGACCACGACGGACATGGCGATGCCGTATTGCCACTTGTCGTGGAGATCCCCTGCCGGCTTGACGGTGATCAGCACAGAGGCCCATCCGGCGAGTCCACACCATCGTGAGCTTTATCGGAGCCGCGATCTCATGAGTTCCACCCAACGCCGCTATTTGGACATGTGGGCCCAAAGCCTTACGGTGGCAACACCTTTTTCTTATCAAACTGCCAGAACGCTGTTGATAGACATTTTGCATTTCACAATATCGTCTTTGGCATCTGTCAAATGGCAGCAGGCCATCGCGGTCCATAACCCATCGCTCTTGCGATTTTCACGTTGATTGCTCGGAGTCGTCGCTGGTCGCGCATAGCTCGATTCGGGCCGCTGACTTGCTGGCTGGCAGCCACTGGCTCCTCGTGCTGACGCGGATATTCATGGGCTGTCAGAAGACAAGAGCGGTTCGTGCGAATCCTTCAGAACTGCGTCCTCCGTTTACGGCAGTGTGGTATTCAGACCTGAAATGCTTTCTTTGGGCTTATCGACTTTTGGACCCCCTACTCAGGTTACATCAGGTCACATCACGGAGTGGGTCGACTTTGCGATGCATCCAAAGGCTGCTGATGACCTACCTATGGGTATAGGCTTCACCGAGCTGAGGTCAATAACGAGTCAACGCCATCTGCGTAGTACCAATCCTGGCTGATGTCAAAACTAACTGCTCTCGATAGATCTGGCTGCATGCCTTGGTAGTTAATTCGTATTGGGCCGGCGGTTGTATGGCTGTTGGTACCAATCATGCAAGGGCAGCTGCAGGTCTTACCGGCGCAAGAATCTGTCGAGCCGAACCGGAGTTGCACCTTATCGCAGCCCTAGAGATTGATCTCCATCGAATCGCCGCTTAGCTTGAGTCCCACTATCACTGTCCTTCCACCACCTGACTGGCCGAATCTTATTGGCCAGTGTAACCCCAAAAGTTTCGCGTCGGCGCAACACATTAACGCAGACACAGGTGGTGTGCTATCAACATGCCACTCACTCGAGCTGCCGCGCGAACAGCCCGGCGAACCAAGGACTGCGGGCGCAGAGCAATGTTGCACGATGAAGATTGCGACTGCGCATAATGCCCGCGCGGGTCCCGCCGAGGTGCGGATTGGCGACTTATTCCCGGACAACACACTTTTGTCCACCGCCATGGAGCCAAGTAATGAGACATTGAGCGGGAGCAGGACGTGTGGGGATAGGATACTGAAGTGAGGGCGAAGATCAAGGTTGTTAATGTGGATGTCAAGGAGCCTGGGACCTTCATTGCGAAGACTAAAAGGCAGAGGAGAGGTGCAGGCTTGAGGTGCCGGACCACACCAGCCTTCGACTTTCAATGACGCTCTTTTCTGCTTTACCGCTACTACAGCCAGTTGACTGATGATGGATGGACCCTGAGCACCAAACCCTTAGCAACGGCCAACTGTTAGAACACGAGGAGCGAAACCTCTGGTGTATCAGCAACTGACTCAAGTGTGCAGCCAAAAGGCACATTAGTCGGTACTCAAGGCCCTCGTAGCCACCTTCACTCCTTTGTATTGGCGAGATCAGAGACGCAGTCAATTATATGCTTTATTACGGCTTGCAAAACCCGATACGGGGGTCTAGTTTGCCGGGGATAGGGAGAAGGTCACGGCGTTGCAACAGCTAGGTATTGACCCATGTGATAGTGGATGGAGCATGGGGAGTTAAGGCGTATATATCCAAGTACCCACTACTGACTACTGAGCGCATTTCACATTGACTTCGCGGCAATCTTTCTGAATGAAGCCTTGGAATGATACTTGAGCCCATCGATTCATATTGTTCGTCGATGCCGGCGGTCGTGTGGCCTGTGGATCATGTTGTAGCAAGGTTGCACAACGAAAGGGGCTACAGGGGGCATCCTGAGCCTTGCATACACCCGAAAGCTCTTTTAAGTAACGTCCCACACCCACATCCGGGACACCCCCACATGTGGGACGCCCTAAAAATGATGCTGTATATTATAACCATTGACTTCAACCTTTTTTTACACTTATTCTGATGCGACTACAATACAGCTTTCACCGTCACTAGGGTTTTAAGACTCGCTAGACTCATCTGTACTATCCTCAATTTCACCAGCCTCGATTTGAGCCTTCCGAATAGCCTTGATATTAGTAAACTTCGAATTTGGGCTCATCTTGACCTTCCTCCGCTTCCTAGCCCTACTAGCCTCAAGCTCTGCCTCTATTGCCTCAATATTTCGCTGTGCGACAGCTAATTGGTAGTCCTTCTCATCAAAGCCCTTTTGAACTTTCCGAAAGAGTAGCCGTTGGGTATTTGGATCACTATCAAGCTTGCTGAATAAGCTGAGTTGATCTTGGAGCTCATCTCTCCTCTTAGGCGTTGACCAGGCTACTGCTGATGTCTCTAACGCCCAGTCCTGACTACCCTTACTATCAGAGTACCCTTTGCAAGTCTGACTAGGCTGTCTGATTGGTGCTGACGTATTCTCAAGGAGCAGGGGGCTCATAAGGGGTCTAGCTATGCTCGAAGGCCAGAGACCAGTATATTTCCATCCACTGATAATGTTCTTAGCGGTCAATGCTGCTAGATGTGCCTTTCTATAGCAGAGGAGAAATTTTATCTTCCCTACGACAGTAGTAGTATCCCATAGTAGTATCCCATCGGTCAAGGTAACCAAGCTCCTTCTTATAGGCTGCCTTGAGGGGTCCAAAGACTGACTGATCGAGAGGCTGGAGAACGTGGGATGTGTGTGGCGGCAAGAAAAGCAAGTGTATCTTGTTTATGAAGCAGAGGTACATAAACTCTGTCGTTTCGTAGCTACTATGCTGAAACGGGGTCAGGCGGTCAGTAGGATATACCTACCACCTAACACACTGAACAGACGGCTCCAGTACCAACAAATCCCATCTTTTGGTCTTATCAGACGAAGATCGTGGTACTGGTTATAACAGCGAAGCTCTTATACGTCTGGTGCGCGAGTTGGTCGGATGTGCCTCTGATACTCGTATCGTGATAATAGGATCTCGAACGTAAAGATAAGCTGAATAACTAAAATAACTAAATAACTGACTGAAAAGCGAAGGTGAAGATACAGATAAGGAGGAGATGATGATATGAAGATGAGGATGATGATGCGTGAAGATGGGGGACTCGTGTCCTACTCTGCCTCTGTGCCTCTTAAAGAAGATAAAATAAACTTTCTCCTAGCCCCGTAACCTATTTCCCTGATGTCCGGCCTTACCCCGTTACAATGCCCATCTAGGATAAGTAACCTAGTCTCTTCAGGGTCCTCTGGTTGAGTCAAAGGAATAAAGATCTTTTGTATCCACTCAATAGCCGTAGAGTCTGACGTCCACCCATTCTCTGTTGCTGTAAACCTCCAGGCTTCGTATGGAGTCAAGTCCAGAGGAAACCACTGCTGCTGGACAGACTTCCCCTTGTATGTCACAAGTGGGGGTAGTGCAGTACCAGTCGCAGAGATACACTCTATAAGAGATGTCCAAGCTCGAGATCCAGGCTGTTTCTTCAGTATAGAACGAGTCTCAGATGATCCTAGAACAAGACTATTTGATCCTCTACCTTCTAGAATACCTGTCTCATCCATATTGTATCGATTCGAGGCCTTAATAGCTTTGATCTCAGGGATAGCGAGGTATTTGAACCATTGCCTGACCACATTAGCTGAGGCTCCATTAATACGCTGGGAATCGATAGCTCTGCTTCTCTGAACCTTGACTGAAGGGTTCCTCTTGATAAAAGCCTGGACCCAGTTCTTTCCAAGTGGTTCGGTGTCTCCGTGGATCTGTAGGATACGCTCGGCGAAGTCTTTGAGCTGTTGATGGGTTGGTGGGAGGCCTAGGGCAGCCTGGATTCGAACCCATTCAGCCAGATGGGATTCCTAGGCTGGAGAGAGCCTCTGGTAGTCAGCGAAGGCTATATCTCTTGACTGGGCTCCCTGAACCCGTCGTGAAAGAGTAGACCTTGGGACACCATGCTCATATGCTGCTTTTCGGAGGCTTTGACCGGTAGCTATTGCTTGAAGAGCTTGATAAAAATCATCTTCGGTATATTGACTCATATTAGTGTAAAGAAGACGTACGTAAAATTTCGTAACGATTGAATCGATATTGGTAAAGAAAAAAGAGGTTGAAGTTAGAGGCATTTTTGGGTGTCCCACATGTGGGGTGTCCCGGATGCGGGTGTGGGACGTTAGCAGTTTCCCTGCCCAAGATCCCAATGTTTCCATAATGAACTACGACGGCGTCGAAGGGTTGGGTTTGGCGAAGGAAAGGTAAAAGTCGGCCCGAGCTTCATCGCAGGTCAGTACGGAGATTTCGACCCATCATGCCATCAATCCCGGGCCAACTCGAAACACACTATACGGCCCCAAGACAGTCGCATGATATCCACCGCAAACATCATCGTGGAGCTCTTTCACGGCACATCACAGGTCTTCTTCACCAAGGTCACCTCCAAAGCCAAAGGCAAGAGACGGCCCGAGAGAACTCGAATCCACGAAGGCCTTATCCGTAATCCTGACCGAATTCGTTCCATAACCAATTGCCTAGGGGATGTACCCATGCATAACCAATATGCAATTTTCCGAATGCGTATTCCGGGACGACGATGTGCCAGACCCGCAACAATGCATGGAGCGATTGGCTAAGGTTCACCGGGAGAGCAAGTCCCCGAATGGGCAATTTGGGTTGCGTGCGACATATAGCGGGAACTTACCGCAAGCAACGGAGTGGGGAGGCAGTTAGGAGAACTTTGTCACCAAGAGCATGCCCAAGGCTCTCGATCGCGACATGGCTACTAAGGACCTGAATCCAGAGTTTGAAGAGTTGGTTCCGGCGTTGTTCGGTAAGTCATTCCTCGGCTAGTCCGTCCCTCGAGACAGAGAGGAGGTCCGTAAAGCCCTCGTTGATTCATGGAGATCTGTGGTACGCAAACTCTGTGTTTGATATCGAAAACAGCGGCCGGTTCTCTTTGACGCGTGCTGCCTGTAAGCCCACAGTCAGTGTAGTCAGTGTAGGCGCATGCATCAAATTTGGGGAGAGCTATCGGGCAGCATACAATGTGTTTGTCCCGATCTTGGCGCCCGATGAAGACTATGACGGTCGTTTAGAGCTATACAGACTGCAGGACATATTGATGTTGTCTACTCACTTTCATCTAGGAGGTTTGACGCGCATGTTTCTGCTATCTTCACGGAGAGCCAGGCGCTCAGGGTACAGTGAGTAAGTCGCCCGAAGTCTTTTTTCTTTTTTTTTTCTTTTTCGAGTACTTTCTACTTATGTCATGAAATAGGGTCCTGGATGTTATAAGGATTTCATTGCAGCGATATGGTCGCGAAGAGTAAGACTCCTGCTTCTAAATCGGGACGGAATTTCTCAATGCTACGAGCTAGATATGTTGTTGCAGTAAGAAGGGGAGGGGGGTGCCACATAATAGTATTCGAGGTTAGACTGCATCGTTCCAAAGTATTGCACATCTGACTTTTCCATATTAAAAATAACTAGAGCATTAGCAGTACCAACCCTGACGTAGGCGACGCTGTGGTGCGCAGCCGCTGTCGCGGTGATGGTAAATCAATTTATGAAAACTCTCGCCCCTCTTCCTGTGAGGTATGCCATCCTGAACTCAGCCATACTACGGCCCGTCATCACATCGTTTCGTCATGAGCCCCATCCACACCCAAGGCTTACCGCACTCAGCCAATGACGACTTTACAGCCGTCGGTGCTCCGTAGCACAATCGTCACCGTCTGCTTCTCAAGACCAACCAGCTCCACTTTCTCATCCTCGGGCAACATAATGGACGGGAATGCTTGCAGCATGGACACAATCGCGTACGCAGCTTCGGTGAGGGCGAAGTCCACTGGAGGGAGTTAGTTGGCAACCGGTTGTCAAGCGAGCAAGGCTGAGTCGCGCGCTACTTACTGCCCAGACACGTCCGAGAACCAGCTCCGAACGGCATGTATCCCATTTTCTGGTGAGTGGGGTCTTCGCTGACGATGGCGCTACCTGATTCCCAGCGCTCTGGTCGGAAGATGGCGGCGTCCATGCCGTAGATTTCGGGACGACGGTGCAGACTGTATTGGCTGAACATGACCGTGGTGCCTTTGGCAATGGATATGGGAGAACACTGGTCTGGCCCGCCGCCGGTGGGCAAAGTTGCGGGCTGGAGTGAAGTGCGGGTCCCTAGGGGTGTCGAAGGATGCAGGCGCAGTACTGCAATTGTCAGCTTACGAGTAAGACCACGTATGTTTGGGATGGATGCTGTTTCGAACCTTCCTTCAGCGTGGCTTGGAGGTACTTGAGCTTCGATAGATGCGACCTGCGAAGTTCGCTGCGGCCTGCGTCAAGCTCGGAGATCTCATCGCGAAGCTTCTGCATCACGTGGGGATGTCTGACGAGGTGGAAGAAAGTCCATGCCAAGAGACAGGCCGTCGAGTCTCTGCCAGCAGTGAGCACATTGACGACTTGGCCTCTGAGTGCGTCGTGGTCCGCACAATCTTGGATCAGTCGGCAAAGGAAGTCATCTCCTGCCGCGTCAGGATCCTGCTCTGCCCGTTCGAGCTTCCGTCTGATCACATTATCCGCGAAATCGTGGATGGTCTTGCAAGATGCTTTGAACTTCGCCCCGCCCACAAGCCAATAGAGCTTCTGGAAACGGAAGCGACTCGCCACAATTTTCTGCGAAACATCAAACGCAGCCTCGAATTCGGGATTGGAACTGCGCAGGCTGCAGACGGACTCCCCGAAGAGAAACTTGGTCGTGACATCGAGTGTCAGTCGGAAGAACAGATGCTGCAAATCGACAACGTGACCCTTTTTCTCCGAAAGCACGTGGATGAGGCCGTCTACCGCCTCCCGGTAGACTTCGAGATCATCGTAAGCGCGGTGAGAGAATCGGGGACGAAGAAGGTCACGCGAGTGTTTCCATGCTTCGCCGTTCTGGGTGAAGATGCCATCGCCAAACATGGGCAAGGTGATCTTACGCCGCATGCCGATCCCCCAAACGTCGGGCGAGGACAGGATGGCCTCCAGGTTGGCAGGCTCGATGGTCATGATGGTGGCCTCGCCCGCCAGCACCTGCTGGTAGGTGGGACCCAGACGGCGGAACGTGGACAGGAGGTGCTCATTGAGGCGTCCCTCCGAGGTGGCCTTCAAGGCCTCGAGAACATTGTCGAAGCCAAGGGGCCATTTGTTCTGGAGGCTGGGCGGCGGGAGACAGTGATTCTGCTTATCGTGCGCTTGATCGGCCTGTGAGAGGTGAGCGAGGGACCGGTCCACTTGTGGCACTGGAATAAGATGAGATGAAACGTACTCTATGAGCCCGGTAGACGTTCACCGTGTGGTAGACGTATAACCCGATCGCCGCCAGTGCGCTGTAGACCCAGAGAGACATCGCGATGGTCGATGTTTGCTTGCGTGTGGGGTAGTAATACCACGAGAAATGGAGGCTAAGGTAGTAGGTCGAATGTTTGCTTGCTCGTCGGTGCTTTGTGCGCGTGCTCGATCGTCATATTTAGATCGAGGTGTAACAAATGTTTGCTACCGTTGCCCCCCTGTCCTGTGACACCGCCGCGCCGTATCTTGAGCAACACCAGTTGCTGCATGCATGCCGAATTCCAGCTCAATCTGGGCAGCGAGCGGGGCCAAGTCGGGGGCGATGCATATTTGACAACTTGAGGGCAAGGCCGAGTTGGCCTGGATGCCTAGCATGTGTTGCACTGAAGGATTGCAAGTCGTGTTTAGTGGTCGTTTCCCAATATTGCGGTGGATTGTTTCAGCCCCAAAGAGTTGCTCGGTTGGGTGGCGGATTTCCCGATTCGGCAGCAACCCAAGCTATTGGGATATGTGAGCCAATACGCAAGTTAGGCAACAAATTGACCTCCACGCGCTAATGTCGGTGACACAGGTCTATCGTTGTAGATTGCGCAGCGTTCCGTTGTGACTGACAAAACGCCCAGGCAACTCGATGGTCTAATCGTACCATGTTTCATGCGCAGCCAATAAGTCCAAGCTCTTGACGCCCGACTTTGGTGATGCGATGCTTACATGGAAAGTTCTCAGCGGAAGGCGCCCTCGTCGGAAGTTACCCCTTGGCTACGACGACTTGCGATTGGCGGGTGCAATGGTTGTCTGTTTGATTACTTGAACGCAAGCACTGCGAAGTTACTTGGACCAACCATGCAGCTTCCTTCACGAGCAGACACCCTCATCCCCATACACTCTATGCGAGCGCTGGGGACTTCTTGCGGCTTGGACACCTCGGAATGGTGACCCATTCGCTCCGCACCGGACCTCCCATACGCGAGTAGTGACCGTACGATACAGGATCCCTTACGTTGACAAACACTGTCTGTCCTGACATCGTGTTGGCATGCATGAACCTGTGCCTCATCTATACTTGCATCTATTTCCATCATGGGACCAAGGAGCCTCGGGATGCAAGGACCAGCAAGACGACAAAATGGCCCAGGCTTTCTGGGCAGTGGTCTTTTAGTTGACTTCATTGCATCGTGTCTCTGAACGATAGTATTGTCATGATGCACCCAAAGTCAGGACTTGACTACTTGGTAAGGACGCGAGCTATGCTACACACCAAAGCCAATATACATGAAGAATGCGGTCCTCAAGCCAAGGCGACCCACCGCCTTGGCGAAAGCAACCGAAATAAGTAAAGCGCAGAGCAGTTATATCCTTTCCACCGACTGCGCATCCGCCGTGTCCCGCGTATCACCATTCATCGCACTCTTCAACCAACAATAATTCAGATCCGTGCCCTGCGGGCCAACATTATACCAAGTGGCGCCCTTGCAATCGTCCCGCTTGGCGCAAAAGGCCGTGCACTCCTCCATGGATGCCGCCTTCTCGTTCACAATGTCCTGCCCCAGTTGCGCCGAGTCGCACTTCTGCCGGAACCGAACCTGGCTCTCCGGGTCCGTGTAGACCGAGCCGTCGGCGTCGGGACACGCCATGACGGTTGAGGAATGGGGTAATGCGGTGGCTGTTGCCGTCGTGGCGCCTATATAGTTTGAGATACAGTTAGTGTTTATTCCATCACGGTCTCCTGTGTTTGTGTAGTGGGATCGGCTTTCGACGTTGTTTTTGGGCCATCTCCGGCGGCGGCGCTACTGGGGTTGCTCTTTCTCGTAGTTTTGGCCGTCTGGGCTACGGTTGTCATGGCTCGCAACATCGTCACTGACCCTGTTTTCGTTGTATCGTCCCCGAGCCCTCCCTACTAAAAGCAATGGGTGTACTAGGGCTAGTAATTCCACTCGCCTGTTCCCACGAGGGTGAGAGCGTCATACCTGCAGTAGCTGTCCCCGAAGGATTACCATGTAATCTGAAAGTATTATTTAGTTCCATGCGACGTGATATACATATGGAGAATCAAGGAGTCACTTACGGTCCTGATGACTTGGATCTACTCAGCATGTTCGGTCGAACTATGCCAAGCGTAATGCCCAGGACTATCGCCAAGGCCAGCAACAGGACGCATGCCAAGACGATACCGAATATCTTCTTCCGTAAACCGCAGATTGTCGCACGGGATTCACCGGCAGCCGGATTCTTGTCCGGGATTGTCTCATCTTCGTCGTGGGTACGTACTGATCTCGCAGAAGTAGCATACCTCGTCCCGGCCGGCACAACTTCAGGTCCCAAAAGGACTTCCAGGCCAGGCTGAGAAAGGGGTCGACTATCTCGCTTCGAAAGCTCAATACCCGGCTCAGCCGGATGCACCTCCTTCATTGAGGCACTGTCAAAGGTAGAACCCGAGATGGGCGAGAGGCTGTGTAAGAACGAAAGTGTCGACCCCTTCCCGAGCTTCCGGCGCGGGCTCGCCTTCTCATCGTCACGCAGGGGCGATACGCTCTGCGGGTGGCCCTTCTCGGCGCAGTCCCAGCATACCGGCGTCGACTTTCCGTCTGAGTGCAGACATGGCGTGGGTTTCTTGTTGGGGGTGGTCGGGCTGAGAATCTTGAATCCCATTATCTACAGTGTCTTCAAGGCCGCGTAACGATAAGAGCAGACAAGTAACTATAGCTGGAGGCACGAGGAAATCTCGAGATTTTGGGCATCTCAAGATCGGTCCCTTCTCGGACAGACTTGGGGTCGGGTTGTAACAACGAAAGTCTGGTTGGCTGGCTGTGCTTTGGCTTTGCTGTAGCACAATGATACACAAACGGGTGGAACAGGGAGACGGATGGGGGAGAGAGCGTCTGGTTTCGCTCTAAAAGAAATATTTTCCTTACTCTGCTCGTGGCGAGCAAAGAGTAATATCTACTTGGCGTGCACGTGTGGTGGAGGCGATGTAATCTATGTTTTTCAATTTTACGGCGGCATGTTTAACCTTTGGAGAACCACCACTCAGGGGGCCGACAGAGCCTATTCATCGTCGCACGAACAAAGGCTCTAAATCAGGCATTTTTGGTTCTTCTCCGAGGAGTGAGCAAGCGAAAAAGGGAGACCAAGAATGCCAAATTAGAAACAATGAAACTGGCGCTTTGCGTTGTGTTGCAATGGTTGGAATTGTTCATTGGAACTATAGTCTCTGCATCCAGGCAGGCTTTAGGGGAATTCCGGCAAGGGGATGAGCATTGGCCACGGTAACTCCATTTCACTTGGTGTATCGCAATCATGGACCAAGAACGCAAGCACACCATACTCCACACTGAAGTCCATTCCTGGCGGCTCAGTTGCGGGTGATGGTGAAGGCCAGTATGCACGTCCAAATGTGGCAAAAGCTACAGTCGCCCCTCGATCTCATCATCTCCATATCCATCACCACTTCTTAGCAAACCCCGGTCCCGTCGAGCTACCACATTCCTATCTTTCAAGGGGCATACCTTGGGGTCAAGACCCATAGGAAGTCCTTACATGTAAAACCTTGGGTCACACATCATATGATGGATATGGGCTTTCTGCGTACAATTCGGGTAGAGCAAGTCCTTGTACCACATGCAGATCATGCAGAGCCGGGAAAAGGCATAAGTACTCAAGAGTGCATGCATATGGATGAAGCAAACCTCATCAGTGGATAGCCTGCATTTACCCCAGGTATGCAGTTGAGATTGCAGCGCCGGCAGGCTAGACTCGCCGTTGCGAAGTTTCGGGAACGAAAACAGCATTCTTGAGGATATGTTTGCCTAGGCGGTTAATGTAGAAACGTTTCGTTCGGTCCGAACCCCGCGTAGAACCGGTCTGACTTGGACTAAGCTGTGGTGGAACAGATGCAAACTATCAAAGGGACGAGGAGGCGTTCAACTGCCGCGATTTTGGACGGATATAGCAAACTATTATACCACTAGAGATTTATGCAGTATGCATCCATCTAAAGGCAGCTGTAATTCAGTCTATATACATCCTAGTATAGCACCTCTTCTTAATTTGACGTGGGACCACCATGGTAACTTCGTCTTATAAGATAGTTGGGGGGTTGCATTGAGTTCAATCCGATCTAATAATGACGGCGAAAATACAATCATCTGAAAGATAGGATTTGACACGTATTCAACATGTCGTTAGTTTGATTTCGACGTCCCAAGGCATCGCCAGGGGGTTTGTGCCGTCATAGACTTGCGTAGGGGCCAGTTCCGCCGGATTTGAACAATGCTTAGACCCCTAAACTCGATAGAGTGCGCACTAAGCATATTGTGAATCATCAAAATGACGCAATAGGAGCGTTAAGGCTAAAATAGTCAGAAACAGCTTGGTCGTGGTTCAATATAAATCTGAAGTGTCGCCAATTCTATGGAACAGCATCACTCTACGCACCCGGTGCGGTGATTCCTTACATCAAGCTTTAATTTTGCGTGCTCAGTGATCATATTTTCTCCCGGTAGAGCTCCAAACTTCTCGCATTTAGCAAATTGGAGAGCCCGAAGATATAATGACTGGCGGAGAACCTGAGAAGGGGGACAAGGGTAAGTAATGCAGGGAAATCTGTACTTCCATCATCCCTCGTCCCTGTTCTGTCTTCACCAGTAACTGCATCAGCATTGCACTGTATGAACGGTGATTGGATAGCGCAAAAAACTAACAACTTCGCTTCGACACAGTCACATGGAGTTGGGGAGGAGGCGCTCCCGGTGGAATAGTTGCCGAGAAGAAGACCGAGGGCGAGGTGGCAATCAAGTCCAAGCGTGGCAACACGATCAAGAGGAAGGCCGAACCTGGTAACCCAGCTGTGCATATCTCCCGTTCTGGGAATGATGTGGTGAAGAAGGCATCCGAACTCAACGTTGAGAAGAAGGCGGGTGGCGGTAGTAATGGACATGGCACCAAGCGCAAGGCCAAAAGTCAGGAATCTAATAATGTTGAGGAAGAAGAAGATGGAGATGATGGTGAAAATGATGAAAACGAGGATCCTCGTACGAAAAGCAAAAAAGGGAAGAATGTAAAGAAGGGTATGTACTTGAGCCACTGTCCAAGCATGGCTTCATTCCACCATTCTCGAATGGGTTTTAACGTACTTATTCTTTGCAACAGATGGCGAAGAAGTCACAAAGAAACAGAAGAGATCTCAGGACGACGACGAGAGTACCGAGAAAGAGACTGAAGGGAATGAAAAGAATGACAGCAATCAAGACGCTGAGGAGACGACGAAGCAAACCAATGGTAACATATCGTCGAGTAAGAAACAAAAAGGCGGCGATAATAAGAAAGCAGTTATTAAGGCCAAGGACAACGCTAAGTCAACTTCAGAATCGGACAACCTCAAATCTACATCGAATTCTGACAGGAAAGTCAAGGGGAAACCTGCCGATCGGCAAAATGGCAATCGGGAGCACCAGTAGAAAGAGTCAAGCAAAGGTTAACCGTCAATCGCGTAGTATGAAAACCTTCATCCTAGCGCATTTCAATACGACTTGGTAACATCAACTTTTTTGGAGAATATGTGACTTGTTCGTTCCAAACTCAAATTGATACGAGATTTGAAGGTATCTAAAGATTTGAGAATATCGTTGGAGTCGCAACGCATGAGCTGTAACGCACAACCTTCGCTCTAGTCGTGCTTGGGACTATGGTAGTAAGTATTGTACGGCATGCGATATTCGGAAAGTCCAACCCGAATTGGCAGGCATAACGGGGAGGGTGCGTTATCTCCCAAATTTCGTGAGCCTCCAACAAACATTGGCATGAGAAGACAGTCTATCCATGCCTTGCACGTCTTTGCAGAATTATCAACACAATAAGCAATACACCACATACGACAATGTCACGCCACGCACTTGAGGAAATGCCGGACGCAAGAATGTAAGTAATCCGAGTCCGGTGAGATATAAACCCCTATTTGGTCACCACTATTCCATACACCTAATGCGAGCCCCTATTCCAGTTCTACACGGGAAGACCAATTGAATCCGTAGTGAACTACCGCTTCGCCACAGCTTTCGCAACCCCGGCTCCCGCTATCCTGCCAAAGACAGCACACTCCAGCAACGAAGAGCCACCCAGCCGGTTGGCACCGTGTATACCACCGGTGATCTCGCCCGCGGCCCACAGGCCTTTCACCGGCACCGTCTCATCGTTCTTCTTCCCCAGGACCTGAGCATCCTTGTTGAACACCACACCTCCCATCGTGAAATGCGTCACAGGCGTAACCTTCCCCACACAAACTTCCTCATCCCGATTCGCCTCGCCCGCCGGCAACCGCCACCTTCCAAACGCCTTCCTCCCAAACTCGTCATCCTTCCCCTTGGCAACCACCTGCGCATACTTATCTACGGCAGCAATAACCTCAGGTGCCAACTCCCTCACCTTCTTCTTCTGCATCAACCCCTTCCAAGTATAAAACCCCAAATGCCCCGCAACCGCCTCGCACGCGCCCGGGTCAAGCAAAAGCGTGACATCCCACTGCTTCGCATCGCCCTCCAGCTCCATCGGGGGCAAGGCCATGATGGCCGCACTGACTACGTCTCTTCTCTCCATCTCGTTCACGAACCTATCCCCCTTTGCGGAAAGCATGATGCCACCCTCGCCTCGCAGCGCCTCGGCGGCTAGGAATTTATACCCCGCTGCTGCGTCCTTCGGGTCGACGAACCCCGTGGGGTGGACTTGGACTTCGCTCATATCGACGAATTCTACGCCTACATCGGCTTCTTCCAGCAGACGGTGCGCGCTTGGGCGGGCCGTGTTGGTTGATGGCATGCCCTTTAGGTCGGATCGGTATTTGGCCAGGAGCCCCTGGGCGTCGCCTGCGAAGCCACCAGCCGCGAACACAACGGGTCCTTGGAGCTCTTGCTCTTCTGAACTGGCGCCGTCGCTGGTGACAAGGTACCGCACCCCCACCACCGCCCCATCCTCCACAACCAGACTCTTCACTTCCGTCGATGTGCTGAGGGTGAAATCCGGACTCTCCCCCAGGCTTTTGAGTAATGCTGTCACAATGGCAGCCCCGGGCGGCGTCTGGCCCGCCCCTCTATGCGTCCTGGCAACCGAATGCCCACCCAATTGCGCAACGACACTCAGATCAACCCCTACTTCCTTCGTGAGCCATTCCAGCGCGCCCGCGGATTGTTTGGTGAGTACTCCGACCAGCGCTTTGCGGTCTAGGCCCTTGGGCCCGGGTTCCTGGAATCGGGCCCCTGCGGAGCGCACCGTGTCGTCGTAGAATATATCCGGAGAATCGGATACCGCGATGGTTGCTTGATATTCCGTGCCTGCCCCGTTGATTCCCGACGAGGCTTTAATACTATTCCCGCCCGGCTTGGCCTCGCGCTCGAACATGTGCACGCGCGACCCCGCTTTCAAGGCCTCGTGCGCGGCCGACAGACCGGCTAGGCCCGAACCAATAACCAAAACCGTAGGTTTGCTCGACATTTGGAACAGTGATGGTGTAATCAGGTTTGAGGTGTGGAAGACTCTCTGACTTGTACTTTGGAAAATGCCTTTTAGGGTATTGTTGCAGACGGGGAAACGGTTGAGCATGAGAACTGCAGCGCCGAGAATGAGGATACTGAGGAAGTAGTAGGGCGTGCGGCGCGGGAACATGATGGTGGGATAAGATTTATAGAGCGATCAAATGTTCTGCATGCTGGCTAGTTTGATGGCCGAACGAAAATGGCAAATGGTGGGCGCGATCGGGATGGGGTGATGGGTTGGCGATTTAAGTGCGGGCCGCTCGGCAGCGGTGGAAACATACGATGGGCGTCGTATGATGACATACACCGTGTCATGCTTGGGTGGTGTCGGAGCACACGATAAATGCGTGGGTCAGCTGAGATTTGAACATGTTGCTATATGCCCCGAGGTTCCCAATAATTGCGGGTGGTTGTATTTAAACAGCAAACTTGTCCTCATGAACTGCGTTATTCCGTCGGCATCCACGAATCTGCATGACAGCGGGCGGGGCCCGCAGATTTCGATGCCATAACCCCCTGTGGAACGGAGCTTCTGTCACTCGTCTCATATCGACTTCTTGACCAGTGCACGATAACCCTTTCCGTATACTTCAATGTATGCATGCGTCTCTCGCACTCTATCAGACAGCCCGGGCAATCGTACCCTCAAAGTATCTGGTTTACTTAACCACAACAACATTATAACAAAGCTGCCGCAAGAGAACTTGGACGCCTCGAAAATAGACGAAAGAGCCCCGGGCCAAGTTGGGAAAATTCAACAGGTATATGTGTGAGGCGAGTTTGATATGCTGATGCTTCTCAGTTCCAACTATCTCCAAAATTCCCCGTCGTAAAATTCTCGTGCAACCAATTTGACATAAAGCCTTCTCCAACCATGAGCCCCTATAACACCTGCAGACTCGTATTATTGACTGTAACGTCCGACGGCTATATCCAGCTCTCACGAATGATACACCTCCAACGTGTCAAGCATGACATCACCGCATGTATGATATCCCCTCATCCGTGGCAGCCGATATAAAATGCTGACAGCGATTAAAGAGAATACACACCCATGGACAATCTTGATATTGCAGTTAGCACCTGGCTCAGCCGGCTACATCAAAAGCTCTGGAAATCGCCGTGATATATTTCCTTTTCTTTCTCACCTAACCGTAGCCTAGTCCCCTCGCTGTCACAATGGTCGAATACGCAACCTACCCTAGCCTCCGCGACAAAGTTGTCCTCATCACCGGGGCCTCCGAAGGCATCGGGGCCGCAGCCGTTTCCCTCTTCTGTCGACAAGGATCCAAAGTCACCTTCCTCGACTTCTGTGAACCATCCGCCACCGCACTGATCTCCAGAATCCAAGAGGAAATCCCCGACGCGCCCCACCGACCAACTTTCATGCACTGCGACGTGACCGATCTCCCCCGCCTCAAAGAATGCGCCGAATCCGTCCTCGCCATGCACGGCACCGTCGACGTGCTGATCAACAACGCCGGCGCTGTTGTTGCCGGAAGCCGGGGGCCGACCGCGCACATCACGCCCGACTCGTTCGATTACGATATTGCCGTCAACTTGCGACATCAGGTTTTCTTAACGCAGTACGTTGTCCCTGCCATGCAAGCTCAAAAGTCGGGAAGTATCATTAACCTCGGCTCGACGACGTGGCGGATCCCCAATGTGAGGGTGCCTGTTTACACGACGGCCAAAGCGGCGACCTTGGGATTGACCAGGACGCATAGTCGGGAGTTTGGGACCGATGGGATTAGGGTGAATAGTGTGTTGCCCGGGGTGGTGGGCACGAAGAGGCAGGTGGATGAGATTATTACCGAGGAGTTTAGGAGGAATACGCTGCAGGCGCAGAGTTTGAAGCGGTTGATTGTGCCTGATGAGGTGGCGAGTTTGATTTTATTCTTGGCGGCGGATGATTCGAGTGCGATTACGGGGAGTAACTATGTTATTGATGGGGGTTGGGTTGGGGATCCGTGAGGAAAGGGGGTTCTGGAAAGGCATCACCGTAGGCTTGGATTAGGGGCTAACGTAAGTATGTACATTTGTTGGAAGAAATGGGCCTCGATGCTGTTACTTGGACATTACACGGCATGCCAGGTTGGGTTGGGGGAGGGTTGGATCTCGGGGATCTGTGGGGTGTGCAAGGAGATAGGGAGGGAGCTTCAGTCGGTCGGCATGGGAACCATGCGGTTATAGCTAATGGGCTTGGCGTTGGGACTTTTTGAACCAACCACACTCGTTGGTGAAACCTGCCTCTTGAATACTTCGAAACTCTTGAGCTTGGCTTTTTCAATTGTGATATGAAGCACCAAGACATATGACGATGATTGCGGTTGGTCTAGAGAGCTAACCTTGTGTTTATCACCCAATACCCAATATGCGTCATTGCCGAGTCTGTAAGACTGGGTACCAAGTACGACATAGTAAGTAGCCACTGCACGGATTTCAGCACATTTCGTTTTTGGAGAACTAGGTTTCCTCAGCCCAGCAGAGCAGTAGATGCAGCCGGACTAGGTTTACACGTATATGTGCGAGCAAATCGTCAGTGAGTAAGGAACGCTCGAGCTTTTCTTACAAATACGTAATTAGGCCACAAAATTAAGTTTTACAACCCTCTCGGATACGTTCTGCAAAGGGCTTGTTTCTGCCCAAGACTCACCAGCCACTGAGCACTCACTACAAGCCTACTCAAGCCCACGTAGTAAACCACCTGACCGCGTCAAAGAAAGCTGATTCCTTCCCATACTTCTGCTCCGGGTCCGACACGTTCGCCCTGACCCCAAACCCATGCGAAGTCCCACTGTACAGCGCCACCGAGTAGGGCAGCGTCGTGTTCAACAGCAAAGCCTCAATCTGGTGGCGTCTCTCCGGCGGCATCGCGCTGTCTGTCTCAGCAGCCGCAACGCTGGCCGGGCCGGCAATGGCCAAAATCTCGTCGTCCGTTAGCAGACTCGGGTGTGCGGCGAAGGCGACGTCGGCGCCTTTGCCTGGGGCGACAAAGCGGAAGGCGTAACGGCCGCCGAAGCAGTAGCCAGTCACCTGGATCTGTGTCAATCCCATTCTTGCAGGGTTTTTGGAGAAAGAGAACTTACGGCGATTTTCTTGACACCCACGGTCTCACGGAGGTACTTGATGGCCGTGGCGACAATGGGGTCCGTGACGTTGGGCCCATGGGCATTGACAAAGGCGGTGGTGTTGAATCCGGGGACGTTGATATCTCCTGGTGCTGGTGTGCCGTTGAACATGTCGGGTGCCACCGTCAGGAACCCGGCGCGGCCGAAGCTGTCTGCAAGCCTAGTAACTGTTAGTCTTGCATCGTGAGGCTGAATTGGGGACCGCATACAGCTTGTTCTGGGCCAACTGGATTCCAAAGACGTCTGTCAAGTACAGAACCGCCGTGTCAGACTTCTCGCCCGTGATGTACAAGTTTACTGTATTCATGTCAGTAGTGTGTCTGAAGTTAAAGTGTGATTTGGCGACAGATGTTTCTGCATGTCTTACCTCCATCATGGACTTCCTCCGTTCCAACCGGAGTCCCATCATGCGCAATGATGGACGTATTCGCAACGGGACAGCTCTCGGCACTACACTTTGCAGCGGAAGCAACGAGGGTCAGGCCCCAGAGGGCCACCGTGGAGGCAAAGGCGCGCATCGCAATATTGGTAAGTTCTATGGAACGAACGATGGTCGACAACGAGCTGTATCGAACGAAGAAGCCCAGACTTGCAAAGCCGTGTTCCCAAGTAACAGTCCGCCTTTATATGACTCGCGAACTTCGCAAAACGAAATGGCGCGCCAGTACATTTCCGGGTCCCAAGCCCGTGTTTGTTATTCCCCACAAATGCGTTGCATCCGGGTGCCAAGGGAATCCACGCTAGGCCAAAGCGATCCGGCTCGGCCGTTCGGTTCGGTCCCAAATCACGCGAATGACGCCTGTATTGGAATCCCCATATTGCGTGGGAGATTGGTCTGCTAGTACGGAAGATCGCAACCGAAAAGCAAGTTTAGCTATTCGTACGGATGGTCGTCCGGCCGGCTGTTGGGAGGCTGACCGGCGGAGAATTCCAGAATTGGCTTAGCTCGAATAGTATACAACATATAAGCAATACAGGCAAGAGAGCTAGCTGCATTTGCGGTGACGACGGGACGAACTCCCAGGAATCTGCAGCTACGGAAGGCGTTATCTGTGAGCAGGTGGCCCAAGCGCTGCGCCCAGCGCGCCAGGGGGCTCCGTAGGCACACGGGTACCTGTGTGGTTACCTAAATAGGCAAATCTCCTCCGTTGTCGGATATTATCATGCGTCGCATTATAATTAGGTGATTAAAGAAATTCGAAAGATGTATTGTTAGCTATAAAATTTTACTACTAGAGTATAGTCCTAGCCTATCGCTAGGCATTATATTACTAGTTAGTGCAAGTCCAAGAGACTGTGACAGGCTGTGCCTGAAATGGGATCCGGAGCTGCAAGAACCTTGCGTCCGGATCCACCAAAGGAACCATCGAGGGCATACAAAACATAGTCCGTGTTCCCGGGACAACTCGCATATTTTACTTTCCTCCTCAGTTAGATAATTAACAGTATTTGGCCATGTTGAGCTGTATAGTTTCGCAGTGAGCCCGTCACATAACCTCACGTCAATACATAGATAGAAGGAGGAGACGGTCTCTGTGACGGGCTCACTGCGAAACTATACAGCTCAACATGGCCAAATACTGTTAATTATCTAACTGAGGAGGAAAGTAAAATATGCGAGTTGTCCCGGGAACACGGACTATGTTTTGTATGCCCATATCAGGCACAGCCTGTCACAGGTTAGGGTTTTTGGGTGCTCGTTTTCGTTTTTTCCGGTTTCAGACGAATTATGTAAGCGTGTTCTTGAAGGGTATTTAAGACCTTCCGTACATAGTCGCTCTCTCGAGAAAAAAATAGAAAATCAAGCGGCCTTTTCCACAGTAATCTGAACCAATTTCTCTTTACTTGGACAGGCATTCAATGTCTGACGTACCTGTTGAGGTACTGTCACGGGGCTAGCCCACTTTGGGCTAATGTGGCACTCGGGCCACATTCAATCCAGCGGCTCTAACTGCGGGTGCCGCACTACAAGTTACGGCCCCTCCTCCTACAACCTGGGTGCTCGGGCCACATTCAACCTAGTGGCCCTAACTGCGGGTGCCGCACTATAAGTGGCGGCGCCCCTTTCTACGACCTAGATAGTGTCAGGTTACGGCCTGGACCGAAGGCGATAGTACAGAGTGAAGGGGAGAAATAGGCGTGTCCCCTTGGTGGTCACCTGGTGGTCACTGGTGGTCACTTGGTGATGGCAGGTAGGGGTGTCCACAGTAGTTCATTGATCTCTGCCCTCTCTATCTTCCTCCGTCTCGACTCCTTACTTATAGCCAGCCGAGGTTCTCTCTTGGATTCTGGATGTTTGCTTCCGTATGTCTGTGTTCCTCCGACTTCGGCCAATATCTCGGATAGCGGCTCCTTATCTGCAACCAAGCGATTCCCTATCCGCTGCAAACGGCTTCAACGGCTCTCATTCGCCACAAGCGGCTCTCTAGCCGCCACAAACGGCTTCCTACCTGGTGGAAGCCGGCCCGCCTCGGATGACACTTGTGGCTCTGACACGAAACCTCTAATAGTCTAGCTGCGTAAACCACTAAAGAGTCTGTAAGGGTTTGTGCTAGTAAGTAAGTCCTGCTGCGGAGTCCTCAAGCAATAATATCGGGGTCTGACGTATGGAGTAGAGTGCTTTGGGTAACTGAAGTATTCAAGTAGGGTAATCGGGAATAGAGTCGTTAAGGCAGTTTGCCTCACCAATGGGTTAGATTGATGGATATGTTGGACAACCAACATATCCAAGTGGGGATCAGTGAAGGAGAGATGGGTCTGTAAGGGACAGGACTCCCAGGCATTTCATAGATAGACAGTCTCTACTTCAGTGATCAATCTAAGCATCAATCTAACCCATTGGTGAGGCAAACTGCCTTGACGACTCTATTCCCGATTACCCTACTTGAATACTTCAGTTACCCAAAGCACTCTACTCCATACGTCAGACCCCGATATTATTGCTTGAGGACTCCGCAGCAGGACTTACTTACTAGCACAAACCCTTACAGACTCTTTAGTGGTTTACGCAGCTAGACTATTAGAGGTTTCGTTACATTGCCCATCTGTAAGGTGACAGCAAGCCTAGACTATCACGTCACATATGTCACGACCTGGGTTGCATCGCATTGGTAGAGACCTCGATTAGGTGCTATCGACGAAGATTCTACTCTAAGGAGCGAAGGAAAGAAGATGACAACTTAGGTTTGAGGGAGCGCGACTAAGTCATCCACGCTTGGCGGGGCTCCTACAAGGGTTATGATTGGCTTCCCATCTGACACTGCCATGGCAGGTGTTCCAGCTGTAAGTCACCTGGTTGTAGTGGGTCTGCGAGGGTTGACCTTCACAACATAGACCAAAAGATCTAGCAATTCTGTCACAAGTACGAGCATTATGTCCGGGCTCTCCGCAGATCCTACAGCGCCGTCGGCGTGGTTCGGCCGGTCTCGTACGACGACGACTTACACGTATATCATCCTCCTTCGAGATATGGGTTATATGCGCCCGTATTAGGTCTTCAATTTCTTTGCCGTACGACCTTTTCAAAGCCCTAAAACAGCCTACATCGAGAGTCTGGAGCTTATGTGACGAATGAGCAGGCATACTAAGTGTAATAATAGTAACGTGAATGTACACCGAGCTGGCCATGACACCGAGCTGGCCATGACACCGAGCTGGCCACTTTCATGCGCCGACGCGACCGGCCAACTTAATCTTTGATTTTCTCAACAACCAATTATGGCAAAGTCATACAACGAAGCAGACTTAATACTAGCCCTTCAAGCTCTCAAAAATGACCAAAAACTTAGTCTCTGACAAGCGGCAAAAACGTACCAAGTCCCCCGAAGCACCCTCCAAACGCGTAAAAACGGTGTACCTTTCCGACGCGATATTTTGCCTAATTCACGAACTATGACAGAATTAGAAGAGGAGGTAATTATCAAGCATATACTGGACTTAGATGCACGAGCGTTTCCGCCCCGGATTGCTGATGTGGAAGCAATGGCAAACCCGACCGTGGGTATCAAAGACGCCACAGAACCCGATAGAGGCTCATGCACAGTCTACTTTTTTGAAAAAGCGCATCTCCGAGAATCAGAATAGCTCTCCGACGAATATTTTCTCAGCTGTCGACCAGTTTGCGAAGGGAGCAAAAATGATAATGCACGAGCTCGCCCTCGTACGGGCCGAGTGCGCTGAGCTTCGAGAGGCAAATAAGATGCTAAGCCGGCGCCGGAGGACTAAAACAATGCAATTACGGGAAGGAGAATCACTTACTTTCCAAGAAGGACAGGACCTACGGGACTCTAGGGAGTTGGCGACACAGATACAGCAAGAAGAGCGCCGAAATGGTGGTCGCGCAAAGCGTGTTGAAACGCGCCCGAGGCGCTGTGGTATTTGCAACGGGACTGGGCATAATGCGCGAACTTGTAAGATCGCATTGCCATCTTCTGGAGAGGAAGATTCAGAGTAGTTTCAATTGATTTACGGCGTTGTGGTTTTACTATCGTAAAATTTCTATGCGAGGTTATGTAAGGGTGGCCAGCTCGGTGTCATGGCCAGCTCGGTGTACATTCACGTTATTATTATTATTAGTGGAGGTTCAGTAGAGCTTTAATCAACGGTTCCATCAGCCCACGAACAGGCGCCATTTGTACCCTCCCGACACGTTCCTCTCCACGCACAAATTCGCATCAACACCACGAAAAGACAGTTCACCACAGCAATTAAAGAATTTAAGAGTCGGCAGGTGCTTTCGCAGAGATCGTCAACCGCCACTGTTATGTCGTCACAGAAGCGCCAGGGCGAGGAGCTCGAGGGCGACATCACGTTCATTGCGACGCCCGCACCTGTGCCCTCAAAATTTGGGACGGGTGAGGACTGTGGCGTCCCAATCACCAATGTGAGCACCATTAAGCTCTCAGTTCCGCGTCAATTGATGTGAATCGACTATGTCGAAAATTTCACTCAAGCTGACGCCTATTGAAGTTCCCCGCCATCCATAATGCTCCCCTACCTGCCGAGGGTCCCGGCAATGAGTCCTTCTCGAACTACATCCTCGGGGCGCTGCTGTTGGCCATCCCGACCTTTGTCGCCCGCAGCCTCGGCGGCGGCTTCAAGACTACCGTCTTTTTCTTTTTGGTCTTCTTCGTGCCGATTCTGGTCGCCTTCTGGACTGTGACCTCGACCTACTCGCCGAACATCAACGACAAGGTTAAGCTCCCCGGTCGCCCCATTGAGCACTATATCACGTTCAAGAAGCAAGAAGACCGCCGGCGATGGATCGGCCGCAACAAGATACCAATGAAGACGTTTTACGAGATGTACTTCGACGGTGACGTCGAGTTCAATGGCGATTGCCTCGACATTATGGAGTTCCGCCATGACTGGGCTAACTTCGCCTTTACGTGGTCGGTCTTCCATTTCATCTTTTTCACTTTTGCCCCAGATGTGCTCTTCCATTCGCGCAAGCAGGACGAGGAGCAGATCCGCCCTAATTACGACCGCGGCAACGACCACTACTCGTGGTTTCTTGGCCCCCGTATGGTTTATACGAGCGGCATCTTCTCCGATCTCACACGCGAAGAGACGCTCGAGGAGATGCAGGACAACAAGATGGCCATCGTCTGTGAGAAGCTCGCTCTCAACGAGGGAGAATCACTTTTGGACATCGGTTGCGGCTGGGGCACCCTCGCCAAGTTCGCCAGCGTCAACTACGGCGCCCACGTCACGGGAGCTACCCTTGCCCGCAACCAGGCCGCCTGGGGTAACGACGCTCTCCGCCGCGCGGGCATCCCCGAGAGCCAAAGCAACCTTTTGTGTATGGACTACCGTGACATACCGGCGAGGAAATTCAACAAGATCTCTCAGCTCGAGATGGGTGAGCATGTGGGCATTCGCAGGCTTACAACGTTCTTCCGTCAGTGCTATGATATGCTCGAGGACGACGGCGCCATGTATGTCCAGCTCTCTGGTCTGCGTAAGGCATGGCAATATGAGGACTTCATCTGGGGCCTTTTCCTGAACAAATACATCTTCCCCGGCGCCGACGCCTCCACGCCGCTTGCCAACTACGTTGGCTGCCTTGAGAGCGCCGGATGGGAGATCAAGAGGTGATTACAGAAGCCACAAGACAAAACTCGTCGTGCTAACCCCGTCCCCAGCATCGACACGGTTGGCGTACACTACTCAGGCACCATCTGGCGCTGGTACCGCAACTGGCTCGGCAACGCGGATGTCATCAAGGCTAAGTATGGCCAGCGCTGGTACCGCATCTGGGAGCTCTTCCTGGCCTGGTCTACCATCGCCTCGCGCCAGGGCAGCGCCACCTGCTTCCAGATGGTCGTGGTGAAGAACCTGAATGCCACCCACCGCATCAACGGGTTTCCGTCCCAGTTTGGCCTCTCTGGCGCCCTTAACGCGAGTCGCGCTGCCGGGAAGGCGACCTTTCCGAAGTAAATTGTGTGCTTATCAAGGAAAAGTGCCGTTTTCTTTTGGGACTGTAATCTTCGCAATAGAACTGAAAGGGGGCACAGGAGATTAGAAATAGAAGGACGAAGAGGGCCTGTCATCTTCAATGTCAGCACCATCAACTACAACTCCATTATCCTCTTGCGTTTGTTGTGTTGGGCCCAAAACCTCTTGAGTATAACGAACTCCGCTGACTTTCCCTCCGCCTTATTATCTGAGAATCGTGCCGTCAAGCGTGCCAATCCACTTCTTCTTTACATTGTGGGCGACGTTTTAGAGTTTGTGCCACACATAAACTGCTGCTTGCTATTCGGATATTTATTTCGAAGCGCGTTCTCAAGCGCGTTCTCAAGCGCCTTGTCAAAGTCGATAAGGATGAACGTAAGGCGCGTCGGCAATTGAAGTCTTGAGCACAATCGCCTAGGCAATTGCACAACTATTCAAATTAAGCTCTTGCTTCGCCGCTTAACAAAGAATATGGACTGACTCTGGGTGTCTTCTGGAGGAAATAAAGGAATTGTTGGGTTGCATTCTGGTCACTAAAATGTTCGTGTCGAAACTCGGCTTGGAGGTTAATAATATCGTGAGTTTTGATTTGAACACCAGGGTTCTGGCGCTCAGTCTCTTCGGCGATATTGATGGCGTAGAGACTTGATCTCGTCGGTGAAATACTGAAGAGCTCCTCGTCAGTTCCCGCTAATGGCGGCATTACCAAAGGTGCAATGATTTTGCTGACTCTTGAGCGTGCCCGTGCCTTGAAATAGGTATAGGCACAGTGCCATCTGCCGCTGACCTTGCGATAAGTGAGGTTTATACCCCATTCAGTCCACGCCGTGTCCTCCTTGTGCTTCGCAGTTCGGCCTTGTTCGGCCCGAGCTCTTGTTTGTCACCTTTGTAGCAGCCGAACTTGAAGACAGCGAAGCCGCCGGGGACTTCTGGATTGGGGTTGTTGGAGTGAAAATTGCTGCAAGGGAAGCCGCTGGCTTTACAGGCGGCCTTGAGGTTGGTATTGGCAGATTTGAAGTCCGACCAGGATATCGCTAAAGGTATTGGACGAAGTGAGGCATCGTGGCGATGAGAAAGCAAAAATATGGGTGGTAATTCCAGGATAAAATACGCATGGATCAGGAGTTCGACAATGAATTTATTGAGAAACAGGTGGAAAATGGGTGATTATATTGTTGATCTCTTCAGGTACTTACGTTGCAACCTCCTCACAAACGTCATGTTGCGCTAGCAGCTCACTTGTTCCTAACTAGGGTGCCTTTGTTTTAGCCCCTTACCCTGTATGCGCCTTCCATGTTTGGTCAGGACGATGTGAGGGGTTGTAAGATAAGCACAGCCTACTACAACGTTTGAGGTGCGCTCAGACCCCCTGTGGTGCAAGTATAGATAGTCACGACAGCGCGCATATTCTACCACCACTAAACTTCCTATGCAAAGATATTGACCTCTGTCTTTGGTATACCAGTATCCCATTTCAGGGTACTATTCAAACCACTGAGAGGCAACATACTAGGGCTACCCTATACCCGGACTGGTTGTGTATCGTCAATGTCAAACTTCGTCGTGAGTCTTCGCCATCGATCACAGCTTCTTAATAATATCACACTTCGTTAGTTGAAAGCCTCTCACAAGCCTCTCACGATATGATCAGTAATCTTCATCTGAAGATCCCTGCCCCACAACTGGACAACCTTTCTTCCACTTTCTGATACGATCTCGCACGCGACCGCATTATTAGTACGTTATCTGTCCCGGGTTGGGTTCTTGCAGATGACAGATACTTATCTCCAGGCCAACATGTCTACCTTCAAGGGCATTGATTGCCTCCCTTTGGAGACGCAGCAGATGGTCCTCAGAGCCATGTCAGATATCAAGACGCTGGTTGTAACCATTCACGCCTCTCCTCTTATGCGCCGAGCCTTCGACAGTTACTCGAATCCGATTCTGGGCGAGGTTCTGGTGATGAACACCATGAAAAGTGCAGCCGACGTCTTCCCCCTCGCTGTCGCCCTTAACCACCTGACAACAAAGTTTTCTTCCAACCAGGCTGCATCCGACCCTCCAGGATACAACCAAAAGATCACCAACTTCTGCCGTAGCTACCTGAAAAACCTTCACACCTTCTCGATCGTTGACGCGGGTTTGTCCCTCAAAATGGCAATGAACATCGAGTCGACTTATCTCCGGATGGTCGACATCGCCCAACAGTTTGGAATGTACGTTTGCGACTGTGCGAAAATCGAGCGCGGGGTCTCCATTAGCGAAAGTCAGCGATTTCTCAAAGCTGTATACATCTACGAGCTTGCCCGAGTCCTCTTCCGCACCCGAATCATGAACGAAGATGGTACCGAATATTCCACTGCATTACACACGTTCTGGACGTCATTCGCGCCCTGGGAGGCCGCTCAGGTACAGGCATTTGAAAGGTTTCTCCAGAAACTCTTGGTGGACAAAGGTCAACGCTCATGCTAATATGAGTTTGCTGTACGAATGACTAACGAATGATAGTGTGTAACACCCCGATCCAACGCTTTGCCAGCGACATCATTGGCGATACGTTGGATGACCTGAAAGATCCGAACCTTGAGTCCATTGTCTACCTGTGCAATCGATACAACCTCATCATGCTGCCACTTCAGCACGGTGTTGACGTTGTCTATGGCCTGTTGCGTAGCGACGCAATCACTCCGGAGTTTCTTCAATCGTTGGTTCGCCTCGCGACCAATCCAGAGTTCTCGAATCTCCGAAAACATATGTTTTCACTCAACAACAGTGCAACACGCCGAGTTTGGTTCAAATATGGCGATGTCAACATGAAAGAAGCCTTGAAGATCGTTGCAAAATACCCATTTGATGAAGGCCCTCGAGACTTCTGGTTTTGGGCACAGATCTGGGCCGTAGATCAAGCTTCAACCCATTACAGAGTTCGACGTATCTGGTCCGGTCAATTTCTAACCATCGATGATATGGGTGCTTGCATTCACCCACACTCATTTTGGGATAGAGATCGCTTCGCAGATCTTGCATTGCCAACCATGGAGAAGTTGATTGATCACGCAAGGTCACTGGTTGCGATAAAACATTGAACAATCTCGAGATGAATGCTGCGAGTTCCACGTCTGGGAGGGTTCGCATGCTGCTAGAGGATCATATCCACGAGGTTTTGATGCCGATTTACCGACAAGTCCACTTCCCCCCAGTGGCAGTAACTGGCATTGACCCCTTTTTGCAACCCACCCCGATTTGCAAGCAGAATTGCATTGTCCACACAACCCTCTCAACTCCAACCTCCAATTCTCAACAACCATATGGTAAATCATGCTCGAGCCACGTATTGTGCGCGCCAGGCAAGGTTTCCATAGTGGCCGTCAGCCAATACGGCATACAGCCATCGACGCCGTCCAGGCGTCTCAAACATGGCCAATCGCACGGCATCGGCACCACCTACCTGCAGAAGCTATTTCAGTGAAAGGAAAGGTTATCTTCAACTCGATTCTGTGTGAAGAACTATGTGGGCGCGTCCCTCCTAAAAAGTATGTTATCGACTTCGTCATACACGCCAGTCGGCTCTTGATGGATGAGGGCTTTCTATCGTGTGATTCTTAAATCCACACTGGAATCGGCCGTCGCCTCCAACCATGCAGCATGCGCACAACCAATTCCCAGAATATTTGCTACTTCAACGGCCTTGTACGATCCTCGGTAAATTCGATCGTACTGCATGTAATCGCAACTTGATAATAAAGTAGCCTGTTACTATATAACGGGGTTTTGCAGATTACCGTCTACAAATTTTGTAGACGATATCCTATTGATATATACGCTATAAATAGCAATGAACAAATCTAACCCAAATTTAGTATATTGTCAATGAAAGTGAAATAAATATCCTCTACACATCGTACATAACTAAACATCTCGTATCCTACACTCAACCTATTACACTAAACCCAACGCGTACGGACCAACGACACCTTAACCAAACTACCTCCGTCATCTCAGCTTAAGCAACCACCACATCCGGCCCAGCACTGCACGACTCGGCACTCGAACAACATTGCTTCGTCCAGTCACTGAATCCGCCACCGCTCTTAGTCTTGAACCGACACTGATTCCATACGCTCTGGCCCGTTTTTTTGCCGTTCCAATCAGCCGTATCGGGTGAGTCAACCACGAGTGTACCCACCATGCCTGTCATGGAATGGAAATCGTTATGGCAGTGGAGAAACCATCTGAGAGTGTTAGATGGCGCGGATTCAGGAGAAAAGAGGGAGAAAAGAAAAGAAAATGGGCACTTACGCGCCAGGATTATCGGCCTTCATGGCGAAAATAGCATATGACCCCTGCCCAATCCAGGAAGTATCGCGGCGGAGGGGAAGCGAGGGCATGTTGTACGCATTATCCTTAATCTTCTGCTCATCCGGCAAGCCCGCTACACTTTGCCTATTCTGACCATTTTGACCTGTTTCACGATATAAAACTACCAACATCGTCAGCACTTGCATCCAACTTCCCTAGATATATCATCAAAGAGGGGAGCGAAGGGAGCGAGAAAGAAATGACATACCCTGGAAATCATATCCATGCAAATGAAACGGATGTGCCCCAGGCGCCGACTGCACCACCAAGAACACATTCGTTCCCTTCCTCACATTCCACGTATTATTCGCACCATAATACTGCTCCAACGACTGTCCCATCCCAGGTTTTGGCACCAACTGCGCACTTGAGCACGCAGTCGGATCGGGCTGGTTCTGCCTTAGGAGAATCGGAATCTGAGGCTCCATGAAAACACCGTTATTCAAGTTCCCAAACTTATTCTGACCCTGCTGTGCGGTAAGTCGGAGCGTGATGATAACGGAGTCGTCGTCGTTGCCGTATAACACCCGGGGCTGCTCGTCTTGGGGGAGGAGTTTGCCGTTGATTTCCCAGTCGTCGGTTAGACGGTATGAGAGGTCCGTGGCGTGGGAGGGCAGGTTGTTGAGGCCTGATTGCGTGGTGTAGCAGGGTTTGTTAGAGTCGGTGCAGTAGATGTCGGGTTTGAAGAAGGAGGTTGGGATTTCAGAGCCGAGATCGAATTTCGCGGTTGCTATTAGGGCGTAGTTGTATTGGATGGTTCCGGACCCGCTGCCTCCACCGGCTTGTCTAATTCTTTGCCCAACACCACTGTTGCTTTCACTGCTACCTTCAATGGTCCTCAGCTCCTGGCAGCTGTTGATCGAATATTGGCGTGGATCGATGACAGCGTGAAGAAGAAAGCTCCTCGGGTTGCTAACCAAAACACTATATCGCTGTCCGGGATGAAGCTCAAGAGACTTGGCCTTTGATAAGTTCTTCTTCAATGGCACACCGTCGACCTCGATGACCTCCATTTCTATATCGGGATCGTTTGAGAAGACGAGGAACTGAGACCCTGCCGACATGTTGACAATGCGCACACGAGCCTTGCCAGATCCAAGGCTTTTCGCATTATAAGTGGTGGTGCCACTGAGGTCGTCGCGAACCACGGCGCCTGGATACGAGCTGAGTTAGTGATAGGGGCTAAGCTTAAGAGGCGCCGCTTGCGAACGAGATGAAACATACCATCTGGTGGCACTTCCAGTCCGCATACGTCATTACCACGTCCCGACACACAGCAAGCGCCGGTCTTGAATTTGGCCTCAATGTCTGCCATCGACAATGACCACTATAGTAAGTTAGCAGGTAGGCAGGGTTACGTGCCTTTATCAAACTTACATTGTCGCTGACATCCATTACAAAGTCATGCTTTGGGTCGTAGCCATAGAAAGCCGACTCATCTTTCGACTTGACGATCAACGGCGACCTCAAGCCCAGTGGGTATTGTCTATTTTGTCAGTCCAATGACTGAATGAGCAGGACGGATGGTGCTGGGTCTTAACTTACCCAATCTTGTGACTATGAACCCAGAAAGTGCCGGTCTGGCTGGTAGGCCAGGTGTATCTACACGATATCAGCCCCGGTCCCGAGTCAGCATAGGCATATTCGCTTTACTACTCACGTCTGCGAGCTGCCCATCGGGATAGAGCTACCTCCTCATTAGCACATGCTCAAACCTGAGGTACAACATCACTACTTACCATTGCGTAACCCCAGTCGAGCCATCCTCCGCGTTGTTATTGAACTGATGAAACCCATGCGCATGTAATGACACACCCTCTTTCACCCCGTTCTTAGCATCATTGTTGACCGTGAGGATGATCCTGTCATTGACATCGACCTCGATGGTCTCCGGCGGCCACCGGTTATTGATAAGGATGACTTCTTTGTCCGTCGTTCCCGGTAGCGTCGAGTACGTCAGGTTCCAGGTGAAGTGCCTGTCTGCTGCGATGACGCGGGATATTAATGCTGAGCCAGCGACGAGGAGAGCGGTGTCGGTGACCTTCATGGTGGCTGAGTGGGTATGCGCTTTAGCGAATGGCTTGGAATGGGATGAGAGATGCTGATGATGGTTGCCATTCAGGAAAGACTCAGCTTATATATTTATCTGTATGTGTGCGTCTTATACCAATCTCTTGGCAAAGGAAAGCTTCCCGTCAAGAGAGTTGCGGGATCATAATCATCGCCACTTTTCTCCTTCGGAAAACAAGGGAAGTCCTTCTGCCGGGGAAAGAAAACCTTGATTCAGATCTCTGGTTCCTGAAATTCTAAGCCCCAGGGTATGAGATAAGACGGAGAATCAGAAGGTGCATGGCAAACGTGGCATTGCGATATGGTGGCTACAACGGCGAGCCTTGGTTCAAGACTCGAGAGTCTGGTTTCCCGTAAGCGGGGAATTCCCCTTCAGGATGGATTCCAACATCTGGCAAACCTCACCAATCCTGACTCTTGGCTATGAGAAGCCAATGAAATATCAGCTTGGCTAAGTAAGTGTCCCGTTAAAGCAACTTCTGGGTGACGGGCCTAGCTGTAAAAGGCCAGAACAATCTGTGCATTTTGACACTTTAGGACTTGGGGCGAACATCCGTTGAACATGCAGTCGAACCTTCTTTCGGCAGGGTGTAAGAAAGCTTAAACAGCACGAGATGCAGCTTTGTTTGATAAAAGGATCACTACCCGACTTTCGTGACCTATCTTCGGCATTCCTTTGGACTCGATCGAAGATGTTAAACCTAGAATCGACTTAGAGAGACATTTTCGACCTTGCATCCGAGATCTGGCCTTTGGAACTCGTCGAGTTTCAGCGACAGAAACATTTCGTGTTTTCGCGTTTTGGTTGCATTCTTCCATACGTGGACATTGGCTTGCGTTTAGTAGATGGAGGCATCCAACAAACACTGGTTCGTGGGAATGGCAATCTAACATGCTCTGCAAACCGTGGAAAAAGCAAATCGACTTGTCCTTTAGGCCTCGGCAATAACCATCACAACTCGACGAGTTGGCAGTGATTGACAGGTTGCCTATACATGGCTAGATCGTCAGGAAGCGGCCGAGCCGGAGAAAACGAAATCATCACGGGGATCACCAGCACATCAAGGCGACAGGATTCCTCCAAGGATTTATCTGTGGGCGAGACAACCTAGAGCACAATGCTTAGCCTCCTTAGGTCTTGGGTGGCTTGCGGAGATCAGCGTTGACAGGAGTTCGGCGGTACCAGGCTAGTGGAAGGACAGACTTGGTTCCTGGGGGGGCTGGGGAGTGAATAGGGAGTTAAACCCCATCCTGTTCGTACGGCGGGGTCAATGTTGCTCGGACTATTTTGATCGACAATGTCTCTGATGTCTTGACAGCATGTGACAACCTTTCATCATCATCATCAGAGCTCAGCCGCAAAAACCCAGCATTTTGGGTCAGCATTAAATTTATAATCCTCGACCCGCAAGTCAGTACGCTTCCGGGGCAGTCCTCACAGAGCGACCCCGCAAAGATGGCGGCATCCAGTCCGAAAGTCCTGATTATGATGGCGGACTACGGCCACGACCCGACCGAGACGGCAGTACCGTACACGGCCATGAAAGCTGCTGGCTTCCACGTCCAATTCGCGACTGAAAATGGCAAGTCGCCGCAGTGCGACAAGATGATGCTGGAGGGAGTAACCCAAAAACTACTCGTATGCGAGCTTATATTGACGCAAGCTGCGGGTACTGCAGGTACATGTGAAGAGTGCGTGTCGCTAACAATTAATTGCACTCAGGGCGCGTCACGCTCCGCTATCGATATGTACGCGACCATGTCTCAAAGCGACGAGATGCAGAATCCTCTGTCTTGGTCAGCAAGTGGTTTCTCACTCGAGTCCTTCGACCTGGTCTTCTTTCCCGGCGGTCACGAGAAGTCAGTCCGGAAGATCATCGACTCGCTCGACGTGCACGAGCTTATGGCCGACTACTTCCCGAAGACTAAGAAACCTGGTAAGAAGGCTGTCGCTGCTGTCTGCCACGGCGTCATGGTCTTGTCCGAATCGAAAGACGCAGCTGGGAACAGTGTCATTCGGGACTGTGTCACGACCGCATTGCCTGCGCGATTTGAACAGGTCGCGTTCTGGGGAACCCGGGCTTTTCTTGGCGATTACTACAAGACGTATGGCGCTGGAAGCGAGAATGTTGAACAATCCGTAAGTGCGGCTTCTTCATCCGAGGTAGGATGCGCCAAGATCTATGGGAACTAACTCTGCGACAGGTCACGAACAGCTTGGCCAATGCCACTCAATTCAAAAATTCCCTGCTCCCTACGCCGTAAGCCCATCGCTTCAGGACCAGCTGGCTATTTCACTGACCGCGCGCCAGGTTTGTCGTTCAAGACGAGCAGTACAACTACATCAGCGCCAGGTTTCCTGGTGATGCAGATCTCTTTGCGCAAAAGATCGTAAAGTTGGTTCAGAGTCTCAAAGAGTAAGTTGGGTATATAGGTGCCCATCATCGGCATAGAAGAGGTCGCCGGAAGTATGAATACGCGGCAAATTTCAGGATTCAGCAGCAGTAGCAGCGGCGGCGGCAACAGTCTTCTCCTCCCAGGCCACGATGGACTTGACGGCCTCGTCCACTCCTTTAGCTATAATGGAGGGCGGGAGCATCTCGTCCAAGCGGTCCATCCAGCCCTTGCCGGCTCGATCAATCCAAGCCGATTTCAAACCCGCTGACTTGCTGCCGACGACATCGAAGGGATCGGCGCTCACAAGCCAGGTTCTGTTTTTGCTCCCTTCCCTCCCCACGGCTCGGAGTAGATGCTCGTATACGCCCACGTCAGGCTTGTAGACTTGCAGCGTATCAACAGTGACTAATGATTTGAAGATGTCTGCATGCGGTCCCAGGTCTGGTGACAGTTTGACCGAATTACTGACCATCTCCTCAGTGCCGTTTGAGAAGACGTAAGCCTCGACCAGATGACTATTCTGTCCGAGCACTTTGAGTGCACTGGGTATCTCAGAGAACACATGGAGTGAGTCGTAAGATTTCATGAGATGATTGGCTTGCTCCGTTGAGATGGCGAGGTCATGCTCGGCCAATGCGTGGCCTAAAGAGCTCCGAGTGATTTCGCTGAAGTTCTTATATTCGCCTGGTCACTGATGAGCAAAGGTTTAGAACAAGACGCACCAGGAAAGAGCGCTTTACCCATAGAGTTGATCCGCCATGTGTATTCGAGCTGATACCTCCGCCACAACGCAGCGATAGATTTGGCTCTATCAGTGCCGAAGAGCTTCGACAGCTCGTGGGCTATCGACTCGGTGGACAGCAACGTCCCGTACAGGTCGAATACAATTACTGCCTTTTCTCTCATATCGTCTGCAAAAACATTTGGAGATATCCGAGGTGATTTAGACGAGTCTATCGGTAGCAGCGCTGAATAGGCTCTCTTTTCAACATCTTCGACTTCTTTTCCGTGTCTCCAAATATTCTGCAATGCAGATCAAATGAGATCAGCCCGCCGCGCCACCGGGACAATGACATAACAGGTGGGGGGGGGCGATGCGGGGGAGCTGAGGGAAGGTCCCACCCAGTCAGTGTTTACCCCCACTATCTCCGTCCTGGGAATCGATGGCAGCATGACTTTTCACACCATCGTGAACAGAGAGAACCCGACTATTACGACTTGATCAATTTCCGACTTCAAGCTAAAATACAACTCACTCGTCAACCCCCAATCCCAACACGGCCTGCCTCCGACCGACGACATTTTCGCCTCTCTCCTCCCGTCTCTCAACCCATCCATTGCCGATTATCTGCCAACCCAACCGGCTACCACGACCAAGTGGTCGACGAGTTTCTCGCCCCGGTAGTCACTTTTGCCCTCGCCTCCCGCTGAACACCACCGCCCACTCCTATATCGACCACAAAACAAAGTATCCGGGTGTGAGATCTGCGGTCGTGACTGGATCAACGTAACTGGATAAACATAACGTACCACCACCACCTCATCCCAAGATTCGTGCACAAAAATATAATGAAGCATGGATGGCACCATGAGGAGTATTTACAGAACGTGGCGTGGTTGTGTGGGACTTGTCATCAGTTTGTGCATGCGTTTGTGAGATATGATGTGCTGGCTAGCGAGTATTGCAACGTGGAGGTTTTGGAGCAGTAGAGGGGTGGTGCTGTTTACTAAGCGGATTGGTAGGTTGAGGTGCAAGGTACGTCAGACCACCCACCGACTACACACCCCCACTAACGAGACAGCTAAAATGATGCGAATGCATATGCTGTCGATTTTAAGCTTGGTTGGCTATCCTATCTCATCTACAGCTACAGGGCAATCCTCCAGGGTAACCCTCCTTGGGGTCACGTATCATTTATGCCGGTACAGCAATTTATTCCGGTACACCAAAAATGCTACACCATCGGTCTTTAACAACTTAACAAGTATAAGAGGTAGAAATCAGGTAAGTGCACTGTTATCAGCGTAGTGAGTGATTTGAAGAAGCATTTTAGATTTCCCACGTAATTTCTCTTCAAGTTTGAGGTAAAAAAATTAGGACCCGGGGCTAACATACGTAATTTGACACAATGAGACTAGCTTGTAGTAAAATGCGTTGGCGATTTAAGGATCCTTTTCACTTTGCTGCCGCACTTGAACCATGCGGGTTCTTCAAATTGACGACACAAACCATATCGTGTGCGCGAATCTTAGCAGCCTATGTTTCGCTATGAGTTGTCCTACGAGCCAGGTATCTTCAACCCGAATCAGAGGCGCGAGAAGCTGAACAATTGAGCTACAACATAAAACAAGGCGCCAGGTCGAATTCAGCGGCGGTATTCGAAACACATTACTTACAACGCTGAAACCCGCATTCATCATGGTTTCAGCTGATCCTGATCTTCTCATGTGGAAGAAATCCTCGAGCTACCCCGCCAGGCCTTTCAGACCCTAAAATCCATGTTCTTTTAACTCCTTCTCAGTCCACTCCCACAGCTTATCCGTCAGCTTCTCATCCCTCACGTATGCATTCCCCTGGTGCTTCTTGGCAACCGGATAATAGAACGCCCCATTCTCAACCACCTCTTTCCTCGCCGTTGCGGCCCACAACTGATTCAACGTCCCCGTACCCACAGCGCTCAGCACCCAACCTCCCGCCCAATTGATCAATTTACTAACAACAGGATAACTATCCATAGGCCCCCTCTTAAGCCCCGTATTCACGCTCCCAGGATGGATAGCCACGCTCTTGATTTTCGGGTAATGCTTCGTCAACCCAGTGGTGAAATGCACATTCGCCAACTTCGACTGGCCGTAGCGCTCCCATGTGCCAGTTTCTTTCATGTCTGACTTGACCTTGTCCAGCGCGATTCCACCCTTTGGCGTCCACTCGTGCGCCAGGGAGCTCAAATTGATGATACGCACGTCGCTTCCCGGCTGCGCGGCCGTCTTCTCGAGAACAGGGAGTAGCAGCTTCGTCAAGAGCGCGTGCCCTACGTGGTTCGTCCCGAACTGAATCTCGTAGCCTTCCTTCGTGACGCTGGCGGGAGTAGCCATGATCCCCGCGTTGTTCATGAGAATGTCCAGACGGTCATTGTCGGCTAGGAAAGCATCGGCGGCCTTTTTCACCGAGGAGAACGAGGCCAAGTCCATCTCCAAGGAAATGATCTTAGCGTCGTTGCCGGGGACGATCTTCGCCATCTCAGCGATGACATCGCGAGCTTTCTGCTCGCTGCGAGCGCCCATGTAGATCTTCGACGGGTTGTGTTTCGCCAACTGTGTTATGGCTTCTTTGCCGAGGCCATTGGTGCCGCCCGTCACAAGAATCACCTTCCCCGAGAGGTCGGGGATGTCGGTATCTGGGTTGAAGGTGGTTCCGAAGCCGAACATTTCGTGAGTTAGAACTCTGAACGACACTTCCAGCAATTGTGAATAGTCTAACAAGACTGATGATGATAGAGATTGAGACTTTGTTGACAACCTGGGAGCAGACCGTCGTGAACATGAGTCGGTCATGACGTCGATTTAAGGTCTTTCCACCCCCGGGGTCCCGGGGAAAGTCGAGATGCCGAAGTGGGTATAAAATATGGTGCTAACTGTTTCCAGTTTAGACTGTTTCGTTTGCAAACCTTGTTTACTGTGTGTGAAGTTGTGCAGTTGAGGGTGTACTGAAAAAACGTCGTTAAAAAGTGCTCGAGTTTTGATCGTGGGAAATTTCTAAAACCTCTTATCCAAGAATAGTATATAAAGTGGCGTTTGTTACAGGCATTGCCATTTAGGTGCTGACTGCTCATTTTAGCGCTAGACGCAGTACATGCCTCAGAATTGCAGTCAAGTAGGTAATAACACAAATGACGCAATTAGTTGGAATAACTATGGGACTGAGCGCCACAGTTATGCCCTAGGCTGAAAGCCGCACGGTTGCTAGTGTAGCTAGTGGGTCAGACCCTTCCTTGCTTCCCGAGCGACGAAGAGCGGTACTTTACAGAGCTTCTTAACACTAAACTAAGGAATACAACGCGTAGAACAGGCATAGCGATTAATACAGCACCCATCCCAAAGTCATCAACTGAGGCTGGTACCCTAAATAACTACGTTGTGTCGGGCTACTACATTATAATACCGCTAAAACCGTGTTCTATCTTTTGCTGGGTCGTTTATTGCGTTACCTACATGGCGTTTCCCCGATGCAGACTTAATAGATTCGAATTAAGTGGACGACACACGGAACAACGACCGCGGCCAGGATCTGTTGCAGCCCGAATTCAGCCTGATATGCAAGGCGGTCATCCGTATGGTACATTGCGACTCACCGCGCATAGTAACCGATTTATGCCACTAAGAAATACGACCGGAACTTCACAGTCCCCGAGCTCATCGCCCGATAGACGCGGTTTACTTAGGGAAGGAGATTGGTATCATGAACAATAGAGCTAGGCAGACAACGCTGCAGTTGAGCGCACATGGCCCGTGGACGACACTCGACGTCACGTTTATGACTTCCCACGTTACAAGAAACCAGACTTTAGAGTTGCATATTTTGCAATTCTAGAGTTGCCTTCACTAACCCGTGCCAGATACCGGATACCGGATACTGTGAAGGTTTCACGGAAGCACTAGGTTCGGTTCTAGATCGCGTACGAGCGGTTTACAGTACGTTGCAATATTTTATTAACTATATGTAATGTAGTTTGCTCTAACGTCACCCACAGGTCATTGCCCCACACGGGTCTTTGCCCAACTTTTCACGAAATCTTGACTTTCCATCTTTACTTATACAATTCTTCCCTTCCACAACATGGCACGCAAATCTAGTGATTCTAATCTTCAATTAGCCATCCAAACTAAACGACGCGATCCTCACCTAAGTTGGAACAAGCTTGGTAAAATCTTCAAAGTCGACCATAAGACATTGAAGCGCCGTTACGAAGGCGTACAACCATTACATATTACTAACATGTCCAAACGGAAAATGACCGAAACCGAAGAGAATACGATTACCCGACGCGTACTTCAGCTAGATTCGCGAACTTTTCCTCCCCGGCTTCGATACGTTGAAGAAATGGCGAATATCCTCCGACGCGACCGCGACGCGTCACCCGTCGGCAAGAACTGGGCCTCGAGCTTCGTACGGCGACAACCAGACCTCCGGACGCGTTTAAATCGTCGAATCGATTACCAGCGGGCATTCTGGGGAACATCCTGTCACGTATCGCGGTTATTTTAAGCGTGTTGCGGACACAATAGCGAAGCACGGCATCCAGCCGGAGGATATCTACAACTTTGACGAGACGGGCTTTTTAATGGGCATGATCTCAACCGGCATGGTCGTTACGAGTACCGAAAGACGTGGAAGGCCTAGGCAAGCCCAGCAAGGCAATAGGGAATGGGTTACTGTCATTCAGGCGGCCAATTCCCAAGGCTGGGCGGTGCCGCCGTACATCATCTTCGCGGCAAAGTTCACCTCGCTTCGTGGTATCGCGACACCACATTACCGGGCAATTGGGTCGTTGATCTATCCCACAACGGATGGACAACGAATGATATTGGTCTCAGCTGGGCAGCTCACTTCGATCTGCATACACGCGATCGTACGAAGGGTGTCAAACGCCTCCTGATCCTTGACGGTCACGAAAGCCATCACTCGATGGATTTCGAACAATACTGCAAGGACCATGGCATCATTACCCTTCCTATGCCTGCCCATTCGTCCCATAAGCTCCAGCCTCTCGACTTGGTGCCTTTTAGTGTTTTGAAACGGGCGTACGGTGTGTTTGTTGAGGGTTTGATGCGACGGCATCATACCCACGTTGCGAAGGAGGATTTCCTTGCCGGTTTTTTGGAGGCGTTTGGCGCTGCTTTTACTGAACAAAACATCAGATCTGGTTTCGAAGCAGCTGGAATTGTCCCTTTTGACCCCGACAGGGTTATATCTGCCCTGGATGTCGCAGAAGTCGCGCGTACACCCTCTGCCGACCCAGAACTCCTACCCCCTATTTGGACTTCTAAGACACCTACTACCACCCTTGAAGCCGAATCGCAGTCAACGTTGATTAAGAGTAGCGTTCAGAAGCACCAAGACAGCTCTCCGACGCATATTCTTCATTCAATTGACTCGATTGCAAAGGCTACGCATGCAATGATGCAAGAGAATGTTATCTTGCGTCGCGAGAACGAAGAGCTTCGTGAGACTAACCATGTGCTAAGCAAACGTCGCAGAACCAAAAACAAGCAAATCCAGTATGGTGGGCCACGTAATATAGAAGATGCACAAGTTCTACGGGCTATTAGGGGTGATACGGGTTTGGAAAGTGAGGAAGAGGGTGAAAGTAGTCGTCCTACAAGGAGGAGGGCAACGGGTGCTAGGCGCTGTGGCATTTGCGGAGGAACTGGACATAATGCGCGAACTTGTCAGGCAGATGTAGAAACACATAATGAAAAGAATTCTGATTAATTTCTTGGATGAATATGGGTCGTTGATCTATCTAAGATTAAAGGTTGGGAGGTCGTGAAAAGTTGGGTAAAGACCCGTGTGGGGCATTGACCTGTGGGTGACGTTATGCAGGCTGCGGTATTGCAAAAATGGTTGTTTTATCCCTCCAGCAGGACGTCCACGTCTCTCCTAGCTGACTCTCTTCGGCTGACCTAACTCACCACTATCAATACTTCCGCCGCTGTCTCATTTACGTGCCGAGCAATAGCTTCATCAGAGCTGTGCGTAAGCTCCATGCATCTGTGAGACCTCGCGATAAGAACTTCCTGAGCCTGGCAAGACAATGAGAAAATGAAGAGGTTTCTGAGGGATTTAAAGTTGAATACGGATTTGGCCATAGAGCTTTTGTGAAAAACAAGGCATAGGGTCGTATAGTGTCAATTAATGGTCTGTAAGAGTGACTATTCTAGCTTACCCCTTTTAACGCTGGAGTTAAACCGTTGAACCTCTGACATATTCGACCATAACATGTTATGAAGCTCCAAGACCATACAGGACCTACTTATTCCGGATATACCACGCCCACGTATTTCAATATGGATGGTTCCGCGATATCGCTCGAATACTCCAGTATTTGATCAGCGGAAATGCCATAAAATACAGCGTCCGGAGTCGTTGCAATAGCCGAAAATGTGGTGGAGGGTCCAGAAGATAAGCCCATACTACTCAAGATCCCAGTTTGGCTACGTTGAGCTCCAGCTCTATCAAAGTGCCCCATGATTGTTCCGTTGGAAAATAATGCCAGATAAAGATAACTTGTCCAATTATCCCACGAGGCAATCGCAAACTGCGTAATAGGCGACAGAAAGGGAATTTCATGATTGACTGTACGATCTAGGTTGTATAAGTAAGCGTTATATAGTCGAGAAGACAAATTTGTTGGTCAAAGCTTACTTTGGACACAAGTGCCGTTGGTATAGTTGGCCAATGGTATCGAACCCGTGTTTTGCTGTGCCAGGTCGGAAATCCATGTCCTGGTCGGGTTTAACTGCGACACAAGAGCCAGGCTCGTATTAGAAACAACCGAGCGACGGTCGATAACCTGAGCGGGAGTCGTCCAGTCGATGCCGCCGACGACAACGGCGACATATATATCGCCATCGATGCCCTGGTAGGCCATCACAAAGTTACCCGTGACATCGTGCTCTTTCCGCCAGTTGTAAGCCACCGCTAATTGGGAGCCGTTCCAGACCGCGATGCTGCCGTCGAAGTAATTCCATGATGTGAAAAGTTGCGCGTTTACCTTATCTCGGATGGTCCTGATGGTGTTGTCAGAGTTCAAGAAAAACACGTTGGTTTGGCCACAGGTATAGTCAATGTACGATGCGGCGGCCAGGGCGTTCCAGGGGGTATATGTAGAGGTGTTGTGGATTCCAATAGGAATTTGGTAACGTCGCTTGTTGCCCACGTGTTATCCTGGGAATTCCATTTTCGCACAATCGGCGCATTGGAGAGGTCCTGGAAGACGACGTAGCGGTAGATATAGCCTTCAAGTTCTATTGTTGTAGCTGCGAGTTTCGACGTGCTGGGGATTGGGTCATTGTGCTGTTTGTGTTGTTGGGAGGTGCAGGTTGCGTCGCAGGTTGGTTCGAATGTTTATGCGAGAGCACTCCTCCGGCAACCCCCCCAGACATCGCGCCGAAGATGAATAGCATGGATACTAGCAGAAGAATGTAGAATGTTCGTTTCGATAGCCCACAGATAGTTTGTTTCGTTTCCTGGGGTTTGAAAATTTGGTCGAATTGTGTGTAAACGGGGTCGTTTTCGGTAGGTTTGTGGTCCGGCAATAAAACAGGCTGCAGGGAGCGGCTTTCCCAATGCAAATTGGGTTCTCTGTGGACTTGTGTTTGTGCAGTGGATTTACCTCCAATGTGCTGTATAGTTGTGCACTACTCATGATGACAGTTGAGGGGTTCCAAATACGAATGTGTAAATTGAAAGAGTAAGCAGAATTAACTCGTGCGAAGGAGAGCAAAATTGTTTGTGTTATTCGAGGGACCCAGCGCTCGTACAATCCGTTATTGATGTTGATCTCACATTGGAACGCTTGCATTGAACATTGTGATGCGCCCGCGGGGCGATGCAGCGATATGTCACCATTAGTGTACTTACAGACTCGAAGACAGGCCTTCGAGTGGTGACGGATTTAGAAACGGCCCCGATTTGATTTAATAGGATGGTGTAAAGGCTTCTGGGCAGTGCGTTTCGTGGGCTGCAAGAATTTGAAATGAATATGTATCTTCTATGTTCGATTCTCAGCCGCAAACGAATACGAAAGAAACAGGTTCATACATATTATGTTACCTCTTACATGTGCCGCAGTACGAAGTACACTCTTTCACATTCCACAAGCTGCATGTTAATTCCTCCAACTGAGGCCCCCATGGTCAAGGCGGCAGCCGGGCGACACCAGATATTGAGAAGCAGCCTCACAGTGGATATTATTCCCAAGGCTGAGCTTGAAAAGCTCATGTTGACAAGGTCACAAGCAGGCTCTCGTTTATACAATCATTACGCCTAACACACCCCACTTTACCTAAAGCTGGCTGGTCAGCCTGAGTGAATCCTAACTAAAGTAGAGCGTGGCACGGGTTCAACAGTTGAAAATCTCTCTCAGTCCTGATGCGATTCGCAGACTTTGCGCCTGTGGCATGTGGGGGTAATTGGAACTCCCAACATGCAATGCATCCTTTTGATTACTATGCCTGCCTTCCCTCAAGAAACTGGCTTGACGTTAAGCTGGGCCGGAAGCGTGGTTACACCTTGAGCATTTCACGATTCAATCAGGATATCTGAATCAACTACACACCAAGTCGTTGATCAAATCCAGAAATAGCAGTATATGAGAGGCCGTAGTCCATTCGCTCTCGACAATCAACTTGTGACTAAATTTCTCGTGGTATCTACCTAAAATCTAGGCCTTTCCAACTGTCGAAACATCCGTCGCTATTTTGCGAGATATTCTACCATCCTCTCCAGCCGGCTTCACTGGGGCCATCTATTTCGTCGGAACACCACATACAACGGGACTCGGCCGCCACACGCTGAACTCAGGACCCGTGGCAACCCAGGCCCCGGGAATTTTAGGATGCCAGTGGACTTCTTCGCGTGTTCAACAATATGCTCAAACAGAAGCTGGGGTGGACTATCTTGAACAAATGCTGTGTCCTTGCTCTCCATCACTTAAGCAACCTTATGCCTTATAATATCGCTATGGATACGAAATCAACCTTGTCTTGTCGGAATGCAAGAGCTCGAAAGACTGTGCCATTGCTTATATAAAGTTCGAGGCTTCCAATCACAAAGGTCTATGCATCAGTGTCAGCCCGGGCGCCGCGAAACTCCACCGGTTTGCCCGCATATCTGCCTCACGAATCTCAGCACAGCCACGCTTTCGCACCGGAAAATATTACTAAGAAGGTATAGCGAAGCCATAGTAATATTAACCACAACTAAGGATAGTAGAACAAAACCTCCTATGACGCACATCACGGCCCTATAGACCTCGATGCTAATAACAATATTATTATTACTATTCAACACGCCATAGGATCGAAGCCCCCGGTGCCTCTACTAGTACTCCCGCTTGTAAAACCGTACCCTGATTGCTGCACAAAACATATAAGCTACGTGATCGGTTCGCCTTATTAGTGACTACGTTACGTTCGCTACTATACTACAATAGTGTTTAACCTACTAATAAAGCTCCCTACTAAGATCGATACTATCCGGATCCTAAAGCCGTCCGACCCGTCCTTAGCAGCTAGCTTATAATAATCCTACTAACTACCGGTTCTCCTATTACCGTTACGGGATCTCTACGAGGGTATAGCGGCCGAGGTATGATAGCTGCACGCAGTCGTTCCCTCGGGCCTCCTTCTCTAGAGTGTACCCCGCCGGTCGGACTAGCTGTGACGCCCGCTTCTTCGTCGCTAGCCTATTATGCTGGAGTATATACGACGCTTTAGCACTTACGCTACGAAGTAGCTTCCATTTTCCACTACGCCGTAGTCGTTCTTCAAACTTAGCCGCCCCAGTACTAAGATAAAGGTCTAGTAACGGGATTATTACTTCTACTTTTAGGTAGCGAATCGGCGTCGCTTTCTAGGGGCTATAGACTACCCAAAGATACACGTTCTATATTGACTTGGGACAGGGTTTTTGGATGTTGTCTTTCGGGTTTAGATGAGTTATGTAAGCGTGTTCTCAATGGTATTTAAGGACCTGTTTAGGTAGTCACTCTCTTGAAGAGGAAGAAAAGTCCAAGCGGCCAAGTCAGTATTTAATTGATTCCTTTCGCCTGTTGAGGCACTTTTATTGTTCTAATAGATCTGCTCGTGCCTGTTGAGGCCATTGTTCCATTGTTCGTCTGCCAAGGTGATACAATTTTAGGGCCCGTTAAGGCACAGTCAATTGTTAGTGCCTGCTGAGGTACTTTTGTTATCCCGATCGAAGGCTCTCCATTTTGTTATTCTTTCCACCCGGGTATTAAGGTCGTTGAGGATCTTGTTGTCCGTTGCTATCATCATCACACCTTGAACCTGCGGGCATTTACTGCCCGTCGTCAATATCCTGATCAAGCTCTTAGTTAGCCCTGTCAGTTCCTCGCTTATAGTATGCTACGCAGCCTTCCCGTAGGCGATCGCGCTATGGATAGCCACCGTATATAGCAGCCTCATCCGTATAAAGTCGTAGCCCCACGATATATCAAATAGCTTCGTTAGAGATAGGTTCTAAGATACTGTCTTTGATTTAATATGCTCGACGTGGGCGTGCTACGTAAGGTTAAGGTCAACTTAAACCCCGAAGAACCTTGCCGATATCGCAGCTAATAGTATAATAAGAAAGATAAGCGAAACCCTAAGGGAAAGGCTACTTAAGTCATGGTACGAACGGACACTTCGCGCGTAACTACCTATAGCCCCGGAAGCAATAAGCTCTGATTTTAGAAGGGAAACGACAACTAAACCTAGTGTCAGAGCCACAAGTGTCATCCGAGGCGGGCCGGCTTCCACCAGGTAGGAAGCCGTTTGTGGCGGCTAGAGAGCCGCTTGTGGCGAATGAGAGCCGTTGAAGCCGTTCGCAGCGGATAGGGAATCGCTTGGTTGCAGATAAGGAGCCGCTATCCGAGATATTGGCCGAAGTCGGAGGAACACAGACATACGGAAGCAAACATCCAGAATCCAAGAGAGAACCTCGGCTGGCTATAAGTAAGGAGTCGAGATGGAGGAAGATAGAGAGGGCAGAGATCATTGAACTACTGTGGACACCCCTACCTGCCATCACCAAGTGACCACCAGTGACCACCAGGGGGACACGCCTATTTCTCCCCTTCACTCTGTACTATCGCCTTCGGTCCAGGCCGTAACCTGACACCTAGCCTAACGCGAAGAAACCTGCATATGCTATGCCCCAATATAGTATCTATAGTACGAAGAACAAAACGCTCCAGAGCAAATCCAGAGTATTATGGGTATGAATGCAAGTGCCTAAATTTTCGGTTACAAACTCCCTTCTACTTGTCCGTGAAGTGTCCCATTCACCCCGTAGGACCCGAAATTACCAGGAGTGCAAGTTTCCAATATGTATCTCATGCCGTACCACCTTTTCCTATGAGAAATGTCAGCCCAGGTCAGCAGTTTCTGATCACAAAGGAGAAAAGATCTACCCCGTTTTGGCCGCAGGTGAGACCGCGCCGTCATGTAGGTATTAGCAAGGAACACCCATAGGAAAAGGCACGCAATAATGAACAGCGCGATCAATATCCCCAGAATGGTTACCACCGAGACGACATAAGAGTCTCGTGAGAACAGTTGCGGATATTCTGGAGTTGACAGAATGACCTGCATGGCCGAGAGGACCGTGGACGCAAACGCGAAGGCGATAATGAGGAGGGTAAAGTACTGCGAGAAATAAGAGTCGTACTCGCGGTGGATGGAGAAATAGACGAGGCCCCGGCGTGTCATGCGGTAAATGATATTGAGACGAGCAATGCGCAACTCGCCGTATATGTACCGTGGGTTGATGATAACGCCGTGCTGGATTCTCGACAAGGTTTGCTCGCGAAATAGTTTCCACTTGGTCCAAGTGATATCTTCGGGCAACAAAAGTCGTTCTTTCGCAAAACTGAGATCCAGAGGGGAGCAGACGATTTTGCAATATGATAGAAGGAAGCCCATAGCTGATTGATGAAGATTCGAGTTTGTGCATACATAATTCCGGACGAAATCTGTATTCATTAAGCAGGGCGGAAGCGGCTTGACATAGATGACCTTGCCAAACCAGAGCAAATGCAGTCGAGCGCTCTCGGATGCAATAATTTCCCTTCGCAAGACTATTTGATGATGGAGTGGGGTGTAGTTTTCTAGACTCCCGGCGATGGAAAGCCACGAATGAACGGCGTTGAGTTCTTTCATCGATATATCTTCGGTAAGCTCGTCAATGTTGTGACAAGTCTGCGCGTGTTCCAGCTCGGACGCCGACACACATTCGTGGTCATGGTCGAAAGGCTCCGTGAGAGTCGAGGTAATGGTGTTCATCAGTGGTAGGTACTTGGGTGACTCGGGGCAGTTAAAAGACGCAGGGAGAAAGCAAACATGCAAGTTTCGTGAATGCTACCCGACTAGAGTACGACGGGTTTTAGCGGTCACCATGTCATAATTCAAATTAAGGCAGAATGGGGTAAAAATCAATAGGTTAACCGGAAGTGTCTGTGACGGCCATGGCCGGCCTAACCCCTATTGGCCTAGGGCCATCCTCCACACCAGAGAGCTTCCGGGCCAGGGACGACCACCTAGGTTAGGTTAGACAAGAGCCTCCCTCTACTATAGCATAGCTCCCTTTTTCTTTCTCCTTTATCTTCTTTATTTTCGTTAATAGAAGCCCCTATCTTGCTGTCGGCCTTTCCTCAGCCGTAGCGATGCTCGCCGTGACATGCTTAGTTCTTATTTTTTGTCAGATATTCACGTATCTTGCGATATGACCTTGTTATTAGCCTGTTGTGACGGTAATCTGACTGATCTGTGATGTATGGATTGTTGTTTTGTGTTATCTGTGATCTGCTCTGCAGAGGGATTTCTGGGTAAGTCCCAGTGGTTGGTAATCACGTGACCCCTTGTATCTGACAGAGGGGTCTGAAGGACTAATTTGAATTATTACACGGTGACTGTGGGATCGCGCTGGTACTGGCATTCCGGCTACATACGAAGGTGAAAAGGGAAGTACAGGTGGGGGGGTCCAAGCCGCAGAAAGGCATTTAAGTATCTTGCCCATATCCCACGTGACCTTAGGCCACCAATTCCACAGTGACCGCTGAAAACCATCGTACTAAACCCAATCAAAGGGCACCTGCAGACCTGGACGCAAGCGCTCGCGATTCGGCTACGTGGACGACATAGCTATACTGTCAAGCTCTAGTTCCCTAGAAGAAAATTGCACTATACTGGCCGAAGAGTGGAAAGCAGCACTCGACTGGAGCATGTCTGAGGGTATCACGTTCGACCCCGACAAGACGGAGCTAATACACTTCACAAGAAGAGGGAGAGATGCAAACCCACCCATTACCACTACGCAACAGAATGGAACGATCCACACTGTTCAACCCATCAAAATCGGTGCTGCACTCAGGTGGTTAGGCGTCTACTTCGATAGAAAGCTTAGCTTTAAGGCCCATGTCAAATTCGTCTCAGCTAAAGCTCTACAGGTTGCTAACGGACTCCGGTCGTTAGGAAACACAATCAGAGGGGCCCCAACACGACTACTCCGTCAAGCTGTAATCGCGTGCGTGCTCCCCGTGCAATTCTACGCCTCGGAAGCATGGTGGCCGTCTGCCAGACAGAACAAGAATGGACGCATTATCTCAAACCGGGTCCAATCCCTAGCTGACCAAATGGATCGAACGCAGAATACCGCAATGAGAGCCATGCTCCCTGTATACAGGACCACGCCAATACCGATCCTGCAACGGGAAGCGGCACTACCGCCAGCAGAAATCGCACTCGACGCAAAACTCTATGCGGCTTCTGTTAGATTACACAAACTGGATAGCCGCCATCCCTTACGCAGGAGGCTCAGACATCCTACGGGCCCCGATTCGAGGTTAAGGCGTATGGCGAGCCTAACCCCAGATACTGCAGAATATATAGATCCTCTGCAAATACCGCCCTGGGAGCAGGCTGGCGAATGGTCCATCACCCTCGCCAAGATCGGTTATATCCCAGGACAGTCAAAGGAGGAGGCTGCCCGCTCGTTTCTACAAAGGATAAACGAGTTTTCAAAGCGCGATATAATAATCTATACAGACGGCTCGCTGGCTACCCATAGCGACAGGACCTTAGCTGGAGCAGGCTGGGCTGGTTATCAGGCCGGTAAAAGACTACTCTGCGGGTCCGAATTACTGGGCTCTCAGATAGAGGTATACGATGCGGAAGCCCACGCAGCACTACGGGGGCTTCAGGAGGCTGTAAAGCTTCCGTCCAACAGCATGGCAGATAACGTCCACATCTGCCTCGATAATCTCGCGGTTGCGGGTAGGCTCATCTGTCCAAGTCCCGGAAGCAGTCAAGCAAAGTTCACCGCCTTCCAAGAGCTGTCCAAAACCTGGTCACAGAGAGAGCGAAAACCCTGGACATCCCCGGGACAAGTGTATATCTGGTGGTGCCCAGGACACGTAGGCATCCCCGGAAACGAAGAAGCAGATGTCCAGGCCAAAGCGGCCTGTGAGCAACCACCCAAGACACAACACCCGGCCTCATTCGCACATATGAAGAGAATCGCGAGATCCTACACTTGGAAGAGTTTCAACGATCGATGGGCCACTACCTGCCCTCAACAGTATCGAGATCTAGGGATCGCTATCCACCCGCGACCCCCCGAACTTGGCCTGCCCCGGCAACACCTAGGCAGATTACTCGCAGCGAGGTCGCACCACGGGGATTTCGTGACCTACCACGAGAGACTCCAGCATCGCGACGCACTGCTCAACTGCGGGTGTGGAAAGACAAAGACACCAGTCCACTTCTACTTTTGCAAGCGCGGCCGCAAGGCCACGCCCGGTCATCTAAAAGCGCATATGGCCAAGAATAGTATAGATTCCCTCCTAGGCACGGCCAAGGGAGCTCGTTTGTTTTGTCAATGGGCGGAGGAGACCAATTTCTTTACTGAGATCTGCCCATCGCACTGAACAGGAATGTTAGATGAAGACAGTCCCCTGTAACATAGATTCGACTAGCATAGACCATGCCGGCACTGCGCCCGGCACGTCTCACGCGATGAGACGTTAAATTTCAATCAATCAATCAATCAAACCCAATCAAAAATACCCATCACAGTGGAGTGGGGAAGGGGCTTATCCGCATACGCCACTGTTATGCGCCGACGAATCAGTGTTCTCAAACGTACAATCCAGAGGCTCATTATTTTGTATAACGAACACACATCAGGATAGTAGTTAGGTGGTGACCACCAGCGAATCCCTGGTGTTGTATGTTTTTTGGGCCTTGGTTTAGTCGTTTTTTATCCACTTAACTATCAGTACGTCCCTTAATAACTATATCTGCCACTGCTCTGCCTGCCGCCATTGAACAGAAACAACCTGCAACTTCCACGTGTCCATGCTTGCGGGTGTCAAGCCCCAGTCCATTGCTTCTTCGAGCTTGGACTCACTGTCGAGCTGTACGCACGCCAAATCATATTACTACAGGATACTTTGCAGCACCCGAGTGTGTGCTATTAGGGATCTAGGATTGTATGACGGGGCGTGGCACTCTTCGACTTCGATGTTCGATGCAAGTAATAACGGGGAGGAGAAGGTGTGTGAGACGGGCTCGCACGTATTTACTAAGTCTGGACTGAATGGGTTTGCAAAGTGGATTACCACTGTGGGCGGAAGGAGATGCGAGTTTCGAATACGGAGACGGTGATTGATACACATGTGGAGGGATTGAGGTTTAGTATTTAGTAGTAACCCCACGCATTGGAGAAGGAGAACGGCCCACGACGACATTAACGCTGGGAGAGAGAAAATGCAATGTGTACCGACTATACGACCATCCAATGCTCTAATCAAATGCCTAAGACGCTATGCTATGTACGATGCAGATCCCCAGACTCCATAACTCTATCCCGAACATACAATCAATCTAGATGCAAATGCCGCAAACTTTATCCTTTTCCGTACCCCATCACGTCTCAAACAGTTCCCGCCCTAACAACCCCCACCTTATCAGCCTCCAACCCTCTTGGTGTCTCGGGCGGACTCCGTCCATTCCTATACAGCCAAAGCCGACTTAGATCTTTAACCCGAATCTTGCCGTCCCCCTCCAACCTCCCATCAGTAAAACTCCCATGCACTGCCACCTCATGTATACTCCCCTTTCCCTTGACCTTCCTCCCCGCCCTCTGCAACATATCCCAACTATCCTCATACGCCTCTCTGGCTTCCTGGCGCGCTGTTCCTTCCTCGCCCCGCTCCACGACACTGTTCATGAAGTCGTTTTCGTCGGCGCAGCCGATGAATTCTGTACTGTTGGAAGGGTGGCATTCTAGGGGAAACATGCCGTTGAGGTAGTGTTGACAGAATTGGTGACCTCCTCGGGACGAAGTCCGGCTGAAGACGCGGCCGATGAAGCGGGGCGCCATGGGGGAGGCCCGCTTGTTGGTTACGAAGTGGAGGACGCCCCAGAGGGCGACGAAGTCGGTTGTGTGGGCGTAGTGCTCAATGTAGCCGATCGCGCGGTCCATAGCGGGGAGGACGAGTTGGGATGTTTCTGTCTGTGTGGTTTCGTCATCTGAGAGCGATTCAGGCGTGGGGGGATTTTCGACGGGTTGTTGGGATCTATGGTTATCGTCACTCGTCTGGCGACGCGGCAGAGGAGTCTTGAGTTCGGTGGGAGAGTCTGTTATTTGCATCTTGGTGACGCTCGTGGCGGTGGCCGTATGTAGATGATTCTTCTCGGCATCCTGGGACGCGGCATGTCGGTGTGGGTTGTTGAAGTGATTAGCAGCGCATCCAAAGGTGTAGACTTCCAGTTTGGTCAGGAGATCCTGGGGCAGCTCTTGAAGTAACCAGTCTAAGACGAGACCACCTTCGATCCCACCTTGTGAATGCAGTATGAAGACCACCTTGGAGTACTGCGGGTTATACAGATGCTCCTTGACAGCCTTGTACGCCAAACGCACATCACCGGTTGCGTAACTAAAGTTGCGCTGAATCAGGCACTCGACCACATCGAAGATGATTCCGTTCGTTTTGTTGTGGATGCCAGTAACAGGGCGCTTGAAGGTCAGGGCCAGCCGGTTGAGGTTGCTCAACATCCAAGCCTCGCTGTGAAATCATCAGGCACATAGCACGTGAGGAAGAGGCATCAAACATACCCTACAGCAACACCATTCAAGAAGATCCACTTCTCATGTGCATGCTCCTCCAACGGCGGCGCATACTTCGGATCCGACTCATACGTATCGGTCTTGCCATTTAACGCCAAACACAAGAGCTTATTCACCCCCAAAAAGAGGCCTAGCCCAATCGCAACCATCCACACCGGGAACAGAATCGCCGAAGGAATTGCCATGATGAAGGCAACCTGCCAAATCACGAGCAATATGTGAATAAACACACACCACGCATTCGGCAACGTAGGCGAGAGCTCATCGAAAGGTCCCCCGTCCGTGGGTCGAATAGGCCACAAGATCCACGGCAACGCCCACATGAAGACGAAGAAGTACTTGATGTCGTACATGAGCAGCCGCAGCGGCATGTCAGTGTAGCTATAATTAATGACCGATTCGCCGCCGAATTGCGACCCAAAGAATACGGTGTGATCCATAACCTTCTCCGCAATGCTGTCGTCCTCGTAATTTTGCGACACCTTTCGTGACCTGTGGCGGCCAGTGGTACTAGGCTGCTGCAGCCCGCGTGCTGATGACGCCTCAGAGCCTGGTGAGCCCCTGGAGCAGGACGTGGAGATGCATCCGCTGACCATGGTTACTGCGACGACGACCACGGTCGTGGCGAGATAAATGCCGAGGAAACTCATCTAGAGCAAGATCCAAATGTTGCAGGGGAGCACATTTGTATAAGAAAAGAAGAATTTAAAGTGCTGATGCCTAGATGTGCCGGTGCTGCTTTTGCTCACATGCACCTCCCGGTGTGCGTGAGAAGGAGTTGGTTGCATCAGAGCAATCGTCGTTGGACTGAATGCGGTGTGCACACCCAGACACAGTCAGCCAGCGAGCAATCCACCCTGACATCGACAGCGACCAACGCACCAGACGGTAGCGTCACATCGGCCCCATTTGCGCCCACAGGGCTGAGCCGTGGCATTGGCACATTCGGCGGTCCGCATTGTGACCAGCCCCGGCCAAGACCGGCTATCGCGGCAGACAGCTGTATTTTAGCGGCTTTCCGTCAGTCTAGGACGTTAAGTTCAGTCGAGCTGAACTGTGAGGTATGGGTATTATCCGCTGATGCGATGCAAGATGCACAATAATCTAGGTACAACGGCACGCGCATGAATCTGACGGCACCGCCACAGTTTGTGCGACTCATTATTTTACCGCTTAGCCGTTGGCCGGGGATGCGATGAAGCTCGTCGTCATTGGCCTGATGACTCTCAGCCTGAGGTATTTTTAGCTTACGTTCTCAGCGCTCACGCTCCCACCGTTGGCTGTAGACGGTTGTCTAATTTGACGGCAGTTCTTGTGGAGCGCAAGAGGCTGCCAAACATCAGTCATTGCATCGAATTGATCTGAGTTCTTTACGCGAGACAATACCTGGTAATCTTCCGATCCTGACTTGACGCATGGGGATGCCCTCAACCTGCATCTCGTTTATCGGACCTCATACATAACTGCCATCATGACCACATTCTGCCAGAGTGGACCCACTAGCCGTTTGGCGGGATGGTCCGATATCGTTGTCCATATCGTTTTCCGTAGGCAGAGGAGTCAGGTTTTCACTGACATCGTCTACTACTTTCAGGAGGCATGCTTTGCGCGATACTAGCAGCAAGTAAAAAGTAAAGAGAGCCGGAAGGTAGAAATTGCTATGCTCTTCGGCGAAATTGGGAGCGTTTCCATTTCGAAAGAGCGTAAGTCTGCCACCTGTGCCTATCGTTGTCCACAGTTAGCACAGGTTTGTTGATAACCGAAAGTTCAGGTAAAGCCACCTTTCTATGCATACGACGGGGCATTAACTACTTGGTGTACCACCTGTAAAACATACTACATGAATAAAAAACTGGCTCACCAACCGAAAGACCTGAAATATCTGGAACCACGGACCCCAGTTAGACCCATCGCGCCCCCCACACTCCATGGTCTCGCTGTCGACATCCACTACCAACGATGTAGCATCACTAGCAAAGTTTGGAAAGTGCATTTTGAGGATTTTGCAACTGCCTCAAAATGCAGGGCCCCAACTTGGTAGGCCCGATGGTGAGTTTCAGACCGGAAGTCTTCCAGTCGCGCAAAGTCGTAATCGTCTCTTGGCGGCTTGACGTAGCGGTACTCGCTGTCACATCCCGGAAGTTCACGACGAGAATGATTTGTTTGAGTGCGCATTCGTAGCCTGAAATCAGCCGCGCCATTTCTAACCTCGTCATGAAAAGTGGGTTGAGATCCTCAGGCGAGAACGTGAATCCTGGAGCACGGTTGCTACCCAGATCGCTGGCGCAGAGGGCGATCCAGATGCCGTAGCTCTTGGAGCCGATGAGGTAGACCACGTCTTGCTGAAAATCGATGGGTAATGTCGTGGGCAGTTCGTCACGACGGTGACTGCTTAGGTTTTGTAATCGGGCTCTGATCTCTGCCGGGATATCGGGTCCGTAGGTGGCAAGATCCGAAAGGTCAATATGTGGCGCAATATTATCGAAAATGTGATCTAGCATCCTTTTTGGGTTAACTTGCGGAGTATAGACATGAAATTGGCCGTGCTGGTGACCTGGTAGTTCTTGACGAAGACATGACATGCCTCCTGGTTGACCGACATGCCAAGCAAGTCGACGTGGTCTGAGCGGACGGTTAGTATCTACATCCAACTAGATGTGGCGGATCTAACCACGGCCGTCGATATTGATGACGTGTATATGCCTGAGACGGAGATATTCCTCCCATATCTTTAGCCGCAGTTCGGGGGCAGATCTCGGAAGTGCTCAAAGCAGCCTACCCCCCCTTAATGGTCCTCGTGATGGAGCCAGTTCCTTAGATATGGTGCGATGTTACCGCAATGACAATCGCGATGTACAGCGATGTCCAGCCTGTCAAGGGAGCCACCGAATTGGGGATATTCATGTTGATATCCGGGCAAATTCGGCATCCGGTTTGTCTGCCACTTATTGAAGAGTCCATGAGAGAAGGTCGCTGCCAGAAGGCATTATGCTCATAATCGCATCGAATTTGTGTGACACCAAAAGTGGAACTCCTGTAGCTCCACGAGCTCTGGCTGGAAAAGTCGAGTGGTGCATGTTTAACAAATACCCGATGTTATCCGATCTGTAGCTCTAGTGCATGGGGACTCACCGACTGCTAGTATCTGCCATGTTTTCTAATTTACTTATGTAATGTCAAAAGTTGATGGCGCGGATAAGTATAATATGAGATTGAAAGTAAGTTGGAGCAATGATGAGAATGAGGGTTCAAATAAAATCCTTACATCTCAATTCATGGTATGACGGTGGTAGTAACAACAATTACCAATCCTGGCATGCCCTTGAAAGTCATCCTCAGAAGCCAACTCACCCAGATAAAAAGAAAATACCTATACAAGTCATGCCTTCCAACGATCAAGTCAGGCCCAGCCAGACGACAACATGAGCGACAACAACCATGACAATTGAAGCATAAACCATTGCAGAAGGTTTGGCTGCTGCATCAATGAGAATTCGGTTGATGAGCCTATTGCCGAGCGGATTAATACTCTGCTCAAACTCTCGTGGAGTCTCCGCAGTCCAGTTGGCATCGAGTTGGCCAAGCTTTGCCTGCGTGCCCTCGAAGGCAATGTACAAAACGTCGTGGAAGCCATGGGCATAATCGAAGTTGCCATCGCCGTAGCAAAGAGTCCCGACGCTCACAGCTGCACTGCCGACGCGGTTGTCCGAGTTGTAGTCACCCCAGAAGCCGTAGATCTACACTTGATGTGAGGAAAGAGGTTTCAAGAATGCTGCGACACAGCGCGGATCATAGTTGTTGAACTTACCAGCTGACTGTTGCACACAATGGCAATCAGACTCAATGGCACAATTCCATAATCTTGAGGCTCGAAGGCAGGTTGGCCTGAAAAGCTACCTTTGTTGCCGAAGACAACGTAAGGATGGACGTATGGGTTCAAGTCGGCCAAGTTGGGGTGCTCTTCGCGGACCAGATCCCTGAAAGCAGTTGGTCCATCGGTTTCGGGCTCAAATCCATCGGCACAGGCTCCCGTGTCCGCGACGCCTCCAGGAACTCCAGCGCAAGTGAGGTCCATGTTGGCAAGAAGACCCTCTCGGCCGCTGATATATACAATATGCCAGTCGTCGTGGTACTCGCCGCAGTAGGACCATGCTGATTTACCGTCAGTGGCAAGAGGTGGAGGAATAGGGCTCATGGAATCGCACTCTTAGGAGAGCTCAGATAGCTGGAGTATCCCGAGGCTAGTGGACGGTGGCATTCAATCTGGCTCCTGACTCTGTCATAGAAATGCTGCACGTTGGGTGGAATGTCTCTGGCAGAGGCGAAGGCAATTAACCAGGCCATGGTGGCGCCAAAGGAAAATTGTTGTTGCATGATGCTGGCAACGTTGCAACAAGCGGAGTTGAGCAAATGCTTAGTATGAGCTGCAATATGAGAATATGACAACCATGAAAGCCAAGGATGATAGCAAAACCGACAATGGTTTCAGTGGAAGTAGATTTCCAAACGTTCGAGATACTTGAAAGCGGAATTGTCGAGGTTGGTCGTTTGAGGTTGGTCGCCACGTGGTGCAAGCTGCCGCAGCGACCATGGCTTGAATGGCATCGCACTTTCCTGCGCCAGAATAGTTCAATAAAGCATTAACTTATTAGTAAGAGCTTGATTTTCAGAGCAGGTTTCGCGGGAGCTGCAAGAAGCATTGTTCCTGCCACGTCGGCGCATTGCTTGTAGCAGCCACCAAACAATTCGGCTTGATAATCTGTGTCCTCCCATATGTTTCCTCAAGCTAGCAATTGTTCGCTTCGAAGGCGTCAAGTTCTGCCAGGAGCTCCTCTTTCAGTTTCTCGTCGGCCCAACTCATCTCAACACTATTGCGTGCAAGCTTGACCATATCCGACTTGTCCATTTCGCAGTAGTGGTACACCTTCTCCATGGCACCGTCAACCCAAATATTATGCATGTACGTCGGGTCGTCGCTGTTGATGCAGAATTTGACGCCTTCATCCCACAGCTTTCTGATTTTCGGGAACAGCACTTCTGTCTTCTGCCTGCGATGGTATGCATGAGGGCACAGCGTCAATCCAATACCGCGGTCCTTCAAACCCGCAATCAGCTCAGGCCGATCAACGGCGTTCAGCCCATGATCAATTCGCTGTGCCCCCTTTCCGCCGCAGACGCTGAAAATGGCCTCGTGCACATGGTCAGCAGCATCTTTTTGGTCGACGTCGCAGTGCATCGTGACGTACAGCCCGTCCCTCTGCGCCATCTCGTACCCAGTCTCGAACAGCAGCGGCGGCCGGTCATACTCATTCGACGCAAGTCCCACGGCATGGAAGAGCCCCTTGCCTCCTTCCATCTTGGCCCACGGTCTGGCCGCTTTGTACGCCGCGATTCCCTCTTCCACCGGTTCGTCGCGGATAAAGCACATGATCCAGTTGCTTTGTACGCCAAACTTCGCAGCGCCCTCTCGCTGGGCTCGCATGTACCCGTTCAGCACAGTTGCCGCTGGGATGCCGCGAGGGAGGTACGCTTGCAGATCGAAGAAGGGCTCGACATAGCGGACGTTCATGTCTTTCGCCTTCTGGAGGTATTCCATGCCTAATTCATAAAAGTCTTCCTCTTTGCAAAGTACTTGGGTGCCTGCGAAGTAGGTTTCCAGAAATGTGGGTGCGCCATTGTCGCCGTTCACCTCTTTGCGATGGTTGTACAACACATTGTACGATTCCAGCAACGCCTCATATGTGAGATAGGGGAGGGGCACGTTGTTGCGATGGGCTAGTTTCCATCGTAGGGATGGAGTGAGGGTGCCTTCGATGTGGACGTGCAATTCGACCTTTGGCAAAGCGGCAACGAATGAGGATATTTCCAGGCCGTTCATGATGAAATGATCCGAGACAGCCACGTCAAGTTCAAAAGTCACATAAGAATTCACCGACTGAAGCGTTGCAAAAACTCAAGTGAAGATGCAGCTGGATGTTGCCAAGACGGTTATCTCCAGTTGCCTAGGATCAAAACCATCGCAAAATAATGACCACACGGTGTTGTGAGAATAGGGAGATCGGAAGGAAGTCTGATATCCCGGGCCTTGGGAGTACAGGGTCCCTTGGCGGCGTTATCCATTCGAAGCCCTAGCACAAGCCGTAGCGGTGGTAATCGGGAACCCCCGACGCCTATCGCTCCCAATGTTTGACGGTTCTAGGGATTTCTCGCATCAAGTTGCCCGCTTTTAGAGCTCTCGGAGCGAGCTTGACGGAGTTTAGTATTCAAACACACGACAACATTCCAGAACCCGAAACAACCTCCATGTCGTACGGCTCATTGCCGTTCTGGCAAAATTTCTGTAACGGTTACAATCGTCGCCAAGAGCCGAGTTTGCAAAAGGACTACGTCTATTTCACGCTACTCCATGGCCATGCTCTAGGTCCCTCAGTCGCTAAGCCGTACCTGGAACCGGAGCCCACCGAATGGCGGGGGCCACACCCCGACAATCTGGAATTCCGACAACCTTCTCGCCGACTGATTTGCGAGAGATATCGGTCACGGCGAGGAACGTTGCAATCACCCTTGGCTCCATTATTATCAAGTTCCGCACCCACCTCCATGCTCATGAAGACGGGCTCATGGGCTCGAGGTGCGACTCGCATATATGATGAGCGCTCCAGCCTTTTGGATTCAAGTGAACGGCTTCACGTCGTTACCGAACCAGTCTCGGAACCATCCCCCATAATGGCAACCCCAGAACTCGGGCCGCAGCCCAGCACGCCCGCGCCCGCGCCAGAAATACATCAGAGCATTAACGATGCTATGGCCCGTCGCATTGTGCGCAAGATCGATTGGCGCATCATTCCCCTCCTATTTACCACGTACCTATTCAACTTTATGGACAAAACCATCCTGTCGTCGGCTGCCGTATTCGGCCTGAAAAACGACAATCATCTTGTAGGTCAGCAGTACTCGTGGGTCTCGAGCGTTTTCTACTTCGGCTACTTCTTTTGGACGTATCCGACGACACTTCTCATTGCTCGCGTTCCCGTCGGCAAGTACATCGCCATCAACACCTTCTTCTGGGGTGCCGTCGTCGCCCTGACGGCCGCGTGCTCGAGTTACGGCGGTCTGATCACCGTGCGTTTCCTGCTCGGGGTCGCTGAAGCCACCATTACTCCGGCGTTAATGTTCATCACATCCACTTGGTACACCCGCGACGAAGTGCCCGTCCGCACTGGCATCTGGTTCGCAGGCAACTCCATCGGCGGCATCGTCTCGTCGCTACTAGCCTACGGCCTAGGTCATATTGCCGAGACAGACAAAGTGGGCCCGTGGCGCGCTATGTTCATTCTCCTCGGCGGAGCCACCTTCATCTGGGGTTTTGTGATTTTCTTCCTCCTGCCCGACAGCATATCCAAGGCCAAGTTCCTCACCCCCGAGGAGCGCCAGTGGGCCGGCGATCGCGTTGTTATCGCCGGAACGGGCAGCACGGATAAGACGGTCTGGAAATGGGATCAGATGCTCGAATGCCTCTCTGACCCTAAGACCTGGCTTATTTGGTCCATCACCATCCTCTGCCAGATCCCCAACGGCGGCACCCAGAACTTCGCCAACCTCGTCATCGTCTCCTTCGGTTTCACCTCGCTGCAGTCAACTCTCATCAACATCCCCTACTCCCTCATCACCGCCGGTTTCATCTTCGGCACAGGCTGGCTGGCCGGTCGCTTCAGGTCGCTCAACTGCATCCTTGCAGCTTGCATCGTGATCCCGCCCGTCGTCGGCAGCGCTCTGATCGGCAAGCGCGGCAGCATCCCCCACGGCGCATCGTTATTCGGCTACTTCTGTCTGTCGACGGGACCTGCGGCTCTGCCTCTAATCCTGTCTCTCGTCCAGACCAACTTCCGTGGCGTCACCAAGAAGATGACCATGACGGCCATGGTCTTCATCGCCTACTGCGCGGGAAACATTGCTGGGCCGCAGCTGTTCAAGGCGTCTGAGGCCCCGCTTTATGGCACCGCGTTCCAGGCTATTATGATTTGTTATGCTCTTGTAATATGTTTGGCGCTTGTGTTGAGGTTCTATTTGCAGTTTATGAATACGAGACGGGTCAAAGAGGAGGGGGTTGACGGGAGCGCGGGAACTTCGGGCGCAGTGGGCGGTGGGAAAGTGCTGGATATTACTGATGGGCGGCCTGTGATGGAGGTGGTGAACGAAGTTCAGCTCAGGCCAGAGGATTATGAAGATGTGACGGATTGGAAGACTTTTGGATTTAGGTATCGGTTGTAAGGGACTGTGGTGTGGGTATGTTGTCATCATGCTTCATGGTTGATAACTGAGGTACTGTTACGAAACACGATTTAATAATTTATTATGACATGATCTTGTACTCTATTCCTCGATGTTTCACGTTCAGACGGCTTAATGGAGGTTAGTTATCAAGAAGGTTCCTGCACCCCCTTTCGTGAATATCGAAGTAAATATACCAATGTAAAGGTTTCATCCGTGGAAACTCCGCTCCTACCACGTGAAAATTCCATCCTATGTGGCCTGAAGTAGTTCAATGCTGAGGGTAGTATCATCACTCTACCCCAGGGAAAAGATTGGGCGGCGAGACAATCGCACATGGAAGGATACCAGCATATCCTCAGATTGTCTGCACGTGCCCGCAACAGACGTTTAGCGGCAACAATACCTGGTCTACCGAACAGGATGGGCACATGCGGTAAATCTATCACATTCACTCTGCCACATTCACAGTTTGAAATTCAAAGAGCCCATTGATATATAGAGGAGGAGGTGGCGACAGTTTCTAAGTCTTCCAATCCGTCACATCTTCATTGCCGGTTGGAGGGCGCATGGGCTACGTGTCAGCGGTGGGCAGTGAGGCACGGGATGGAGTTCGCCCCTGACAAGAGTGAGCTAATGCACTTTACTAGGGCCCGAGAGCCCTTGCCGCAAAGTATTCGCCTTGGGGACGCCACAGTGTCGCCGGTAGTCTCAGCGAGGTTCCTAGGAGTCTGGTTCGACCGCAAACTGACGTGGCACGCCCATGTTGAGCGTGTTAAAACAAAAATGGCAACTCAAAAGCTAGCCCTGACAAAGCTAGTCAATATGTCGTGGGGCTGCGATCTTATACGGGCGAGGCTGTTATATACGGTGGTTATCCGTAGCGCGATCGCCTTTGGGGCGACTGCGTGGCATACTATAAGTGAGGAACCGGCAGGGCCAGCTAAGAGCCTGATGGGGATACAGAACGAGTGCCTCCGGGTAGTCTGTGGCGCCCACAAAGCGACGCCGGTTCGCCACCTGGAAGCAGAAGCAGCAATCCCGCCACTAGACCTCTATCTTAGTGCCCGGGCTGCTAAGTTTGAAGAACGGCTACGACTTAGCGGGAAGAGAAATCTGCTCCGCAGCGCGAGCGCTAAAGCGTCACATATACTCCGGCAGGATAGGCCGGCGAAGAGGAAGCAGGCGTCGCAGCTACTCCGACCGGCAGGGTACACTATGGAGAAGGAGGCCCGGGGCTCCGAGTGGATGAGTGAGGAAAAGGAGGTCCCGGCTGCCCTCCTCGGCCACTGGAGGAAGAGATGGCTCACCGGAGCAGAGCATCACGATCGCCAGCGACGCGCTATCGCTGAGGAACCGGAGGGCCCTTCGATGCAGATACCGAAAGGGGGCAAGTATTTCGGCCTGAACCGACTGGAGGCGTCTACGCTGTGCCAGATCAGGACGGAAAAAATAGGACTAGCAGCCTTCTTATTCAAGACAGGGGCTTTTGGCGTGTACTCGCCGCTATGCCGCTGTGGCGATGCCCCTGAGACGGCAGAGCACGTAATCCTCTTTTGCGGGCTGTTGGAAGGACCGAGGGAACGATTACGGGCCGCTATCGCACCACGGCCACTATACTCTCGCAGAGACCTTGCAACGGCAACAGGAGAACCAGTAGTTAGTGGGACTATTGTAAGGTGGCTGCTAGGGACGGGTCGGACAGCTTCAAGGCCCAGATAGCATCGATCTTCTCAGGGGGGACTTTGTTGGTAGGTTGAGAACCAACGTAGTATGGTAGTGAACGCAACGCAGTCGCCAATAGGGCGAACCGACGACGCAGCGTATGTATTTAGTCCAGCCATTAGGGCACGGTTTGACATACGGGAGTACTGGTAGAGGTACCGGGGGCTTCGAGCCTACGGCGTATTTAATAATAACAATAATATATAGAGGATTAAAACTGCGCCCCTCTGTTGTGTCAAGTCGAGCGTTCATGAGCAAAAGGAGTTGCTGTCGCAACAGAAGTAGTATTGCGACATGATAAGCCATAAACTGGAAAGTAGTCTAATTAGCATTAATATACAAGAACCCATTTGAGACCTATCGAACATGTGAATCATTACAGAGCTTGTACTATAAAACCATGGCCCAATGTCCCACAACCTGACCTAAAAATCACTGCAACTCAACAGCCGACGCCCGTTTGGCTGGAGTGCTAGGCATTTCCAGCGGCGACGTGGATATATCTGGCAGCTCCATCAGCGAGTTTGGTACTGGGGGGTAGTATGAATGCGTCTGCTGCTCTGAGGAACCGTACGTTTTCATCTCATCGGGTTCAGACGACGGTGCGTCGTTGGTTGTTTTGGTCCGTCGCGCTCTCCGAAATAGGACGAACCCCACTACCAATACCAGAACTATTCCTGCGCAGGCGCCGATTACAATGCCCGCTATAGTCCCACCTGACAGTCCTGCATGGTATGTTGTCAGTCGCAAATTAGTCCGCCTCTTCGTGACCACTAACGCGAAGGGGAAAAAAGGGAAGAGAATAAAATGGAATCGTACCTGCATTCACACCGCTGCTCGCAATACCCGTCTCAGTAGCGACCACAGTCGACCCCTGTCCCGGACTTGTCGCAGTTGTCCCCGTAATGCTCTCAGCTTCGGCATCCATCCCTGTCGCCGTCCCCTCCTCTCTCCTCACATTGCCGCAATATCCATCAAACGCCCCCACCGCCGCGCCCACATCCGGCCCCGTAGTAGGTTTGCCACAACGACTCGCCACACAAGCACTCAGGAAACTACTCGCCTTTGTCGCCAAACCCGTACTGCACAAACAGCCATTAACCCAAGGCTCGCCACAGCCCATATTCGGCATCAGATCGTCGGTGACTTGGTTCGGATGCCAGAGACACAACTGTACACAGGACGGTTGATCGAGGTAGGCGGAATGGCGGACAAGGGAGGCCACGGTGGGGATGGGGAAGCCGGCTGAGGCGCAGTAGGTGTTGTAGAGGGAGAGAGCTCGGGAAAGGGCCGGCGCGGGGGAGGTGGCGACAGTTTCTTTGCATTGGGTGGCGATGCAGGTAGAAAGGAAGCTAGAGGCAAGGTTGGCATTGCTGGAGCGGCAGAAGCAGGTGTTGAGGTATGGGGATGTGCAGCCTAGTGCTGGCTGTTGGGAAAGGAGTTTAGTGATGGTTTTTTTGGCTTATAGGATTTGCAGTGTGAGTGATGACTATACCAGAAAGTCGCCTGTAGCTTCACCTGAGCCAAGACATTGCTTGACGCAGTCGCGTTGCGAATTATACTGCGTATCGGCGGTGATGGTAACCGTATTCGCTGCTTGTATAGTCGGCACCAGCAGTGCTACGCCCCAGAAGGTGGCGACGACGTACATAATGGATTCTGACCGAGAAAGATGTAGGTGCGGAATATTGCAGAAATTCCAAGTCAAACCCCTCCTTCTTTGTCTTGGGAAAGTTGAAAGAAAGAAAAGGGGCTAACGTCATGGCATTCTGGTCGGATAATGACCCATTGTTTGAAGACTAACCACTAAATATAGATACGCCCAACCTCGGTTTTAGATTAACTCATTACAAAATTCTGCCTTGGAGAAATCATGGCTCTGGTGTAGTAGATCTTTAGGTTTACTAGTACGCCACTATTTCTCTCATCAATCACCCTTGCCTAGCGAAAAGCGCGTCAAAAGACGGACAGAATAAACGGCGGACTAAGTAGAGGGCGTAATAATGTGGGATAGCACGGCATTCTAGTGTAGTAGACATTGTATAATTTCATAATACCACCCAAATGCGCCCCTTGCTTTGCTTTGTAGTGCCCCTGGCTCAAAACCTTTCTCATGTCGGATCAATTCTAATAGAAATGCTTCTGGCTGAAGTCGAAGAAGTAGGATGTAAATGCCATCAATTCTATTTGAGATTGGTATACGCGGGACTTATAGGGCCATCTGCCAACCGACAAGTTTCGCTTGTTGTACGTCCTTGCCGTACCTATATACCCACAATTCTCATAGTATGTCTAGCTAGCGGCTGCGAGCCTCCTAGATATGGATAATTCCCACCAATTTCAAGCCCATTCAACCCCAATTTCACTAGCCCTCCGTATTTTCTCGCTGTAAAACCAGAATACCACCGGCAGTGAGAAACAAAACTCAATTCATATCAATCCCAGCATGCTGTTTCTGTATCCATAACCTAATTACTCGTATAAACGAGGCGCGAAGACGGGAAAGCTAACCCCAGCGTATACAATAGGATACCTGTGGCAGCGTTAACCGACGACCCTTGCTCGTCGATTTATCGATCTGGCAGGTGTACAACGTCTGGGTAACAGCCACGCTTCTGAATGAGCAAATGGTGACCCGATATCGATTGCTGGCCAGACGACAGTATACTTTACAGCCCAGTGTTAGGGGATGACTCCAACCGGCTTCAAGACGATACTAGCCATGAGATACGGTACCCTGAACTCGGGTTTGCTCTTGCCGTTGTTGTGTTTATCACTAGGACGTATATGATGAGGCCACCGACTTGGGCTACTTGTCAGACCTTATAACTACCAAAAATACCTCATTATACAACGAGTGGGTCCCTCGTCTTTTGACGGTCAATTTGGTCCAACACTACTGTGGTTGCGGTAATGGTGATAGGGATATAGTGGAGGGCGCTGATAGTCCGGTTTATTGACCGTACCTGTCACTACACAGTGTGGCATATGTTACTAGCGGACCTGTACAAATAGCGAAGCTGAGAGCCGAGATGAAAGCAATCAACTGCACCACTGGATGAGTATGTAGGAAGCGGTTAGGGTGTCAAACACCGACAGTGAGACGCAAAAGGAAGTTCTGCCAGAATGCCACGTGAGCAGTTCCGCGGTCGCCATACGCTGGCCTTTGGTATTTCGGCGACGTAACACTGGAGTGTAAATATCTCGAATTTACAAAGCGCCTATAGTAGTGGTGACGCAGTTGACGATGCTCATGATTCAGATGACCCAAGGTCACTCCACAAGCTGCAGGAAAATACTGCCCACAACTGGGCCGAGAGCTGAACTACGAGACAGGAACAGCGAAGTGATGGCGGAAGCCTTGCTACAATCTCGTTTCCGTGCATATCTGCTATCGCTGATCCAGTGAGTTGAAAGCACGATCTCGCCAGTGTGTTCTGCGTTGAAGATGTGGCATAGTATGGCAGAAGTGCTTTACCGTAACTCCTGCACAAGCCCCCAGATCCGTCATCAATCTGCTCACAACCAACAAGACCTTCGAGTTTCCAATAGGACTGACAGCGTTCCAGGGAATGTACCAAGTGTTCCAGATTGTGCAGTCGGACGAGATGATTTTGATAATCCCGTCGTCTAGTTCACAGGCTTGAAGCCGGGGGTTGGAGACTTGATGTGATTGACTGTGAGATTTCGTTGGGCAAGATAGCCAGTAATGGTGATCGTTGCCGGGCGAAGGGGAGACTTGGTGTATCCTTGGTGATAATGGCGCCCTCGATGTCCGCACTATGTCGAAAGTAGACTCAGTCAGGATTGCATTACATCTGAGGGTTAGGACGGGGAATACTTACAAGCGAATCTTGTTCAGTGTGTTGAGCGATGTGCTTTGCTGGTCCCCATTCATGTTTAGAATGTGCTCCATGCCAACGATGTGTGTGCGCCAGACCGAGTAATCCTCCAGCCAGATCTGGAAAAAAAACACGTTAGCCAATCCTTATGAGATCAACGGGGCTACTTACTGCCGCTATTGCTACTGAAGGATACAAAGTCGATACCTGTTTCGAAAACAAAGATATATCCCAGGACTTGTAGTCCCACTCACTGGCGGCAATTTCATGAAGTATCATATCAACGGCGAACTCGCTCTTGGCCGGCAAGGCAAGTGCCTGGTTAATAGTCCGAAAAGCACGGCTCTGGACTCCCTTTTCCCCTGTTGCAGGACTTCGATGATAGTAGCGAGTACTATGCTCGGCTCCAAAGCAATTGGGTGTGCTGTCGCCCAGTTGATCATGTGCGGCAACTTGAATGGATTGTGGGTGAGAACGCCGGACTTGTCGAAGGGGTAGCTGATCTCACAGCACCAAACGAGGGACATGAGGAAATATTTGTGGCTGTTATCGGAAATATGGAATGGTATGGGACAACGAGACAGAGCCAATGTGGCCTGTTGGACAACCTCCGGACTTATTCCACCGATTCCTAATAACGATGATATATCAGCCGGCTTTGAACCTTCGACCTCTTCGTTTATAAAAGGGCAAGCCTCCGATGGCCGACGATCAGTTGTCGCCGATCTTGTATTCTCCGATGTGGGCGTGTTGGTTGCTTTGTTCCTCCGCCATTGCAGCTCCTTGAATTCATGTTGGACAAAAGCGAACTTAAGCGAGGATTCAGAAGCTCTTGCTGCTCTTTGGACAGATTGCCCTTTTTCGGTGATGCAAGTTGACATGGTGATGAACGACGTGCTACGATGCTTTTCCTTCGACACCAGCAATCCTCTTCGGGTCGACACCATCACCCCATTTTCAACCATAATTCTGACGTGATCCATCGTATCGTAGCAAGTTGTCAGTTAAATTCGAATTATAATTCTAGTGTATCCATCTTTGTGATTCCATGCCAAAGGAATTGGAAGACGCGGAGTTGTTTTCAAACTGCGGTGACTTTCAAGATGGGACTTCCCTGTGGCAATGATTAAGTAGTTTCTCTAAATTGGGCTTAGATCTTATGGTCCTTCAAAAGGGAGCCACCCTCCCACACGTCAGATGTGCTAAGTACACCAGTATTCCCAAGTCTGCGGTTGTCACATATGGAAGAAACGATGCTATGATTAGAGCGGGAATCTAGATTGGATAGGGGAAGAATACGACGGTCAATACTCCCGGGACTTGCTTGTCGTCTAAAATAAGAAACATAAACTAAAATTTACTGCTAGTTGAATACTAGCTAGCCCATTTTGGAATGTACCCCTTCTTGGATGAACCAAGCTCGACTACGCAAGCAAGCTAGTTACCTTTTCACTTTTCACATGAGTTAGTGTACAACCATAGAGCAGCGACAGCAGCTCTGGGTCTCGGTTTGAGCCGAGTGACCTACCCGAATCTTGTACCGGACAGCGCTATTGGAAAGAATCGAGACACAATAACCGTCTGACTCGTTTCTTATATGCGGCCTACGTAAAGTCCACGTCTCGGCCATCCCAAGCCTTGCAGCCGCGGTCACAATTTGAGTTTGCCTTCTTGCCTGGGCACGAGAAACCGCCAATAGCAGTGCGTACGTCGCACGGATGGAAGCCAGGTGACCAAGCAGGATGGTTAGGGGCTAGGCCTAATGTTCTGGATCATGTATTAATGCGTTTCAGGTTGTATGAGGTAATGGAAATGACCGTTGCCCTTCGAAATGTTTCCGTCCATTCCAGCCAAGCACGGGTCCACTTGTCGATTTGGTCCAAGAGGTACAATCGTTGCTCCCCAGAAGAAGTCTGTATAGAGGGCAATAGCTGCGAAAAGATTGATTGTTGATGATTTGTATGTGGAGCTCATAAAAACACAAGAATACCGATCGCCAATATTCGTCTCCAAATCAAATGCAAAAGGCAAAGTAAACTGTGATTTCTGGTACAATAATCAGAAGAACTATATTTATATCCTGAAAAGAACTCGACACAAATCAAAATTGAATAGTTGATACCTCCGAGATGCATTACCTATCTCTATTAACATTTTGCTCGCGCCTAAAGGAAAGTAACTGTTTCGCGCATGGAGTAATAATTTTACAACCATTTTCAGAAATAGTTGAGAAACAAATCCCTCAGATACCAGAGTCCAGCTGTTCATCCTTAATCTTCTGCGACTGCGGATTAAGCCTCCAGTTCTGGCAGACTCTTTCCGTCTCGCTCAAGTCGCCCAAGAAGTTGGGCACGTCGTAAGGACGGACCAAGATCTGTAGTGCAAGACCTAGCATATTTTCCAAAATCAGCAAAACTTTCCCACCGAGAACTAGAGATTCAAGTGGCGATGACGATAAACTTACCAGCGCTGGCGTGCCACGCTATGTGGCAATGTACAAGCCTATTTGGTCTGTTAGAAAGCAAGTCATTCGAGGAGCACAGCATAGAGGGCAATGCGGCACTAACCATGATCCCGGATTGTCCGGTTTGAACGCCATAGCGAGAAATCCGCCCGCGGGGAGCATGGCCACGTCGCGACGGGGTGGGTTGTCGTAGTTGAAGAGCCGGGGGCTCGCGGTCTCGTTCCAGGCTTCAGTGCTCTGGGCTAGGATGACGAAATCGCTGCCGTGGAGGTGAATAGGGTGATTACTTTGTGGACTGGTGTCAGTTCTGTGGTCCATTCTTAGGTGTGGCTGTGAGAACTTACACCTGGGGAACGATCGATGCATCAATGATGAGGTATACGAAACCTCGGTCGTAGTCCTCTGGATATGGGTCAGTTTGTAACAAATCTCATATGATTGTCAGGGAACAAACCTTGGATGACAGTATAGTTGGGGTTTCCAATCGACTCCTCAATGTTCAAAATGGTCGGGTTGCTAAAGTCAAGCCACATGGGCTGAGGACCTAGAACCCAGTGTTTATACGGAGCTCCATTGGGGCCGAGCTCCAAATCAGTCTCATTTTGGTGGAAAACGCGGAATGTGTCGTTAGTGACGTTGTTCTGAGGGTGGAAGTCAACCAACCACGGCACAATGGGGTTAAGCTTCGACGGTTCGACATCCGCGCAAGTGGTATTGATAGGGTTGTCTGGTTGCGTGGTGGGACAGGTGTTGCTGGCTCCATTGTACTTAACCACGGCTGTTCTGTCATCAGGCGTGTTGGTGCCGAAATTGCCACAATTAGTTGCTGGCGTAGTACGCATCCAGAAATCACCATCTGTGTCATTTTTGGCTTCGACGATGACAGAATATCGTTGCCCTTTGCAAATAGTTAGCTATTTGCACAGTAGCACAGCGTTTGATGCTTACCAATTCCAATAAACAGCTGATCAACTACAAATGGTTCGATAGGGACCAAGTCATTGGCAACGACCTTAATCGTGTGGTTGTCAATGGAGAAGATGAAATCCATATCAACACCACCATTAATGAGTTTGAGGAGATGCTTCTTGCCAGGGGTGAAACAAGTCTGGTGGTACGAGCCGGTTGTAACACCAGTCGTTTTGTTGGTGTAGTGGCCCGTTCCATTAACCAGGATGCTGTCTGAGGCGGGCCCAGCACCGAACATTTCGGCTTGGTATGCCACGTAGGATGTGTCGTGTACCCAATCAGTCACCAGTATTGGCCCAAGGTCGATGTCCCAGTCGTCACTGGTGGGACCGTGAATGACGAGCGGTGCAGCCGCGCCATCTGGATACTGAAGAGAGTAGTGACTATGATACCAAGTGTGTCCATACTGCGTGGCATTGAAGATGTATGTAAATGTGTCATCTTGAGTAATAGGGCATTGGGTAATGCCGTTAACGCCGTCCATATCGTTCGAGTTAAGCTGGCGGATTCCATGCCAGTGCACGGTAGTTCCATTCGTACTGATGCGATTGGTGACATGTATGACAAGGGTGTCTCCCCAACATGCCTCAATCGTGGGACCTGGGTAGGTTCCATTGAAGTAGTTGCCAAGAATTTTCTGTACTCCATCAGGTTGAAGCTTGCATAGGTCAGCAGTGTTTTATTCAGTTGGTGACAGGTCACAACTAACAGCAGGGTTCTCATTTACTTCGATCCAGTACTAGAAAAAAGTTAATTGAAGACCAATAGATGGCAGCAAGGTGTCAGACCTCTCTGATGATACCAGGAGGCATATCCTTTTCATCTGTTGCGATGTAAGTTATACGCGAAGACAGTTAGTCAGCAAAAGGAGTGGCATACAATTTGTCCGGACATCATACTGAGAGAACAAAGGTTGAGAAGCAGTCTCGTCTCTAAGCCAGCAACTCCGCGATGACTCAGTGTTGCATGACTTCCAACCCTTTGCTTCTAACTCAGGGTACGAGCAGACGAAGGGTTTAGGGGCGGAACACTGGATCCCTGGGCATGTGCCGACCTCAGAAATCAAGGGGATCTCTGTAGGAGAGATCTGGAATGGCTTCTGTGCATCGCCATAGCCCCATGAGTTTGGGAAAGGGTTCAATTGTGTCACTTGGAGCACAAACTCAACGGTAATTTTGAACCATCCCATGTTGCACGAGATGAAAAGAAATTGATGTCTCGGAAAAATAAGATTAGGCTTGGGCACATATGCTTATAAAGTCCAGCTGAACGCCCCCAGTCTCTGTTGCTCACCGCGGCGGCCGCGTAGACGCCGTTATTCGGTCAAATGAAGAATCCTGCTCGTTACAGTCACGTTTGCGGCATCAAATTAGAACTCTTCATACTTGTGAGAGCAGGCATCAATGGCTTATGGGATCTGCATGGCTAGAGTCAGCACCTCAAATCCCAGCATCAGCACCGATTATCCCGAACGCTCCGCCCCGACAAATCATGCTTTGCATTAACTACATTAGAGAGACATTACCCAGATAGTATCATCGTAAAATTCACTGCCTAATTACAAGAAATCGCTTCGTATTTCTGCTGTCGTAAGTAAAGCATAGCTTACCAAATCTAGTAATGTTGCACAAGGAATGTGACATATCAAGAAAGGTACCAAAATTAGAGTTGCAAGGTGAATACTCCATCACACACACCATCAAAAATTTGATCCGATCGATCCAGAACACGACTTAATGGGGTAACAACCCGCGAACCCGGAAAGTAGGCAGTCAAGCGGCTGGAAATTAGCGATAGATGTCACATGGTGGTCAGCAAATAATGGAACTAAGCATGCAAGCCAGAAACACAGTCATCAAGGATCAGAAAAAGCAGCGTCTTGCAAGGTCCAACCAAATAAAAGAATCTCGGAAATGCTGCCAATGAGACGGCCATCGGGCCGTTAGGATTCAGTCGCTAGGGCTGAGCTGAGCAGCATACATGTCTTTGCTTACGTTTACACAGGCACCCCGTGACTATGGCACTGATTGGGCTAGCTGAACTTTGAGGAGAGGTGACAGGGGAAGGTAAGCGGTTTACCCGATCACACGTAATATGTACGGTTATGATAAGTAACACCGAGAGCCACGGCGATGGTGAGTGGTCGCTATGATTGGACCGACAGGCCGACGTTTTCTATTCACAGGCTGATCAGAGAATTGAGGTCCAGGCAGTTGCATAGTATTGGGATTCTTTCGAAGGCTCAAAAACACTTGAGGATGCTCGTGATGTTCACGGTCGGTAAGATTGAAGAAGAATGCTGCGGAGAAAGATTACATCGTATCTGTGCTTTCGCTTGACGGAGATGGCTTCTTCATATCGAGCCAGCTTAGAACTGTCCTAATACCCATACCCACTATGAGCAGGAAAATGGACAATAATTTTGGTCGGTAGTGAAGATATCTACCCCATCCACCAGGTAGCCACACTCTTAACCCGACATTTCCATTTTGGCACTATTTGATATATCCTCTCTGTAGAAGTCCTTACAGGACATATCTGAAATAAACATTCTCCTTGTCAGTACGGTCTAAGAAAGCAACCCTAGTGCTCTCATCGTTGTCCCCCGCGCCCTCGTCAGACCCTTGCGCCGACTGCTTCATTCTGTTGGCGCGTCGTAGTAACACGTAATATGTGGCAGCAGCACAGATTAGGATCGAGTAGCTGTAAAAGAAGTTAGTTCCGCCAATATATCCGTTCCTTGAATAGAGAAGCGCACACACCATATTATCAGTCCTGTCCATAACTCGGGGTAGTGGGAAGCCCTCGTCTGAGTTCGAATCATCAGGGGCCCGATGATATTACCTGCATACACAGCTTGGTGAGTCTTCGTATCTGAGAGAGTGAATTGGCACTCACCAATGCAATACGCCACGAAGATGGTAGCAGATGCGAAACTCTTCTTCGTATATCCCGCAACATTCGACAATCCAAGACTGATAACCATTGTATTGAACGGGGTGAGAGCGCCACCCATAGTATAGCCTATAATCGGCGCTGCAGCATGATATGCCCAGTTGCTCTTCCAGACAATAACGCAGCTAGCAATGACGACGACACAGCACCCGATCAGAATGAGAATACGGATGTTGGAATATCGAGATGCGAAGAACCCAGCCATTACCGAGGATAGGAAAGAGAAGGCTGCGATGGGGAATTGCAACAAGATGGACTGAAAAGAGGTCCAACCAAAGTTGCGCACAATTAAAGGGCCAAACCCCGTCTGTGCGCCATTTATGGTGAATCCCAATGTCATCATAGTAGCAATGAGCAGATCTTGATGTCGAGGATGCCTTCTTTAATCTGGGACCGCTTGAAGTTGGTGCACCGGACGCCCGTATGGCCGTATTTGAGGCGCTCGAGGGTTACTGCCTTTTCCTCGTCGCTCAGGAACCACGCTGACGCGGGAGAGCTGGGTATATCAAAGCAGAAAAGACCGAATATGAACGTTAGTGTGCCGGCGAGGAGGTAGATATACTGCCAGCTATGGAGGTCTCCGCCTGTGATATGCGCGAAACCGTAGTTGAGGGATCCACCAATGATTGCGAATGGTCCGACGGCTGATACCCACCAGCTCTGCCTAAAGGGCTGTTCCTGCTGGGTGTAGAAGGTCGATATGAGAGTAGAAAAGGCAGTCGGAACAGCGCTTTCAATAAAGCCGAGGACGAACCGCTGTGCGTACAGGCCTTGGTACGAGGTAATAGCGGCCGTGATCATGCATGTTAGGGACCACATACAGACGATGGTTCCTAGGACTCTGCCAGTATCGAATCTCTGTAGAATAAAGGAGATGGGATATACTCCCGCCAGCATTCCAAAGTAGAAGAGTGAGGTTGCCCAGCTGAGTCGTGAGGTGTCCATAATGACCGGATTGATTTGGTCAGGGGTGCTGAGTTCCAAGTCTTCGACCATGCCAAGTATTGCTGCGGAGCCAAGGATTGCCTAAATCTGTTTCACCTAGAGTAACGTCGAAAATTTGGGTGTCGAGGGAAGCTACCTTATCATACCATACCAGTCCATTCTACACGTAGGTACGGTCTATTAGCTATGAGAAGTACAGTTATATGTATAGAATACATACGCCAATAGTAGTAATGGGGATAAAGAACCAGTCAAGCTTCCGCAAAGCACGAGCTGCTACAATTGGGTCGATGTTTTGTCCATTATCGCCAGCCATAGTCATCGTGGCATCTCTTTCGACGTCGACACGCTTCTCTCCAGACTCCGAGATCCCCACGTGGGTCTCGGAGTTGGTCGTGGCGGCATAAATATCCATTTAGGTACTATAGGTATCAGCCAAATAAGTATTCAATATGACGAATAATAGGAAATAGTTGAGATTAGTAGAGGATGAGTATTTGATATCTTATGGGATGATAATGATTCAAATGCGTGTATGAGTCAGACTGGCGAGGGAGCTACAAATAAATACGTCGTTTCTTTCTCATCTCCTATTATATTCACATACGTGACAGGCCCCACGAAATTCACTGCACGGTAGACTTGGAACGATTCAAATATTGTGGAAGACACAATGTCTCAAGTCAGGTCGTACTGGTTCCGTCATAGGAAGTCACAACTCCAACACTATAGGCCAACGAGATGACTATATCCTGCACGAGAGATCAATAAACAATATACTTCCGAGTTTCTGGGCTAGGTATAAATGCACAGTGGTGCATCATCAATTCGCCGTTTAGATAAGTCCCTGGGCGGCGGCTCACAATGCGACCAGTTGAGGTTGCATTATTTGGCCATCATCCATCCCATGGTGTTACAGCTGCAACGCTACCAAATGCTGTGAAATGTAACCATAGGATCATAATAAATGTTCGGAACAACTGAAAATCTGGCCTGTTCATCAGAGTGCCGATCGATCGGATCTGGGTGACCCAGCGGCAACTTGCGCCCTGTCGTATAACCGTCGTGTTGCTAGGACCCTTTGACGGCCTATGGCAGCAGTAGTTCATTTTCTTGGCTACTACAGTTGACTTCAATACAACAGGAGACAGTGCCTACTATCGGGTTTCCCCTTTTGTCTACATACGTCAAGAAAAGAAACATACGGATCAAACGTAAGACTGCAAGGTAATGGAAATTGAAATGCACATCAATGCAGTCAAACCACATAGTCATATCAGGAGTGTTTACAGTTGCTGTTCGCGCTATACATAATGTGCGAGGGACGTAAGGGTACACCTAGACCTAAAGTGTATATCTAAACCCGTCTATCCCCTCTAGTACCACCTTTCCTCTGTCGGCCCTCCGATTCGCCAACGTAAAATATGCCGAAAACGCGGCCACCAATCCAACAATCAAGATGTGTGACCCAATGGAAATCCACACGGCCGTCATATACCGTGGTGCCTCAGTCGACTTCACGATAAAGCTCCCCGCAATCCCACCAGCACCATTCATAGCCGTCACCGCCGCAGCTGTGAAAGCACGCTTCCACTGCCCGGCAATGTTGTTCGCTTGGTATGTACTCAAGGCAGCCCAGTTACTCACATACGCGCCTGTGGCGAGATACGTGCCAATGTATCGAACGGTGACTTGGTCCGTGAAACCAAGCATGCAAAACCCAATGATTAGGCAGATGCAGTTAAAGACAATGACGGGTCCGCGGAGTTGGAAGCGGTCGCCAACGATGGATGAGATGATCACGGGGATGACGGCGTAGTAGTATGGTGGTGCGCTGAGGAGTATGGATTTGTTCTCGCTGAAGCCCATACCGCTTTGTAATATGATTGGGAGGAAGTAGGATAACGAGGTAGAAACCAGGTTCAGTAGAAAAAACATGCAGGCGAAGCCGTATATCTTGGGGTCCTTGGCATGAATGAAGACTTTGGCCCAGGTGAAGGGGTCAGGCATGACATCTTTGCGGTCTCGGTTGATCCTGAATACGGCAAGCTCTTGTTCCTCGGCCTTCAAGAACCAGAGGGAATTTTGGGCATTCTCTGGGAAGTCCACAATCCAGAAGTAGGTGATGACGCCAATCACCATCGAGATCTTATACAGAAGTCAGCCACCGCGATCCATTTAGGCTTTAAAGATGGCCATATATTAATGATTATGTTCAAGAAGAGACCCAGCTTTAACCCGGGAAGTGTATGGGTCGTCTGAAGATGGGCTTGAAACGAAAATAAGTACTCACCAACCCCTGAACGAGAAACATGTATCGCCACCCAGCGATTCCACCCCTACCATCTAACTGATTAAGACCGAAGTTGACAATACTGCCCGTAGCCAGTACAATAACTTCACCACTCTGCAAAAAAGCAAACCGCGTTTGCTGTTCGCTTCGAAGATACCACGTCGAGATCAGATATGTCAAGCCTGGGTAAATCCCACTCATAGCAATACCAAGCAGGACTCTCAACGCAATCATCTGCTTCCAGGTTTGAATAAACGCTGTGCACATGGTAATTAACCCAAACGCAAACGTGATAGTCGTGAACCATACTCGCGGGCCAAACGTGCGCACTGCCAGTGTCGACGGGAGCTGGAAGGCAATGCTGGAGATGGTGAAGATGAAGATGCTGACGCTGTAGCGATTTCCAACGTCTAGGTCGAGATTGGAAAGCATGGATGTTACCGATGCGGAGCTGATCACGCCAGAGTCCAACAGGTTGAGCGAGCAGAGGATGCCGGCGATGGTGCAGAGGCGTAGGTCGATTTTGAGGCAGAGGCGGCGCTCGAGGGTGGTGTTTGTCTCAATGTCATCCGCGGGGAGGCTGTTGCCATTGTCCTGGTCGGAGTCAGGAATGATGGGGAAGATGTCAGTGTTTTTATCTCTTGCTGATGATGATCTTGCAGGGCTTGGGGCGATTTGTGATGCTGGATCCATCGTGCTTCCTCTTCTGCTTGAATTTGGCAACCTGCTAGGTTAGAGACAGCGTAAACTCGCGAAGCCGTGATACCGTGGCAGAGCAAACAGACGGCGTTACGTATTTGGAGACGAAAAAAAAACATTTAGGTTGCATAAGCTGCGGGGATCCCCCCTAGGAGCGTGCGATCAAGATAAGCATTCGGGGGAACCAATCCGCACGATGACCCATCATGTTCGAGAAGGGCCCATGCCTTCATCGGGATGCGGGATGACGGAGACACCATTAGGGTCGCGGATCTACCCGCTGCATACAATAGGAATGTGTCGTCAATAGAACAGGCTTGATTGGATTGTACTTTAACGTACCCCACGGTCCAATTGAACACTTCTTAAGACCTCGTACAATAAGATATAAGTTAATTCAACTGTAATGTAAAAAATTAATTAAAACCACTCGGAGCTATTTTCTCTAGACATTTCTCTACTGTTCTGACAAGTACGCGTATTATGACCGGGCTCTCCGCACGTCCCATAGCGTCGCTGACGTATCTCTGGGCTCCTCGTACGACTACGACTCTAGCGCGATTTATCTTGTAACTATCCGTTAACTAGCTTCTGAGGCTATAGATCTTCTCTAGCTTGTATACGAAGTGATCCTCTACCTGTAAACGTTTTTTTTCGCACGATGCCGCCGGCTAAGTGTCTTATTTGCCTTTCGAAGCGCGGCGTTCTCACCCTCTAAAAGAGCAAGCCGGTGTATAACCTGCGTCGTACCCTTTGCAAACTGGTTAAGTGTAATAAGTTTAGTTATCGGAGAGCTATTTTATTATTTTATTATTAAATACGCCGTAGGCTCGAAGCCCCCGGTACCTCTACTAGTACTCCCGTATGTCAAACCGTGCCCTAATGGCTGGACTAAATACATACGCTGCGTCGTCGGTTCGCCCTATTGGCGACTGCGTTGCGTTCACTACCATACTACGTTGGTTCTCAACCTACCAACAAAGTCCCCCCTGAGAAGATCGATGCTATCTGGGCCTTGAAGCTGTCCGACCCGTCCCTAGCAGCCATCTTACAATAGTCCCACTAACTACTGGTTCTCCTGTTGCCGTTGCGAGGTCTCTGCGAGAGTATAGTGGCCGTGGTGCGATGGCGGCCCGTAATCGTTCCCTCGGTCCTTCCAACAGCCCGCAAAAGAGGATTACGTGCTCTGCCGTCTCAGGGGCATCGCCACAGCGGCATAGCGGCGAGTACACGCCAAAAGCCCCTGTCTTGAATAAGAAGGCTGCTAGTCCTATTTTTTCCGTCCTGATCTGGCACAGCGTAGACGCCTCCAGTCGGTTCAGGCCTAAATACTTGCCCCCTTTCGGTATCTGCATCGAAGGGCCCTCCGGTTCCTCAGCGATAGCGCGTCGCTGGCGATCGTGATGCTCTGCTCCGGTGAGCCATCTCTTCCTCCAGTGGTCGAGGAGGGCAGCCGGGACCTCCTTTTCCTCACTCATCCACTCGGAGCCCCGGGCCTCCTTCTCCATAGTGTACCCTGCCGGTCGGAGTAGCTGCGACGCCTGCTTCCTCTTCGCCGGCCTATCCTGCCGGAGTATATGTGACGCTTTAGCGCTCGCGCTGCGGAGCAGATTTCTCTTCCCGCTAAGTCGTAGCCGTTCTTCAAACTTAGCAGCCCGGGCACTAAGATAGAGGTCTAGTGGCGGGATTGCTGCTTCTGCTTCCAGGTGGCGAACCGGCGTCGCTTTGTGGGCGCCACAGACTACCCGGAGGCACTCGTTCTGTATCCCCATCAGGCTCTTAGCTGGCCCTGCCGGTTCCTCACTTATAGTATGCCACGCAGTCGCCCCAAAGGCGATCGCGCTACGGATAACCACCGTATATAACAGCCTCGCCCGTATAAGATCGCAGCCCCACGACATATTGACTAGCTTTGTCAGGGCTAGCTTTTGAGTTGCCATTTTTGTTTTAACACGCTCAACATGGGCGTGCCACGTCAGTTTGCGGTCGAACCAGACTCCTAGGAACCTGGCTGAGACTACCGGCGACACTGTGGCGTCCCCAAGGCGAATACTTTGCGGCAAGGGCTCTCGGGCCCTAGTAAAGTGCATTAGCTCACTCTTGTCAGGAGCGAACTCCATCCCGTGCCTCACTGCCCACCGCTGACACGTAGCCCATGCGCTCTCCAACCGGCGGCAGGTCGTGTCTGGATCGGTGCCGACGCTTAGCAGGTTCGTGTCGTCCGCGAACCCGACTACTAAAAGTAGTGGATGCTGCTCCGCTAGCTCCTCGTACAGCGTTGAAATGTATAATATAAACAGTATCGGGGATAGCGGTGACCCCTGGGGGACGCCAGCTCGTAGGGGGATTGGCTCTGACTCCTTGCCATCGAACCGGAGGCGTACCGTTCTATCCTCCACGAAGCTGCGTACCCACTCCTGAACCCACTCCGGGTAGCCTTTCCGGGCTAATATGGAAATCAGCCGTCTGTAATTGACCGTATCGAATGCCCCCTTGATGTCTAGCTGTAGCAGCGAGGCGATGCCCCCGCGTCTCCACGCCGTATAGACCACGTCCTCAACTATACGTATTGCCAGTTCGGTGGACCTCCCAGCGCGGTTACCCATTTGGCCGTTTGGTAGTAGGCCGGCCGCCTCAGCTACTTTGGTGATACGCTGGCTCATCGCCGTCTCTATTACCTTCCCTACCGTGCTAAGCAGGGCAATGGGGCGCCAGCCGCCAGGGGTCTGCTTCTGAGCTGTCGTTTTATTAGGCTTAGGGATAATAACCACCCTCGCTGAGCGGAAGCGCTCCGGGTAGTACCCCAGCCTAAAGCTAGCTGTTGCCAGATCCGCTAGGATCTCCCATAGGGGTTCACCGCAGGCCTTTAGCAGGCCAGTGGGGATCAGGTCGTCGCCGGGAGCCTTCCGAGCAGCCGTTCCTTTGATGATAGACTCGATATCCATTGTGGTCACCTCCCTAGGGACGTTCAGCTCTGGTCTCGTCTGTAATAGGCCGCGATCGAGGTCCGATAGATCTATATACGGGTCTGGGAAGAACCTCTCAGCTAGTAATTTTGCCTTCTCATCATGTGTACGTGCTGTAAGCGTGTCGCCGGCGTCCCTCCGGAGATCTGGCAAGCCGTGGGCCTCAGGGGGGGCCCAGCTCCGTAGCCTAGCCCACCTCTGCAGTGCCCACAGGCTTTTGTGATCCTTCGCCGTCCCCTCGAGCTTCTCGTGCCAGCTACGCGTCTGCGCTTCGCTGATTTCGAGCCGTTGTTTTTGGCCGGCTCAGAGCTATTTTAATATGGTACAACTCGGTTTTTCACGTATTCGGTCTAGTATTATGCCTTAATTAGGTTGTTTAGGGTCTTCGACTCCTAGTGGGAAGGTGCAAGTGTCACAGCGCTGGCGATTACAGAGCCACATAGCGCTGTATATAGCAGTTAGTGGGACCAAATGTCAGTAACACTGACATTTCTAGATCTTTTGGTCTATTGGCCTAGGGGCTTGGTCCTCCTCTTGTGACAGCAAGGTGCGTGTTAGCGCAGTAGGTTAATTCGGCTTCGTCGATGTCGACTATAAAGACGCGTTGGTTGGTGGTGTAACGGGGTAAGGCCGGACGTCAGGAAAATAGGTGACGGGAGCCAGGGAGGACTCCCCTGTCTTCCACACTTCTTAAGGGACACGGAGATGACAGACGACTTTCAACAAATCATCATCTTCTTTTTATCATCTTATTCAATCAACTTGACTTTTGTTTTCGATTCTAGTTAGCGAGCTCTTCAATTATGCTGTTCATTCCTACGTGCACTTATACACTACTTTCGAAATCCTATTATTCTGCCCTCATACTAGCCTTGATAATGACAGAGGATTGTATCTTGCTCTGATCAGAGCAATCTAGTGCTAGTGAGAGCTTCAATTAGACTTCCAGAGCCAGACGTCTTGTTCTGAGAATCATTCCGACGAGAGTCTCAGAGGCACATCCGACCAACTCGCGCACTAGACGTATAAGAGCTTCACTCTTATAACCAGTACCACGATCTTCGTCTGATAAGACCACCAGATGGGATCTGTTGGTACTGGAGCCGTCTGTTCAGTGTGTTAGGTGATAGGTATATGTCAGAGAACAGAATGCCATAGGCACCAGTGGGTGTCAGGACACTGAACGCAGGACACCGGCGGGCCGCCGGAGGGGTGTTTCGGACAAAAGACTCCCGAATCATGATTACAATCTATGTGAAGCGTTGGGATGACGAGAGTCAAGATCCTTGGCATCGCCGACCCTGCTGTTATGCCGGGTCCAAGCGGCGGCCTAGCTATCTATATAAGGACCATCTCGAAGTAGGATAGGGAAGGAGTTGTCAGAGCCACAAGTGTCATCCGAGGCGGGCCGGCTTCCACCAGGTAGGAAGCCGTTTGTGGCGGCTAGAGAGCCGCTTGTGGCGAATGAGAGCCGTTGAAGCCGTTTGCAGCGGATAGGGAATCGCTTGGTTGCAGATAAGGAGCCGCTGTCCAAGATATTGGCCGAAGTCGGAGGAACACAGACATACGGAAGCAAACATCCAGAATCCAAGAGAGAACCTCGGCTGGCGATAAGTAAGGAGTCGAGACGGAGGAAGATAGAGAGGGCAGAGATCAATGCATCACCGTGGGCACCCCTACCTGAGACCGCCAGTGACCACCCGGTGCTACGTAGGAGGGACGCCCGTTACTCCCCATCACTCTGTACTATTGCCTTCGGCCTAGCCGTACCCTGACAGTATATCCTACTGACCGCCTGACCCAGTTTCAGTGGGAAGAGAGAGCAGGTAGCGGGCGGTAACGCGACCGATACCCCGACTAGGGCTGGTGATGAGGATGCTCTTGGACATGATCAGGGATGTTTTGAAGATGGGGATCCGAGTTCAAAAAGGACATATGAACGAGAGCGATCAAAATGGAGATGTATAATCTCGGTTCACTTTCGTGAATTTCTGGATGGGTACATTGAACGTTCTGTGGCATTTTACTTCGTCATAACTTCACCCTTTAATGAGATTCACCGGACCAGGGCTCCTTCCCGGTGAAACGTTGACTCGAGGACAACTCTTGGCAATATCAGATGCAATTACGAATCCTCATTGGACCAGATCTAGTCTTTATCACCAGGAACGGTTTATTCGTGAAACTACAGGTGAGGCCCAGACGTGTGTGTGAAATTCCTATGCCAGGGCATACGCACTCTTAATAATCTTCGAACGAATTAGTGTAAGGACAACGTCTCATTCCAAGTCATTGGAAGCGAAGACCATGCAGGCAACGAGAACATTATGTCTTTCAATGGTGCCTAAACATCACTGCAAGTATGGATTGGTTCAATCTGAGTCTGTAGCTCATTCCTCGGAAAGGTGTGAAGACGCTGTGCTCCATACTGGCATCGTTGGTAGTGGCTGCTTCAGTAAGTTCAGCTCCCGTCGCTAAAACCAAGACTACAAGTAAGAAGCTTGCAAACGGAGAACGAATATATAATACAGAAGGTTAAGGAGTGCACCATGACACGGGCTACGGTTAATTATTCATGAAGTGAGAGCTCAGCCTTGCTTGTCCCAGAGAGCGGGTAAATACATAGCTCAACTTTAGATAAGGCCCTGATAGAGCACGAATAAACATCTATTCAATTATAAGTATTTATTTGTCTGCATTTTAACTATTCCACCACCGTCAAGGTATTTTATTTAGTTCGTGCTACTAAGACAGAATAAATACATTTGATACGTGACCCCATGGGGGGTTACCCTACAGCGATAGATAAGATCGATAAGATAAGATAAGAGCTATAGAAGAGCTCTGCCAGGCCAGAATAGCTGACCTGGCCATCCTTTCCCAATACAACAATTCACACCCCATATGCACTCGCATCAACATTATAGCATTGTCAAGTTCCCGTCCCACAGGATTACCTGTTCTGCAGAAGCACATGCCAAAAGGAATAGCCGTAGGTAGTAACGGGACGAGTTGATCAGCCGGTTGAAAGTACTTCTAATTTCTCCAGAATGCATCACTCTTTATCTCACAGAAAGATGCTACATGTTAGTCCCACGAGGGGCAACGAGCCGCGTCTATTAGGTCTGATTTAAAGTGACAGGAAGTTCTAGTCAAATCTCATTGCTCTTGCAGTATGGCAACTGGTCGCAACTCAGTTTCTACTAGAATAGTGCATTAAGGCGTGGACTTCCAATAGAGGTAGCCCTCCGCTGAAGCGGCCATGTTGCTTCTCATTGATAATTTTAATGTGATCGGCCTAAGTTGCTAAAGCTGGAAGCTCGAGACCTACAACGATGGAAACGCTTTCAGGCATTATAAATTATTACATATGATCGATTTAACTCAGCTCACTTCATTCGTGACGCTCTTTTACTACTCATCAACAGACCCTTGACTCGAGCGCCTCAAGCTTAACACCGACTTGACATGATTCTGGATCAATAAAGTCCAAGATGAAGAGAGTATATGTTTTTATGATTTCGAAAATCCGGGTTGAAGCTGTAGAGGCTGGAGGTCATAAGTGAGTCGGGGTATGGATACGGTACAACAGGATATGAAAAAAGGTGGTCAGGGTATTTCGTTAAGTAGGATGACGTAACCAAAAGCGAAAGATGTAAATGATCCTGTCATTTGTAAACACTGCGGCAAGGGAAATTATATCACAGGATGCCTCCATCGTTCTGTTGAGTTTTATTATATAGGACGACGATTCTCATAACTCATCTTTTGACGTGTTTGAAGTGGGGTAGACACCATCGGCGCGGCGACGTCACATCCGTCTCTAGAGCTGGGGTGCGAAGCGGGGAACCGGCAAACTTCTGTCGTCTGCATCTTCTTTCCTCCAAAACCACCACGCAAGATGACAATCTACCACGTTGTTCTGTTCAAATTTAAGGCTCTGGTGCCGGTGGAGGAAGTACGAGCTGTAAGCTGGACTGGCATGGAAAGTTGTCGATAGATCATGACGGACTGACGCGCTACAGGCATGCGACCGGATGCTAGCTCTGAAAACCAACTGCGTCCACCCTGAGACTAAGCAGGAATATGTGCAGACCTCAGTAGGAGGAAAGGATAACAGCCCGGAGGGACTTGCGGTACGTGCCCGGCGCAATCGCGGACGGGGCCCAGAGCTGATGTCTTCCAGGATGGCATCACCCATGCGTTCATTAGCCAGTTCGAGAACGAGGAGGATAGGAAGTACTATTTGACGGATGATCCTGCTCATTTGAGTTTCACGAAGAGTATTGGGCCACTCTTGGATAAAGCGCAGGTCATTGACTTCATGCCTGGTGTCTTTTAATCAAGAATTCATGGAATTTGCTGTCAACGAGCGTGATTCTGAGTCGAGCCCATAGACTTTTCCTATGAACGGAAGATTTGGACAGTGAAAATGGTATCTACGAAAGCATGGTAGAAGGCTAGTAGTTTTTCCCGGATGTATCTAATATGTCAGCAAGGTGGTAACAGGATTGCTTTGTAGAAGTTGCCAGACCTCGTGACAAGACAGTACACTGGCTTGGGTTGTGCAAGATCCCATGACAAATATTGATATCGATATATCCCTTCTCTGCTGTTTGATCAGTCACTTCAAGAAATTCAGTGCCTGGAGTGTATATGCCCAGATACGACGGCACGGTTATTAATAGACGCCACATTGGCAAACATACAAGGTACTTGTTGTCGATTCAGTTTCTAAAAACTACAGTACATTGCTGTGTGGTCAGAGTTACATGCTGCTTCGTAAGTAACTGTCTGTATCTGCGGAGTTGAAGGAATGCACAGTCGTGCTGTTCATGGTCTAGAGAGTCTAGAGATGAGTGCGATAAGGGATTCTGATTCGTGCACACGCACAACAGGCGATATTCTCAGGGTGTGATGAAACACAGATAATGGCCAATGCTAATCTCCGATAAATTCTAGTTTGATTCAGATGATGAACTCAAGGTGGATAAAATCCAGATAACCGGGTGCATATGGTGCAGGTCTTGGCACTGTTATGCTCGTCCGGGTCACCCAGTCAGGACTAGTTTATCCCTACGTCATGCCACAATCCCCCACATGCTACTTGCAGCCCCATCGCACTTGCATTCAGCGCAGGACATTTCCAACAAGGCGAACGCGACACGAGCAACCACCCAACCAAGTACCAAACAAAATTCCCGATGCATGAAGCTGTAATGCTTCACCGTCCACAAAACACCGCCAGATTGTACATCGTTCTTTGAGCTGAACCTTCATCATATAAAGCTTCCTCGTCCTAGAATCTTGGGCCTCGGCTATTCAGTGGTAAATCAGCCGGAAGCTTCGTGACTCGACGTCATTCTCTCATTGCGGCCCGACGCCAAACCGATATACAGCTGACGTCGAATGACTGAGCCGTCCATATTTCCCTGTATCATGCCTTCGACACCACGCGATCTTCCAGTATCAACAAATTCAGCCATGATGTCGCAACCAACACCCCCGATGATCATCAATATGCCCCAACCACCATCAAATCCGGATACTCCCAACGAGATGCCGTTGGTCTCCCATTATCTATCTGCTCTGATGCCATTGCTGGCTGGCTTCTGACAATTTCTACTCCTAGTGGCACGCCTACGAGTACGACCACCTCGCTTTCGGCGCTCTCCACCATAGCCATCAAAGACGGGCACCGAGGCCACGCGCAAGCTCCCACCTTCGGCGGACAACGGACCCACCATCATTCGTCAACCAACAGCCTGGATGCCGAACGGGCAGACCGCATCTCTCGACTCGCGGGTCTCGAGCGCGTGTCCACCGTTCGAGCCCCTGCTCCACAAGGGGGCAATTCCTCCAACTCCCCCCAGACCACCCCCACCTCGACCGGCTTCCACCAGATCCATCAGCAGCAGATTGCCAACCTACCTGTCGCGCCCGCATATTTCGACTCGAACGGTCAACCTGTGGCAGCAGCCACCAAAATGAGCACAGTGGGCACCGCGTCTGCGACGGGTAGTGTCGGCGCGCGCACTACCACTGACGCAGACGACAATACCGAAGTCGACGAGGATGTCATAAGCATGGACACAAATTACCGAACCATGGATGTCGACTCGACCTCGGGCGCAGACGTCCTGGACGAGGATTTGACAAGCCGCTCCGTGGGTGGCTTCGAGGATCGTATGAGTGACGATGGGACTGCCAGTCTTGTTGGCTTCGGTGAGGGCGCGAACAGCACTGTCAGCGGTCCCATATACCACCGCCGACCGCTGCCGGGAACAGCAGGCGTGGCAGGTGTCTTCAACCTTGAGAGAAGCAGCTCGGGGCTAAGCGAACAGGCAGTGCTGAGATCACAACAGCTGCGAGAGGGCAGCGACACCCCGATTAGCGCGTCTGCCCTGGCCGAGAGACGTGATGCGAGAATGGTGGACGGCGTCTCTGTCGATGGAGCGGGTCATGTAGGAACTGCTGACGAAGAGACATTTGTTGACACCACCAACCGAGGACCTATTCCAATGCTGTCCGGTCGGACGCACCGAGGTTCAACGTCACGCGACGCCGCCGAACAACTCATCAAAGAGAGATTGGACGGCGGGGAGGGTCGAGTGAGCAGTGCGGGTCCGGCACTGAGCAGTCCGAAGGGCGGTGAACCGCTGGGGAAATTCTACTTTGAGGAGAAGAAGTAACTTTCTCTTTCTCTGTCGTGTTTTCCTACCCGGAGGAGGCGTTCTGTTGGCGAAATGGACAAAACAATTAGGGTGGCTACACCTTGTCTGCAAGGAAAACAATTCCTTAGGGTCACTCGTTATGGGCAAGTGTGGTCATGTTTTCCCGAGGGGGGCTTTCTGGTGGATGGAATGGTTATACCACAGTTTCTGAACTACGAGACGAGAGAATCGGCGCTGTGCTGTTTAGGACCATGGGAGATTGTGTTATGATAATGCGTTATGTGCTGAGAACATTTCCGGGCTCTAATAAACCGATTAGTGGATGAGCTGTCGGATGAGATGTCTGTTGATGCAACAGTGGTCTGTCAATATAGATCTCTACCGCTGTCTGGCAGTCTGAAGAGTCGGGACAACGCAAGGAGTTAGACACACGAAAAGGTGAGCTGGTTAATATCGTATATACTTCTCTCAAAGCTGTAACCAACCTGCTTGTACGCCGTTAGGGGGGGCTCTACTGTTGGCGATTGCATCATACTATTGCCTCAGTCTACCTCTCCCGAATCCACGCGCAAGTACAATAAAGACCGTACACGACAAGAAAATAGGAGACACAATCGTTTTTATCCCTGATCGCAGTACGCTAAATCCGATACGTTACATAGCATCACTGGAAACTCAATCTACCCTCCTACCTTTTTCTCCCATTGTCATCACTAAGACCCTGTACGGCCGAAGCCTCGGGCGTGATAGCAGCACGAGGTAGATCGCCGATATATGGATATATTGTTATAAAAACTTGACTGGTGGCCAAATCCGAGGACTGCTATATGGCCCGGATTTGGGAAATATCAAAACATATTACGTGTGTAAGTTGGGCTCGATGAATTAATTCTCTAGAGCGAATAACAGAGTCATAGGCCGCCGTTATAGGCCTTACCGTTCCAAAAGATGGTTCAACTCTCTTCTCTCATCAGAAAAAGGGGTGTCTCTTGGAAGGTTCTGCTGCGCTTCTGATCAGGTTAAAGTTAACGTCCTATGACCTAGCGCCACAGTGGCTTCAGGCAGTGGCTGTGTACACAACTAGCTAGCTCTGGTGATTATATCTCGCTAAAAATAGCTGCTTGGCTCGATAGTTACGAGTGGACACGCACTATAATCTGCTATCACTTTAACGGAGGTCTAGGAGCGCTTAGTGGTAGAGGCCCATTTGACTATATTGCTGAAGAAAAGAAGGAAGGTCGTACAAACCGGCTACAATGGATACTCTCATTCGCTAAGAAGGACCGGTCGCGGACACATCTCGATTACCTCGAGCTTTTCTCGCCACCCAAGCCATTCCTTTTACTAACGAGGGCCTGGGACAACGACTTGAGTGCAGAATCAGTACGAAGGTCCTCAAGATGGCGCATAGCCAAGACCTTTGGAAGGCCTTCTCCGTCGGTTAGTTCTATCCCGATCGATCCAGATCTGTGGGATAGCTGATAGGATTATAGCAAGGGGCAGTTACAGCCTGAATGCAATTGCAAGACGATTTCATCAGGAGTCAAAGTTGATTCCTTAGTAGACGCTATATTATAATCCTTTGATGACTTCATGCCAATCCAAGACGCAGATTTCGCCCGTTCTACCGAGATAGCCTGAGCATTGTTCATCCCCTCTGTTGATGCATAAACACTATGTCCCCGTTGTATCGGCGACCACCACCTATCCTATGCAGAAAGTACATTCTCCTACAGCCGGTCTGTGATGAATAACCACTTCTAGCGTGCACACCTGATCGAACTAGGAAGATTAAAACGAGACGAGGTAATTTTCTGCGACCATCCAGAATGTATCAAGGCGGGTGTGAGACTTTACGACTTGAATCACTTATTGTACTAATTGTGCAAATTATATTGCATTCAATGTGTAATGATCTCTGGAGATTTCCGAAAGAGTGAACTGTGGCCCTAAAGGCCTAATACAGGTAGAAATGAGCGATGCCTGCCCCAGAGGCAGAAACGGTATGGTACATTGGGTGGTGGTCACAATAGCCCATGACTTAGGGTAGGTAGCCATATGTCCTCGCCAGCTGGCAATTCGCCGTAATGGCCTTGAAGGTGCAACATCACATCAAAAACATGCCCAACAGGCCTACGGCGTCTTGCTTAGGCCTCGACCATCTCGGTGGTGCAAGTGCAGCAGGCTTTAGATCTGCAGCAGAGATCTGGGTGGTCCATAAGTAATTAGAAAACACGTCTCAAGTTTTATGCTTTGAACCACAATGTATCCTGCACCATCATTGCATAAATCTGTGAACGAACTACTTGAGAGGAAATTTGCCGGCATATAAAAAAGCCGCCGTCGCAAATTGCGTTGCGACCAGTGCCAGCCTCAGTGCAGGATACTGTAAATAGCATCAGTTTACAGTGTGTGGTACTCAGAAAAACAGGCTACTAGGAATTCAACAGCGCCGCTACCATTGAAGCGACCAGAATGCCCTTCACCCCTGGAAGATTTCAGCATGATTCCCAGAGAAGACGAGTTCATAGAGTTCACAGGAGAGAGCCACACGTCGAGGGACCAAGTTAGAGAACTTTGATTGACTGAAAAGCGCTGGGACGCATCTTGCAGGCCCTCCAGTGTTCATACTTACGATCTGTCCAGAAGTTGCTGAGCCTTGGTGTAAGGGTGCCCATTTCACAAACTACGTGGAATAGTCCTGACTTCGATCGCGGCACGGTCAAAGCGGATGTGAGCCGAGGGCCGTCTTTATACAGTGATCACACTCCTATTCAGGGCTTTTCAATCCTGTAGGGAAGGTCATGGGTTGCCGGGCTGGTTGCAGAGCAAAAACAAGGTATTGGTGGAAAGCCTAGAGCAGGGACCCCACTGTATTGTGGGGTAGCGACTGTTGTAGTGATTGCCTGGGCAAGATTTATACGAAGGCCAAAAAAGGATGTCTATTCCCCCTTTGCTATACTCGAATAGGAAGGGATAATTGATGAAAGCTTGGCCCGCACGGGGCACCTGTGGTCTGATGGGCGGTGCAAACCTCGACTGGCAATAATGCTAGTAGGAGCGTTCTGTTCGCGTCCTAGAGGCCTATACCGCCGTAGGGGCCACAGATGGGTCCCATGGCACTCATTTATTAAGAGGAAAGCTATTATATGAGGATATACGTAATTGGGGCTGTGGTGGGCAGGAGGCTGTTGCGGAAGGAGCCTTTTGCCGTAATTCTGGAGGCGACGACGTTGTCGAAGGAGATATTGTGGGGAAATGTCAGAGAACAGAATGCCATAGGCACCAGTGGGTGTCAGGACACTGAACGCAGGACACCGGCGGGCCGCCGGAGGGGTGTTTCGGACAAAAGACTCCCGAGTCATGATTACAATCTATGTGAAGCTTTGGGATGACGAGAGTCAAGATCCTTGGCATCGCCGACCCTGCTGTTATGCCGGGTCCAAGCGGCGGCCTAGCTATCTATATAAGGACCATCTCGAAGTAGGATAGGGAAGGAGCAGAGATCAATGCATCACCGTGGGCACCCCTACCTGAGACCGCCAGTGACCACCCGGTGCTACGTAGGAGGGACGCCCGTTACTCCCCATCACTCTGTACTATTGCCTTCGGCCTAGCCGAACCCTGACAGGAAACCGGGGGTGACTAACTTTGATGTTTGGGAAATCGCCGTGGAATAACGACGGCCCAAGGATGTGGCTCCTCCCACAATGGGCCCCAATAGAACCAACGATTTTCCTCTTCTCTAATGGTTACTTCTGGTTTGAGGCGGGGTTTTGTAGTCCTTCGGCCCTGCACTTGGCCGTACCTTCCCATCTGGGCATAGTTATTGTATACGCCTCAGACACGAATGTCAAGGGAATTTCTGCACACGTTGGGATGGATTCCTGCCGTTAGTTCTGACAGTTACCATATCTACCCCTGTCTGTCAGATCTTCTCCCTGTCCCTGCACCTACCACCAGCGCCCGATCCCAGTACCACCGCCAGTCTAATCTGTCGTATTGTTGGACCAAATAACCGTCAAAAGACGAGGGACCCACGCGTGCTAGAATGAGGTATTTTTGGTAGTTATAAGATCATGGAGGATTGTGATGTTGATTGAGCTAAGTTAACCTCCGTCAGGTGTAACGGTAGAATGTTACCTATCTAACTAGTGTACATTGTTACGGAATAACTAGGGCTCCGCCAGTGGACTGTGTGCCACTAGTCCTCTGTTATAAGATCTGATACGTATTCTCGCAGTCTTGACTGTATCCACTGTTTCTGTCTGTAGCTCCGTCCAACTCGTACGATATTACCGACGCGAGAAGCGGCAGGGCTCACGGAACACAAACCTCACGGTCAGCAGCGCCACAGTAATGTCAGGGATTCGACCTCAAATGTAACCATGTCTACCTCACTATTTCCAATCCAATATGGTACGGTTACGGACTAAGCGAGCAATGCATTACACTACACCTTTGACTGATGCAGCGGCCCCATTGGTCCTGGTGAATGCCTTGAAGGATTAGAGGAATAGACGATGCACAAGTCCACTCACATGTTAGATATCCAAACTTATATGCCGTATCGATATAACAATGCCAACCTCCACCTATAGCCAAGCTGATACCCTATGTATCTCACCAAGGCCACCACCATTCTGCCGACACCTCCAAAATGACATCCAGAGACAAAGTAAAATGCCACCCGTCATGGGCCCAAACCGGCCCAAACACATACTCCCAGCCGTACGGCTTCCAAGAAGTCCTATACAACGCCATTTCCGTTCCCCCCAGATCCCCCGGCCTCTTCCTGATAGGCTCATCCGTCACCTTCAGCTACATCCCTTCCGCCCCAGACAGTAAACTCTACCCTCAAGACCTAGCCCCTCTGCTCCGTAATGCCTGGCTGCAGATGCGCCAGCAATACCCTAACTTGGCAGCAGAGAACTAACCAGAAGGGAAATTATACAGATCACCATCGTCCTCCGCCGAGCTTGAAGCCTGGCTTGCCGCCACCTTCATCGTAACCCCGGGAAAGACATCTGCCGAACATTGGAAAAACATGATCAAGACAAGGCAAATGACGCTGTACTTTTTTCCCGAGGAGCGCCAGCTGTTCATACAAGGGGAGCACCACATCCTCGACGGGAGGGGGGTCATGAATTTCTGGGATCGGTTCTTCAGGGCTCTCGCACTGCCCGCAAAGGAAGACATGATGAAGACAGACGGATCCGAAATATCACGTCTCCCTCCCCGGTCCGACGATCTCCTCGATATGGCAGAAAATAAACCGGGGCGCGGCGAGCAGCACGCGCTGGAACTTCTCGCGCCGCTCGTCACCATGAACGCGCCGATCTGCGTGCCCGTACCCCATCCTCTACCTCCTTGCTCTTCACGGAACGCCACGCTCGAGCTTCGACTCAGCAGTCATACCACAGAATCCATCATCGCCGCATGCAAAGCCCAACATCTGAGCGTTACGGCAGCCTGGCATGCATCTGTGGTCCTCGCCACGCAATCGATCCAAGCGAAGCGTAACTCGGCCTCAGGAGCAGGAGCGAGAGTAGGTACGCAGTTTGCATGCTTTGGCAACTTTGATCTCCGCCGCTACTTCCCAGCTTCAGACGCAACATCCCTACCCGACGCCTACGCCCTGAGCAACCACCATGGCGTGCTCCCCTATGTTGTCACGCCAGACGGCAAGACCTTCTCGCAAGTGGCGCGCGAGCTCGCATCCTTCTACCAACAAGACCTTCCAAAGGCAGATGCCGAGGTGTGGAGTGCGCTGGGGCCGATGATCCGCATGCTGGTGCCCGAGTTCACTCGGACGCCGCTCGAGGAGACGACGCCGGCGTTGTCGAGTTTGGGGGTTGTGGATAACTTTATCAATTCTTTGTACGTCGATGCCGAGGGAAAAGGGGGTTGGCGGATTGAGGACGTGTGGTTTGGTGATACCGTGACTGGGCCATGGCTGGAGTGTTTCATGTGGGCGTGGCAGGGGCGACTGTCTGTGAATACTTGCTATAACCCAGCGTACTATACGCACGCTGAGGTGGATGAGTTCAATCAACTGGTGCAGGAGAAGATGCTGGAGGGGTTGGGGGTCGTGGGTCGGGGGCCTTGGTGGAAGCTCTGATCGAGGAGTAACCGTCAGGCTTTGCATGGCGGCTCCATTAAGTCAAACTATTGAGTAGAAGTAAATGCTGAAAACGCTTTCCTTTTACTTATAATAACGTGAATATACACCGAGCTGGCCACCCTTACATAACCTCGCATAGAAATTTTTTTAGTCCTCCGGCGCCGGCTTAGCATCTTATTTGCCTCTCGAAGCTCAGCGCACTCGGCCCGTACGAGGGCGAGCCGCCGTTTTTACGCGTTTGGAGGGTGCTTCGGGGGACTTGGTACGTTTTTGCCGCTTGTCGGAGACTAAGTTTTTGGTCATTTTTAAGAGCTTGAAGGACTAGTATTAAGTCTGCTTCGTTATATGACTTTGCCATAATTGGTTGTTGAGAAAATCAAAGATTAAGTTGGCCGGTCGCGTTGGCCAGCTCGGTGTCATGGCCAGCTCGGTGTACATTCACGTTATACAATTGATTTTATTACTTGATGTATGAGCAAAGAGATTGATATGGATTCTATCTGACACTTGGAGAAATATACCAAAGATCGAAAGTCTGGATTATACCGGTTGTTCGTGCTCGACGGCCATGAGAGCCACGTTCCAGGCGATTTCGATCTCTGTTGCAAAGAACACCATATTTTAACTTATTTTATATCTGCGAATTCGTCTCATATCCTTCAGCCCCTTGATATCGCGCGTTTTGGTCCATGAAAGCAGAAACACGGCCAGTCGGTGGAAAGGTTGATACGACGATCACTAACACAAATCGCCAAGGAGGACGTCCTTTCGCTCTTCAAAGATACGTTCTTCGAAGTTTGTGATGAAAATAAATATCCTAGCAGAATTCTGAGGGCCAGCGGCTGTCCCTTGAGATCCGTAAACTGTAATTTCGAATCTAAATGTAAGGTCACGAACTCCGAGACCCACTGACTCACCCGCAGTCGAGGCCCAACCTAGGATATCGAAGACGCCATAAAACCGGTAGGGACCCATTCTCAATATATTCACATGTTCAAACAGTATCGTCACATTTAGCAGGATCATTATACTTCGATTGTATTTCAAGTCGATTAGTAAACGAAAGGAAACATCAAAGGTGCAAAGATGTTGTTGGACAGATGGAAGTGTGTTGTATTCCGGTAAGCTAGGTTAGTTCTGGTGGGCTGGAACCAAGTAGTAGTGGTGGCTACGCACGAAATACCTCCGACAGATATTGAGACTTGGCCCCTCCTAACAATGAATTTCATCCATTTCACTGTAATCCCGCTTCCACACTCCAGGACTGTCCTTCAGAAACTGAGATCGGAAACCAATCATTCGCTGGGCTCGTGGGCTGAGTGTTTTGGCAAGTTCCTTTTCAACAAGAAACGGGTATGCCTCTTCAGGAGTGAGGTATGAGCACTGAAAAACTAGAGTTATACCCCTTCTCGTGATGTCCTTGGTCCTATTGGCACCCCCTCCATGCACAACCTTTCCAGTAATGAAACAGGCGTCACCCGCCTCCATTTCCGCTGGAATTGTATCTTCTGGAGTTCCAGTTTCTTGGAAATCATTCCACTTGTGGCTTCCGGGAATGACTCTGGTTGCGCCGTTCTCATCGCTGAACTCAGTCAATGCCACAACGAAGTTGATGCTAGCCTCTGGCGCATTAGGGCCGCAATACGTGAAGATTGGGAATTGCCATTGGTCACGATGTAACGGTTGGGCCTTGCTGGCCGGGCCGATGTCGATGACTTGAGCAGAGTTCATCCAGTATCCACCTGCATCTTTCAGATAGATCTCTTCGCACAGTTGGTGGATCAAGTCGTTCTCTAGAATTTCTTCGCGAAACGTCTTGCTCAGCGTGACCACGTTGTTTAAACGCTTTGTGTTATCGCCATAAAAGGCCTTAACCCATTCTTCTGAGTGCTTAGAGCCCACTCCAAGCTTGTCTATAGCAGGCTGCACCTCTTCATTCAGACGACGAACTTGATCATTTGTGAACAGGCCTTTGATGATCACAGCCCCATCCTCACGAAGGGCTCTGAGGACGGAATCACGGCCTTCGGAGGCTTTGACTTGCTGCAGCTTGGTTGCAGTGGTGGACATGTTGGCTTGAAGATGGTAAAGTGGGTTCATTAGACGAATTATTTGAGAGTGCCGAAAGGAATTGTTGCAGATTATGTAAACCTCAACCGTCATCACCAATGGAAAGAAATTTATATCATGAGTCCGCAGTCGAATGGACATAAACATTTTCGAAAAGGGACTTATCCAACTTTGGAAGGTTTTACCGGTTGAAGAGTCAGGCCACTCTCTCTACATCTCGCTTCGGAAAACGGGACCATGTGAGTCAACGTGGGGGCTTCATCCTACAGGATCAGAAGCTTACGTGGCTTGTACATCGGTTTCTGTCGCCAGGATAATCCTGCTAGTGCGGCGCCATGGATCAATATCTCTCATGCATTCAATATTAGGCGGTCCTAGCAGGCTTACAAATCTGACATGGTCAATATTCTGAATACGGTATCAGCACTTGGGTATAGAAGTTCTATGCATTGGAAAATCTGCCAAGTATCAGCGCTGATAGTTTTCACCCTGGCGATCTGTGTATCCTTGTGGTTAGGTCGTATGTTTCTCTGGTTCAACCTATGAGGATGTAAAGTTGGATTATCTTTCACTGGCTGGAGTCCGCCTTCCATGCCTCCTCTATCACCTCCTCGATGCGCTTTGGCGCCGGGACCTTCCCCTCAAATGCCTTGACGAGATCTAGATTCCCATTCAACTTCCCAAAGTCAAATGCGCCAAGTGCGACACCTGCTTCAAGATCGGCGATTAGTGCTCGCAGCTGATCCAATCCTTGAGGAAATCGCTCAGAAAATCGCTTCGCAATGTCTACATTCGTCGGGAGGTCGACTGCCTCATGTTTGAGCAGTTTCTCGACTGATTGATAACGCACTTCAAGCTTACGACCCAGAGTCTTCTCCACGAGCCTGACGAGCTCATTCAATGAGACGGTGCTTGCCGCCGTTGTCAGGATCCGCGGCCACTTGTCCAGCTCGAGCGCCAGCGCTATATACCGCGCAGCATCCGTCGTAAACGACATGCTCATCTTCGCTTCTCCGTCCCCTGGCAGCACCGCTTGTCCATTTGCCGGGTCGATGAAGAAGCATAGCGGACGGAGGTTGCTTATGACCCGCGGCAGGCCAAAATAGTCCATGAACATACCGGGATAGATGTATGCATACTCGAGCGTGCTTGTCTTCTCCAGCTCTCGCCGAGCGGCGAGATGAAACCTCTTTTCTGGGTAGGGGAGGACATCATCGCTGACATTGTACTCAACATTAAATTCGGAGGGGATGAAGCGCGTAACGGAGGGACACTGGTTGGCGGCGTGGATAAGGCGTAGCTGAGCGTCGGACGCAGAGTCACAGTCCATAATGAAGGCACAGATAACGACGTTGACGTGATTTTCCGTGAGTTGCTCCATGAGAGAATCTTTGGAGGAGTAGTCGGTCTGAATAACAGGAAGGTATCGTTTTCCAGTCAATGGCGATATGCGGCCGGAATTGTCCTGCACAATCTGCATCTACATGGTCAACAACGTGGAATAGCTCATGAAACGTCTTTATTACCTTTCTTGACATGATATAAACCTCATACTTGCCAGTCTGAAACAGGGCATCCGTGATGAGGCGACCTAAGTCTCCAAGGCCGCCGGCGACCGCAACGACGGACATGGTGCGTAGCAGTTCGAGGTAACGCAACTGCTAGGTTCTGAGTTACGAAGAAGGGGTGACGTAACTAATAGGTTCTGGGTTACGGAACTGTCACGAAAATAGCGCAATATTTTTGCAGGACTCCTCTTCCAAATGAGCTGCTGGTTAAAACATTTTGAAAAAAGACAGGTGGTAGATGATTGAAATCCTTCTGTCGCGGCTGATGCACCCTGACTGCCGTCCCCTGTCTTATTGTTGGACCAAATAACCGTCAAAAGACGAGGGGCCCACTCGTATTAGAATGAGGTATTTTTGGTAGTTACAGTATCTGATCCTTATGTCAACTACCGCTCTTGGCAGTATACTACTACCCCATTTCTCACTCCCCAGTTGAATCCTACTACTACCTATTGCCTGCCGCAGGATTCCTGTAGGATCTCACGAACCGTGCATAGTGTTTACCTTATCTATAAACCCACTTCGACGAGACCTGGGCTAACGTAAGACAATTGTTTTCCTATTGGCTATCGATTGAATGCTACTATTATGATCGGCTTTCAATCAGTTGCTTCACAAAATGTTATGCTTTCTTATGATTCAGACTGAGGAATTTTATGACAAGCCTGATCGAATGTATCAAGACATGTCAGTGTCTTTTTAAGCTACCGATCTGCATCTCCAATCACATCTTAACTACAGTATAGACTAGTAATTCAACTTGCGCCAAGATTGTTGCCAGAAAATATGCATTTTGCCTCAGCAGAAGGCTGTCAGACAGCTATCAAGGAGTTCAACGACACTGATGATTCCGCAACACTGCGATTATGTCTACACCAGCTTCTCGAGCACATCACGGAGAACTACAGCGACAAGATCGCCCTAACTTGTGCCAACACGACACTCACTTTTGGAGAACTCAACGCGTTTGCGAATCGGTTTGCCAGGGTTCTTGTTCAACAAGGAGTCACGAATGGCAACCTCATCGGCGTGGCCCTCGATCGCTCGGTCGACCTCGTCGCGGTATTGCTAGCAGTCTGGAAGACAGGCGCGACATACGTGCCTATTGACCCGGCCCTTCCTGCAGAACGCATAAAGCAAATGATGGACGATGCCTGTCCAAAGCTACTCATCACCGGGGGTAACACACCCGACGCCTTCGCTTCCTGGAGAAGCGTGTGCCTGAGCGTCGACGAGTTGCTACACACGATAAATTCCGACTCCGATAGCAGTAACCTTGGCGTGTTAGTACGGAGCGAAGATCTTGCCTATGTCATGTACACCTCCGGCTCGACTGGCCGGCCTAAGGGTGTCGAGGTCAGCCACGGGAATATCTCAAACTTACTATTATCGATGCAGAAGGAACCAGGATGCAACGAAACGGATCGGCTGCTCGCTATCACCACAGTATCTTTCGACATGGCCGTTCTCGAGCTGTTTCTGCCACTTCTCTGCGGCGCAACAACAGTCATCGCACAAAGACATGAAGTAAAAGACCCAACCGCCCTTATCAGACTTATGGAGCACCACCAAATCACCATGATGCAGGGGACACCCGCAATCTGGCAAATGTTACTTGATTCAGGCTGGCGAGGCCAGCCTCGGCTTATGAAGATATTATGCGGTGGCGAAGCGCTGCCTCGACCACTAGCAGATCGCTTGCTGGCCTGCAGCGACATGATGTGGAATATGTATGGCCCGACGGAGGCAACTGTGTATGCGAGCATCTGGAGAGTATGCCAAGGTCACGATGTTGTTATTGGAAGTCCCATCACCAACGGCCGCCTCTACGTGCTCGATGAGAACCTGTCGCCAGTACTACTCGGCTGTCCTGGTGAGCTGTATATTGGAGGGGCCGGCGTGGCACGTGGTTATCGCAACAACAGCGAACTTTCCCGCTCTCGATTCCTCGACAACCCCTTTCACGGTGGCCTGATGTATCGAACCGGTGATCTCGCTCGCATGGTGGCGCCCGGAAAATTGAGCGTGATGGGCCGAATGGATGGGCAGGTGAAGATCCGAGGCCACAGAATTGAGCTAGGTGACATCGAAGCGGCTATTACTGAGCTTGAAGACATCTCTGGGGCAGTTGTGGTTTGCCGTGAAGACCGACTGGTAGCCTATTGCGTGCAAAAGGCGAGGGCGCTCAGGAGTAGAGTTGAAGTCAAGACAGCGCTTGACCGTGTGTTACGCCCTTGGCTGGCCGAGCGACTGCCAGCTTACATGATGCCAGCATTCTTTGTTGAAATGGAAGCTTTCCCGGTGACGATTAATGGCAAAATTGACCGCAAAGCCCTCCCAGATCCAGTGGCGGAAATGCAGACTACGGCCGACATGAAGCCCGCCACTGAGTTGGAGGGGTTGATACTCGCAATTTGGTCGAGGGTCCTTGGCCATGACCGTGTCGGCGTCAATGATAATTTCTTTGAGGTTGGAGGAGACTCTGTACGTGTCGTCCGCGTCCAAAAAGAGCTCGAGAGACTGCTAGGCCGGCCGGTTTCGTCACCCAAACTGTTTGAACACTATACTATCAAGACATTAGCAGCGCATCTGACCAGCTCGCCTGATATGGCTGGTCCGAAACTTGTTACTCAGCAATGTCGTGTGAATAATACCGAAGATATTGCTATTGTCTCCATGGCATGTCGGCTACCCGGTGGCATTACCACCCCAGAGGACTTTTGGGAGCTACTCGAACGTGGTGGTGACGCCATCACCGATGTGCCCGAGGACCGTTGGGATGTTGATGCCCTATACGATGTCAGCTCAGACGCTCAAGGCAAAACGTTTTGCCGCCGTGGTGGATTCATTCCTTCAATCAACTCGTTTGACCTATCTTTCTTCGGCATCTCACCCCGAGAAGCACGCACCCTGGACCCTTCGCAGTACATGATGTTGGAGACTTGCTGGGAAGGATTTGAGCGTGCGGGTTATACTATGGAACAGTTACGCGGTAGCCAGACTGGCGTGTTCATCGGCACCAGCAATATTTTAGCCCATCACAGTCTTAACCCAACCGCCATCAGAGACTTGGCAGATCTTGATGGATACACGGTGACAGGCTCAGCTGGTGGCACGATGTCCGGCCGTATCTCCTACCAACTAGGCCTAGAGGGCCCAGCAATGACTATAGACACTGCGTGCTCCTCCTCACTGGTCACGACTCACTTGGCCTGTACTGCGCTGCGTCAGGGTGAATGCGACATGGCTGTGTCTGGTGGTGTAAGCCTGTTGCTTAATCCCGGACTACATGTGGAATTCAGCCGGCTACAGGGCATGTCGCCGGATGGCCGTTGTCGGTCATTTTCTGCCGACACTCAAGGCACAGGATGGTCCGAGGGCTCTGTTGTCGTCATCCTTAAGCGGTTATCCGACGCTCAACGCGATGGTGATCTGATCCATGCCGTGATACGCGGCACCGCCGTCAACCACGATGGCCGCAGTGCCACCTTGACAACGCCCAGCGGCCCTGCCCAGCAACGACTCATTCGTACGGCCCTCAGTGCGGCTAGGCTACAGCCTGATGACATCGACTACGTTGAGGCTCATGGCACAGGTACTAAACTGGGCGATCCAATCGAAGCTACGGCGCTGGCGGAGGTATTTAGCCCCAGCCGTGTCAATGTAGAACCGCTATTGATCGGTTCGGCGAAATCTAATATCGGCCACACACAAGCCCCCGCTGGTCTCGTAGGTCTGTTAAAAGTGACACTGGCCATGCAGCATAGCATCCTGCCACAGACTTTGCATGTCTCCAAGCCTACTCCGGCGGTGGATTGGCAGCGTGCGAATATGACGCCCGTGCAGAGTAAACGACCGTGGCTATCACAAGGAAGCCGGCTGCGCCGGGCTGGGGTTAGTGCATTCGGCATCGGTGGAACAAATGCTCATGTTATCGTCGAAGAACCACCGAGGCGGATTGCAGTTGCGGATAATGCGAAGGCGGCCATTCGGTTGCCTTCCATTATGCCGTTCCTCCTCTCAGGCGACACCGACGCAGCCCTGCGCATGCAGGCCGAGAAGCTTCATCGACACATCAGCAGCACTGTTGACCAGGACGTTCTTGGTGATGTGGCCTACTCCCTGGCCACCACTCGCAGTCATTTCCGAAGGCGTTTGGTATTGATGGCCGAAGGCAAGGCTGAGCTGTTGGAGAAGCTGGACTCGATCACCCACCCGGACTCTTTCGCTTTGTTTGCAAGCGACGCTGCTGAGGCGCCTAAGCTAGCCATGCTCTTCACTGGCCAAGGCAGCCAATGGCCAGGCATGGGCAAGGAGCTCTGCGAGGTCTATCCCATCTTTCGCGAAACGATAAGCGAGATCGCGGCCGAGTTCACGGAGTTGGAATTGCCGCTGCTCGATGTCATGTGGGCGGAACCTGGTAGCAAAGCCGCCACATTGTTAAATCGTACTGATTTTACCCAGCCTGCTCTATTCGCTTTGGAAGTGTCGTTATGGAGACTGTGGCAGAGCTGGGGCGTAAAGCCGGAGTTTGTGCTCGGCCATAGCTTGGGCGAGCTTGTGGCTGCTCACGTAGCGGGCATCTTTGACCTGCCTGATGCCTGTCGATTAGTTGCGGCGCGTGGTCGATTAATGCAGGCTCAATTTGGTGATTTCACTATGGTATCACTCGGCGCCAGCGCCGCTGAGGTAGCAGTAGCAGTTGAGCAACTGGACCATGGTGGTAAGGTCGATGTCGCTCTCTATAACACACCAATACAGACAGTCATATCTGGCGATATTGATGCCGTCGAAAGCATAAAGAGTTATTTTGCTGGGCAAGGCCGCAAGACCAAGACCCTGGTCGTTGGGCATGCCTTTCACTCCCGTCATATGGACGGTATGCTAATAGACTTCCGAGCCGTAGCCGAGACCGTACGGTTTAAACCTCCCCAGCTAAACATCGTCAGCAGTCTAGACGGCAGGCTGGTCAAGGCGGGCCAGCTCGAACAAGCGGATTATTGGGTTAAGCAGGCACGCGAGCCAGTTCGCTTTAGTGACGGCATCCAGGCGTTGGCCCATCACGGTGTCAACATCTTCCTTGAGATAGGACCGCAGGAAGTGCTTTGTGGCATGGGTGCAGCGTGTCTTGCAGACGATGACAAAAGCAAGTCTGTTGCCTGGTTGCCATCTCTCATCCCTCGCAAAGACAGCACCTTGATTCTTCAACGCAGTGTTGCTGATCTACATATGCGGCACGTACCTATCGACTGGCCAGCCTATTTCAAACCTTTTGGCTGTCAGCGCGTGGAAATGCCAACCTACCCCTTCCAACGGGAGTGCTTTGTCCGCCTCAACACGCAGCAAGGTGCTGCTACTAATGGTATCAGCAACACCACCGGCCGTGCTCCCCAAGGCGGCGAAGGGCGCTTCCAGTTCGGGATATTTTGGCATCCAGTGAAGACGGTCAATGTCCATCACAGCGGGACCTGGGGTATTTTGCTTCCAGCTGATAATGTGACGTGGACAAGGAGTGTGACAGCCACCCTGTCACGAGCCGGTATAAGACTGGTTGAAGTCGAGCATCTCAGCCATGCTGAGAAGCTGGATGGCCTGATATGCTTGTGGGACTCGGATACCGACGTCATATCGCAGACGCGAGATTTCATTTCAAAGGCGCTGACACAACTGCAGACGGCAGCCCAGACTCAGTTTATGCCGCCGCTTGTATGGGTCACTCACCATGCGGTCGGTACTGGTACTGAGTCCGACGACCGGCCCATGAGACTCGGAGCGGGGCCGCTATGGGGTCTAATGCGGACTGCCAGGAACGAGCATCCGGAATTGCACTTGCGCTTGGTCGACTTGGGTGAGGAAACTGGCTCCTGTATCGCATCAGCGTTGATGCTAAACGCCGAACCGGAATGCGCTGTGCGCCAGGACCGAGTGCTTGTCCCGCGGATGCAGCGCATTAACTCGGTACCGAAGCCGTTAGCCAAGCAACAACTTATTCGAACGGACGGTGCAGTGCTGATAACAGGCGGGCTCGGTCATCTCGGAGCGCGCGTAGCACGGTGGCTGGCGAGTGACCATGATATCCGCGACCTAGTACTGACCTCACGCCACGGCATGGAAGCTTCCGGCGCGGGTGCATTGGTAGTCGAACTCTCTAGGCTCGGCGTCAGAGTCACTGTGATTGCTAGTAACATAGCTGATCCAGAGAGTATCAAGGCAATCATGGCAATATTTAGCAAAGATCGGCCGCTGCGGGGCGTAGTTCACGCGGCCGGTGTTGTAGACTCCGGTGTCCTCTTAGCCATGACGCCGGAGCGCTGCGCGACAACACTTGCGGCCAAGGTGCACGGCGCTTGGCTTCTCCATCAATCAACTCAAAATTTGGATCTGGACGTCTTTTTGATGTTCTCTTCCATCTCTGGCGTCATGGGCATGCCGGGTCTTGCGAATTATGCCGCAGCCAACGCCTTTCTTGACGCGCTGTCGCACCTGCGTCGCGCCCAGCACTTGCCGGCCACCTCAGTGGCCTATGGCACCTGGGAAGAAGACGGCATGGCGTCCAGACTTAGCGCAACCACCCGTTCTCACCTTAATCACTTTGGCCTTGACCCCCTGACACCTGATAAGGGGCTGGAGTTGTTGAAACAAGCTGTGGTCAGCACTCGTGCGCTGACCGTGGCAGCCGCGCTTGATTTGAGACGGCTTCGGGGCTTTTTTGAGGAACAAGGCGGTATACCGCCGTTGCTTCGTTCGCTTCTAATTCGGGACAGCACCCAGGCCTCCCGAGGCTGGGATCTGCGCAAGGTTTTGAGCGAAGCTGAACCTGGGCAGCACGCCGATATTGTGCTGAACATGATCCGAGAAGTAGTTGCCAAGACATTGGGTTTTACGCACGCGCTTGATGTGGATGTGGACCGTCCTTTGCAAGAGATCGGAATCGACTCCTTGACCGCGGTCCAGATGCGCAATTATCTGGCGACACTGACGGGCTTGACACTCTCCGTCAATATTGCATTCCTTAATCCAAACCTAAAGGCGCTTAGCCAGTCCCTGTTGTCCCAGCTGGAGGACACGGATACGTCGTCCACTACGACCGCATCTAGTAGTGTGACTTCTGCCACCACGGCATCTGAATCTCCTGATTTGAACATGACAGCGATCCGAAAAGGCTGTCTCGACAGCAGCTTCATGTTCGACAACGTAACTCGGGACCCAACTACATGTACCACACGTCCCAGGTCCGTCTTTCTCACAGGTGCTACCGGTTTTGTCGGTGCCTCTATCCTGTACGAGCTGCTCAAGCAGGGCATCACTACGCACTGCCTCGTGCGCGCCGACAATGTCGATGAGGCAAGGCAGCGGCTTGTGAGCACTCTAGAAGACTATGGTCTCTGGGAACCCAACTTTGCGTCGCTGATCAACCCGATGGTTGGTGACATAGCCCAACCCTTACTCGGCTTGACCAAGGAAGTATTCGACGACTTGGCGGATCGAGTCGATGCCATTTGTCACTCTGGCGCTCTTGTCGACTGGATGCGACCGCTGGAAGACTACGTCGGTCCCAATATTGTTAGCACTCACGAGATTCTGCGCCTAGCCTCGTGCGGCTGTGCCAAGGCAGTCCACCTTGTGTCCACGATCTCCACATTACCTAAGCATATGGGTCTAGACCTTACCGAGGGAGATCAAGAATACGGTTATGGGACCTCAAAATACGTTGCAGAAAGGCTCATAGCCGCGGCCTGTTGGCGCGGCGCCAAGGCATCCGTCTACCGTTTACCCTACGTCACTGCCTCAACTACGACTGGTCACTTCCGGCTCGATCGCGGTGATTTCTTACACAACTTGATTGTCGGAAGCCTTGAGTTGGGAGCGTTCCCGTCATTGGATGCTGATATGTCCGCTGTGCTACCTATCGACTACCTGAGTAAAACCATCGTGGCCGTGATGACACAAGATATGCATCGAATAGGCCGGGACTACGACTTTTTGAACACATGTGCACCGACTTGCAATGACTTCTTCAAGCTGATAGGTGCCGTTAGTGGTGGAAAGGAGATCGTAACCTTCGGTACGTGGAAGCAACGGGCACTGGACTATGCTACCGCACATTCGACAAGCCCACTGGCCCGCATCACTGCTGTCTTCGACAGGTACAAGGACGAAACCGCGGCTGATATGTTTAAGGGTTTGTCTGTTGGAGAGCACGTCTTTGGAGGCAATGATTATCCCGCGCCGTTGTTTAACGAGCGGTTTATTCACGCATATTTAAATCGTATTAGTATGCACTCCGACAAAAGTACGTAAGATAGCTAGCAAGTAACAGAGGACTAGTGGCACACAGTCCACTGGCGGAGCCCTAGTTACTCCGTAACAATGTACACTAGTTAGATAGGTAACATTCCACCGTTACACCTGACGGAGGTTAACTTAGCTCAATCAACATCACAATCCTCCATGAGCAAGTAAATAAAATATGCACTGAAGGTGAATTAAGCGACAGATCTTAACAATAGTAATAAGCATGTAAAATATCATTAAAATCTAAACGTCGGAAAATATCGCACCACTAATGTCTAGAGCAGGCTGTTTAGCTTTTCGTCATTTTCACGAACTCCCATTTCTCTGTCAAGCAACGGACTTGTTCGCTAGAGCAACAAGACTAGGAATAGCGGCCATAGTTTCCAATAGGTGTTTCTAACGTCTAAAGCCCTTCTATCCCGCTGAGCCTTGATCTGTTTAAAACACGTCAGCCTGTCATATTATCGCCAATCAGCTATCTACCTTATTCTCCAGAGTGACGAGAGCGGAAACAATGGCCTGTCGTGGCTCTCGTTCCGCCCTCGTGCTTCAATAACCGGTGCGTTTTAGAGTTAATGCAACTAATTACGCGTAAACCCATAGCCACAAGATGATCTCCAGCTAGCTATCACCAGAGTGAACATCAGCTGCACACCAAGTACAACATGTCGGCAAGGCCCGAAAGTCGCCAACCACATTGAGACATTCAATCATGAGAAGAAGAGAGGAAGTTCAACCGTAAGAGAGATTGTAAGTCAAATTTCAATTCATAGCTTCCGAACAATATTTCAAGTGGTATCAAGTACAATAATGGTGCTTCCAGAGCTCACCATCCCTAATCAATCTCGCTTATCAAACACAACTTCCATAAAACTGCCATATCAAATATAATAAAACCTCCCCGTGTTTGCCCACCCGCTTGCCGCGACCTTGGACTTCTCGGTCCCCCTCGTCACGCCCCGCTTCACAGGCGCATTAGAAGGAGCCATCACCTTCAGCGGCACCTCTGGCGGAGCAGCATCAGGGCAAACACGAGCTATCATCCGGGTTCGCCACATTAATAGGCACCTTGAGCACCTGTCCGACCTCGATCTGATCCGGATTCGTCAGGTTATTCAGCTTGGCAATGTCACATATCCCCGAGTTGAACTGCTTCGAGATAATGGCCAAAGTCTCCCCCTTGACGACAGTGTGCTCCACGGTTCCATCGGGAGCGACCGTATCGGGAGCGACCGTCTCGGTCGGATCGGGGATGAAGGACGACGTTTTATTCTTGACGCAGGACGTATTATCTGGTTCAGCGACGTTGAGCGGGATTTGCAGAACCTGGCCGACAGAGATGAAGGACGGGTCGGGGATGGCGTTCAGAGCGGCGATTTGGCACACACCAGAGTTGAAACCCTTCGTCGTGGCGATTTTGAGTAGTGTGTCGCCCGATTCGACGGTGTACGTCGTAGTGGCGGTTGTGTTGTCGCCGGCTGCACGGGCGAATTTGTAGACGGGGGTGGGGGTGTCGGTCATGCGTGGGTAGAGGATGCCGTTGGCTCGCTTTGCCTTGGGAGTAGGTGTAGGGGAACGGCGGATGACGACGGGATTGCGGTCAGGTACTGCGATGGAGCCGTCCCTTTCGACGATTGTCCTCTTTGCGGGAGCTGCGATCTGGTTGGCTCCATGTGTAGAGAGACCAACAATGTCGCGCTCTTCGACTTCTGATTTGTCTCCTGATGGGAATTTTCCCTCGACCAATGCTTTTGTCAGGGCAGTAGTCATATCATAATCCGCATCTCTTCCCACGACTAGTCTCTTCTCGAAGGCGAGACCGCCAAGTGGAGTGATATCCTCGACGGAGTGTACCTCTCTATCCACGATGACTGGGCTGGCAGACGCCATGCCCGAGAGGCCAGTGGCCAAGATAGCGAGTAGAATAGAACGCATCGCAAGCACAGCTGGACGACAACAGAAAAGAGAAAAGGTTAGTGGTGAAAGTGCTGTCAAGGAAGCGAGAATGTGATCCGCAGGATTGGATATTGACAGGAATAAACAATCAGATGGTGGAAGAACCAACCCGATATTTTATGTTTGTTGAATCCATGGATGATGCTATTAAGCCCATTTACCGTACTCACAATCCTGACTTCCCGCCTGGAATCTCCCAAACCGAACTCGCGACTATACAAATACCAGTTGCAGGCCGCCCGGCACTACCGTTAACCTTAAAGTGTTTAGGATCCAGAACTTTAAATGTGCGGGGTAGTCCTCCGGGGCTCTTCGGGTTGGTCTCAAGTTGTAGCACACTGCCAGTCGTGACAGGGAACCCTCTTGCTGCGCCTCTTCGGATGGTGTCGAAATACAGCCCACACCATAAAACTGGATGGGCTGGATTGCAGTGGAGGCGGACGAGTCAGGGCAACGCCTGATCTCCTTACAGGGTTACCCACTGCTGTTTGCTTTAACAGTAGAGAATTGGGGGGGCCAATATTCAGCCCATTTATCTGTGACACATCTGAGGTTTAAGGTTTGGGGCTCAGCGACGGGTGCATTTCAATGTCTCTATGAGTTGCCGGCAGAGTGGGTGCAGTTTGTCTAGTATGCATAGCCGTTGGAGTATCTCCAAGTCACGACATGAGTCAGTTTGACAGCGGAAAGATACTAGGCAGGCCAGCAGAGTGCTATTACAGGAAATGTGCAGGTCAAGGCACGTAGCCCAAGAGTTGCAGCTAAATTGAGTTGTTTCGTAAGATCGCCCTGCGTTTCTTGATATGGATTGGAAATAATACTCTACGTAATGATATCCACAGCCTCGTAACTCTCGGACCGCGAGGGCTTTCGACTTCCAACGACTGTCTTTTCCGGTTTGCCGCTACTACAGCCAGTTGACTGACGATTGATGAATCCTGGGCACTAAACCCTTGGCAACTGCCAAATGTTAGATCTTCAGGATCGAAACCTCTGGTGTATTAGGAACTGACTCAAGTGTATAACCAAAAGGCACCCTTTTTTGTATTCAACGACCTTATGGCCACCTGCACTCCTTCACTCCTTTGGACTTGGGGAGATCAGAAACACATGCAATTATATTATTTATCATAGCCTGCAATAAATCCGATGATAATATCATGAGTTAGTTCTACAATATTCCAATGACTTCCCTGCATAGTCTTTAAAACGCTGGCAAGAAAAGCGATCTGATCTGATTCAGTGTGTAGAATTCGACCGGTTTACTTTGCTTTGAGCTGTCGCCTGAGCGCAAGAAGAGCAACGTATAACAGCGAGGTACTTAACCCAGTCAGCACTAGGCTTTCCAGTATCAGAAAAGGGTCTATTCACTCGGTTGCTCATGAGTATCAAAGAAAATGCCATTGCTGCGCTCACTTCAGGTTATTTCGATGGCGTCACCCACGGTGATGCTCATACTGTTCAGACAGCTGCACCCTCGCAAGAGTGGTCTTGCTTTGTCTGGTTATTGCGATCTCCACACTCCTCTAATCGCATCAGCGGAGTCATACCCGTAACACCAATCTCGAGTCCTCTTATCGGCAATGCCATACATACAGCTCCTTACTCTCTCGAAGTCACGTCTTTCATCTTCACATGCTGGTTCAACTGGCCAGTACTGATCACAGTGGCGCAGTCCCTCGTCGCGCAGCTCTCTATCAGGTCCAGGTGGCATGTGCAAAATGCCTCCAGCATGCAACGAAGCAGCCTGTATGGAAGACGCACGCGGTATCCGCACCTGTTCGAAAACGTGCAGCGCCTTCTTCATGCGAGCATATTTTCCCTCTTTCGTCTGTACAACATCTGGTTCCGAAAGCGCTAATCGCAAAGCCTCTCCTAAACTAGCTGCATCGTCGACAGCCAGTGACACGCCCATCGAAAGATAGAAAGCCATCGCATGCGTCGCATCGCCCAGTAGCACAAACCGTCCCGAATCGTGGATCCATTTCTTGAGTGGGGGTACGGCGTACACGGGGTAATTCACGATCTTCGGCACCGCCATGTCTATAAGCTTCTTAACCCGGGGATCGAATTCCTTGAACAGCCCATCGACATACGTCTTATGATACTCAGGCGTCCAGTCTTGCGTTTCGACATCATCTCGATGCGAGAGCACTATGTTGAGCATCGTCGAATCTTTAATCAGATACGTCATGCACGATACATTGTGATCAATCCAGAGGTTCGATCCATAACCTTCCAGCAACGGGGCAACTGATGCATCGGCTTTGATCGCGTCGGCCGAGCATATCATGCGGAAGGCAGCCCATCCCGTTGGGAGCGCCCCTGGATCATCTGGACCGAGGAATTGCTTGCGTGCGAGGGAGTTGATGCCATCGGCGGCGATGATGAGATCTGCTGTCCGCGTCGTCCCATCGGCGAGGGTGACGGTAGCTGTCTCGAAACCATACTCCGTGACGCGGGAGTTGGTACGCACTTCGACTCCAGCTTTCAGGGCGTGCGAGTGCAGTATCGAGTGTAAGACAGCGCGGTGTACCACCAGATAAGGGGCTTGGTAATCCTGCTCGAGGTCGCCGATGGGGATCTTGCCAATGATATCTCCACTAGGCCCATGGCGAACGTTCATAGATGTAGGTATAGCCGAGGAAGAGAGGAGATCGTCTTTCATACCCCAGGCGAAGAAATTTTTGATGGCCTGCGGAGTCATCTGCACACCCGCACCGATCTCTGCTAGTGCCGATGCGGACTCCAGGACTATGATTTTGAGAGGCTGGCATGATGCGACATTTTTAAGCGCGTGGGAGAGGGCGATGGATGTTGAGAGGCCGGCTATGCCGGCGCCGACGATGAGGATTTCCATGGTCCGGGTTGATGATTGTTTTGTTACGAGGTGTGGCCATGAACTGTGAGGTGAGCGGTGGTTTGGAACTGACTCGCGGTGCAGATGATAAGATGGCACTAGTGTCACACGTTACGTACCTGGTCAGTTGGCTTTTCAACTTTCGTTCTCTAATGAGGTTAGTTTACGGTGAATTACATAGGCAGTCTATTTGAAAACATCCACGTAGCCTTTGAAGGTAACCCGTCACAAAACCAATGTATACTGTGGCGAAATTGGCCTTCAACGGAAACAACACGTGAAACATGTTATCAAGCCATAGATTGTTTAAGTGGCTAAGAAATAAGTGTCTGGCTTCATATTACATTTTGCGATAAAACGTATCAAACATTTGAATATCGCAACCGACTCAATAGTACATAGGTAACTCAAACTTTGTATGCACATGCGAGAGTCATACACAGATCGGGGAATATAAATAATTGAAATTCATACATTGAAATTTAGACATTAAAAGTTATCATGACCAGTTCGGCGGGAACTGCCTTATTCACTGCCAGATTCGAAGATGGTTTCCATCTCCGCATCCCCATATCCAGCATTCAGCGCCAGTTGCAGCATTATCCTGGCCTTTTGAGGATTCAAGAACCCACCACCATACGATCCAATCGATCCTTTCGGCTCAACAAATCCATCCATCGTCCGGCGCGAGTAAACGACGGCCGTGCCATTTTCCGCGATAAGCTTCTCAACAGCTTCCTTGCCGCCATCTGTCCAGCCCCCTGCCCCCATCCCGGCAAGCACAAGACCCTTAGCCCCCGATTCGACAGCAGCGGGAGCCAAAGCAGGGTTCAGAGCCTGGTGTCCGTATAGGATGTCCACCTGCGGCAACTCAGCCGTATCCATGACGTCGAAGTGCAGTTTCCCCATCGGTAGCGCGGGAGCGTAGTAGAATATGGGCTTGATATTTTGGAACCAGCCCAGGTATCCCTGCTCGGTTGCTTTGAAGGTATCCAGGGAGTTGGCGTTGGACTTGCTGGTGTAGAATCCGCTCCCTATCCGGTCGTTGAGGACGACCATCGTGCCGCGACCTCTGGCCTCGGGGCTAGCGGCTAATGTCACTGCTTCGAGGAGGTTGATGGGACCATCTGCACTAATAGCTGTGGCCGGCCGCATGGCGCCGACGATAACGACTGGCTTTTCCGAGCTGGTGGTGAGCTCGAGGAAGAAGGCTGATTCCTCCAACGTATCGGTTCCGTGGGTGACGACCACACCTTGGCAGTAGGGGTCGTCTAGAGCGGTTTGCACTTGCTGGGTCAGGTTGAGCAAGATGCTAGGCGTGATGCTTCCGGAGTCAACATTTGCGACTTGGACGCCTGTAGGATTCGAAACGTTCCATAGTTGAGGAACGGCACTGATGAGTATATCGACGCCTAGAGCTCCTTTACGTGGGAAATAATCAGCTACTGCCGGCCGTAATGATCAAGGAAAGGGAGGGAGGTCTCACCAGCACTGTATCCAGTTGTTTGGTCGCTGGAGCTTCCACTTCCGGCGATTGTACCGCCAGTGGCGAAGATGGTGATATTTGGATTGCTGGCATTATATACGCCGGCCTCTCGAGACTGGATTAAAGACGGAAGATGCACTGGGGATGCGAGTGCGACGCTGGCCGTGACAGCCAGTAACGAAAACTCAGACAGCAGCATTTTGATATCCTTGAACCAGTTTTGCGTCGAATGTGATCTGAAGGCCGTGGGAAGTCACCTCCTCAAGTGAGAATATTTGATATTTGCTTCGAAGGCACCTTTGATGTTCGGGAGACGCGGTTGTTCCTGGAGTATACACTATTTCGCTTTGGACTCGGGGTGACTGTGGTTTGGACCTAATTAGAAACGAGCTGACTCTGCTCCTTCTGGGCAAAAATAGTTAAAAGCCGACAACGAAAATTATATGCGGGGATAGTAAGTATTTGCATTATGAGTCGACCTTATATATCTGAACGGCGGCCTTATCTCAAAGAATATGGCCGTGGCTGCAGTCCTGTCAATCCACATATCCGTGCCTATATTCAGTCCCTAGTGTCTCCATCGTCATCGCGCCGACATTGCCAGGCCGCGAACTAGCTCCTTCGAAGACGGCTCCATAGTGAATCAACAGAGCTATTGACAAGCTGACAACCATTATGGCAGATCCCGGGTGGTGATTGGATACGCATGCCCTTATCGTCGCATCGCAATATAAGCACTGGCCTATACCTGCGTGTTTAGCTGAATATCGCCCCACGACTGACGCGGAGCCGCAGACCGTAATTGTTTTTCCCGCTACCCGTGCCACACCCCACTTATTTCGGACTCACTAACCTAAGTTGGTACTAGATACCGATTTGGCCAATTTCTCGACGAGCTTATCTTTAAACCACTATATCTCGAAGAGATGCTACCATTGTTACACGCAAAGGTGGTCAAAGATTTGTGAGGTTGTAAAAGCATGATATTCTATCTAGTACTATGGAGCACGAAGGTTGGACTTAGTCCCGAAGGGCTAAGTCACGTGGTAACCTTGGTGGCCTTGGCAAAGCCCATCAAGGTTGCCTAACAATATATCTAAGCTAGAATTCCTCTCTATTATCGAAGATATACGTAAAATAACCTTTAAAAGGAGTACTATTTAATTAGCTTTTAGAAAAACTAGTATTTAGCCCTTTTACCCTTATCCGATATTATAAGAAATCGAGGAACGTATACTAAAGATACTTTTACTACTACCGCTATTTCTATCCTTATTATACGAAGGCACGCCTACTACTCTCCGTTAATTTAATAAGATAGCTAGTAAGATTACCGATTATATTACTAATTGTGACGCCGGTCACGATGCCTGGCCCCTGGGCCCCTGGACGAACACGGGGACACCCTAGTATGGGTGTCCCACCTGTACGCGCTGCCCTTTTCCTTATAATGTAGGAAAGTGTAAGGTGACAGCAAGCCTAGACTATCACGTCACATAGACCAAAAGATCTAGTAATTCTGTCACTTAGTGACAGAATTGAGGCTTATCCCTGCTTATAGCTCTGTATTCCCTTACAGAAAGGGCAATTGCACTTAGATCTCTTTCTCTTCTTCAGTTTAGTATTCGTCAACAGAGATAGACTGATGTCGCAACCCTGATTCGAACTTGCAGTGCCTCTGCCTCGTCACACTAGTCTAGAGCTTAGTATTAGTCTAGATTGTGACGGTTGTTACGTGATTGACCCACACTGGTCTGAACAGATTGATAAGTGGTTGCAGATGCCAAAGTCAGGGACTTTGGTATTGGTCTCTTTTGGTGAAGACACCTGGTACGGTGGCGTAGTGGCAAGGATTGCAACCCCTGGCGCGGCGTGACATAGATCTTATTAATCGGCTTAGTCGTTTTGTTAAAGGTTTACTCGTTAACGCGACCGAACTTATCCGGACTAAGCGCGATCTTAGCCGTACTAAATACGCTAAACGTATATTAAAATAATAGCGCTCTACGAAGAACTATTACCTTTAATCTAGTAGAGTTTTATCCGTTATAAAAGGTAGAGAGATGGTAAAAAGGAAGGTCGAAGACGAGGTAACGAACGTATAGTGAGTTCTAGATAAATATTACTAAGGCCTACGTAGCGTAGCCAAAAAGTCGTTTTTTAGTACCGTAAAAGAAGCTAGACGACGTCAAATAGTAGGCCGACTAAAGCTAGTAGAGTTTATCGAAACTAGCTATATATTACGGTTATTACGTAGATTCTAATCTAATGTTGAAAATATTGCTATTTCCTATCCAAATCGGTGTCTAGCACTAACTTAGGTTAGTAAGCTCAAGCGAGTCCGAAATAAGTGGGGTGTGGCACGGGTAGTCAGTCTAATTCCCTATCTTTGCCAAGACTCGAGGCTGGGGTATTGGGCTTGGCGTCTCCGTTCCGGGGAACACCGACCGTAAAATAATCCAACTTCACTCATTAGTCATGACTCGTAAATATCATGAAAATTGATTCTCAGTTGTTATCTATGATGAATTTTGATTTATCTTCTCAATTATGTTAGACGAGTGAGTAATGAACTCGTATTACTGTTAGCCCTATCATAGCGAACTAGGGAAAAATCTGCAGTGAGCCAGATGTGCTATGCCGCTGTTTAACGGTGAGTCCCGGCACCCACGTAGCTCGTGGTTTCTTTGTAGGTAACAAATGAGTGGACGAGGACACAGACAGAACTAGTGCCAATCCGCGACACGACTGATGGACGTTGTCGGATTGTGTTTACGACAAGTCGGTAGACTATAACGGCAAAGGACTCACCCTTTGGACTGATATTCAGGTCGGAAGGGGACTGTCCAGCAATTAACTTGAACAGTCCACAACCGTGCTAAGAGGAGCTGCAATCATGGGTCGGGGAGCTGCTGTATAGATTTTATAGCAGCTATTGAATACAAATGCATTGGAAACTGTGTCGGATTATTTGCTTTTCGTGTTGGTAGATGCTGCCCATCAGGAAGCTTGGTCATGTTGCACCCAATAACTAGTATGCGATGCACTTCCAAGATCATGTTCAAAAGTATATTGCCTACAAATTGCATAGATCATTGGTTAGAGACTTAGATATATTAGCTCAAAGTTGGAGACTATAGCATCCATTGTCAGGAAACGCCGCGAGTTAGTAAATATATTAACATAACGTGAATGTACACCGAGCTGGCCACTTTCATGCGCCAACGCGACCGGCCAACTTAATCTTTGATTTTCTCAACAACCAATTATGGCAAAGTCATACAACGAAGCAGACTTAATACTAGCCCTTCAAGCTCTCAAAAATAACCAAAAACTTAGTCTTCGACAAGCGGCAAAAATGTACCAAGTCCCCCGAAGCACCCTCCAAACGCGTAAAAACGGCGTACCTTTCCGACGCGATATTTTGCCCAATTCACGAACTATGACAGAATTAGAAGAGGAGGTCATTATCAAGCATATACTGGACTTAGATGCACGAGCGTTTCCGCCCCGGATTGCTGATGTGGAAGCAATGGCAAACCCGACCGTGGGTATCAAAGACGCCACAGAACCCGATAGAGGCTCATGCACAGTCTACTTTTTTGAAAAAGCGCATCTCCGAGAATCAGAATAGCTCTCCGACGAATATTTTCTCAGCTGTCGACCAGTTTGCGAAGGGAGCAAAAATGATAATGCACGAGCTCGCCCTCGTACGGGCCGAGTGCGCTGAGCTTCGAGAGGCAAATAAGATGCTAAGCCGGCGCCGGAGGACTAAAACAATGCAATTACGGGAAGGAGAATCACTTATTTTCCAACAAGGACAGGACCTACGGGACTCTAGGGAGTTGGCGACGCAGATACAGCAAGAAGAGCGCCGAAATGGTGGTCGCGCAAAGCGTGTTGAAACGCGCCCGAGGCGCTGTGGTATTTGCAACGGGACTGGGCATAATGCGCGAACTTGTAAGATCGCATTGCCATCTTCTGGAGAGGAAGATTCAGAATAGTTTCAACTGATTTACGGCGTTGTGGTTTTACTATCGCAAAATTTCTATGCGAGGTTATGTAAGGGTGGCCAGCTCGGCGTACATTCACGTTAGGGGGATCCCTATATTATCAGGCTCCTACCTTAGCCTCCCGACAACCATCCAGAGTCAAAGTAGAAGCTACTCAGTATTCTATTTCCTGAGGTCCTCTTATTCAGTTTTACACTAAATTGAAATATTCTAATGTTCTTGTTTGAGTATCACTGATACGTGACCCCAAGGGGGGTTGACCTGTAGCTACAGATAAGATACATAGATGGGTAAGAGCTATAAAAGAGCTCTTCCAGGTCAGAATAACTGACCTGGCCAACCTTTCCCAATACAACAATTGACACCCTATATGCACTCGCATCAACGGCATAATTAGAGGAGCTAGAGATATTAGACGTCGCAGGGCTACTTACTACCTATAGCAAGACAAGTGATACCATCCCCCACCACCCCACCGGTAACGTTAATTGAGCACAATACTGCAAAAACACTACATTTTTACTTACACATAATTCCGTACGTATTGAGGCTATTTATACCGTAGTTATACCATTATGTAGCTATTGTTATGTAGTTTAAGAATATCGCCACCTGTTGACTGTACGACCACTTCGTGTGACTACAGCGGCCGGCAAATCATCGGCCGTAGCCTCTGATTCTGATGAATCAACCCCTTCATCCTGAACTTCCACAACTTTCCCATTATTGGCTGGTTCTTGACGGTTATTAGGGGGTATAGGCTCCCCTGCAGCTAGTTCTTCTGATACTGTTATAAAACGGCGATTCGGATTTGGCAGTGACTTGCGCTTTTTACCCCTTTTCAAGCGGTCTAGTTCCTCCTGTAATGCCGTAGCCTTAGTGCGTTCGGCTACCAACTCTGCCTCTAAGGCTTCAACCCCCTTGGCAACCTTCTGTAGCCTATATCAGCTATGTGGGCTTGACTTGTTCGCAAAGTTGCGGATTTGACGGCTCGTACGGGGTGTAGAATCACTGTCAGGTCCAGGGGCTTGTGGCGGCGGTGGAGTGCCCCTTTTATCAACATCTACCTGGATTTCTGGATGCCGTAGTGCCTTGGCCCTTGAAATTGGTCAATTTACAGTAGTTATCCAGCCAGATTTAATGACCTTATCGGTTATAGCCTTGCGTGCAGTACTATAACACCGGATAAAGTTGACTTTGTCAACTGGCGCCGCATCCGTCATTCTATCCAATTTACTGACTTCTGCCCTATAGGCCGACTTCAATACGTTAAAGGGGCCATTTTCATTTGGCTGTAAGCCATGGGAAGTGTGTGCCGGTAAGTAACAACAGTATACATTGTACATAAAGCACGTAGTCATCCACTCATCCTATATAGCCCAGTTAGTACAGTTATACTGCAATAACTAGAAGACTTACAGAGGCGTGGGATCCATGTCCATCTAGTATAATTAGCCTAGCATCAGAGGGGTCTGCTGGCTGCGTCTGAGGCAAGTATACGTCAATAAGCCACTAATGGCCTGTATGGTTGTCTGTCCAGCCATTTGGTGACGTTATATAGCGCCAGTGGGGACAGATCTCTCGGGATTGGTCAATGAACCACTGTTTTGGAGCTCTTTGCCCTTAAACACTATACCTGGCTCTAGAAGGCGGCCATCGGCTGTAGTGGCTTCAATAAAGGTAGTCCAACTACGGCCCTGTGAGCTCTTAATTATAGCCTTCTGTTGGGCGTCAGAACTCCCCAATACGAGCCCGTCAAGGCCTATAGTATAGTAATTAGCATAGATAATGGCCTAAGAGACTAATAGATAGTTACCAAAGCCAGCCATTATGCCTCCCTTATCGACATTAACTGTATTTTCTGGCTTAATCCAGCCGTATTCTCTCTCACGGATATCAAAGTACCAATGTACGGCTTTTGGTGTAAACGAGTTGAATCGAGCTGTCTCCTGCTTTCTACCCATCTTGGTACGAATTTCTGGATGTCTAGAGACAAATCGGTTGAGCCAATTCGTCCCTAATTCGTTGGTATCCCCCTGTTGAGCCAGAAGTGTAGAAACGCAAACGCGTACGTGATTGTGCGTAGGGGCATATCCCAAGGACTCTTGTCTGATGATCCAGTCGACTATACGGCTTTCTTGGGCTATAGAAACCCGCTTGCTGGTCAGTATAGGGTTGTCTGGCCACCCTTGCCTTTGATTCTGTCAGAAAGGGTCTGCTGCGGCACTCCATGCTTCTGGGCGGATTTGTACTGCGACAGGCCATTATCGGTAACATCTAGAATAGCCTCAGCTATCTGGTCCTCTGTCCAGCTACGGGGCGGCATTTTGGTGTACTGAAGCGTAGTACTTATAGAATAATAGTCAAAGGGGCATCGTGGCCTCAAAAGTAGTAGAATCAGAATTTTACGGCTGCCGCAACTCCGTAGTACCGATGTGGAGTATCGTGTAACCTTTCTAAAAATGCTAAATTGAAAACTCTATTCAATTCGCTATTTATTCGTGCAATCGGCTTGTAAATAGCTTCAATTTCTATTAAGATCCGTATAATTGAAGTTGAAGTAATTATAGTGTAGGTGCTGCTAATTTGGTTACCGGTGGGGTGGTGTTACTGGTGGGGTGGTGGGGGATGGTAAGTACCTGCTCTACTGGATTATCTGGACCATTTCAGCGATTCTTAGAAAGTAATTGGAGATATGGCTTGTCCAAGCACTATCAGATGTATCTTCTGTAGTTAGCTTGTATGTTTGTATGTGGGTGTTGATGTGGTTGTGTTTGGGAGGAAAGAAGGTGGAGAAAGATCAGAAGGGAGGTGAGTGTCTATGCTTTTCCAACAGTACATAGTCAATGCGATAAAGATGCGAAGTCCAAGTGATAAAGCCGTGAAATACAAGAAAAGGCGGAATTTCTTCTTCACAGTCACGAATACTCCCTAGACTGGTGGCTTACTCCAGGTAGGTGTGGGGGGGGGTTTAAAGCCCAGTAACAAGTCTTAGATCCCAGTCAGGAAATCACCTAAGCAGGCCTGAATCTCTACGGGAAGGCTATTTCAGTTGGTCACGACTGTAAAGATATGCGCGGGACCATGTACAAATGATTGGCATTGGAATTTTCGAAGAGAGAATATTTTATTGCCTCTTGGTTTCATCTTGGCTTTATCGGATGGTCATTGTCCTTTTTTGTGTGTTTTTGTACTATCAAATATGATATTTGTACATCGTCGGACAGTAATATGCTTTTCTGCGAGCGACCCAGGATCACATTACTTAGTATCTTCCCTTCTAACGACCTATTGGCTCAAAATAATGATAACAGGCGGCGTTAAACAGTTTATCGTTGAAGGCCGGCAGACGTGAGAAAATGGTAAGTGGTCATTTAGGGTCTTCTAGAACAGCAGGTGCAGTGAACTTTATGCAGTTGCGTTTCGGTATCCACCACCATTACCAGGCATCAAAACTTTAAGCTGACACTTTATTTGTTCACAGGAGTTGAATAGCGAAGCGGTATTGATAATCTGCAGGCGTCAAGGTCCACGAGTCTTTGTCTTCACAAAAGCAACAGCAAACAACACGAGAACTCAGTGGAGTTGCAACATTGATTATCAGCAGTCATCAAGGCTACCAGCAGGCGCCGGATTTCCCTGATGCCCACCATCGGCAGTCGTCTCATCTCGGCCCCGGTTCCTGCCAAAAACAACACCACCGACTCGGATTCCGGCCCGGCGAGCGCCGGTGGAAATACAAAAATTGGCGAGAGCAAGTTTTGCAGTATTAAAAAGAGGACCGTGCGCAATCGCAGTTCCTAGCTCCAGACCCTGCTAGCATCATGGAGACCAACAAATTGTCAAAACAGTCAAGAGGAAGCTTCATAATATCGGGACGGGGTTCCTGTGTGAGCCCGTTCGTCGGTCCAGAGCCAGGTTTGGCGAGGTTATAGAGTAGTAGCAGAGCTTGTTCCGCCCGGAGGCACTAAGCCTACAGCACACCAAGGTTAATGCTACTGTATATAATTCGCAGCTCTGCTGTATCTCATGGAGCTTACATGAATCCCACATATCTAAATTTGAGGGGAATTGGAATGTGAATGGAGTAGACTCGATTTTGGTGGCTATTGATCAGTTATTTCGTGTCCAGGGGCAACTGATATATGGGGACCTGCATACCTACTCACTCGAAGCTGACAGGCCCTGCACAGAATGAACACACTTGGGAGGAAGGTGGACTGTTTGACCAGAGTTTTGAACGAAACAGTAATGCTGGATGGGAGCGGACGACGAAAAGGTGGCAGCTCCACGTACATGTCAACTCGACTGGCAACTCCTGAAACGCCACTATACCTGTCAAAGATACAGGTGTAGCTCGCCACTTTGGATCATCACCCCCATAAAACTGTCGAGAAACACAGACAGATATACTGAGCAACAAGATAATCATATGCATCATGAGAAAAAGCTCAAGTAATCATAGCAAGCTATGGACGTCTAAATGCCTGAACGCCATATGAAGAATCTGTATCCCTGAGGAGAAGGAACGGCCATCAAAATTCCTGAACCCATCAATATGCCTGCCTCCTGCAAAAGCTTCTCGGAGCTGCCAATGCCAATGCCATGCTGTAAACCCTCCCTTCCAAAGGCAGCTCTCGTATTTATGCACGCCATGTATGTAAATCGGCCATCTAAGCCAAAACCCTTCACACAGTCAAAGATCGTGTGGAACGGTAGTCTGTTCCAACCGCTTCCTCCGTGATGTACAATGCCATGTGTCGCGCCGTCAAATCCATCGACTTCCCCCTTTTCTCTGCAGTTAATTATACGACGCCCTCCAGGCTCCAGTCCCCCTTCTGTATCCTCTCCAGGATAATCTTGCCCTTCTCGCTCAGCTCGGGCTTCCCACCCTTATCGGTGACCTGGTCGAAGAAGATGGGCTTCCAAGTCTCGTTGTTGCGCTCGCGCTCGCGGGCCTTCTCGCGTTGCTTCTCCTCGAGCTCCACCTTGACGCTGGTCGCCTTGGAGAACTGCTTCGACATGATGGCTTGGGTGACTCCGTCCCAGAGCTGCAAGGATTCGTTCTCGGCTTGCATTTCCAGGGGAGGAAGAACTTTGGGCGCAACGGCCAGTGGGTTGAGATCGATGATGACGGTCTGCTTCTCGGGAGAGTGCGACTCCTGCGCCGCGTTAGTGCGTTGTTCCAGTAACACAGTATATTAGTGCGCCAAAACCTACTACAGGCTTGGGCCCGACCGTGTATACGACTCTCTCCTTCCATGCGCCACCAAGTCGAATCAGAATGTCGGCCTCGGGCACATCCTTGATGCGAACTTTGTCATCCTGGTCTGGGTTATACTTGAAGATGATGCCCTCGACTTTATTTTGAGCTCGTCCGAGCCAGCCATCCTCGACGTACTGAAGAATGCACTTGATCTTCGTCTTGGGGCAGCTAATGTAAGCTGCTTCTCCGACACTGACGCTCAGAGCGCCACGGAGGATACCACCCAAGTGAGCTGCAGGATGTGTAAGTTGGTAGGTCTCGTGGTCGCGGCGCTCGAGCGTGATGAAGATGCCTAGGTTGTGCTCGCCAGGAGAGACCTTGATGGTGGTGCCTGTGAACTTTGCCGAGATTTGATCGTAACCTCGGGCGTGGACTCCGGTCTCTGGGCAGCTGATGAAGAAAGCGCTGACGGGCGGGTGGTGCGATGTCTGCTCAGTCAAGTATGAGATGCGCGTTGTGGGTCCAGTTGGGTTCTCGGACGTCTGAAGTACGGAAACTGAATTTGCAGGTGTCGTATTGCCCTTACTGGACTTCATTGACGAAGCGCTGCTGACAGTACCACTCGCGCCTCCACTGGGTCCCAAGTTCTTGGTGTTGATGACGGGCGCATTGTTCTCCACCTCCCAGTTGCAGCGAAAGAACTCGCCGAGGCACGAGTTGTATGGCTTGCAGGGCTTGCCCTTGACATACTTCAAATCCTTAGTGAACCAGAATCGGATAACCTCTAGCATGCGATCGACCGGCTCGTCGGCTGTCCCAATCGCGGAGAAGGCGCTGGGCGAGTCGAGGTAGTTCCAATACTCGAGATTCGGTCGGGGCTCGAGCAGTTGAGACGGCAGAGAGAAACGGACGGCAGCGAGATCGGGAACACCGATGAACCTGGGAAACGAGTGCCATGTCAACAACTAAACTTTGTCGGGTCTCCATTTCATCTTAATCTACTGCGACTCTATCGTAGCAGAGTTTCTAGCTTTTATCCAGCAGGTTGACAGCTTCCGTCATCGGATCTACGCCCCGCCTAGTCCGCGGCGGTGAAGCCAGTCGCGACTTGGAATCGAGGGCAGATGGGAGACACGGAGTGTTGATGGGGGGGAGGGGTTCACTTACTTCCTGAGAATGGAAACGAAGGTTCGCAGCTTTCCGCTATCGTTCTGCGGGATGTCCTCTCCCGCGGGTGCTGGCGACCCGGCTGGGGCAGGTGGCGTCGCCGACATGATCGGCAAACTGGAACTCCAGGCGGGAGATGAGGACGTAAGATAGGCAAGGAAAGAAGACTCGAAGCGGTCAACGAAGCCCTTGAAATTTGCGAGTGTGGAGCAGGCAAATAAGAAATGAGAAAAATGCGACAGTCCCTTCGACGGGGTTTTCCAGAACAAAAGAAACAGCTGTCAGAACTGAGTCGCGGTTAACCTTGTTGGAAGACTTTTGAAGCTTGAACCCTCGGTCAGTGCTGGTCTCGAAATCCCAGAAGATTTGACCCTAGCGTCAGCCGATAAAGAGCTGGAGAAGTCCAACCCGTGCCGCGATAAGCTTAAGTTCAGTTCCCAAATGTCGCTTGGCACCTTGCCACGGGCTGGATCGGTGCAATTATCTGTCAATAGCTTCCTCGATTTGATTTGAGTTGAAACCAGTTCTCCAACCCTAGGCATGCTGCTTACTGCTCTTGCACAATAGAAACTAGCATTGTTGAACTTAAGGGGCTGATGTGCCCGTCCTTTCACTGCCATCCCAACTGCAGCAACGGCATCCCACTTCCTTATCGCAGCCGACCTAGACCCTGCAGATCCCACCCCTTAGTAGTGTCTTCGTCGCAAAACACCATTGAACATCGGTTGCTCAACGTGGCCCGATCATCTTCTTGTGAAGAGCTGAAACTTGGAATTTTGGTTGCTACGGATGGCCAATTTCAGCCTCGACTGACTCCGTACTTGTGCAACAGAACACGACACATGCAGCACCATATCCCCTGCCGTCGCGCACTCGAATGATATCTGCTGGTTTATGATATGACCCCTCAGCTTAACTATTAGTGACGTCATTTTGCTGGCACACGTGATATTTCGCAGGGCTCATCGTTGCGGAAAGGAGCTGGAGTTTCAGGCCAGTCCTCATATTGATGGTATCGAACGAGGCACTCCCGAGTCCACATGTCAAGTCTCTCACAGTCCGGGCAAGATACGCAGAAGTTATCAAACTCGTCAGGATGTCTGCATTCCACCTGGACGGGCTACTCAACTCGAGTCAGTCATTTGGGCCTTGCCAAGAGAACGGACAGGTGACAGGAGACACCTGACGCCGTAGTGTTTTGTATGGCTTGATTGCACGAGCTACTGGAGTTCTCACCGTTAGTCAATGGCCTTTCTGTGCGACCGCTCTTGGGTTCGAGGAACTAGCAGATGACATGTCTCGCGTATTCATTTATCCTCGTCAAAGCTCCTCAACAACACCTCAAGATGCTCCGGTCTGTTATCAATATACCCTTGCTCTTCCAACACATCCAGGCTCATCTTTGCATATTTTGTCGCGCTCTCTTTGTCGCCAGCCACCCAGTAAATTCTCGCTAGGATCTCGTACTGCTCAGGTATCAGCTCCTCCAAGCGCTCCACACGGGCCAGCCTCAATACTTCGTGGGTCAACTTCACAGCCATGGTTCCGTCCCGTGCCTCAACCGCCGCAACGACGTCTTGGCGCATCGTCTCGATCTTGGTCCGTCGGTAGTCGGAGCTGGCGAGGGCTGATTTGGACGACTTGCAGAGACTGCAAGTACAGTTGAAGCCCCACCTGCTCAACAACCTTTGGCGCTCGGCTGAGGGCTTGGTCACTGGGATATCTGGAAGAACGGTCAGATGGCGTTGACCATTGAAGGATTAAAGACATATACAGCTGATGGTAATCTCCTCCCCCGGCTGGATCTCTCTCCCAGCGATGATACTGACGGCTAAGCTGCGAGGCATAAAGCGTGTGAAGGCACTGACTCATCGTAAGTGATACGGCATTGTCAACTCAGAGGGCAAGTCTACGAAAGACTGACTTAGGGCTACAGGCATGATTGATGCGCTGTAATTTCGGTCAGTATCTGCGAGTTAACGTCACAACGCACTTCGACTCGAATGAACATACCGAAACTTCCGGGAACAACCCCATATGCGGCTCCCCCGCCAAAGGGGTTGAGAAAGAATTCGTCCTCAGCACATCTTCTACAATGTCTGCTGCCATAGTGTTTGTGCGACCTAACGTGAGCACTAGTTCAGGGTCCGCCAGCTGATCGGCCGCTTGGTGCAGTAGCTCGTATCCATCTGTCTGCCTCACGGATCCCGGGAACTGGGTGTCGAGGACCACGGAAGCCGAGTCATACATGATAGGCTCAGCCCGGCGAATTAATCGAGTGGCCACGACGCCACGACCTTTGCCGGGCATGGGAACGACTTTGTAAGCGGGCTCGCTCTCGATGATGCTGTTGTTCATACTCCGCCGCGGTTCCCAGTGCGCCGATATACGTTCGTTGAGCAACTCGACGCTGTTAGCTGCCGTTTCGGGTGTCGTGATCATGCTGACACCGTTGCTCCCGTGCCGCGAGTTGCTAAAGACGCAGTACTTGGTGTCCGGGTTTGCTACCGAGTCAAGACAGGACGGCGGATAGCTCCATGGTGAGTATCGAACCGGCTCACGCTCGACAGTCTCGTCTATGGGTATGGGACAGCCAAAACGAGCTGGCGGCTGCAGGGCAGGGAGGATGTTCTCAGGACATTGTCTTGTTGCCACAGCAGTCAGCCACTCAGAGGTCGATGAGACCATGCCGATTGTCTGGTAAAAGACAACAGTCCAAACAAGGACTTTAATCATTATGACGAATTGTGTCAAAAGTCCCGCTTTGAGTCAGTATACCAGGGACAGTACTCCAAACCACTGCGCGGCCTTCGGCTATGGGAACAGTTATGTACGGCGCCATCTCGGACTCACAGACCAGGACCACCATACTGAGTTCGCGTCACCTGATGATTTTGCATGGCTTGCCATATGAAAATGGCTGCTCGGTGCCAGATTTATATTGCCAAAGCCAAACCAAGAACGAAGCCAAGTAGGGACAAGCAGGTTAATGCGTGGCCAAGCATCTCAATAGGCATTGATATCCCGGGACTCTTCCGCACGCACGGCTCAACTGTCCGCCTTGCCGAGGGCGGCCTGCAGTTTACGTGCTGAATTCCTACCTACTGCTTGGTGTCATATTCGTCTCTTTATTCACTTGCCATACTATCGATCAGTCTCACCATATATCGTTTTTTTACCTAGCTCTCGCTATTACACATATACCACAGGCCATATTTTCTTTCCATTCCTCTTGGATGTTCTCGTGGGAGCGTATTCCGGCGTTTCTCCCCCTATCCCTTCCCCTGTCTTACCCATGCAGGGCACCGCATTGGAATTCATCCCGTCCGAAGCATTTCTTGGCGTCGCCGATCATCGGGTAAACAGCCCTGAAACAATGTACTCTCATTCCGGCTCAATACGGCCTGCCGTGTACCATATATAGCCAAGACTCAAGGGCCGTCTCGGCGCGGAATCCGGCACTGGGTTGCAAGGGGTTGATCAACTCGGCATTCTCTACCGAGGAAGTAGCGTTTCTAGTGTGCAAATTTAGGCGTGCTATATCGGGGCACAGTGTAGAAGGAAGCTCGAATGGGGGGGGGGGGATTGAGGTAGGATAAAATAGAGGCTTGACGTGGGAACATTGCTTGAAGGTGATCAACTAATCATTTGCTACGAAAGAAGGTCTCCTTCTCTCTCTCTATATATATAGGGGGGAGAGAGGCAAGAGGGCTGTACTGGTGATGATGATGGGACTACCTCCTCGCACCCTATGAATCTGCAGCTGCGTAAATACTACCTATGGGCAGTCGGCCCTACCGCTACACTCATCATCCAGCTGGTGTGACTGGGGTATACAATAATAAATCATTATAGATTTCGCAAGTATCAGCCTCGAGAACCTTCTACACATTGCAGCTGGCGAAAACGGGAACAGAGTAGAGCGGGGAAGAGCAGGCTAAGATATCCATGTAAAACCAGATAATTATTATGCGGCAATCCTTGTCACTTGTCGTCCATCCGTAAACATTGGCATCGGCGTGTATCTAATGCAGTTCAGCTCTTAATGATTTTTTCTTTTGATTCTTAAGGAGCTTCGTCATGGTGGGGTGTCTTCGCAGTGCTGCAACTCATATAATATGTCGTGTGGTGTCATCAGGTTCTCGAGTCGCACTACATGGGTATGATTCGAAGGACGTATCAAGCAACTGGGCGGTTCTATGGATCCTCAGGACTATAACAAGACAACAGTATTAAAGGATCTTGAAGATTTGGATGAGATAAAGCTTCGAGGGGTGTTGCTACATCCCAGGCTTGGAGGTTATACAGCGTTAATAGTCGACCGCCCGTCCGTACTAACGCTCTTGGTCGGCTTTATTTTCCCAGGTGGGCTAGTTGCAAGGCTCGATTGTGGAGGTGTTCTTCTCGAGCTTTGTCATTGTTCGCGCGGGTAAGCTCGGTGAGCATCGGTTTCAACACCGTGATCTGTTTCTCGACCCGGAGTGTGCCCAATTGCGCCGCTCTAATCCTGAGCTTTCTCCTCGTATACCGATAACTGAAACAACCCATAGTGATGAAGTGTCCCCATTGAATTCATATTCAAGGTGTCGATGTCGGCTTCAAATTGTACCAACAGTCGAATAATACGTGTAAGTCTAGGCAGGTCCTTCCACCAGAAAAATATATGATGTAATGGGTTATTCTTCGCCTTACCCTTATCTTTTGGACCCGCGTTTATTGCCTTGAGGTGGAACTCTCGTCCTCTCCAGATACAGGGTGCCGGCTGCTTGGTGTAGCGCATGGGTCCCAATATCTAGGGGCGTGACGAAGGAAGCCCCAGCGTCTGTCAGTCGCCTTCCTACCTTCATCAAAGCCATGCTTTGATCTTGTCTCGGCGTGTACCTACAGGCCTTGTTTACTACAGCAAAGTATAATGGGCTTCCGCTTTGCAATGGGATTCGGTCTCAGAGCAGATAGCGCCGCTTGATCACAAAGAGCACCACAAGGTCTCATCTCATTGGTCCTTTTTGATACCAGCCATATGTTAGAGCCCCTTAGAATAGTAGCTTGCTTGGTTACATCGGCACCGTTTTGAAGAAGGATATCGACCACGTCCTCGTATCTGAAAGCTGCTGCCCAATAAAGAGCAGTACAATTGTTGACTTGGTCCATTTTCATGTCTCACCTAGATTTCGCGCGTTAGCAGCTGCGGAGGTCTTCGAGATTGCTATTTTCCCAGGGCTATCAACGCGCGATCCTCCGTATTGCGATCAGCTCCATAGGCGATACTCTTGCGGAGGATGGCAGAAAACTCTTTGCTCGCCGATATGAACAGCGCGGACTCTTTCTTGGTCATATTTGATGTTGCGTTTGTACAGGATAGGAGTAACAACGCGGTGCAGCGTACAACGGGATCTCGCCAGATTGACTCTTGCAACCTGACTGAGGTGGTTTAACTCGCATTCGATTCTCCGCTGTGTTTGAAGGACAGATGAGCGTTCAGAGAGACTTAGTAGTAAGGGAAGTAGTTGCATAGCGAGGTATCAAATTGAAGCAAGGAGTCGACCGTCCTGGCCTCTAAATACTTCGATAGACAGATAAAATTTCATCATACAGGTTTATATCATCGGAGAGATATTTATAGAGAAGGTTTGTATAGTTGTAACCGTAGCTTATATCAATTCTGCTATTATTTGGACCCAGCTGTAGCAGAGCCTCGTTGTGATTTGCTGTGTCTTCTTACTTTTGCGACCTTGGTGTCGGAAAAGTGTTCAAGTAGTTTGGCGTAGCCTGGCCAGGAGTGCGTGCCTAAAACATCTAAACAGGCTGAAGATTCGGCACTGGAATGGGCTAACCCACCGTTGCGAAACACAGATACCCATGTCGAATCAGCCACTTTCATTTTAATACATGTGTAAGCAGCAAAGCCCGCAACCATCTTAGCCTCTGCCCAGACTTCAGCTCCCCAGTATTTTCCAAGTTTTATTGATCATGGTGGGCTGAAGAGTAAAGTTATGATAAGAGCTGAAGTGCGCACCCGGGAGATACTTTCCCTTGCCAACCAAGTGGATGACGATATTGGATGTGTTTGCGACGCTTGATCCAGTAATTATGATGCTTCGCTAGTTAAGAAATAAGAGCTGCGAGGAGAGTTTGAAGCTTATAGACAGGTCAGTGAAATCAAGTTTGTGAAGGATAAACTTGGTGCCAATACGTTGTGATTAGCATCTTATTCAGCTAATATATCATTATGAGAATTTCGGCAAGGGAAAGTTGCACAGATACAAAACTTCTTCGTCCACAGTGTATCAAGTGGCTTGCTAGGCGACGTGGTGCTTCAAGCTGTGCAACGGAGGATAGTCATGTACTTCCTCATGCTTCTACATGGACTTTATTTAGGGCAAGTATTGGCTTCAGCTCGGGGACTTGTCATCTTCAGACTAAGTCTGCCGACCCATCACTGGATCAGTCCTACTTTGAGAAAACGGCTGATAGGTACTTTGGGTAGTAGCTACTGGCATCTATCAAACACAACTGCCTTACCCACAATGAATCATATACTGTCAGTACTATTTGGTATGGATCCTCATAATTTCAGAACGATCGAGTCGATGGCATCGGATGCGGTGGACGTGAAATAACTCATCTACTCTGGGGGCCACCCCAATCCTCATTGCCGGATGATAATGTCACGCAACTCTTGGGCAATACACCTGATCTTTGTTTACAACTAGATATTAGAATCAAAAAGATAGATATGGGCAATGCCTCAACGATTACCACTGGTCACCGAAGCTAACACGGACTATTCTCTACACGGAATCGTTACCGCAGCACAATCAACTCTTTCGGGCCCCTTATCTGATCATTGCAAAAGCACAACACTTGGGCAATCATTTAGAATGAATCTCATAAAGACTCCGAAGCCATCATGTTGCCATATGCTGTCTAAAATATGGCATTCTCACCACAGTACTACCGATTCCTCTTCAACACCCCATGAGAAACCACAAACACACGGAAACAAAAGGAAGAAAAAGAAAAACAACCCAAAAGATTTCAGAGTCGCCAAAACATTGTGGCTCGTATCGTATCTGCTATGATAGAGAACTTGATGTATGTATAAAATGCTGCGGAGGCAGGATATGCGATGGAAGCGGTCAGATTCAAGACAGAATAGCATGGTTTATCGAGCTGGAACACTCGAAATTTCACATTCGCGACATGTCGCCAAAGGGCAGAGGAAATATAGTGTAGAAGAATTCCTACCATCGTGGCTACGTAGTGGAAGCAGAATCCCAATAACTTTATACCACAGATCATCAAGATAAAGGCCACAGGAGTGTTCGTGCTTTCCACCCCTACTCGCGTGGCCTCCTTGGTTTTTTGAGTGAGTTGCCCTCCTGGTTGTTCAAAGCACGTAACGACGATAATAATGATTATATAGTCAACCGACGTATGACCCCCCTGACCAACGCGGTTTTACTGAATTGAAAGTCAGTGTAATTGAGCTATTACAGCAGTCTTATGAAGTGCCGGGACAAATCACAGGCCGACACCCCTATTCCATTGCCCATGAATAAGTCTCAGCTAACACCTGTTGAACGACTCGGACCATGCTGTCAACGAAAATGTTGCCGGATAAGCAGTACGCATCATAGATTACCTGTCTATTACCACAATGTATTACAGATCTCGCAACCTCAGCATCCCACCCCCACGCGCCTTCTTCTCTTCATCAACCGGCGACCCGCACCGACACCACCATTAATGGTCACCGCATAGCCTGCTTCATGTCAAGTAGCGGAATTCTCCAGACTGCCCCTCTTCAATCCATATTCACCGCAATTTGCACCAAGCACGACATTGGCAGTCAATATCGTCATGGCACGGAATGGAATTTTCATTCCACATGACTCTTTTCCAGCCGATAGCCAATCAGCGCTCTTGGTACACGTTCCTTACATACGACCCAGACAACGGGTGGGGTTATGATCGCAAGTTGCGCTAACAATGACGTGGAGCTGAAAAAGGGGAAGTGTTTGTGGTGATCATCCATCGCCTACGGCCGGTGCGACCGCAACGACCTGACAATCCATGAGATTTTGGCTCCGGACTTGCCTTTGGAAATTCACCGACCCTTGGTGTTGTCAATGTTAGGAAATTAGCCGAGAAAAGCACACAGGACAAGCACCGGCAGAATATAATGTCGAGGTTAAGTCGAGTCGTCGGCGTTGTTGTTCTGCAACCAATCGAGTCTAATGACGTCACTTACCACATCTCAACACATCCCCAACCCGTATGACAGATTGCGCGTCCGTCGGCAGAGAACTCCACGGTTGTACCCATCACGAAAAGAAAGGCAAAAAAACAGTTCTCTTGGCTCTTTCTTCGAAGTTCTCGGCGTAAACCCCCACTTCCAATGGAAACCCAAGTATCTTCCTCGCAGAGCTGACGATACTGTATGACTGACGTGATTCACCCCATCGTCGTAACGATAGCTTGTTGCATTTCTACTTCCGCATGCCCGCACCGTGGATCCAGACATGCCCAGAGCCCAGATTGGTCGGACCAACATCAAACGCGGCCTCAGCCCTAGACAGGCCCCAAATAGCACATCAAGACGTCGATCACAGGGTGTCCCTTGGGTGTGGTTGAGCTCACCGCCTCGTCCTCTTTCGTCACCGCAACGATCCCAAGTGGCTTGCCCACTAGAGGCCTGTAATATGTGATGACATGAGGCTTGACCCCGACATGCACAACCACAATACGACCTTTTGTCTGACCGACGGGACGCCGGTTGATCTTCGGTGAGTGCTCATCTAGGCAATGCTCGTCGTTCGCTTGCATGAGTCCCAGGGGGTGAGCTGAGGTGGTATACCGTTGCTCCGATCTTGTCTACTTCCTACTTCCTGTGGCGAACGCCACCAACTGCCGGATAGGGCAATCCTGGCACTTGAACCGGACTTTCCATTGGTTCCGCAGTTGCGCTTTGACGACTGCAAAGTCACCCCGACCTGTGGCTCGCTGCGTTTGGGGTGGGCAAGCGAGTGGCAAAGTTAGCTCTTCCCCAAGCAGCGAGCGAGGATGGTCAAGCCCCGTCTGCGAAGTACGGCCAAACTGTATGCTGGCCATTTGCCGCCCAACCCCTCTCCTCCCCGGCTTCGCGTATCGTATTATGGCTAGTATTCCAGCCGATTTCCTTCCATCCCAATGCTGTTCCACCCTATCTTTTACCCAAACGAGTATTTTACCCGGGGTGTCAATCTAGAACTGTGGCTCGCTCACCCATGGCAAACCGACACACCTGCTGCCACAGTGGCGATATCTACAAACATCTCTCCACCCAGCAGTATTTGCATTTCCCCTAGCAAGCCTCAGTCTCCCGAGAACGATTGGCCCTGACTCCCTCGTTGCCGCAACCGTAGCTCACCGACTACATTTCCTGAAGCCACAAGGGGCGACCATCGCGTTTGGCTTATTCGGCTGCCGTTCCTAAAGGGTACGCGTCGTCTCCTGGACACGTCTTTCATCACAGGACTACAACCCCCTGGCCCAGCTGAAGCCGGCATACTCTAGTTCTCTAATTGGGCAGATCCCCTGATATCCCAATGCAGAGCGTCATAGCCCGTTTCTTCGTGCCTGACGGAGGCCTCTGAAATCTCGTCTTGATCTTGTTGGTGTGGCCTCGGCAGTAAATGACATAAACCTTAATCATCTGTTCGGTGCCCTGCATGCCGTGTACAACTAACAACTGGCAAGGAGTGATCGTTCAGTTTCGAATACACTGGGGAGTTGACTTGATCCCGGACATGGCTTTGCGAGACGATCAATGAATTGCTCGAAATCGGCGAGTCGTGACTAGGAACGTGCCGTGTGCCGTTTCTTCCAGCTTTTGCCGGTGATCGGTGCCGGGCTCTCCTGATGGAGCCAGACCGCGCGGGGCAGAGAACAGTCCCGAGGAGACGGTGACTACGGGAGTCCAGCCCCCCGAAGCTACGCGGTGGCTACGTGGTGTTCTAGACCTTCTGTGGCGAGTGCGCTTTAGCCGTACTTGCTAAGGCCCTTGATGGCCTGGACGTATCGATACCTCGGCCGCTTAACAAGCCACCTGACCGCTCGAGCTAGGCTGGCTTGCGCTCGCAGCGCGTCACGGGTGCATGATGCAGCGGTAAGGAACCAATGTACATGTAACAGACTCCGACGATGCACTAGGAATCTTTAGTTGCAGCACCTAAGGTCTACCTGCATCTTGCAAGAATGAATTCTGACCTATCGTTCGGGATTCGAGTCCGCTGCAAAATACAATGCGATGCACTGGAAATCGGAAAGGCTGGCCCCTGTGTACCCGTCGCTATCCTTCGAGAGGGATGGGCAATAATGAATTGTAGATTTCCGCACGAGTCTTTCCATCGGGAAGGGGGTTGGTTGAATTCCAGCGGCTGGTGGCGTATTCACGATTTTTTTTAGACTCATGCTCGTGAGGAAGTAGAACGTATGCAACGCAACGGTATGGGACTACCCCCAGCCGTCTTTGATAGATTGCATTTTAGGTCGCAACGGTAGCACATCGCAACGCCTCTCCCGATTTGGGGCGCCTGTAGACTCTAGAGCATGCCAGTCCCCATGACTGGTAAGGAAAGCAAGACGTTGCAAAGATACTTCCAGAACCCGATTACTGCAGGCATCGGTCGAACTTTAGTAATGGCCCGGCCAACCGGTGCTGTCGAGAAGCCAATCCACACCTAGTTATAGGCAGTTGTTGCTTGGACTTCGGAGGGCGTGCGCCAAACACCAATATTCTGCATGTCGAACGAGTGGCTGAGCCTTAGACGACTGTGAGAGCTTCCGCGAAGCCAGCCGGCCATTGGATCTCGCATACGGAAGCAGCTTCCAAAGATCAACAGTTCCTGCATCCCCCCCTTGTCCCGTGGAGCAGAGAGAAGATCCGACCTTCGCAACCTGGCAGGGTGTCTTTATTGCCCAAAGGGCGACCCGCCTAAAGCTACTAAAGCTACGAGACGAAGCTAGGCCAAAGTACCTCGATACTTTGCGTCGAGGTATACACCACTAGACCCTCAAGTAGATGGGGCTGATGGGCCATCTAGACGCACCTGTGGATGGTGAAATGGCCGAAACGGGGAAGATGGGCACATCTCGACCTGCAAGTCCACGCAGCACTCGCCACACGTTGAGGCTGTGCAGTCGTTGTTTGACAGCACTTTGAGTAAAGATGAATGCCGATCCTCGTGGCTTGACGCATTAGGTGCGTCTAGTGCTGCTGCTGGTGTGCTGTTCTTTGCAGCCCTCTGATCTCAGCCGCTATTTGGCCGATAGGTAGCGTTTCCGAGGGAGATGATGTGTCAAAGAGAAGAAGCTTGGGTGGATAGTCCGGCATTATTTTAGTCGGATGACACTGTAGTGTGTATCTTGGGCCAACGTCCGGGCGCTACTCAACGCAGATTTGGCGCCATGATGAAAAGCGCTGGAAACTCTGGGGTGTTTCTTTTTTCTGCGCCAAGATTGCAATCTGGCTTTTCTGGCTGGTAGCTCGACAGTTTGGGCCCGGCGAATCCATGAGAGCCCAACGTGCCAAGTGAACAGCATTCATTGCTTTGCTGGTGATGGACTTGGACGTTGAACAGTTAGAGTATGAAATTAGGCGCTCATCGCCCTCGGATGGAATGATGCTTTGGGTAGGGATTCGATGGTTGAGCGTTTCATGTTTGATGTCGATGAGTGTAAATTGCTCGGGGTGGACTCGCGAAACGGATTAGCGATTCCGTCCCGGCTAGCGGGACGACTCACAGAAGGTAAGCCACTAATGCTACGACAGCCACAGGCGTAACGGTCATTGATTCCCTCGAGTCTTCTGTGCAAATTACAGGCATATTGAGAAACAAAACGGAAAGAACGGCAGAAGCGGGCACGATTCCGAGGGCTTCACAAACCGTCACGACGGCGGGTCAGCCACTTGGGCTTGCTTCACCCAGAGTCGCTCACAATTACAATGCAACCACAACTATGCGAAGCCCCAAATGTCATCGGCCTTTTCGTGCAAAAAGCTTCAACCGTCCCGTAGGGCGCTCAATTAGCTCCACAACTTAGGCTTCCAGGCTCCGTCGCCAATAGCTCACATGATATAACCGCCGTTTGAAGGAGCCGACGGTAGTTGAAAAAGTAGATCACCATTATTTGGTGACATTTGATGATGGATTCAACGAAATCTCCCGATCGATGGTAGTGGCCACGTAATCCTTACTACCGCGATTATTATTGCCGTCATGGCACCCATGTGTACCGATTTGCGCATCTAATTTTATGGTGGTTTGGGATCACAAGGAAGGGCGGCACGCACGGAGGGAGTACTGCTATTCGGGTCCTGTCCTGCCCGTCCCCTGGAAAAGCAGGTTCGGAAGACGACAAAAACGGGAGAGACTGGTCTTCACTTCCGAATGCCACATGCAGTGAAATTGAGGCTCGTGGCAGGCGAGATTGCCACGCGCGTCTCTCCGTCGTGCTTGTTCCAATCATCGTCCCGAAGTTGCGAAATGCTGCCCATGTCATCATTTAAGCTTTGTCTCGATCCGGGGACTTGGACCGGGGTCAATAGGCCTTGGCGCGTCCGCGTTTTGCATTCATAACGCATCCAAAGTTCACCATGTGTTTGGGAACAAGCCGAAGAAGAGACAGTGTTAGAGCCTCTGAAGGAAGAGCATATGTGTACATTTGATATTGGACGGGGGCGATGCGCCACGTAGCCCATTTTGTATCTAGGCCGCCTAAGCTGTTTCCATGGTATCGCCTCCATATTACAGTAACAGGAAGTGTGTTTTGACAAGATAGTACGGTAAAAAGAATATTGTTGAAGAAGACGAATTGTTCGGTGACGATCCATATGTGTAACAGCGAAGCGCAGCTTCTCGACCCGTTTTCTTCCACCGTTTCATATTATCTCGCGATGTGTTCCCATATCCATGCAAGTAGGTATTTCCAAGCAGCTCCGTGGTATTGCTCTTCTCCGTCCACACAAAAGTTCCGTAAATCGTCTCCAGTCGACGCTGGTCTTAGAATAACCCAAGTAACAGCCTAGCAGGCTGAAGAAATGAAATATCAGAGCTGCCCATGAAGGGAGTGGTATCTTTGAAGGACCGGTCAACGCCAAAAGACTAAAGCAAAAGCCCGCCCCATCGCTTGTGTAGTATGTGTGCAGTTGTATCCCAAGTCGATCCATCGGTTTGGTCGCAAAAAGTGAATCTGAACCCCAGTCTATGTCCGCTGTAACCCCCCTTGCCCCCCGCCCCCCTCCCCCCTGTGCCCCTGTGGTCGCCGCCATGAAATCAGAATGTGAGTCGCAGTTCATATCCGGTTGTTGTGTGAAGCACACTGTGTATCGAAGACGCATCTCCCTCATCCGGAGCGTCGACGGCCATTTCCCATTCTCTTTTGAGCTGGGGCACCTTCCTCTCCACCTCGGCAATATCGAGAATCATGTCTTGTCCTTCGGCCAATTCGCGAATGACATCCTCGTCCACTTCAACTTCAAGTCCGCTTCCTAGCACATGTACAGTCCGAACCACCTTGGTGGCATCGATGCCCCACTTCATGGCCACCTTAGACACGAATTCTGAAAGGGTCCTTCGGGTCAAATATACCGCTCGATGAAGTTCTCTTGGGTCGGCGGGCGATTTCTGGCGTCGCGCAACATAGAAACATGCGGTAGGCTTAGTAGGTTGTTCTGTCGGCGGCCGGTAGGATCCGTCTACTCCCAATGCTTCAATCCAACCACTAAAGTTGCCGGCGACATCCGTTTTGCCCACCTTCGTGGGCTGGTCCGACGTCTGTCTGGGAGACTGGTTACCCGAACCTTGGAATTCGTTCCATTGGGGATTGGCGACTACTGCGGAGGCCTGCGAATGCAACGACATGGAACTCGGAGATGGTGAGACGAGCGATGAGTTGGCAATTGAGCTGCGTTCACTTCGCGCTTGCCATGCCAGCCCGTCTTTCGCATCCACCTTTGTCAGGTCAATTGGCTCCCCCGCGAGAGTTACGGGGTGCAAATCTGGATCGTCCAAATCTTCACCACGAAGGTAGAGAACGCTGACTGGCCGGGTGCTGGTGAACATGTCCTGCAAAGTCTGAAGCTTAAAATGTAGGTCATCCTCCAATGACGGCCTACCGCCACCGCCCGCCGAGCTGGTTGAAGACATGGACCACGTCCTCTTGTGTTTCTGGATCTTACCCGGCCGCGCCGTGTCCGGGCCTTTGCCTTGCGAAGCCCCACCCCTTTTTCTCTTGCCGAACTCCTTCATGCCGCTCTCCGCCTGTGCGATCTGTTGCTTTAGTTTGTCAATCGTCTTCTTGACATGAGCCACATCATTTGAAAGCTTCCGTTCGGCGCCGTGATCTCGAAACAGCTTGACTTTGCAGTAACAAATCTCTGTCGGGCCATCGGATGGAGATGACGTTCCATCGGGTGGTAGGGCAACAGTTTTGGCGCATAGTCTCACAGGAATGCCCTTCACGCCTTTAGAGTGGCTGAAATCGGTCGACAGGAAGTTGAAGCGCACAGCAACGTTACACTCAGGGGCGCCGTTGAGGCCAGGGGTCCAGATTACCGAAAATCCGTCGAAAGAGGCCGTGTCTAGTTCGACACGGGTTCGTTTGTCGTCGCCTTCTGCTGGTTGTCCCGCTTCCACGTACTCCACAGCTTGGAGTTTACCACCACGCTGATGCGCCTCGTTAGTGCCCCGTCCTTCCTTCCAGAGGCTCCAACAAACCCCCGGCTTCTGCCGCTGCTGGTCGTCCTCAAACGAAATCCGCACGAATGTCCGGTAACGGGTTCCGGGCGCGACGGGCAACGTCGCCGACGTATCAACTACTGACAATGAGTATGCCTGTCCTTTGTTTAAATATGTTACGGGGATTTCGTCGGCATGCTTGATCATTGCCGTTGGTGCATTTAGCGTGGCATGGAAGCGGAACTTCTCAGCCGATGGCGGTAATGCGTGAGCCATGGACATGCCGAAGTGCCTAGTTTGGAAGCCCATGGGCGGTGACTGCGAGTTAAACGTAGCATCGATGGAACCCATGCGCTCCTCGTGGCCCTCGGAATCCAAGGGCGACCCATCCTGATCCATTGTCTCGTATCCCGTGTCCTGGTGGACGAAGGATGAAGGGGCGAACGACGGCTGAGGTGGCGCCGCTTGCATGAAGGGGTTGAAGGTCTGGAAATGATGCGGCGGCATCCCGTGCTGAAAATGGGCGAGGTCCACCATGGGGGCACCCGAGTGCATGGCTGCTTCACTGGTCGGCAGCGACAAGGGCGTACCCAACCCCATTCCTAAGCCCATTGTTGGTGTATGTAAGTCGCCAGCTTGCGGGTGGTAAAGCGTGTTGTTACCGCCGGGAGTTGGCGTGTAATAGCCCGGCGGCTGGTTCGCAAACGCGGAGAAGGAGAAGGAGTTGGGATCCAGCATTGACGGCGTGAACCGCCATGGTTCTCCGGAACCCCGTGGGGTGGGGTCTTGGTCCCGAAAGACATCGTGACTTAAGCTGTGGCTTCTATAAGTTAGTTTGAGCTACGTTAGCCACAGATGCAATTCGGACGGTGTCATGCGCCAAGATCTAAGAATCGTGGAGCTCGAGGCTGGCAATGGCAAGCAATTGGCAGTCTCAAGCCATGGTTGGGCGGAATACCCCGCGTTCGCAATCGGCGCTTGCACCGCATCACCCAGAAAGAAACATCACGAGGTGTAGACATCCTGAGAGAACAGTGGGAAACGGGCATACCTTTCGGACTGGTTGGGGGCACCGGCGACAAGTATGGGGTTGTCGCCAGCGACAGTGGTTTGCGTAGCAGCTGGTGCGGCCGAGGTTGTCGAGGGCCCTGTAGAGACCTCAGGAAACTGTTGTCGGAAGTTGGCAAGCAAGTCATGCCCGGGCTTCTGTGCGCTCGTCCTAGAATGCGCGCAAGCATGTCAGCGTTCATCCTGCGAAATGCGATAGTATTGTATCAATTATTTTTTGTGGAAGAACGGAATGCGCTGTTTGGTTGAGGGTACGACAGCTTCAAGAGCGCGCAGTTTTCAAAGTCAGAGGTCCCCAGACGGGCTGGCTGCGGCTTCCACAGCTAGTGCCAAGGATCACATCACAAAAAATAGCAGGCTCACTCACCTCTGTCTAAACATCTGAGAAGGCATTTGGGAGGTGCTGTCGTTAGACAGCGAAACCGTGAGAATTTCAGTACAAATTGCGATGAAGTTCAGGCCGTCGCGAAAATGTGACGTTCAAAGTGGACTGATTTCGCTGCAGAAGGCGTCGTCGAGGGTGGCAATGAGGTGTTGTGGTGGGGAAGGGCAAAGACGGGCGGGAGCTGCTCCTGTGTCTGTAAAGGATTTCATAGAGATCGATCGAAGGTCGAAGTTGTTTGCGGGCGCGTAGAGTGAATTCAAAAAAACGATCGTGGGGGACAGGCTGGCTTGTATCAGAGGAATAAAATCCAGGAAAGCGGTAAACACGCAGAGCAGAGGCAGAGATTATGAGTATGGTAGAAGAGGCTGATTTGATGAAGGGTGACTGTATTATAGCACAGCTCACTAAGGATCGGGTGGGTACCCTACTACTTCAGCAATATGTGATGGAGTACTTGGCAGCAAGTCCTTCGTGGGACACGGCGTCGACGGCTGCCCCAGGTGCTGCTATGTATTGTGGGCGTGGTGTCATCCGGGGACGGGGTGTGGCCCTTGAAAGAGTAGGAGGTACATGGTAGCAGAGAAAATAATACTAGTACACGTCAATGGAAGGGACCGCATAAGCTGGCTGGGCGCGCGACCTGCCATGGATCATGGGGCGTCTGTCTCCTTGGACAGCCGGCCGAGTGGACAAGGGCAGGATATCTCGGGGCAAAGTAACCGGTACGGTGTTGGGCGGGAACTCAGGAGCTGGGTCCCAGGTACTTCGAATCTGACGATTGATTCGAACCCTGGGAAGGCGCAGTACGTACATTTTTCCTGCCCTCCCCCCCTGCAACTGTCGGCGTGCGATGCCCTAGCTGGTATCACTGATCTGTGCCGCTCCAGATGGGATGGCGATGAGGTTGACCAGGGTGTAGCAGGCCCTGCCAATAGACTCGCTCCGCGATGATTGATGAAATTGTTGGAGAGCGATATTTCTCCAAAAGAAACGAATGATGATGCAACCTTTCTCACCTCGAGGTTGAGCTCTTGTTTTTTTTTGGGAGGGGTGGGGGGTGGGTGGAGGGTTTGTGAAGTTCGACAGTGTCCCTCTGAAAGATCAAGTGCTGCGATTGCGATTGCACTTTCCGAGTGGCAGGTGCGGGGGGAAGACGAGTGCATCTTCTACAATTGTCCGCCCAAACGACACCTGAGGCGCAGTGTCCGGCTTAAAAGCGCTTGCTCATTGATTGGGCAACGTGGATGCAGCCCAATGTCCATGTCCCAGCAATATCGTTTGATATGTCAGTTAAAGAGTCTTCCCTCAAATTGTCAAAAAAATTATTGTGATTCTTTTGACGGCAAAGCGGAGCGTCCTAAGCTAAAGGCTCGATTTGGACAGATAGCCACTTCGCTTCTGCGCTGGATTGGAGCTTGGCTCCAGACCACATCAAGGACTCCCTTGATATCAGCTTCAACATGGCCTAGATCGATCACAATCACAACAATTATGAAGACAAATCCTACCCATGATGACTTTCTATCCTCATCTTTCTCTAACAAGCGAAATGCAGAATTGCTAACAGTTCCAGTGGTTCTTTATGGGAAATTGCATAGGGATTTAGTTTTGTGAGATCAGAACTGATGTTAGACATATCGCAAAACCGCGTGCAATGAAAATTGATCATAAGCTACACCTTTGTTTTCCTAACTTAGACTGGCTTCTAATCACCGATTTAAATGTACGGCGTGATCCTTCTAATGAGGCACACGGCCACGGGTCCTTAAGTTACTCAAGTTGCTTTAGGTGGTATTGCAGACGGTAATTGCTTTCGCGAGCTACGCCGCCTAGGGACATAAACATGAACGTGGTTTAATTCAGCCCAGAGCAAGTAGATTTGAGATGAGATAAACTATGCCGGGGACTAGAGAAGGCTTATGCGGCGCTTGCCGCTTTGGTCACCTGTAAAGTAGGAGGCTCTCGCGGCTATCGCCAGCATGCCAGGCAATCTCGCTTTGACCATCACGTATTGTCAGACCTTCAGGTGCCAACTCAACAACTTACAGTTTATGAAGATGGTTCAGACGACAGAAGGATGGGATAGCGGAACGGTTTTTCTTAATTCATCGAGGTGCCACTGTAATCACCCCTACCCTGGCGCCGCTCAGTTCTTCGACGAACTCTGAGAGACGTATATATCAACATACGGTTGCTGTGAAGGCGGGGGTGGCACTTGCATCCATGGCTTTCGGTCACTTCAACAACCGTCTAAATACGTGGAAGAGCCTATGGGTCCCTAGGCGGGGACCCACTCGGGTTGCCGGCAAGACCGACAACAGCTCTAGTGTTTCCCGTCGTGGCAACTGTATTTATGAATGAATCTTGGCCTTTGCGAGCAGTATCGTCCAATGGTTTCAGGCAAGCTCGATTCCTCAGCTTCGAATCTGGGCCAGGGGCTCAATATCGGATTGGTCAGATGGAGTCATATCAAACCTGGCCAACGAGGACGGAAGTCGGAGATGGAGAAGTTAAGTACGACTTAACGAGCTTAATTGGACGCTGACGCCGTTTTGTCATAGGTAACGGATTGAAGTCAAGTTAAAAAAACAAGCACTCTCTAACGATGCCTCGACCACTCGACCGTGACAAGCTGCCTACCCTCGTAACAGTTTAGCATCACGCCAGTGGTATTAATTCAACGTGGCTGGTTTCCGCTTAACCCTTTCAATTCGCCCATGAGGTGATAGCACGTGGTGACGGCGCGTAAAACTGAAGGCTTACACCAATGACCCCTTGTGGGAGATTGAGGCAACACGCTAAAAGCCTCCCGTCACGTATTAGCAATTCAAGGCTTTGCTCTCAATCACTCTCGTTAACCTTCAACTGATGTACAGAGTGAGCGAATTTTCGCATTGTCGTTGACTCGTCGGACAACATTGATCAGCAGAATTGTCAGCTAAAATGAAGATTGACAGCCGCGGCTCCTTAGATCGTCTGTGTATTTTCACTCGTGCCCTCAAATCGTTCAGCGATGAGTCGGTGCCACAATGCAGCACTTTTTGGAGGTTGTGGCTGAAGACTTGCTGTCCACATTTGCCTAATGCTCATTTGACCGGTCTTGACTCCGGTCGGTTGCAGCACGTGGACAATGCAACTCTTATCTCCACATCTCCGCCAAACTAGCCTGTCAAAGATAGAGGATGCTCTGGCTGCATCTGGATGAAGACACTCTTTTGGGTATTTACACCGCCGCTACCACCATATTACAATCATGTATGAGACAGCGATGACGGTATAATGGATAGGATAAGTGGATCGTCAGTTGAGGACCAAGCCACCTTCCAATGCCCCTGGTGATCAGGACCACATGACGAGCAGTCATGTCTTTGACCTTCAATATCCCAATTCGCAATTCGGCGATTCTCGAAACAACTCAATGACATCCAATTTCTGCTTTGAGCATGTGTAACAAAGAACTGACTCGCGCCTGCTGATCATCGGAACAGATATTTCCATTGTCGAACCTCATGGCCCTCATCCGACTCTATGACAGTGGGGTGGGGAAGGTGGGGGAAACTTGTCACTGACAGCGCTGACAGGGCTTGGATCCGTCAGGAATGCAATGGGCATATGCGATATAACCCCCATGTGTATATCCACATCACCATCGCTGATGAGTTGAGAAGACACAAAGTTTCCTTGGGAAACGTATTTGGGGCTTTGCAATGGGGTTACAACGGGTTATGATGTTCCACAACCATAGTTGGGGTCGCTGAAATTTCCGAAACATCCAGGGTTCCTCGGGCGGATCTCGCAATCTTCACCATGGGTTACAGCCACTCTTCAAGCTCACCCTGTCAGCTGAAGCCTGCCTAGTCATCGTCATCCAAAATGACAGGCACACCAACATTGCTTCGATACAAAGCACTCGGGACGACAAGGTCATGATTGAGCTGAATGGTTTGGCTGCGCGTACGCAAAGCAGAAGTCGATCGCTATTGACATTCTGTGGCCTTCACGACAGTCAGAGTTTCATTCATCGATCTGAACCATCACTGGCACGGCAGATCGCTCGGTACCGGACCACCAACCTTGCAACCGTCGCGCTGAAGGGCAATCACGATAGCTGATCAATAACACCCCGAATCCAGCACACCGGAACCAATTCTGTTGACCTCGAGACTGGTTACGAGTCACGGCGCCGTGATGTCGTAATAATTCCTCGACACCAAACGCATGAATTATAAAGCTGCTGTCAGGCCCTGACGTCATACCAAATGGGCTCCTCTCTGCGTACGAAATACGGAGCACTTTAACTCTGGGCAATTCTGGGCACCGCCAAGGATCCAGTGGGCGGGATGCCCCCTTTCCCATTCCCGCAAAGCGTCGGGGGCTCTCCCCTGTGGCATGTCGCATTCCAAATGTGGACTTAGGGAACGTCGGCTGCGATGCCGATTTGGATATTGATGGGTTTTGCTTCGGTAGATGCCAGCGACCGTATGGTAATGTTAAACATGGAGGTCATTCCAGCCTCGGCCTCAACTTGAGCCTGCCTACACGACTTCAAGTCTGCATTGCAGAAAGCAATTTCCAGGATTGCCACGATGCCACTCCCCAGATTCAAGTTAACGCGCTGGCTTGAAATCGGGTACTGCTGAAAGTGTGGGGTATATTACGGCACATGCTTGCATAGCTTCCACGCCTAGGTTCACATCAACGGTGCCATCGCCAAAACACGAACCACGAGGAGCCTGGGAAGTGTGAGCAAGTATACTGACTCATCAGATTGACGTAGCCCCGTAGCCGAAGCAACGATACCACCTCCTTCCATACAATGACGACATGCCTCTCCATATGACTCTACGAGTATAGTCCGAAGCAGCGATGCTATCGTCAGTTTCGACGTTATTCCACTGTGTACCCGCTCTCTTTCCGCCGCAAAATTTTCGCAAAGTTTTCGAAGTCGCATTGCCATGACGTCACATTGCATACCCCACATTCAGTCAGACACACGACGATGCTGAGGGTGTCCTTGGGAACAAGTGTTTGCCTCGAATGCTGGCATCGATTAGAAATAACGCAACATGATATTGTAAATGGGTTTGACAGATACCCTGTATATGGTGGTCGACTTCCGCCATCGAGACCGATTGTCAGTCTGAGCAATCTGTTACTCGTCGTGTTAGTGAAGAGAGCAACTACGTCGCAATCCATCAACCGCCAGCTTGCAGTCGCCGAACCACATGAAACCTACCTTACGTGTCTCGAGGCTGGACATCTCGGTCTGCCTGCATCAATAATTGATCATGTGCATCGCGTCGTCTGTCACTAAAGGAAATTATCTGGCTTTGTCAGCATGTCAGCGTATCAGCATAATCTGGTTGAGTGTGCCGTCTATGCAGTTGACATCGTCAACCAAGACATAAGCGCGTGGAAGGGGAGCCCAGTCCGCTGCCTGCAGGCACCCTAAAGCCTCAACAAACGACAACTAACAATGATATCAATGTGTATTTACCAATAACGACAAGTATAAGACCTTGAGATATATATCTGCTCGAGTAAATATTGGATTTTGGCCCCCTGCACGCCAAGCTTCGCAGTGCAACCTCCCCGCTGCATTGACTTTTGCGGAATAGGACTAAGTCGGCCGCCGCGCCAGCACACACCGTTTTGTTCTCCCGCATGCTGGACTCAAGCACTAGTTCCATCACACCGGGCAGCTCTACGAATCTCGGCCGAAATATGCAGAAAGGGATCAATTTTTCAATAGTCGACCGCAGCTTCTTCCATTTCGAGCGACAGTGGCTTGTTGGACGGGATTCCCCATACTTTCGGAAATAGCATTCGTTGCTTTGGGTGCCTCTTTTAGGAAGCCATTACAGCGCCGTTGCCAAATATCGCTGCTGGCATAACCCCGGCGCTTCAACAACAAGGCAGCTTCGGGAATTGAAGAAAACGATGGTGATTGTTTAACGCTGACCCCGTACTCTGTAGTTCCATGACGCGTTGTGTCTTTTCGCATCTGCTCATCTTTGCCCTCTTGCGGACTGGTACCACGCCATCACGAGCCATCGCTGTGGAGGATCGACTTCGTGTCTGCGAGATGACAGATCCCCCACCAGCATCCGCGAACGGCTCCTGACAACGTCTGATCCAGACACGGAGCTGTTGTGGTACAAACTGGACCGTGAACTGAACCCTCGGTGCCCTTCCAATGTGTCCGTAGTTCATGCTTTTCCTGTTCCTGAGTCGAAGCACGCTCGCCACCACTCACTGAAACAGCGTTGTGCTGCTTCATACGTCTGGCGACGGATTATCAGTGTCGCGACAACGAGGCAACGGAGTGTCTCTGTCATTCCCGAAACTCGCGCTGGCAATAGCCACTTCGTTCCTGAGCCCGTGCGTTCAATCATGAAGCTTGAGCCAATAATATTTCCTCCGGTAATTGTATTAACTTGGCAGCTTCAACGGCCGACAGCCGAACCAGGTCGACGGCCGACAGCGTTGGACGCTGCAATGGGACCCTCCAAGTCGTCCATGCGGACATGAAATCCTGATTTCGCTGACAAGATGGTGCTCCCAGCGCTGCCGCCCTCGCACACTTTTGTGGATAGTTCCCACGACTACAGCAAACTTTGTTGAGTTGCAGCGTCCCGGCGCCCAGCAACCCCTTATTGGCCTCGTTCTGATTCGTCTGAAATCGTGCAAGCGAGCTGCATATATTGCAATATTCGTTATTGTCGGGACTCGTTGGTACGGCGCAATCTCCCTCGAGCTAGGCGTGCTGGGATAATGTACATAGGATTCAACCCCCCCTGCTCTTTACTCACGGTCACAGTGCTAGGTCGGGCTGGGAGTTGTTGTACCTTCAATTCCGTGCCATTATTTCCACTGCCCGAATCCCCTG